AATAGAGTGTCTGGGTAACGAGAGGTTGGCTGCTGACGATGGTCGTGTAATATGTCGAGGCTTGCTGAGTCGAGATCACAGTTGAGCCAGTCTGAGTGATGTACAACGTTGTCAAATAGCTCGAAATGAATGTCGTGGTGTATGGAGCCAAACTAGTTGTTTCCACCACGGTAATACTTTGCGGTGGAAGGGTGGAAAGAATTGTCGATATGATCGTAGTCGGCTGCAGACTCAGCGAAGTCTGGACTATTGTCGAATACAACGTCGTCACTATCGGGCTGGCAGTTGTTACATAGGTGCTAGGCGGCGGATATACTGTCGAGACTATCGTGGTGCTCACATAACTGGTGTACGGTTGGATAGAGGTCGTCTGGATTTGGGTTGATATTGCTGTGGCTGTCACGAAAGCGGTGCTAAGTTGTGTGAAGGTTTGGTTTTGCGTGATGGTGGCTAATTTTGGCGTAGATTAGCTAAATTGATCTCTCATCCGAATATTGCGAACAGAATGGCATCAGATAGGATCTCTGGTTGACGAGACCAATCTCGGAGCAGCCAAAGGTCAAGGAAGCCGTTACGTCCATGAAAAAATGTCAAAAGACAGTCGCTCAGCTCTCAGATAACACCATGTACCTCTGGAAGTTTGCATATCTCATTCGGTGGATAAGAAAATAGATCGACTTACTCGTGCTGGTCACAACGGCAGAGACAGTTATGTTTTGAAGAGAGGTGGCAGTGGCATACGCCGTCGAGACCAGAGTGGTAGGTTGATAAATGGTATATGTGTTGTCGCTTTCATATGTCGAAATCACGTACGAAACTTGAGTTGTCGTGTAGTACAATGCGGTCGATACGATAGCGGAAGTCGTTCTGGTGCGCACGATGGTTCTGGTCACTGTGACCACGCTTCCACCTGGGAGAGTGGTTAATGACACAGAACTACCGCTGGGAGCACTTGAACCAGAGCCAGAATTTCCCGTTGACGATGCAGAGGTCGAGCTATCTGTTGGAGGGATGTCGACGATCGCAATGTTGTCCAGACCCACGTACGCGTTGCCGGCACAAGTTATACTGAATGTCGCCGTTGCAGAGTCATCATCATATGTCGCCAAATAGAGATAGTAGTACTGTTGCCAAACTCCAGTTGAGAGTGGAGTAGGTGAACTACAGCTGTTGTAGACGCAAAGGCTTATCGAGCAGTCTGGCGGATTAGGTCCATCTTGAGCTTGCTGCGCATATGCCGTCACATTATATGTATCGCCGGCAACAGTAGGGAAATTTTGCGAAGCGTTGTAGACCAACGGCTGGTCTGACGACTGACGGCGGAGAAGAAGCTGTTGCTGCTGCGGACCGGAACCACTATTGAAGGTCAAAAACCTAATTTTCGAGGTCAGTGAATTGTATTCCTTTTGTAACAGAATCGTTGGACCTTACAGGTAGCTCTGTCCACTCTGCGCAGTCAAAGGGGTGCTATCATTACTTTGTGCAATCACAGCAGTAACATTTGGGCTTGATGCCGAACTTGTCAGAGGGTCGCCTGTACCATTCTCGAAATTTGTATCTGCTATAACAACAGGTGCAGGTACCGTCGTTGGGTGAGTCGAGTTATATCCATATGTACCATTAGTGGGAAAGGTTCCATTTTGCTCCTCAGCATCCGGAATGCCATCGTCATTGAAGTCTACATAACATGCATCGGGGCAGGTCTCGCAATATGCATCAGGTCCCATGGTCGTGAAGGAGGATCCAGGCATTGTGACTGTCACATCCGCGCCGTAGACAGTCGTATAACGAGTGGCTGAAATGAAAGAGTTCATGTACAATGAAGAAGCGTTCACTGGAATGCAGGAAGGGTTCTGGGTATAGACCGTTGAGATGAAACTCTGACTCAACGTAATAGTGCTTGCATTCGCCGGTGCGGTAGAGGGACAAGTAGGGCAGCTTGAATTCAAGCCAGAAAGACTCTCGGCCGAGCCAGTTTCGAAAACGGTCGAGATCACAGTCGGGGCTGAACAATTCGAATTCGGTAAGTAGATGGAGGTCGTGACTGGGAGGATCGAGCTGATGATCTTGGTAGAGGCGTTCTGGAAAACGGTGGAGAATATTGTGGAAAACACCGTGGAGTTCTCGCAATTTGTGTCAGGTAGATAGATCGATGTCGTGACGGGAAGGATTGAGCTGATGATCTTGGTAGATGCATTTTGGAAGATAGTTGAGAACACTGTTGAGTTCGCACAATTGTTGCTTGATAGATAGATTGATGTCGTGACCGGCGGAAGCGTGCTAATAGTTTGACAACTCGCGCTCTGGTAGACGGTAGATATGCTGTCAGGAGACTGTGATCCAGCGGTGAAGATCGAGGGCGCAAAGCCTGTTCTAGGCGACGAATCGAAGACTATCGGACAATTTGCAGATCCGTAGATGGTTTCGCTTACGAGCGAGCCTGATACACTGGACGTGACGACAGCTGAGATGTTTGCGATGGTCGAGCAACTGACGGACTGGTTCGACAGTAGCCACCCATAAAGATTGGTGCCGGACTGCGAAGGACAAGTTGGGCATGACTGATTGCTGGACACAAGTGACGTGATCGTGATGGCAACAGTGGTGTTGAGTGGACAAGGTACTTCTTGAAAGACAGTCGATATACTCGTTTGGGTAGTGCCACCAAACGGCAGCGCTGAACTCGAAGCTGGTATCGTTACCGTAGCAGGCGAAGGGCAATCGATCGATCCATTAGAGATGCTGCTTGGTCCACAAGCGATGGTCGAAAGATTGGAAACGTAATATGTCGAGGACCTATACACAGTAGAGACATCGTTAGTCTGCCAAACAGTTGAAATTTCAAGTACCGTGGAAGTGGGCTTGGCGGGGCAGGGGGCCGTCGCCTGCCCTGACCGGGTGCCATCTTGTATGAGATATGTCGATGAGTCCGATGTGTAGATAGCGTATAATCCGGTCGTAGGAGTACAAACGCTCGGTGTTGAATCCGGACTCTCGTCTGATGATGACTGCGCAATGCTCGCTCTGAAAAGACAGGAAATCCCTAATAGGGAAGGAAACAAGTGCACCATGTCCTGAACACAACCGCACCAAAATCGCTCGCAAACGTGGAATCGGAAGTGGAAGAAAGAGAAAAAGACTTGTTATTGCATACATCACGCATAGTCCCAAAACGCAGCTCTTCATTCCACCATGCGGAAGTATAATGCCGATCTTGCCAGTTCCCGGGCTCCATTGTGCTAAACCGTGAGTCAGGTAGAGTCAACTGCGTTGGAACTACAGTCGGCTGTGTTGTAAGACGGCTTTTCCTGGAATGCGGTAATGCTTTTCTGCCTGCGTTCACGGTATGCTTCCAGGTACAATATCCCAGTGGCCTCACCATTGCTCCAGAACTACTCGAGACCGTTTTCTTAAAATCTTGTCTCCGGTTGCTCTTTCAAGTCTCCCAACTGTGGTCGAACCGAGAATACAGGCCATGCAGAAAAGATCATCGCGTGTATGTCCAAGCTGCCTCCCTTGCTTGTTCGTTCGAGCGAGCAATCTCGGTCGAGTGACCGAATCAAAGTCCGTTCAGTATCTGCTTGAAAAGTTACCTCCTGGCATGCCAAGCTGCAACAGTACCATGATTCATTCCTTTGGTATTGGCGAATGTCGTCTAGCAATGACTCGATGGGGAAGGTGCTCGGAGGTAGCGAGTTGTCGCAAGGCACTGTTATCAATATTCTACACGTCAGCGACAGGTTAGTTGATGGGATATGGCAAGCTGCTGTGACCAATCATGAGTCTCCATGTTGCTTTGCGAAGGGTGTGCAACAAGTCGTCGATGCAGGCAGGCTTGCACCTCCATTGCCAGCCATGACTCGCCGTGGTCCAAGTTGATTCCAAAATTACTTGAAATTCAGTATGTCGAGCAAGAAAATTCCCAAAAGAACACTACCAAGGAAGGCGCGCTCGGGAGGTTTATATTACTGCACTCGCAATGCTCGTCGTATTCGGCAACGTCGGAGCTGTTGTTCGGGAATGTCTGTAGCTCGGCCTCTGCGAGGAATGTACACTTCGTTTTCTCGGCCCGTTCAAGGTCCAGCGCATCTCATTGGCGGTCGCTACAGTTGTCCTCGAGTTTGTGAGCAAGGGAGGATAGGTGACAGGTCGAAATTCTGGACAGGCTGTCGTTCGTTTCCATGTGGTTATTCGCGCCCTCGTCAAGTGGGACACCCACTGCCTAGCGAGTGCCATTCCGTCTCCAAACGCAGAGCAGTTGCTGCGATATTGTCAGTTAGCTCTCTGTCTATCTCAGAACTTGTAGAATATCAAATCTTCTGGTTTCACGTAAGAGACGCGGCGTCCAGGCGACCAGTCAGAAGTAGGCAGGTAGTGCAACCGCGAGCGCGTCCGTACCGGGCAGTCGCTTCGGAGCGGGGCACTGAGTCTTTTGATTGTAGACTTCATGTCTTCCAGAGAATTATATGAATGCGACCTTCCCCTAGATTTATCGCGGAGGAGGAGATTGGCGAAAGATGTATCTAGGATCTAAGAGAGAAAGACCTTTGGATAGCTTCAGTTGACCCGCCGACGTGGTCGCGACTTCCTTCAGCGAGGACGACAGCAAAAGAATCAACACGTCTCACCAAGACACTGGAGCACAAAACCACAAGGATAGCACGAAACGATAGCAGCAACGATAGTATTGAGCAAGGAAGGCTCTATCCTCGGATTCTGCCTAACGACGTAAGAGCCCATACTGTCCTGCTGCAAACCTCAAGTCTGCCCTTGTTTCCTTCGCTCGTTTCTTTGTTTCCCATTCGTGTGCTTGCGGGTATTTCATTCGTTCGTCGAGTTCTCTTTATTGCCTCCTTGTCTCAATGAAAAGCGTTCGGTCGGATGCTCCTGCTTTTCCTCCTTTGTTCAAAGATGTGGATGCGTATATGCCTGGTCTGAATGTTAGCCAACTTCAAAGATCTGAGCGAAGGAGAGTTTTACTTACGGTCCAAGAAGCTTGCTCAGATGGTAGCTTCGTATTCATCCCACTCGGCCTGAGCCAATGCGCGGCTCTCGGTGTCGTGCTCGTGCCAGTAGGGCAGGTGATGGGTGGTGAACTCGCGGATCTTCTTGACAACATCCTCGTCCAATGAAGCTGCACGACCAGAGAAGACAATGCCGACCTGAGAGTTCATCTGGGGGTGACGAAGCAGCATGCCCAAAGAGTGCCAAGTAGCCTTGTTGATGTACAGAGGCTCGTCGACAATGATGCGGGTGACGCAGGACAGGTTGATGGCTCTGGTGCCAACGAGCTTCTTGAGACGCTCGATGGTGACAAGGACGGCATCGGCGTTGGCCAGGTACTGGTACTCGTCACCGGGGTAGGTGATGTTGATGGCAGGAGTAGACAGCTTGACGCCGGTGTCGAAGGCGACAGTGTAGGCATCCATATAGATAAGAGGATCAATGTCATCGTCGGGGACGACCACGATCTGGTAAGGACGAGCAAAGGTGCCGGCATCAAATTCCTCCTCAGTGATGGGACTAGGAGGGTTTCTACCCTTCTGGAGAGACACTGCAGCGCAGACCTGCATGATAGTGGCAACGATTCTGCAAGGTCTGGTAATCAGGTAGTTGGGGATGATGCTGAAGATGCTGTGCTTGCTGAGAGCATTGATCAGACTCATTTGTTCAACCCACAGGTCAGTGATTCTCAAGCCCTCGTAACCTGTAGCCACACGGTTATCGATGGTGCGGAGCCATTCGAGAATAGGTACAGCGATCTTCCAGTCAGAGCCGCGCGGGAAGCGCTCGTGCAACCTAATATCAGTTAGCAAGTTTTGATGGCAGGAGATGAAGAGATCTTCTTGCCTGGCGCGGTGCACATTCAGGTCAAAACGAGAGGCCATGTCTGCTGTTGTTGGAGATGTTTGTGTCGTGGTTTGTGTGGTGGCTGCGTAGAAAGAAAAAGACGCAATGGTCGAGCTTCGAGCGTGATGTACAGGTGGTGTGCTCAAAACACAACAAACAAACCAGACGAGCACACCTCCCCTCGACTTTCACTCATCGGTTTGAATACTAAATCAAGCTCCAAGTAGCCATCGGTGCTACTAGATACTCTATAAAGAGACAGGAAGTCTTGTATCACTAAATAAGATCCATTGAGAGCCAGATCCCAGGTCATTCTCACGGACAAGCCCTTCAAAACGATAGCACTCTGCTTTTCTATACTAGAGATATCGTCATGGAGCCCGTCTGGAGGGGCGAGGAAAATATAGTCCATCCACCCTCTCCTGGACTCAATACAGCTGACGCTATACTATCGGAATGCACGGTGTGATTACCATGATACCACTTGTCCAGAGAAACACTCTATGACACAGGACCCTCGATGGAAAGCAAACACATCCTTGGAAAATTTCGCATTTGGACAGATAATCATGTCCATGCAGGCTCAGCTGGAGCTATGGGCCCTGTATGCAGCCCGAGATCTCCCTACAAGAGGTTCAGGAGGCGTATATCGCTTCAGATATGATGCCACAGCTACAAATAGCTATCAGAAGGCACCAAACTTTTATATCACGGAGGAGTTCCATCGAAGGCAGCATCAAATCTTGTTGGGTTGAGAAAATTGTATCTTTCGTTCTTTCTATCCTACACAAGTGTTTCCCTCACTAGCATTCTAACCTATCTATAACGGACCCAAGTCAACGATCTCTTTGTACGCGGGATTGCTTGGGCGAAAGATGACTGGGCGAGGGTCGAGCACCCGTCTACCGTTGATGACCTTGCTTGGACGAACAGAATCGTAGGCCTCCTTCTCCCTCGCGTGAGCCCTTGCTCCATTGACTTCTGACAGGTCATCGACCCGGAAGTTTCTGAGCATGCTTGAGAGACTTTTCTGCGAGGTTGACTGCAGAACTGCCTCCGATGAGGGGCTGACAATGAAGTCGAGAACGGACTCGTGTTGAACAAGGTCGGTCATGTCAACAATCATGCCGGCATCCAGAGCGGCGGGAAGAGGAAGGCCAGGGAGAGAATCGGCGGGAAGAGTTGTGGTTTTGTTGACCTTGGAGGTCTGACGGCGCCTGGCTGGTAGACGTCTCTGCTTGGGTGCCATTTGTGCCTCTTGAGCAAGTTTTTGCACGCCGACATGGTCTTCGTCGGCGGCGCGGTCTGCTTCTGGAACGAAGTCTGGATCGAACTCTCCCTTCTCGACACTGTCGTTGTCTGCCATCTCAAGGTCCTGGTCTTCTAGGTCTAATCAGCATCTATGTCACGATCTTCAGGTAGATCTAATTGATACCATCCTCTTCGCCGTCGGTCCAAGGAACCAATTCTTTCTGCTCGTTCATGCGTAACTGCACGAACAGAACCTCTCCTTCTTCATCGTAATCGTGGAACCTTTCATAGAAGACCGCCTCGCCAGTGACGGCAGAGGTCCATGAAATAATGTCTCTCAAGTCGACGGCGGTGGCCTGTTTTGTAAAAGATCTCGTTGTTGGTGGCATTTTGATGATGGTTGACTAGCTTCAGCGTGTTGTTGTTGTGTGACAGGCAGGATGTTCAAGAAGACGGAAAACATTGTATGGTCGAGCCTCGACGAGCAAAGCAAACAAACGGATCTGTGACGGAGGACTTCTGATGACCACTCGCAGCAATCTCGATGTTGCTCAGCATTAGAATGCTATATCTTCAGGTCTGATCAACGCCACAATAGGCATCACCTTCCTTGCCTTGACCACCGTCACCTTTCGGACCTGCACCACCTCTCTCTCGCTCGCTCTCAGCGCTGCCTCAATATATGTATCGAATCTCTTGCTCGCCGCAGACTCAAGCCGGCCAATGGGCTCGAGACGTCGTACTGCGCATACGGCCGCCGCTGCCCTTGGGCTGGCCTTACCTAGTATCTTACCTCCAGACGATGGAGGTAGCACTCCAGATGAAGGAACTCTTTCGATTTGGGCAGTAGAATTGCAGGATATTGTTTCCACAGCAGGCATTCCCAGAGAGTGTGATAGCCATTGAGGGCCGACAGAAGCTACACAAAACGGACAAAGCCGTCAAGCGCTCCTTCCTCCACTTGAGACTACGATTGACATTCTCAAGTCTTCGTTCTAAACAACCATCCATATTCAGCTTCTCCACAACAAGTTCAAGCTCTCACAATTCAGCCAGGAGAAAACTGCAGATTTGAGTGAGTGCGTCTGAGCCGGGTCGACGAGCTGAGGAAGTTGCTGACAGCCAAGATAAACATTGGCCAACGCCACGAAAGACAGTCGTGCCTCCAATCTGCATCAGAGTCATGCCACCTCTCAACATAACCAGAAGTTCTCGTCAGGCGAGTATTGGCCTTGACCTGTCGTGTTCTACGTGGATAAAGGAAGCTCTATGCGCATTACTAGACCACGCCGAGTTATTCCTATGTCAGGAGCAGGCAATTCTGATGCATGATGTTTTCGACGGCCGAAAGCGCCCACAAATTTGAACCAAGACGTCGCTCGATCCTGTTGAGGAAGGTGGTTGTATCTTTACTAACAGGGCGACCAGATAGATTTATACTTTCGCTACGGCAATGCCCTTGAACTGTTCGGTGATGCCTTTGATAGCTTTCTCTACCGGTAGGCGCTCCATCGAACTGGCACCAAAGAAGCCGTGCAAGCCCTTGACTCTTCCGAGCACGAACTCCGCATCTTCGGGCTCTGCGATTGGCCCACCATGGCAGAGAACAATAATATCCTCCTTGACTCCAGCCGCGGCATCTCTGATTGCTCGTATGTCCCTGACACAATCTTTCGCAGATTTGCCTGTTTGCGCGCCAATCGTACCGCTGGTCGTGAGACCCATGTGTGCAACGATCACGTCCGCTCCAGCGCCTGCCATTGCTTTCGCTTCTTCGACATTGAACACATACGGTGTTGTCAGCATCCCCATCTCTGCAGCCAGTCGTATCATCTCGACTTCCTTGTCGAAGCCCATGCCAGTCTCCTCGAGGTTTGCACGGAACTGGCCATCAATCAGACCGACAGTAGGGAAGTTCTGGACACCGGCAAATCCAAGGTCACTGAGTTGCTTCAAAAAGCGAGGCATGTCCTTGAACGGGTCGGTGCCGCAGACGCCGGCTATGACTGGAGTGTGCTCGACGATAGGGAGCACTTCTTTCGCCATGTCAACGACAACATCATTGGCATTGCTGAAAGGCATCAGTCCAGCCAAGGAGCCTCTACCAGCCATTCGGAAGCGTCCACTGTTGTAAATGATGATCATGTCGCCGCCGCCTGCTTCAATCGATTTGGCGGACAGGCCAATACCAGCGCCTGCTCCGACAATGGGCTTCCCAGCATCAATCTGCTTGCGGAAGTTTTCAAGAATTTGCTTGCGATCTGTCGGAGGTGCCATGATTTGCGTAGTCAGCTGTCTGGATATTTCGACAGATTTTCGATGGTTGATAAGTGTGAAAGAGGAAGGTGACTGGAAATCGAAGTTGAGCTGTTTGATCGGCATGACGCAACCGCTGCATCAAGACATCACCAACCTCCCCGCACCCCTCCTCCGACGCGATGCAATGCCATCCTGCACTCAACAATACTTCCAATGGACTCTGGACACAGCCAATTCCCTTGTTCTAGTGTTCTGTCGTCGCAATGCCACACATAGTCTTATTGGGTACGCTGGACACAAAGCTACCCGAGATACTCCATCTCCACTCTCGACTGGTCGCTCTGTCTTTACCTGGTACCTCGATTACTGTAGTTGATTGCGGTCGTAGCCCCGTCGACCATCCAGCCATCAGTATCTCTCAACATGAATTAGTTACGAGGTTCGGCACGAAAGAAGAACGGGACAAGCTGCAAGATCTACCGCGTGGTGAAATCATCAAATATATGATCCATTGCGCAACCTCTTGCATTAGAGAGCTACACCAAAAGCAGCCCATTCATGGCGTTATTAGCGCAGGAGGTAGTGGAGGCACCAGTCTGGCTTCGGCTGTCATGCGAACTCTACCAATTGGCCTGCCCAAACTCATTGCAAGCACGGTCGCTTCTGGAGATACTGGTCCGATCGTGGGCGAAACTGATATCACCTTGATGTACTCGGTGGTAGATATCGCAGGCGCCAATGACCTTCTGAAAAACATACTAAACAATGCGGCTGCTGCCATAGCAGGCATGTCAGCTGCCTACGAACAACAACTTCAACATCGTCCAGAGCAGGATCAAGGGAACCAAAAATTACGAGTTGGCATCACAATGTTCGGTGTGACGACTCCTTGCGTCGACAAGATTCGCGAACATCTCGAATCCAACTATGCAGTCGAGACATACGTCTTCCATGCCACTGGACACGGAGGCAAGGCCATGGAGCGTTTGATATCAGAGGGTCGCCTCGATGCTGTACTAGACCTGACCACAACCGAGATCTGCGATTTCCTCATGGGTGGGAACATGAGCGCTGGGCCCGACCGTCTCGAAGCAGCCCTCAAAGCAGGCATTCCAACCGTCATCTCCCTTGGAGCTACCGACATGGTCAATTTTGGGCCAAAAGCAACAGTTCCGGAGAAATATCAGCAAAGGAAGCTGTTCGAACATAATCCTACAGTAACTCTGATGCGCACCACTAAAGATGAGTGCATAGATGTTGGCAAATTCATAGCGGACAAGATCAAGCGCTTCGCTGCTAACCCGAAGATGGTGCAAATTACCCTACCAAAAGGTGGTGTTAGCATGATCGCTACGCCAGGAGGTGCTTTCGAGGACCGCGATGCAGACGATGCATTGATCGATACACTGGTCAATCAACTGCAGGACTCAGGCATCTCTATTGTTCACGACGAAAAAGACATCAACAATGAAGAATTTGCTGTGAAGATCGCCAACGACTTGATGCAATTAGCACAATCAAGATGAACTCGACGCCTCTTTCAATTTTGTCTTACCCGAATTGGAGCTTGCGAATAGAATCCTTTGCATCTTGATCATGTCTCAAGTGGCTGGCGAGCAAAACAAAGGCCTGCAGTATTTGAAGCATTCTTGAGATCCTTCCTCAGCTATAGCAGATTTCTTCGCGCCAGCCAAGAATAAACTCCAGAAGGTATATGAAAGCGAGGGATCATCGAGCCAATCCCCATACTTGTAGACCCACGGCCATAAATCTGCGAGACTGAGAAATTTAGATAACCAGACAGTCTGTCTTACTATGATATTGCCCATACACGGAATACATAAGTGCCTGCACTAACACAGAACGTCTGCTCTGTTTCGCAGGTGATTATGGTGGAGATTGCATACTTGCGTTTCTGATCTCGTTGCAACGCTGCAAAGCCTTTGATACCTGCCCGAGCGTCCTAAAAATATATCCTGAGCTGTGTGAGATTCATTTACTGTTACTCGATAGCATTCGTTCTGGATATTTGATATGGTGGCATGTTGGGTACATGACCCTGATGCCAAGACATACCCTGTTCTTCCACATCTCTTCCAGCAGTTTACTAGATATTGAATAGAGATGTGTCTACACTTTCCTGGATATATCTGGGAGTGTTCTTGATCGATTTGAGCTATGCATCAGGACGCTTCTCCAAGTCTTCGAATGAACATGCTTTCAGAAAAGTGATTGGTGGTTTTCGGTAGGTATTTGGTTGTCAGCGCTCAATAATGTTTCGAGAAAGTTGTTTTTCTACATAGCGCCATCCTTTCGCTTCCTACGGCTCTCAAACTTCTATGTGTTCTTGATATATCTATGGGGTATGTTGGCCACGAGTAACAAAGTACTAGAGCATGTCGTTAAGGCTACAGACACAAAAAAGTCCTCGCAGCACTTGTAAGAAGTATCACCCTGTCCCCAGCCATTTTTTTTTTTTTTTTTTTTTTTTGAATCATACTCCATTTAACCCTGCGGGTCTTGCCGGGAAGACTATCTAGCTACTATGTTATTCACATGATCGTGTGCCTTCCTGCCGCCCTACACACCCCTGCTTTCGCTCTTCGCTTTCTGTTCTGTTTTGTCGTGTGTCCATCTCTCTTCTGTGTTCTGTATCTATGGCCTTGCGCTTATTTGTCTTGTGTCTGTCTCCCTCTCGGGTTCAGACAGGGTCCGCTTTGCCACCCTGCTGAATTGAGCCAGCAGGCCGAGTGTCAGTAATTGTCTTGCCGCGGTTGTTGTTTTCTCTGTGTCGGAGAGTATTTCCCTGAGACTGTTTGGCGGGTAGTTCCCCCAGTACTTTTGTCTGCTCTCCCGGTAGGAGGGACAGTCAAGAAGTACATGATGAAGCGTTTCCCTTTGCTCGGCACACCCTCGGCACCTGTCCGTGGGTGTGTCAAGGGGTCTTATCCCATGCAAGTAGGAGTTCAGCCCGATTTTCCCTGTCTTCATCTGGACCACTACTGCAGAGAGGGCTTTCCTTCTTTGCCCGTGACTAGCCAAATGTCGCCTGTGTGGCTTCATGGCGAGTGGGTAGTATTCGCGGCCGTGTTTGCCGTTCTCCCATCTTGTCTCCCATTCCTTGGTGGTATCCACCCGCATTGCCCTCTTTATGGCGGATCGGAGGGAGTACGACTGGTATTTGCGGGCTCTGCGGAACTCGTGTACCTCGTTTAGTCCCTTACACCAGCCGCCTGCTTGCTTGGCCAGCTCGTCTACCTCTTCGTTGCCACGTATACCAGTATGAGAGGGAATCCATTGCAAGGTGACTGCGATCCCTTGTCTCCTTGCTTGCTCCATCTCAGCAATTACTCGATGGGTGATGTATTGTCCTGATGTGATCCTCGGGTTTGTGACCGCCTGTATTGCTGCTTGGTTGTCGGTGAAAATCGTCATTTTGTTGCACCACTCGAGTTCCTGTCCGATCTGGAGAGCGAGCTCTAGCCCCGTAAGTTCCGCCGAGTATACGGTGGACTGGGTATTGTCTCCCATATATCGTGTTCTTGATCTTTCTGCGTCCGGGCACCACGCGGCTGCGCCTACTTGTCCTTGGATTTCGCTTCCGTCGGTGTATATAAGAGCATGGCGGCAGTTCCGTTTCGCTCGTCTCACTGCACTCCGATGTAGTCGGATAGCACCTCCTTTAGAGCTTGCAACGTGGCTTTCTGGGGGCGTCCACCATGGGCTAGCCATGGTGACCATGATTGGTTCGATCGTCTCCAGTTCTTGTCCTGTGATTCTGTTTCTCGCTAGGTGTTGTTGTTCGATGGCCTGTAGGGGCGTGACTTCCGTCCTGTTGCGAGTCCTCGGTCCTCGTGCCCGCATGATTGCTTGATACATATCGCTGCCTTTGATTCTGTATAATGTGTTTGCGTTTCGTTGTCGGATGTAGAGTTCAATCGGCATGACGTTTGTCTCAATTTCTAGGGCGGCTAGGGCCGTGGTGCGCCACGCCCCTGTTGCCCATTTGAGGGCCTCTTTCTGGACTGATTCTAGGATCCTGGTGATCTTCGCTATGTTTGTCTTGTTTCCGTGTTCTGGGTTTGTCCTGAACCACACCGTGCTTGCGTATGCGAGCTTCGGGAGTAAGACTGCCTTATACAGCTGTACGCTGTGTTGTAGTGTTATTCCCCAGGTGGACCCCGATATCGCCTGGAAGCCTTTCATCGTCACCATCGCCCCTTCGTACAATCGTTGTGCATGGTGAAGGCCTGTGAGTTGCTTGTCGAGTACCACTCCTAATAGTTTAGCAGCTGGGCTTGGTTGGATTGTCACCTCTGGAAGGACGAGTGGTGCCTCCGCTTCTGTGTCTGCCCTGTTTTTCGCAAAGTGTATCAGGACGTATTTGTGAGGGGCGAAGACCGACCCGGTCTTCTTTGCCCACTCCGCCGCTCTCCTGTGTATAGTTGCTAGTGAGGTGGCGGTGTCGGCCTTCGTCTTTCCTGTCACTAGGATGCTTGTGTCGTCTATGTACCCTGTAACCATATCCTCCGGGTCCCCAATGTCGAGTAGGTCCGCGTTATAGAAAAGGTATAGTATCGGAGACAGTGGCGATCCCTGGGGTATCCCGGTATCTGTAGGTATTGGGCTGGAGGTGCCCTCCTTTAGCCTGATCTCCGTCGTTCTCCCGCTTAGGTAGCTTGCTAGCCATCCTACAAGGTGTGGGTGAATGTGTCGTTTCCTTAGGTTGTGGAGTAGCCTTTGGTGGGACACGTTGTCAAACGCGCCTGTGACATCGAGCATGAGGAGCGAGGCAACCTCGCCCCTTCCCCATGCCGTGTGGACCTTTTCAACTAGCAGGTGGAGTGCATGTTCGCACGAGGTGGCCTTCCTGCCACCTGTGTGGTGCCTTGGCAACAGTTGGTAATTTTCGGCATAGTATTGCAATCGGGTTGCAATCACTGAGTCGAGCATCTTCCCAATCGTGTTCATAAGAGCAATCGGTCTGTATGACTTGGTCTCTCTGTACGTAGCCTTCCCTGGTTTCGGGATTACTACTGTCGTCGAGTGTTTGAAGTGCTGTGGGCAATGCTGTATGCGGATGCAGGCGTTGAATAGCTGTTGTAGTGGTTCTGTAAGTATGTCCTCTACAATCTTTAGTGCTCTGTTTGGGATTTGGTCTGGGCCTGGGGCCTTCTCCGCTGCCGATTCTCTAATTGCCCGCTGGACCTCTTCTTCTGTCACATCCGGGCAGGGTACCGGTGGGGGGTATGTATAGTCTCGAATGTCGCTTAGGTCCGCTGGCGGTGGGGCTGGGAAGAAGGTGCTTGCAAAGGCCGTAGCCTTCTGTTCCCAGTCCTTAAGCCTTACTCCTTGGTATAGGATTTCTGGTGTGAATGCTGTTCTTGGGTTGTCCTTGTTTTTGACCCACTTGGCGAGTTTCCATAGGGCTTCTGGTGAGTCAACCTGTGAGACTCTCTCCCTGTGGTCCCTACGGTTCGCTTGGAGGATGGCGTTTCGTTTCTCTCTTCTTGCTTTCTTGTACTCCTTTTGGCTGTCATCGTCCATCCATCTCTGCCATCGTCGCCTAGCTCTTTTCTCTGCCTGGATCTTCTCCTGGACTTCCCTGCAGAAGTCTGGCTTTGTGTATATCCGATGTATCCGTACCTCCGGCGTGGAGACCTCTATCGCTTCGCTAATCTTTCGTGCAATTTCGGCCGCTCTCTGATCTACCTGCTCCCTTGTCCGGAGAGGTGTCTCCTGTCTGAGGTTATTTCGTAAGTAGCTCTGGTACTTTTCTGTGTCCATTGCCTTGTAGCTCCTTCGGGTCTCGATCGGTGCTTCTGGGGTCCTTATTTGGATGACTGTCTCAACGGGCTTGTGGTCGGATCCAGCTTCGAGTCTTGGTTGCACTTGACACTTTCGCATCCTCTGTCGAAGGTCCTCAGTAGCCCAGATCAAGTCGATTGTTGAGTCTCTGTCTTCTCTCCGGTGCCTTAGCCTAGTAATTGTGCCAACCGGCAGACACTGATCCATGCCCGCCCTTGTAAGGACATTGATGAAGCCGGTAGTCTGATTAGTTGGGCTCGGGTGGTCTATTGGCCCAGACCAGCATTCGTGGTGGAGGTTGAAGTCCCCTACTACGACTTGCTCGTGTGTCATTGTGGACTGAATTGCCCGGTCTAGGATCGGGAGAACACTGTTCCCTGGAATCCCATGGTATTCCATGTTTGGCTCTCCTCCTTCCGTGTGTGGGTTATATATGTTGTGGATGGCAAGTGGAATTTCGCCCTCAATTGTAATGGATATCATGTCTCTGCTGTCGTACCAGTGCACTCTTAGCTTCCTCATGTCAATTCCGCGGTGTATGTATAGGCACACTCTCGGCCTTTCCTCGCTCGGTGGGAGCACCACGTGGAAAAGCCCTCCGTTTGGGTTGTGCGTTGCCCGGATGTCCGGTCTTATATAAGGCTCCTGGATGGCGATGACGTCGTATGACCCTATGTCCGGGTGCCTGAGCAGTTGAGACATCGTGGCGAGTTTTCTGCCTACATTGTACTGTATGATTTTGATCTGTGTGGTGTCTCTATTCATTAGAGGCACTGTTGTTCCGTGTCCTTGTGCTGCCTCGCTGCGAGCGGCGTCTCACTACCCTCTGGAAGCCATCCTGTTGCGCCGATGGCGGGGTGACTTCCCTGTGCTGGCTGTCGTCTATGGCTTCGATCGCATCTGATCCTGGTTCGCACTGCCTGTCCTGGATGTTGATTGCCATTTGGTTCGCCATGGCTCTCTTTGCCTGGACCGGGGTCATCGTAGGCCTTGGTGCGGTGGTTTTGCGCACTCCTTGTGGGCGCAGGGCAGAAGCCATCTCCTGGTTTCTCGGCGTGCTTGTCTGGCTTCCAATTCTCTCTGCTATGGATCTTGAGCTCATCTCGGACGCTGCTGCTGCTTCAGCTGGGGTCGGATCCGTGGCTGGTCCTCCCTCCATCCGAACCTCGCGATCTGGGATGTTAAATGAGACTACCGAGCCTCTCTCCGATGGCCCTGGGCTAATCGCCGGGTCCTCGAGGTAGTAGGGCTGTGCTCTAACTCTTTCCTTCTCCCTCTCTGCTCTCTCCATGTCCTTTTTGCGGTAGACGCACCTCTGGTCCCACGCGGAGTGGGTACCCTTGCATAGAGTGCACGTCTGTGGCCCGTTTGGCGCCGGGCAGTCTCGGGTGAGGTGTTCCTCTGCACAGTGTCCGCATGCTTCTTTGTTGCGACATTGGCGCGTTGTATGTCCGTATTCGTAGCATCTAAAGCATTGCAGCACTCTGCATGCTTTGTCGTACCTAATGGTGCGCTTCGCCTGACCTTCCCAGGCGAGGATTCCTGCTGCTATTGCCGCGTTTGCTCCTGCCTTTGTCATGAAGCTGATGACTATTGTCCCTGTTGCTTTGCCTTGTCTGGGTTTCATCATCCAGTCCATGTGGTTGATCTTGTGGTCGGCTAGTAGTTGGTAATTGGACCCGATAAGGGTATGTCTCATCTGTTCCTGTTCTTGTGGGTTGAATGTCGAAACCGGGATATTCATCACCATAACTGTGTACACTGGTGTGACTACCTCTGCGTTTCCACCGAGGCAAGTCACCCACTGTGGTCCATTCTTTGTCAGTCTCTCGGCCGTAGCTGCGTCCTTTGCGATGAGGAGGTAATCTCCTGACACCTGGACTGTCGCCATTTCGATTGCCTTGTTTCTGCCTGGGCCTGTAAACAGCCCTGCCCGTTCGATACCTTCGTTTGCCATCTTGACCACCTGGGCAGAGGTTCTACTATGTCCCGGTCTGGCTCTATTGTCATTATTAAAGTTTGTCCTAACCCTAACCTCCCTGAGCTTGCGGGAAGAGATTGGGGCTGCGGACGTTGGGGTCATTCTGCTTAGTACCGATTGGGGGTAAGACTGTGGTGGGCTGTTGGTCGTGAGGGCTTCAACGAATGACTTAGTCCTGCTTGCCGTAGGGGAAACCCTGGACTGGAAAGATACAGCTTCAAGGATCTTGGCGGCGAGTGCGTCCAGGTCGCCCTTAGTGGTCGCCTCTGGGTGTATCGCCCCCGCCGGCTCTCCTGGGACTTTCTCGATGAATTCAAGTATAGACTTGAAAAGAGCATTGGTCTTTGCCTGGGGGTAGGCCTTTGCCTTGCCTTTCTTGGTCATGCGGCTTGCGCATTCCATCATTGCAGAGATTTCATTCTGGATTTTGCGACCGTGGGCGCTTGGATTTGGGTCCTTTTGCCCAACCTCCGGCCATGGTGACTCGGCGGCGACCTGAGTGCTCATTCTATCGATAGAGCTCAGGTCGGCGAGTAATTTGGCGTCGGTCCGGGGTTTATACAGTACGATTTGATCGAGTTATTCCAAAAATCAGATTTCGCGCGATTGTGATGTTTTTTTTTCCCTGTCTCCGTCTTATTTCGAATACCATGAACACTACAAGAGGCCTAATGCTACCTATTGCATTATATTTTTTTAATTCAAAACTTGAAGCTATATGCTGTCGCGCTGTTGGCAAAGTCCGGGTAAGTATCATCCAAATCAGTAGATGAGAAGTGGCTTTGCAGTTGCGTAGACCTCTGCCCCACCAAGCTAAGAATAGACCGTTGCTGTCGACCTTGAAGAGATCCTTGAGATAAAACACAACTGGCCATGACTTTGAATTCTGTTCTTGCTGTAGGTCCACTGGCCCTGAAGCAGACGATTTTCTGGGGTACATATCTAGGAAATCAAGCGGAAGATGGATTACTCGTGTCGATGGACAGGCGGTCTGAGGACGTACGATAGCCATGAGCGGAACAAGAAGTCGATATACCCTGGAGGATTTGATGCTTCAGACATGAGATCAGCCAAAATTGCAAACAGGATATCAAGCTAATAGACATTCTCTCATTGACTGCTTCAGAAGTTGGAAAGCAATAAACGAGTTGTTCAATAACACCCGGTCGACGGCACGCAAACATCAGGGGGGCGTATCGGTGAGCGTCCTGGTCGACATTGGCGTAACAAGCAGCTTACTAGAATTGGAGTTCCGATCTCCCAACTCTGTATGTGAGTCAGAAGGCACTGGCAAGTGTTCATCTGACAGTGTTCGACAGCTATCCATAGATGAGCGACCGCGAGCCTCATCTTCCATGGCTTCAACGCAAGGATGCATCGATAATTCAATACCATCCACAACCTCGTGCATATGCACGACGAGATTGCCCACATCATTGAGTTTGTGGGAGAGAAGCCTTCCTCTGAGTATTGATCGAGTCTCCGAATCGATGGAAAACACCATTGCTGCAATGATGTTGTCCTTCAAAACCGCGAGGCCCTGCTTGTGCGTCGACTAGAAGTATCGCACCACCTGTCTTTGTCAATGCTTGGTGTTCCGTACCATGATGATCTTTTACTTACCCAGAATAACAAACACAGGAAGTATGAGAAATGCCCATCGTACTCGATAGTAGATGGTCCAGCGCTTGGCAGGAGTTGTTTGAGTACGCTCGCCAGTGTTGCGTAGATACGATGTTATACTGTTGGCGACGTTTGTAAAAGTCTCGTTCAAGTTTGTGGATTGGAAGAGGCTTTGAAGTGCCGAAGTCCCATATATCTTGACACCAGCAAGCTCAGCATACGCCACACTTGCGCGATCGCCATAATCATCATTGTCGCTTTCAACCTTTAAGAACCCTTGGAGATAGCCTATCAGACTTAACAAGAAGCTTTGTGTAGCACTAAACGGTCCCTTTGCATCTGCAGTGGATATATTAAGCTTTGAAGCATTGAGCTGGTAGTCGGTTCGATAATCGAATGTGTGCTGATAGATCGGGCTCCATTCCAATTCTTCAGAATCTGATTGGCCAAAACGTGATAGCATACCGGGCTCAGTGCTGTGCCAGGATGAAGAAAGTCTGCTTTTCGTGGTCGCGACTACGTTCTCAAATAGTTGTCCCGATCTGACGGATGTGTTATAGACTTGCAAGCATAGAAATAGTCCGCACTCACTCGCCGATGGTCGTGCGTCCTGCCACATTGTGAGGTTGCTCAAGTAACTGGCGTTAGCTTTGATTACATTAAAAGCTACGAGTAGAGACTCGTAATCCTGGAAATTGGCAGTCATATTAGGCTCCGACAATGGCTCCACGACCATGTATTCAGTCGCTAGATGGTCAACGTGTTCGGGAGTCACATTGCGATAGTGGTCCCAGTTATCGATAGTCAAGCCCGCGTAATCCAGGGAGTATTGCGTAATCCTTGTTTGAGCATTGCTACTCGGTGTTCCAAGATCACCTGTGTCTTTGTATGCTTGAGGCCATCCAGTCTTATTGCGGCGTACGAGGAGTTTTGAGACATCATGGCACTCACTGCAGACCGCCAGTGAACTGTAAAGCGGCCATGTGCAATTACCAGTCTGACAGGTCCACTCAAGCTGAATGGCCTTGGATTGTTGCGACGCTGCGAAACCAGCGGCGATAGCGGTTTGTAGGCCAGAACTTGCGTGCGTGCGGAGTAATACGTATGAAGGTCCGCTCAGATTTTTTGCTATGCGAAGTGTCAGTTTTGGACGCTGTGAGGTCAAGAAGGAGCCCTTACAGAGGTATAAGTACCCACCAGTAAGGTTGCTGGTACTGCCTACAACCGCCTGTGGCCCATCATCACTCAAAGCTCCATAGTTGCTGATGGTAGCTTGGATCATTGGTTGAAAGACGAGACTCATGACAATAAGGCAGGATCCAAACGATACAGTGAACCTAAAATTATCAGTACCAGATTCATACGTGGTGTCCGATGTTTGCCGTACCCTACGTTCCTGTTCCAGATGGCTCGCAAACTTCCCATGCCACCTCTGCTAGCCTGGTCAATAGCCTGGAATAGATCAATCGGGTGTGGGTCCTCTTTGAACAAGTTCCATTTGCCTTGGCTGACTGCCGCTGCGACAGCAAGCAAAACAGTCGTCTTCGATGCTGTTGCGAGGATAGAGACCACAGCGTTGAGTGAGAGGTAGAAAGTCCAGCTTGAGAATGGCTGCCCGTCATGCATGGAGAGAATGACCATGATCGCTGTCAAGCAAGCAATGCTCGCGATGACGCCAATGATCTCCACGATCCAGAAAGCGTCGAGCGTGGTAGTCGTGACTCTTTGTGCAGAGCGCTTCAGGAACCGATATCCATATCTTCGTTCCGATGCGCTATCTGAGCGTGATTCGTGTGATATGCGAGACGAGGCACGAGTTGATGCTCTGATCGAGCTCGTCATCTCAATTTCTTCATGGTCGTGCATTTTGGTACTGTTTCGGGCTCGTTGGCACAGGTGCTGCTCCGGAAAGGTCGAGCCCAGCAGTGCCTCCCCAAAAATTGCAAAAACATTTACAGGAGACGTAGTAGGGATGGGCCTAGAAATCTAGCAGGGTGTAGACCAGAAACATGATGCGTGTTTTCTACTAGCTGATATCGGTCTGCCCGTAGTAACCATTAATAGACCCTCTGTTATGGCGCAGCTCTAGGCGAAATAGTGCAGGGAGCAAGGCGCAGCTAGACCTGCTTGCAGACGCCGAGGCCAGCCTTCCTGTGAAGAACTTGGGTGTGTACTGGGCACGCTCCTTGTGCTTTGGTTTTGGAGGCCGGTGTTTACAATCATCGGTGGGAGAGACAGTCCATCAAGAGCAACCAAGAAATCTGAGCTGCGTTGTCAAAGTCGCTCTTATAGTAACGACTGTGGATGTGAAGAAAGCGACATTCATGGTGGCTGATACATTCTTGTGCTCACATGGAAGGCAAGACCGACTAAGGTCACAAGATAGTAGCTGCAAGGCTGACACGGCTTCCCCTCTTCCGGGTTCCTGGATGCATGTAGCAGCCACCGTTACAATCGGCCCAGCCAATGGCACTCAGAATGCAACCCACCCAAATAGCAAAAAACTTCTCGGTGTTCTAGCAGAAGTGCATTGGGCATCATGTTGGAACTCGGAAGATGGTTGATGAACGTGTCTTTATTTTGATTTTACTCGCCAAAAAAGAAGTCGAAGATGAGGAAACAAGATATATATAGTACAGTGAAGAACCCAAGAAGACAAAGATAAACTTCCCGCTCAGTACGTAAGCAGCTTGCCCTTCTTCTTGGTCAAATCGATGCCTTCTTTGGCATAGGCACAGTATCTATCTTTGATAGACACCACTTCATAAGTACCCTCCTCACTTGCCCGAATAGACATGTGGTGGTCTTGGGAAAGTTCGCTTCTCATCTCAAGCACCTCAGATCTTTGACCACGGCGAGCATTGGTACTGCGTGTCCAAGTGAACTCGAAAGGTGGTGTTCCGCCAAAGTCAAAGGTGATCTCAGCTTCGCCACCCTCATGGATATCGACTTGAGATTCAACACCCTTGCCGACGCGAACAGAAGGCATTCCATGAATCTTCTTCTCAATGTTTGTGGATGCGCGACAAGAAGAACCAGAATCGCTGACACCAGTGATTACAAATGTGCCAGGCTTCTCTGCCAGACGCTTGAAAGTTGTTGAACCAGAGCTGGCTTTGCGGGCAACACCATTGAACTCGTAGTAGACTTGGAAGGGAGCCTGACCAGAGAGTGCGAAGGAGATGCGATCACCAACGCAGAAATCTTCCTGATTCTCCAGAGAACGAATTGTAGGAGCGTCATGGACGGCGATTTGTACTCTGGGCGAGGTGGTATCGAGGATGCGGCTGCAACCACGGCTGTCAGTCACTCTGCGAATGGACACAGCAGAGTTACCCAGGTGCAGCGACTGATGAGGAACACGAAGGTCGTGCGTGTTCTTGTTGATGTCCTTGACATAGAAGATTTCAGGACGAGCCGAACCGTGATGCTTGATTTCGACATCGATGGCGAATGGAGGTTGTCCTTCCAAAGTGATAGGGATGACCTCTTCACCAGCAGACTCGACAGAGCAGTAGCTGTAGGTCCTGCCAGGGTTGGTGAAGCGCGCAGAAGGTCGGGGGTTGACACGCTGCTGGATAGTAACCGGTGTGAAGTGCTTCGAGCTATGATCATAGTTATCGTCCGCAAGCTCGGTGAACACATAATCAATCACACCGGCCTGCGAAGTATCAAGGTTGATAGACGAGACACCAAGTGCAGCAGTGACGGCCTTGCTTCGCTTTGACCTTGCGCCACGTTCAGACACAATATTTTCATCGTACTTGTATTGGAATGGTGGAGCGCCGGAGAAGTGGACATTGACCAGGTTATCTTCGCCCTCACAAACATCATTCTTGACGTACTTGCCACCTTCAACTCGGTCGTACGAAGTTTCAGGTATTCTCAATTGTGGACGCTCAATCCAATCAATGCTGAACTTCTTAGCGTTCTCGTCGACAGCACCAGGACAGATGGCATCGTTGACCTCGAGAAGTTCGTAAGTGCCTTCTGCAGAAGTAGCGAAGAGACCATTGGGACTATCGACCTTGATCTTGTGTGAGTGCTCGGGATCACGGAGGTTGTGGTAACGGACATTCCATGGCGCTTCTCCCGTGAGCTTCAAGGGAAGTTTCATAGTCTTGCCTTGCAAAGTCTTGATAGCACGCGAACCTTCAATCTGTCCGAACGAGACCTTGGGTCTCTGGTGACGAACATTGATCTTGGCCTCCTGCTTCAAAAACTCTTTGCAGCCCATTATATCAGTGACACTAGCCAGGGCAAGAGTGTAATCACCACCTTTGGTCAAAGGTTCTGTATTGATGGTGAATCGTTCGCCATGAATATCTCTGACAACGTGGCGTTTTCTGTTGCTGCCACGGACGAGTTCGTACTCGACAGTAAATGGTCCTTGTCCGCGAAGGGCTACATCAAAAGAGACTGCTTGGTCAATGCAAACCTTACGTGAAGGAGATGCCTCCATGAAGTGTGCAGAAGCTGAAGGTTTGACGTCCTGTTCGATGATCATGTCGTCTCCCTTCAATGTTTGTCCCTTGTAAACATAGTCACTGATCTCAGAGAATCGATAAGTGTAGTGACCAGCAGTAGGAGGGGTCAATTCGATCTGTCCACGCAGGCCGTTGACTCTCTCTGTTTGTGTCACACGCTTGGAACTGTCCTTCTCGGTAATTTCATAATGAATCAGGAAAGGAGGTGTTCCTGTGAGATGGAAGTCGACACGCAGACCGATAGGTTTGTTGGCACACTTGTCGAAGATTTCCTCTTTGTCAATACGGAGGCTAGGCTCGGCAGGGTTCTGCAGCAAACAAGATGCGGGCTCAAGAACTTCACCAGCGCAGATCCCGGTGGAAACACTGTGCAGGGTGTACAAGCCAGCGTCCTGGACAGTGGGCCTTTGCGATTGGTTCTTGATCGAAATTGACTTGATCTGAGCAGATTCGCTATGGTCGCCGTTAGACAGAAGTTGACCTTCAGGAGTGAACTTGTATTCAATGTTGTAAGAAGTGCCGAGGAAACCGCCATTGCCCTTGTTTGCAGTAGAGCCGTACAACACAGGCAGGGACTCTGATTGACCTTTGGCGACCTTGAGAGGATGCTGAGAATCACAACCTCTCATGACGATGATTGGACGTTCGTGAACAGTCACGACCTGGTGAAGATGCGCAGCCTTAGCGGAGGGTTTATCCTGGTCGTCGTGTTGGCGTTCAGTGTAGGATACAATGTTGCCAAAAGCGTCCTCAACTTCGTCCATGGAGTAGACCCATTTGCCGCTTTCTCCCATGTGCTCTCTGAGAGGAACAGTGACAATCTGAGCACGAGCCCAGGAGATGTCCTTGGTGTTTCGGATGGCCAAGGCATCGGATGACTGTTGGATGAGAGGAGAGACAAAGTCATCAGGTTGGATGCTCTGGAAGTGAGCTTCCTGCTCTCTTTGATTGGTGATTTTTCGGTACTTGATGCGTAGCGGAGGAGTTCCAGTAACCTCAAGATCAATATTTGACAGATCACCCTTGCAGGCGTCTGGAGTCGTAGACTTGATGATTGCCTGAGGACAAGAGACAACAATGGTGTCGCCAACGCGCTTTCTCTGAACCTCCAGCTTGGACTCATCCATGACTTTGCTGAGGATATATCTGCCGGTCTTCTTGGTCGGGTAGCGTAACAGTAAGGGTTGGTTTGGAGCAGGGTGCGAGGCTTGTCTAGCGGCATCTTTCATCAATTTCTTGATCTCCTTGCCCGAGATGTGGATGGTCTCGTTGGTAGCACCGTCGAACTCGTAGCGCAGCAAGTCAATGCTGACTGGAGTGGTCTGATTGATCTGAATGGGAAGGTAGACTTGCGAATTCGACGAATCGAGACAGAATGAAGTTTTTGCCGGGTTCAAAATGGCAGAGCCTTCTGGGAGGATGTGAATGATTTGCTTTCCCAAAATCAAGGACGAATTGTGGAGAATGCTGGACTGCTTGACATGGTGACCTGATACACCCAATTCGCGGTCATAGAAGATTTTGCCAACAGCGGCCAGACCAGCGCCGACAGGAAGCTGGATGCGGAACATGAGGATGGCGTCCAGGGCGGCGTGAGCCAGAAAAAGAAGCAGCATGGTGGCCGAAGACCATTCGAGCCAGGGAATGCGCAACTCGGGCAGGCCAAACAAGAAGATGCCGTCAAATGCGACCCATTTCATGAACAGCCACAGAGATTCTGTTTCCTCCTCTTTCAGGTAGAAGTGGTCGTACAACTTCCAGCCCACCAGGGCCAGGTAGAAACCAACAACATAGAGGCGCTGGGTCGGGGCATCCAGGGTGTCAACAGGGATCAATGGGCCATCGCTGTCTTGGGGCGGTTGCCGCGTAGTAGGAGCAGCTCTTAGCTGGGTGATGTCGGGGAGCTTCTGAGGTGTAAAGTTGTTGCGCCGTGTCGACTGCGGCGTCGAGGGAAAGGCGCCGGAGCGAGGACGAGGTGTGCCGTTCATCGCATGCTGTGGACGTGGATATGCCTGTCCAATGCGACCCTCGTTTGTGTGGTGTCGAGGTTAAGAATGGAGATATTCAAACTTGGACTGCTTTGTCCAAAACATGTACAAAACAATCGAGCTCGTCACAGCTCTTGGCGAAAGCGCGACCCAAACGCGTCGTCACCCTGTCCTACCTACCTGCCTCATCTTCACATTCACTTGTGTTTTGACTCCAGTCTCAATAATCTCACAATGCCGTGACTTTCGAAAAGTCATCAACTAGTTCTCTGAATTATCAAATCGCCATTATGCCACCTAAGAAGAAGAGGCGCACAAATGGAGTTGATACACCTCAAGGCTCACCACCTCCTGAGCCCACCACTCCTACTCTAGACTCATGGCCTGGTTGGTGTGAGATCGAGTCTGAGCCAGTTTGTTGGTGTCTTTTGTCTTAAGGGGTCTTGTAACTTACTCATCCACAGGCCTTCTTTACAACAATCCTCAAGGACATGGGCGTCCGCGATCTTAGAGTCCATGAGGTTTTTGGTGTCGATGATGATGCTCTTGCCATTTTACCCAAGCCGGTACATGCAGTCATCTTCCTGTTCAAATATCAAGAAGACGGCACCGCCGAGCAAGTTCAAGAGAAGATCTGCCCGCCTCATGTCTGGTTCGCCAATCAAGTGAGTTATTACCGTTACTCTGCGTTATTCAGGCCTAACACATCAGATTTCTCAATATGCTTGTGGAACTGTGGCTTTGCTCAACATCGTCAACAACATCCCCAACCTTGAACTCGGCCAACCCCTGGAGTCTTTCAAACACTACACTCAATCATTCGATCCCGTCGCTAGAGGCTATGCCATCGACAGCTTTGAATTTGTGCGCAAGATACACAACTCATTCGCACGAGATACTGACATGCTCATCGTTGACTCGTTGATGCACGAGAAAAATGACAGGATTATCAAAAAGCAAAAGACACAAGCCGCCACCGCTGCTAGGGTGGCCAAAGCAGCCGAGAAGGCAGCCGAGAGGGTTGCTAAAACAGAATCGAACACAAGCGCTGTAAGATCTAATCCTTCGCGCAAAGCCAGGACCAGCAAATCAGTGGTCGAAGCAGAAGAAGAGCAAGAATCAGAAGAATCCGGCTTCCACTTTGTCGCTTATATGCCGATTGGTGAAGACGTTTGGAAGCTCGATGGTCTTGATTCGTTCCCGACAACCATCAGAAAGACAAGTCCTGGCCGAGACTGGTTAGACGTCGTTCAGACATCACTCAGCGTTCGCATGGCTCAATATGAGGAAGGGCAGATTCAATTCAGCCTAATGGCTGTTGTTCAAGATCCGGTCGACGAAGATCGCCGCCTTCTTGCTCAGAATGTCTTATCACTCCAGAAGACGGAACTGCTACTCAATCAAGCGTTTCAAGACTGGCGCAACTACACTACTGCAGATCACGAGGATTGTACCTTGTTCGGTGGAAGTGAGGAGTATGGATTGACAGACCGGATGATTACAGAAGCCGAGATATCCGAAAACATGGCGCAGCAACTCCACTCCAGCTCCTTAGAAAGCCTCCTGAAGGCACGACAAGAGCTGATAACCAATCAAGCTGGTTGTCGAGCACAGGTACGCGACTCGCAACAAGCAAATATGATGGATGCAGAAGAGTCCATGCACCGCAGGCATGATTATGGTTCGTTCGTCAAGGCATGGATGCAGGCCCTGGTCGACAACGAAGCTCTCAAATCCTTGGTGGACGAGGCGCCCACGAAATGAAATATGATACGGCAAGTATCTATCGCAAGCATTGCATTTTGGTCTAGAGATACCCCTTTGCTCTTTTTATTTTTCTATTCAGAATTGAGACAGCACATGCGGCTTCAACGCCTGAGCATCTCACAAGCGATTCCTTTCTTGCTAGATCGATTGGCATCCTCGTGTGCTCTTTTTCATAGTCCACATGGGTTTAAATACACAATTACTTTATTGAACAAGTCTATCTCCACGGCCAAACTTTAATCGTTTTTGACAAGGAACTCGTTATTTCCATGTTATCCCCGTGAAACAGCTTTGCTTTCGCATTCCAGATGTTCGTGACGAAAAATTTCCAAACGTTCCAAACGCGTCAACTTCCCACTATCACAGCGCCTGAATAACATCAACTTACCAGAAAAAAGTGATTGAGCAATCGACACAGAAAATCATAGACCATGGGCCAATACGACAGAAAAGCCCAATCACAACGAAAACACGGTCCCATCCTGAGCAGCAGCACCTCCAAAGCACCCACCCGCCTTCCTCCATCCACAAAGCCCGAATGGCGAGGAAGTGGCTACACCAAAAAAGCAAAGCCAAAACCCCATTTGGATGTTGCGAAACCCGTTCCTATATCTCAGGAGCAGTTACTGCCGCTGGAGTTGCAACAATTGGTGTTGAATGTGTTTAAAGATGTGTTTGGGCAATTGATGGATTTTGAAGAACTGAAGGGAGTGTTGGGGGAGGTTGTCAAGGAGGTGGGGGAGGGACGGTGGGAAGAGGCGTTTGGCGAGGAGAGGAAGAGGGAAGTTTATGCTGTTAGGTGGGGGCCGAGTAGGGCGTTGGCGTATGCGAATGTGTTGGCTGCGGTTTGTGAGCAAAGGTCTGAGGATGACTGGGTGCAACGGATTACTGGTCTCTCACAGTCAAGCAAGGCAAAAACGATATGCTTTGGAGGAGGTGCTGCAGAGGTAATGGCATTCGCTGGACTGCTTCGACATTTGCGACCAGATGCTTCTGGAAAGCAGCAACAAGAACTTGATGCCTCGACCACGGATGATACATCAAACACAACTTCATTACTGGATATCACACTCATTGACTTTGCGGATTGGTCTCCCGTGCTCGACAAACTGGTCAAAGGCATTACAACTCCACCACCGCTATCAAAGTACGCATCCGCCTCTGCCAGAGCCGCAAACAGAGCTCTGCTCGCACCTCAAATACTAAACGTCAACTTCCAACACCACGACATCTTCAACCTGAAGACTACCCAACTCAAAGAACTCCTTGGTACGACGGAAGAACCAGTGCTGGCCACCTTCTTCTTGACCTTGGGTCACCTTTATGACACCTCTATCCCCAAGACGACCGCATTCTTGTACAAACTCGATGCAGTCTTACCTAATGGCAGCACAATCCTTGTCATTGACAGCATTGGCGCCTCAGTCTCAGTACCTATACCCGATTCTGAAGAAGCAACGGAATACAGTGTATCCTGGCTACTCTCACGCGTGCTGCTCGGGAAACCAGCAGACCCAGTACCCATACAAGGAAAAGGCAAAAAAGCCATCGAAGAGGACGAAGCCAACAAACCAATACCAAGATGGGAAAAGATCATCCACGAAGAGATGAAGATCAATCGTTTGGATGAGAAATTGAGGTATCCGGGCAGTTTGGAAAACGTCAGATTCCAGATATTGGCTTTTAGAAGAGTGTAGATAGATGCTTAGAATTAAATGAAACGACATGTTTCGCCAATATGCTGCGATTACTGTTTTGGGCAGTTGCTTTGGTTGTTTTTGATTGGGCCGAGATCTCGTGTTGAGATCTGCGTTGTAGTGTGTTCCTCTGGCTCGGAAATTAGAGTAGGACGGCAGTTTGTTTCCATATTGCTTGGTATCAGGAGTTCGACTTGGTTGAGCGCCACAGGGTAACCTCTCGTGGAGTCGTGATGCAATGTTATGATTGCTTTTGACATTTTTTATGAACCCATCCCGGAGGCAGTTCCAGCCCCACAGGCGCTGATGCTTCTGCAATTGAGCCCCTGCCTGCCCGGAAGGTCGAACGTCCGGCAACCAGGTACTGCAAGATTGCAGCTTGATAGAGCAAAAAGAAGGAGGCTGCGAGTTAGCGTTGCCGCAGAGGCTCGAGCTGACAGGTCAAAACAGCAACGTACAGTAGATCTTACTCATATCCGTAAGCAGCCCGCAGCCAAGCAGAGCGCACTGCATACGAGCGTGATAGTCGCATGCTGCAAGCAATAATCACCGCCATCGAAGAGCGCTTGATCCTGTTATGGCATGGGCATGCGTGAATTCTGATTCGACAAAGGGCCAAAGTCGCCGCGTCCCCGACTCGGAAACCTGAGCAATAATATGAAACCCCGACACAGCCTTGGAAACACTCGGACAGTGAGTCCGGCCTAGTGACCGTCTCCCCGGGATATTAATATAAGAAGAAATGAAAATGGCAATATGGAAAGGGGAAGAAAGAAAGAAAGAAAGAAAGACAATTGGTATCCAACCGGCTTATATCTTTTGGGAAAAAGGTGGTTGTGTAAATCTTACGTCAGATAGGCAAATGAAAATGTGCAATTTTAGAGGTTGGCAAGTATGCTCTGTTTTCTCCTCTTCCTTCCGAAAGAGGAAAATCCATCTCGGCACATATACCGACATAACCCTCGGCAAATTTTCCGAGTGATGACCTCCGATCATATTACACATCCGCCATTCCTCCAGAAGATGTTGTATGCGATCTGATGTCTGCATTTTCGATGCTCTCAACTGCGCGCCCGTCTATTCGTGCTGGTCATTGCCTTTTTCGTCCTTTCTTGTCGTTGATTCTTCTTTGATCGTGACGATCTCGGTCATGAAATCCCTTGAGGGCATCTCGTCAACCGCTCTGTCGAGTCATGTACCCTGTGCCATTGTCTACAGACAGCTGTCAGTACTCTGCGTTAGAATAGTCGAGTGAGGCGACGAACTTACGTGAACCAGTACATAGTTTGCATGTTGATGATCCATAATGGAGAGCTAATTCATCTCCATCTTCCAGACCAGTCTGTGATGTAATTACCGAGTCAGAGGCCTGCATTTCCTGGGAGTTGGACGTCATCCAGGACTCACCTCTCTCATGGTCGTAGATTCACCCAGACGAACGCCGTCGAAGCTCAGGTGTATCCTCTGGCGGTCTAGTCGGGGATTTGTGGTATTCGATAAACGTGTCAGGAAGTCCGCAATCGTGTCCTCTTTCCATGTGTCCTTCCAGACATACAGATTGCGGTCGTCGTTGATGCAAATCTGATATCGTTGTCGAGCAGCCATGTTCGATGGTGTGGAGAGAGCTTTGATCTGCTAAGGGGACGACCTTTTGTGCAGGACAGCCCGGAGCCTTTTCTGTTGTTGGTCCCTTCTTTTGTAAGCAAACAGACAATGTCGGCGTTTTGGCATACCAAGTGCTAAGAGCCCCAAGGGTATGGTAATGCGGCATACCAACACGCCCTGCCTCTATTATTGCATTTCCTTATCTGAATTTATGCTTGAAAAACTCCCCGCCTCGTCAAAAAAGCATGTTATCTGGCTCTTGGTGATGCGTTTTCCTCAATCAGGCTAAGGGTACAACTTACAACACGTTCAATGCGGTTATGTGTCTGACAGAGCACTGTCATGCGTTCGCGTGTGGCGCACTGGGAAGCATAGGATCAACGCCTCGCGGTGTGGTGTCAACCAAGCAATAAGGAAAGTGGATACTGACGGGGCGTAGTTTCAGTGGTTAGACGCCAGAGAAGCGCGTACCCTCGGTCCATGGATTCACCCATCGAGAATCAATTGGCTACCTCGGGAGCACAGCTTGGAATTTGGCCGAGCACAATCCAGTGAGCAAGGACAAACAGGCTACAGTGCAGATATGGCTGGCAGCTATGGCTAGCTGACTGGAGGTAGTGGAAACAAGGCTTGCACGCCAACGAACACTCAGGTTGCTTTAGCGCAATGTACGAAGTAGATGTTTGTTCCTCAATTGCGCTGTCGTGTACATACGTCAGAACATGTCGCAGTTTCATAACTACCAGTCCAATCTCAATGCGGCTGAGAAGCGGGAACCGAGAATGGAGCCTCAACTTCGCGTAAAGCACATCATGCGGCTCACAATGCGGACCCTTCTCTTCGCGAGATTTGTCAGTATGCCTTTCTGCCTCGAGATAAATCAGGTACGCTCCTAGTTCGAGTGGAGGTATGCATATGTATGTAGGGATGCAAGGACGCCAAGCCTATCTCTAATTGATGGCCGCTCCGAAGTCATACCTCAGATCATGCATTTGGTGTATTGCATTGCAGGTAACGTACATAAGCTTGGCAGAGGGTCTGGGTGTCCTCGGGTCTCATACCACAAAGAGAGCTGGTCGTAACCTTGCCGGAAGGCGATTCGCAATGTGATTACAAGCTTGAAGGTGCTTGTCAGTCGCTAACAACATCAAGTTGACATCAGGATACGAAGAAATGGTGATCTTGCTCTAGCGCCTTATCCAAATTCACCCTGCGACATGACAGATATGAGCTGTGTCAGCGTCATGATCTAGCGACGTGAAGATTGTATCAATACATACTGCGAGGTCTTGCCGATCAGTAGGGAAGCCATTGGCATTTGTGTATTTATCCATCTCTCTCTCTCTCCCATTGGGTCGATGGCGGTGGCCCTAGACGAACGGATGTTGGTGAGGTCCAAGGAAGGGTAGGCACGATCCGAGATGCCGTCGATCGTGCAAAATGCCGTCGGTAATTAGCCAGGAAGCCTGGATCGGTGGGACGGTGAGCGTTATGGCCCGCCCCGGGAGTATGCACGACACGTAGCAGTGGTGAATGGTGCCTGTGTCGCCTTGTCGTGAGTCATGATGTATTCAGTCTGCGGCTGGCCTTGAGCGAGTATGGATGATGAATTTGGGTATACAGAGAACGTGTTCAGGAGTGGATCAGATAAAGAAACAGTGTTCTCTACTGACTTTGCCATGTGTTACAGCACCACCTTAACAGTCAAAATGAGCTACTCTTGCATTTACACGGCCGTTAGCGAGTATGCGTGGCGGGGACGTTGGGTTGCTTGTCGTGAGAGCGTGTTTGATTTGCTGATCGGTAGAAAGAACCTTATAGAGTTATACATGCCGGTGGATCGGACCTGAGACAGCCGCCAAGATAGTGGGAAGAAGAGCCGCGCATCGCATACGTGTTATAGGTGTTTGTTCCCTCGCTACACAGGCTGCACCTAAGGCAGGCTTGCGATTCATGCCATGGGTCTAAAGCCATATCGGAAAATGACCTACTCGTAACGAGGCCACGGATCAGTAATCATGAATGACGCTTCGCTTCTGCAGAGGCGTGTTGCAGTCCACATTGCCCTGCACGTAGTGATGAGAATGGCATTCAAGAGCAGCCTTCGACAAAGCCATGTGTTTGCCCTATGTTGTCGACTCCTTTCGTCCTAGAATCCTAGAGTCCCAGAGTCCTAGAGGTAGAAAGAGCGGAAGTCGGAAGGAAGAGAAGGGTTGCTTGGCGGTGAACGGCTTCCGAGCAGACCGAAAACGAAACACTATGACGCTGCCCAGGAGAGACGATGACCTGTAACTCTGTGTAGAATTGTTACCTTGCTGCTGTCGGGTTACCATTCTTGTCCCAAATTCCGCTTCCTAAGGACCTATCATTTCATATATTCGCAGAGTGACAGCCGCCATCGACAAGAACCATGTCTGGAGCCGACTTGCAGCGTATCGAGTCGTACCAAGTGCGCATCAGCACCCGCAAAGTCAAAGTTACAAGACAGCCAAAGCTGACAACTGCAACGTAGTACCCAGCGACCCATGTAGGACACTTGAGTGCTGGACAAGAGAAGGCACTGCTGTCTTTCAAAGAGCTATGTCAGGAGAAGGGATACTACAACCCAACCGGAGGCCCCAATGGACAGCCCACCCACGATGACGAAACAATGCTGTGAGGCGAGGTGGATGGCCGACCAGGAAAGACACCTGCTGACTCAAGCAGGCGGTATCTGCGTGCTCGCAAGTTTGTTCCAAGCGAAGCATTTGGTCAATTCAAGGACACCGAGGACTGGCGCAAGGAGAACCAGCTCGAGAAGCTCTACAACACCATCGACATTGGCGAGTACGAGCAGACTCGTGTTTTGGTTGGTTCATCACACTGCAACTGGTCTGTCAACCTGCTGACACTTCGCAGTACCCTCAATGGACTGGTCGTCAAGACCGTCGCGGTATTCCTGTATACCTTTTCGAAGTCGCCCACTTGAACAGCAAGGCTGTCTCGGCATACGAGGCCTCTACTTCGTCTAAGAACCAATCTGTGCAGTCTAAGATACCTGCCAAGATGCTCCGTCTGTTCGCCCTGTACGAGAACCTCACCAACTTTGTGCTGCCTCTCTGTTCGGAAATGCCCAACCGCCCCTTCCCAGAAACTCCTGTATCACAATCAAGCAACATTGTTGACATCTCAAACGTTGGATTGAGACAATTCTGGAATCTGAAGAACCACATGCAAGATGCCAGTCAGCTGGCCACCGCACACTATCCAGAGACTTTGGACAGAATCTTCATTATTGGAGCACCTTCATTCTTCCCTACTGTTTGGAGCTGGGTCAAGAAGTGGTTTGATCCTATCACTGTTGTAAGTCTTAATTCCCCTGATCACAGTTGATAAACTCGAAAGACGCTAACACACCAAAAGTCCAAGATCTTTATTCTTTCCAAGCAAGAAATGTACCCAACGCTCTCCAAGTACATCGATCCAGAGAACATTCCTGAGCAGTACGGCGGCAAGTTGAAGTACAAGTTTGGTGAACTACCCAACATCGACCCAGATCTACACAATGTACTCCAATGGACTTCACCGCACAAGCTCAACGGTCTGGACACAATCCCTAGCGGACCTATCAAATGGGTAACTGAGCCAAACGGCGATAAGGTTGCGGTCGCAGTAGGCACAGAGAATGGCAAGCCTCGTGAGCGCAAGGTTGCTGTTGTAAAGTCATCACAGCAGCCTTCAGCTGCCGCCCCAGCCGCAAGCCAAAAGGCCAGACAAGACGCATCCATATACAGAACCACCAGCGGCATCGACACACACCCTCCAAGCCCACCTCCTGGCCAGGAAACCATGCCCCCACCGACTTACGACGGCACTCCTTCAGCAGCAAGCCCAGCCACTACACTCCCCGTGCGCGAACAGCACCAAGTCCCATCCACACAGACCTCTGAGAACCAGCCCAGCACAAACAGAACAGGCACAACAGGTACGAGCTACATCGCGCAAGCGCACACGCACGCCCACGGCACCATGGCCAACGGTACCCCCGACAAGCGCGAAGGCACCTTCGGCGACACCTATGGCGTAAATGAACCTAACACGATCGGACAGGCGCCTAAGGAACACCCTATGCCCGAGCCTGAAGTGCCGCAACCCTCTTATGTGGATCAGGCCAAGCAGGTTGCTGGGCAAGCGTATACTACTGCTGCTGGCGTTGGAGCAAGCGCATTGGCTGCCGTAGGCTATGGCACCAAGGAGGAAAACAAGGAGGCAGCTGAAGAGCAAGCTCCTCAGAAACCAGAGGATCCGAGAGTGGATGCCACTGGTGATAGAAACGTCGAAGAGTATCTTCGCAGCAAGTACGAGAGCCAAGCTGCTGAGAAGGCACAGGACTTGCAATAAGTCATGGTTTTCGGATTTTAGAATGGCAATTCTGGCGCAAGATTTTCTGGAAAATCGATAAATACTTCCTAGGATAGATGATCCGGCATTAAATGTATCAATACAACAACATATCACAATCTAACAGAATGGATGGCTGGAGATGTTTGAATAATCTAGCATCACTTGGGAACAGAACGAAATGCCATTCTTGTAAGCAGTTTGTGCTTTGCAAAGATATCGTAATATACAGACTTTTTCTCCAGGATGGCTAGCAGGAAAAAAAAAAACAGGTAGAGAAAACAAAAGTCTATGAGGGAAGAAACAAAGGGAAAAAACGCTCTTGTGATTTATTTGCCCTTTCTAACCCACTCCTCGACGGCCTCACGCACGCCCTGGACCTTGTCGACAGCCTGGTAGTAGCCCATCTGCGAGTGTGCCTTGCCAGTCTCGATAAAGTGGGTAACACCGTCACGGACACGGATGTGGTTGTCACGGATAACAGGGTACTTCTCCTCGTACTTCCAGATAAGGTCGCCGACGTTGCGGGTAGTGATGGGAAGAACGGCATACGAGGCACCGACACCAGTAGCCACGGGAACAATACCACGAAGCAGAATGTTGCGGTTGCGAGCAATGATGCTGCCGGCCATGGCAGCTACAAGCACGTAAACTCCACCGGGGAGAAGACGCTCACCACTCTCTCTGGGAGGAGCAAGTGATTGCACTGTAGACACAAACGAGTGCTCGAGGTTGAGGGCTTTGGTAAGACCGGCATCGATGTTGTCTTCGGCCTTGACGGCTTGGGCGTGCAAGAAGACGCGGGCGCGCTTGATCTGCTCGGCAAGACGCTGGGTAGGTGTTGGGCTTGCGGGTTGACCGAGGACTCTGGCGGCGACAATCTCGGGAGTGACTTTTGAGGCTTGGGATTGGTTGTCGCGGACTGGGGGAGTGACGGGCTCTGGGTTGAGGGTGGTCGCGTGGATGGCAGCGGGAGAGGGAGTGGCCTCAAGAGGGCTGTCGTAGATGGGCTTGCGCGTGTGCTGCATCATGGTGTAAGACGAGGGATGTGTAAGACAATTGAGCGAATGTTCGTACGTGTGTAAGCTCCTCGGCGTAGGCGGTTCTCTGAGGGTAGAGAACAAGCGAAGCCATGGTTAGGGCTGCCACGGGCGCGGCGCGCTGCACATAGCGTCAGTAGAGGTCAATTGGCGAGCGCATCTTCTTAAAGTCCACTTACATGCCGTAGGAGGGGCTGGAAGGCCATTGTGAGTTCGTCGACGGCGGGTTGGACGTGCTATCTACAGACAAGACGAAGGGCAGAAGTGAGAGCTGCGCCGGCTGCAACTGCGACTCTCCACCCTCGGACCAAAAGTCCCCGGTCCATCATCGTCACCCGAGCACAAGAAATATCAAATGACGCTGCTTGTTTCTTGAGCACTCAAACAAGGACCGAGAATGCTCAAACCTCCCCCGATAAGGCCTTGGACATGTGCCAGATGTCTCCGCCATGAACATCGTCGCCGTCTAGCCACCGCCGCTACCTCCGCGACCGCTGCCGCAACCTCTCAATCCGCTTCCGCCCCGCCGCTTGTGTCGCATACCGATCCAAATACGTCGCACCAGGATGCCACCCTACGCCAAATTTTCGACTCGCAGCCCTTCTGGAAGGAATTCTCTGCCAGGCAAACCCATCCTTCCAAGAAATCCCTAGGCCTCTTCCAGAACCGCTACCTCACCAGACCCGAAGGCTTCGAGCACTTTGCTTCTATCACTCTCGCAAAATGCAAGCGCATAGTCACAAAAGTTCTGGCCTACAACAGTACGGAACAGTACAAGAACATTGCCAAAGACTTGGATCGTCTGAGTGACTTGCTGTGTCGAGTCATTGACCTTTCCGACTTTGTTCGCTCCACACACCCAGACAGAAACATCCAAGCTACTGCTACACAGGCATATGCTCAGATGTTTGAGTACATGAATGTATTGAACACCACTACTGGCCTGAACGACCAACTCAAAGCTGCTCTTGCCATCCCGGAGGTTGTCGCATCATGGAGCGAAGAAGAATTGACTGTTGCCAATATTCTTGCCAGGGACTTTGCAAAGTCTGCTATTGATCTATCTGATACAGATCGTCAGGCTTTTGTCGAACTTTCGAATGAAATTGCTGAGGTCGGGCCTGAATTCGTCGATCAAATGGTACCAGAGACGCCGCTTCTCAAGCTTCCTAGCAGCAAGCTGAAGGGCATGGATCCTCTGGTCGTAAGGCAGTTGACCAGGTGGGGCAGTGTTTCTCTGCCTACTATCGGTATGCCTGCTTCTCTAGCCCTGCGCACTGTTGAAGACGCAGATACGCGACGAGAAATCTACATGGCCAATCGCACATCGGCCAGAGCAAACATTGAACGTCTAGAACATCTGCTACAAAGACGTGCTGAGCTTGCTCGCCTATCTGGACATGACTCCTTTGCTCACATGGCTCTGTCCGACAAGATGGCCAAAAGCCCTGAAGCCGTGGTTAAGTTCTTGGACGCGCTGGCCGCCGACAATGCACCGCGTGTGCAATCAGAGATTCAGGAGTTACTAGAGATGAAGAAATGTGATGCTCAGAGCGGAAACTTCCCTGGCGAGCTAAATGCTTGGGACAGAGACTACTATCAACATCGTCTATTGTCATCTATGAGATCGAAGACCCGCACCCCTGATGTGCTCTCAGCTTACTTCTCACTTGGTACTGTCATGCAAGGGTTATCACGCCTCTTCCATCGTCTCTATGGTATTCGTCTGGTGCCAAAGGAAGCCGCTCCCGGCGAGACATGGAACAACGACGTTCGTCGTCTCGATGTAATCGACGATCGCGAAGGCCATGTTGCAGTGATCTATTGCGATCTGTTTGAACGAGCCGGAAAGTCTCCCAACCCAGCACATTTCACTCTGCGCTGCAGCCGCCGCATTCTTCCTGACGAACTCGAAGAAGCAGAAGCCTTGCGAAACGCAACAGGCAATCTCTTTGATACTGCACAAGAAGCCGCAACCGATGGCCTAGCAATCAACAAATCCAAACGCGATAACAACGAATTGTACCAATTGCCTACCATAGCATTAATTTGCGATTTCGCCATCCCGCAAGGAGGAGCGACTAAACGACCTGCCCTACTCACTTTCCGAGAAGTCCAAACACTCTTCCATGAAATGGGTCATGCTTTGCACTCAATCTGCGGCCGCACAGCTCTTCAGAATGTCAGTGGAACACGATGCGCCACCGATTTCGCAGAACTGCCTTCGGTGCTGATGGAGCACTTTGCCTCTGCACCAGAAGTCCTAGCCTTGTATGCCCGTCACTGGGAAACCGACAAACCACTAGATGCAACACGAGTCGCCGAACGCGTAAATCTAGACACACACAGCCAAGGCACAGAAACCGAAGCACAGATTTTATTGGCTATGTTGGATCAAACCTACCACTCCAAACTTCCCCTGTCCTCAAACTTCGACTCGACAAGGACATACCACGATGTCTGGCACAAATACTCCTCTCTTCCTGAACCTATCGGCACATCTTGGCAAGGCTTTTTCGGGCATTTGTTTGGGTATGGCGCTACATACTACTCCTATCTCTTCGATCGCGCCATCGCCGGAAAGATTTGGAAGGATGTGTTTAAGAGGAGTGCAATGGGAGCTGTGGATCCAGAGGCTGGATCGAGATTTAGAGATGAGGTGTTGAGACATGGTGGTGGGAGGGATGGATGGCATTGTGTTGCTGGGGTGTTGAGGGATGAGACAGGTCTGCTTGCGGAAGGTGGTGAGGAGGCTATGGGAATGGTTGGGCAGTGGGGTGTTAAAGACTAAGATAGATCTGTAGCGTCCCCTGTGTGTTGGATTATGTAAATGTACCTACAGAAATGCACAATACACTCGGTAAATAGAGAGTGTCCACTGAGAGGCAGAATTGTATCTACTATCTCTGGACACCCTTCTTTTCTCCTAAAATAATTATGCCTTTTTATAGTATATTATCTGCTCGTTACTGCAGTTGGAGCACAATGAAAGTCACCAACCAGACCCGATGATCACCTGCACTTTTCACATATCCAATTCCTCAACTTTCACAAGCACCAAAAACTTTATACAACAGACCTCTATATGCTGAACAACCATATCCAATGCGAGTCGAGCTTCTGCTTCACCAGAGTCAAGCTTCTGCTTCACCGACGCCAGCTTCATGTCTGCTCTGTCCTCTACGAATTCGAATCTGCCACCGACGTTCGATAGCCTGGTCGATGTCGACATGGCTCTCCGTGGATACGTTCGTGGTGTCGGTACGGTGCTAGAAGTTACGGACGGAAAGCACGAGTCATGATTTTCAGGAGGCTTGGGAGAAAGGGTATACGTTCACAGGCAGGTAATTATCATCGACAACCGGGTTCAATGGCGACTAGATTCTGCGTCGACACGCTAAAAGTGTCGATACGGTGTTAGAGGTCACGGAAGGACTGCACGAGTACCATCTGCGTAGAAAGATGTACATGGAGATTCGACACGATAGAGAGGAAGGTACGTTCGAATGAGCCGGGTAAGTGTCGAGGTAGTTCTTAGTGACGCGTTCGCCTTATCGGTAAGGAGATAAGATGTACGGATTGTAACCACGAAAGAACAATGAGAAGAAAGCACAACCAGGGAGAGTATCTCAAAGTTCGATCTTCTTCTATTTGTACATTCTATACATGCTCATTTCTTAAGTAGCAGTGCTCTCTCCCTTGCCATCCTTGGCTTCTTGACCCTTAGGCACAATCTTGAGCGAGAAATCCACATGCTTGGTACCCTGATGGATACTACTCGAAGAAATAACATCCACATCATCACTAACATAATCACTTACATTGTCCTCGGTCAAGCCACCGCTGACCTCCACCAAAGGCCCTCTAGGTCCACTACCATATTTCTCTTTCAGGCTTCTTGCTGCTTTCTTCATTTCTTCGGGTGTGAAGTTGTCCAGCATGACTACATCGGCACCTGCGTCGCATGCTTGCTCTGCTTCGTTGAGGGATTGACATTCCACTTCTACTTTGATGGCGAAACCGCCGGCGGCTTTTGCGGCAGAGACAGCGGTGGCGATGTTGTTGTTGCAGGCCCAGATGTGGTTGTCTTTGAGCATGGTCATGGTTGATAGATCTTGACGGTGGGGGTCGCAGCCTCCAACAATCATGCCGTACTTTTCGACAAGACGGAAACCGGGGGTGGTCTTTCTGGTACCAGCGAGGGTGTTTTTGTAGCCGGCGTTGCGGAGGAGGGTAAGGAGGGATTGGGATCTGTTGCACAGTATGTTAGCTTCTTGTACCGAAGCAGTGCGCACAAGGAGGTGCCTTACTTTGTCGCAATGCCCGAACACCTAGCAACCACATTCAAAGCTACTCTCTCGCCGAGCAAAAGGTTCCGCGTAGGCCCCGTAACAGTGGCTACATGCTGCTTTCCATTCTGGCCCACGAGATCGCCTTCCTTGACCAACCACTCCACCTTACACTCCAGTTGCTTGAAGATCTCATCCACAAAGGGCACACCAGCAAGGATACCAGGAGACTTTGCGAGCAAGCGGGCAGTAGCGGGTGCAGCGCCTACGACGAAACCGCCATAGTCGAAGGAGGGAGTGTCTTCAGCTAGCCAGGCGGTGATGATGCTGGTCCAGGATGGTGGCAGCAGATGTGCTGGGTCGCCGTGGGCGGGGGCTCCAGAAGTGATTGGCATGTCTGGTACGAATGTGTGGGTGTTGTGGACTTGTTGTGAGGAAGCACGTCAATGACAGATCAATAAATGAGTCTAGAGCTATTACCTTCCGATGGAAGCCTGTCACTTCCGAACGACATCGCGGGGCGTCGCGGGGTCGACCTTGACCGATTAGGTAATGAGAAGCTTAGTCATCACATCGAGCATGTCCGACTCACAGCATTGGAAGTCAGCATGGCGACTTTGCAGAGTCTATGCAAAGGTGTTTGACAGATCTGTATCACGTCTAGTGGATAGACGGAAGCCGTGTCGGATCTTGATGAAGTCGGATAATCCCTAGCCGCTCGAAGGGAAGATGATCTGCCTAGTGAGGGGTGTCTATCAACCTTCCGAGTATATATCTGGTCTTCGCCAGTCCGTCTGTCGGGTAGCGCCCCCTAATAATCCAGGATGTCTGCAAACAATATCCTTGTGACTGGAGTCTCAGGCTATCTGGGCGGGACTCTCCTCCATCGCTTGAAACAAGCTGAACTTCCAGCTTACAACACCCTCTACGCCTTGGTCAGAACAGAGTCTCAAGCTCAAGCCGTGAAAGACTATGGTGCTCAGCCTCTGAATTTTGATTCCTACAACGCCAAAGCGGTTGAGGAAGCTGTGCTGAAACACGAGATCAACATCGTCTTCGCACTTCACGATGCAATCAAAGCTGGGGCTCGAGTCAACTTCATCAAAGCACTTTCGCAGCTGAAAGAGAAGAATGGGGCAGAGGTGCATCTCTTACATGTAAGCCTAGACCTCTTTCATCTCAGAGCAGAGATATTGATGCTGTCCAGACTAGCGGAGCCAAATCAATCTCATCGCACGTCAATGCACCCGTCAATGAACCATTCTCTGATCTCGGTCAAAATGTCTATACAATCCAGAAGCATACAGATCCTGGAAGCTCAATGTTGTCTCAGGTAGATCTTGCGCTGCTCCTCATCGCGAACAACGTTAACAGATCAGCTCGTACAAACAAACAACACTGTGACCGAGCTCAGCGAGTTCCTTGGCGTCCGCAGCTATGTTGTTATGCCGTGCATTGTTTGTATGTCTCTTCAGAGAGCTGAAGTCTTGTCACAACACTGACTTCGCATGCAGATGGGAAGGGCGAAGGCTTCGGTAACCAGATCTCCATACAGACACCCGCTATAGTGAATGCCGCAAAAGCAGCAAAGAAAGTCTACAGAGTGAACTCAGATCGTCCTGTACGCAAACACTTACTCCAGTCTACTTGGACCATTGCTAAACTTGTGCACAGCTCTGGCCGGTCTGTCATGTCGGCGACAACGCTAACCTATACATTCAGATCCTTCGCAACATCCTCTCAGGTAAAGCACAAGGTTATGGGAAAGAAGGATACTATCTTGCATCTCCTGGTAGCGTGGCTTGGGATGACATCTATGCTCGTATGGCCGAAACGCTATATGAGCGTGGTATTATTACGGACTCTCAGATTCAAACGGCCGACGATGCTGCACTTGAGCAAATGGCTGCTGGGCTTGGTTGCGATAAGAATGTCGTGGCTCTCCAACTAGGTGGAAGATGCATGCTCATCGCAGAGCACGGAAGGAAGATAGGCTGGCAGCCACGGTATCCTGCCGAGCATATCTTGGACGCTCTTGCGGGCGAGGTAGACTTGATCTTGGAACGCCAAGGCAGAGTTTGAACTTCGGTGTTCCATGAAACAAGCTGTGGTGTGGAAGACGACGATGGCAACTGAAGGTCAAATGATAGATGTTTGCTAGTCGAACAATGAGGCACCGCCACACCGTGAACTACTCAGGCGGCAGGGGTGTTGCAGTTGAACTTGCGGTTATCCTTACGCTTCAGGTTCGTCTCGAATTGGTATGTACGGGAACCAGTTCTCGAGACTCTCTCATGGTGGTCGCGCTTGATCTGCAGTAGTGTGCTGTGGTGTAGTCACGAAGAGGCTCGAGGTACTTGTTGACTAGGCTATGCCACCAGTGCAGCATCCGACCTCGCGCGAAACTCTATATAAAAGCCAAAGCAGACGTCGGGTCGCAATTAGAAGATGCCTCGGTTTCATCCTGAGCTGGCCGACGGCGCGATGGCCGGATCTCAAGGTGTACGGAATATATCGTGCATGAAACTGCCTGCGGCGCCATCTGCAAAGTGCGTTCATTGTTTGATGAACACCTTGCGCAGATGTGGGTGCCACATAACTGGGATTCGTTACCAAACTGCCAAAAGAAGCATGTATGCAAGACGCACGCACTAGCCAAAACTCGCATATACATACTCGCTATACCACATTTTAATCTCCTACGTTATACGGGCTGGTCCCATCACTTCCCGTGTGCCTCTTTTCTGGCTAAATTGTCTTGGAAAACCATGGCAGGTACAGCATCTTCGTCGCTGACTCGTTGGTGTGAGCGGCCGGCTTTTGATTTCGTCTGCCACACTCCGTTTGACATATGCAGGGCAATTTTCCAGCAGTAGGACTGATAAGTTGGAAGCCTTCTTGTCACGTTCGATTGACGGTGTTGTTGCAGACCTTGTTCTTCCGTCAGGCATCACGGTCGAGTCAGTCGTGGAGTCAGGACACATTCGATGTGATAACGACCCCAATTGTCATCAATTCCCCGCAGATCACAAACCCCAACATCGCCTATCTTTCCCCTTATCTGTTCAACCCCAAACCGTGGCATATCTTGGCCGGCCGTCGAAACAGCAAAGAAACAATCCCATCCAATCGTGTCCATATCTCATCGACTACCCCGGTCAATGGCCATGAGACCGTTGCAGAATATCTCTGAGCCCCTGCTTATCATCTCACGTGGCTCAACAAGATACGATGTGACTGTGATCGCTGTTGGGGTAGGCCAGAACTAGCACTCCAACATGGACTACTCAAGTACGAGTATCTACTGTCGTTCTTGATCTCCAGCATTCAGTGTTCTGTCCAGCAGTGGCAAAAGATCCGACATGTCTTACACACCATCAATCCAAGAGAAAGGCCTACACATAGGATCACAACCAGGAGAACCCGACAAGCTCGAAGGCATTAGCGAGGACTTTGAAGTCTTCAAGCAGACCGAAGATGGAGTCAACTTCCGAACCGTGGGATGGCCAATGGCTACCGTCATCTTCCTCAAGACCATTTTCGCTCTCGGTGTTCTGTCTATCCCCGCAGCGATGTACACGCTAGGTGCCGTCGGAGGCTCGCTCAGTGTCATCGGTTGGCAAGCCCTGAATACCTACACAGCAGTACTACAAGGCGACTTCCGAAACAACCACCCGAGATGTCACAGTATCGCCGACATGGCAGGCGTCGTTGGAGGGATTTGGATGAAGGAATTGACTGGCGCCCTATTCATCATCGCCTACGTTATCCTTACTGGATCTGGTATCGTGGGTGTATCCATTGGTATCAACGCCTTGTCACATCATGGTGCTTGCACTGTCTGGTGGGCCGTCCTAGCAACCTTCTTCGTGGCCCTCGCGGCGTCAGCACGAAAGTTTCATCAAATTGGCTGGCTTACTTGGATCGGATTTGCTTCTATCTTCATCGCAGTTTTTATCATTGTCGTTGCAGTCACCACACGCGACCGCCCTGCGGCTGCTCCTCCAACTGGCCCTTATGAGTTTGGCTTCTATGCCATAGCCTATCCTAGCTTTGCTGCGGGCATGGTCGCTTCTTGCACGATCTTTGTGTCTGGAGCTGGTACCAGTGCTATGCTTCCTGTCATCTCGGAGATGAAGAACCCAAGAGATTACCGCAAAGCTCTTTTCATCTGTATGGGCATCGTCACTGCTGCTTATCTCAGCTTCAGTCTTGTCGTCTACCGCTGGTGCGGAAAGTGGGTCGCCAGTCCTTCTCTAGGTGTAAGTCTTCTTCATCCAAGATCTTGTGCACAGTCACTGATAGTCGTTACAGAGTGCTGGTCAAACCATCAAGATGGTCTGCTACGGTATCGCTCTACCCAGTCTGGTCGTCAGTGCTTGTCTCTACCTTCACGTCGCCGCGAAATACATCTTCGTCCGTGTCCTTCGCGACTCGCAACACCTTCAATCCAACACCATGATTCACTGGGTCACCTGGCTCTCCTGCACTTTCGGTCTCGCAATTATCTCTTTCGTTCTCGCAGAAGCCATCCCTATCTTCGAGTACCTGCTATCCCTTGCCGGCAGTATTTGTTTTGCCCCTCTGGCCATCGCACTTCCCGCTTGGCTGTGGATTTATGACCATCGGGAGTACCGCAAGGGCAGTACTGGACAAAAGATCATGTTCTGGATGCATGCGTTCTTCATCCCATTAGGCATGTTCATTTGTGTTGGAGGTACTTATGGTGTTGTGGTGCAGATTAAGCAGGCGTATGCTTCGGGACAGATTGGATCTGCTTTTTCTTGTGCTGACAACTCGAACTCTTCTTGAACGTGATTGGATGGAGGATCATGTCTTTATATTTGTATACGAATTTATTTTGTTTTTGATTACTTGGGTGAGTCTTTGTTCTGCAAGCATTACTCGTAAGAGTGCTGGATGTATTGCTACTTTTTGGGTCTACGATTCATTGCATTTCTCGCAAGTCACTAGTTCACTCTGCTCGATCGCTCCTGCATCTTTGCCTTGATCCACTCTGCTGTCACTACTATCACTTCTATCCTCACCTTCAGTGGCGTTTAGATGCTCCCTCCCTCACTGCCCAACTGGCGAGACAGCCGCATACGACTTATGCGTCGAGCCGCCGATCCCAAAGAGGCTCGCAAGAAAGCTCGCAGAGGTAAGGGTCCCGTGCAAGTGCAAGAGAGCCAAGATCAATGACCAGGTCAGTCACCGCGCTTCTTGCCCCAGATCTTCACCTTTCCGTCCACTTTGGCGTAGTATGCTGTGGCTGAATTCAGAGTCAGCTGCAGTCCCCCCGGAACTTGATATAATATAGAGTATCAAACTTACGGACACCTTCATCATCGACGGGGACTTCAGGAGGCAAATTTGGGTACTCGGGGTGCACAGCACGAGATTCAGGGGTTTGCGCAGCAGGAATAGGGTCAGAAAACTCGTAGTCTGAGGTTGGAGGTTTGGTCTTTGGCTTCCTGGATGTAGCTTTCTTGGGAGTGGCTTTGTGCGTAGTAGCAGTGCGTTGTTTGCCGTTGGTGAGTAAGGCGAGAGGTGGCATTGGGTCTTTGAATGATAGAGCTTGCATGTTGTCGTTGAGGGTGCTTGATACGTTGCTGACTTGACGCTCCTTCCCCCTGCCCTTGATTGATTTTGGCTGTGTAGTGATAGGGGGTGGGAGGACGGTGATATTGTCTTCGGCATCTGAGCCTGGGTCTGAGTTGTAGACAGGTTTCTTCCCTCTGCCGGGTATGGCGACGGTAACGTTGTCTTCGGCATCTGAGCTTAGATCAGGATTGTATACGGACTTCTTTCCAGCTGATCTTGAGGTAGTGGCGGTGACAGGTTTGGTACTAGGTGCCTTGGACTTTGTGCTGGAGGTACGTTTGGTGATAGTCGTGGATTCGGGAACAGCTGGTAAGACTGTAGGGGTTGTGTCGTTAGAGGCACCAGCCCTGGATCTCTGCTTGGCTCTCGTCGTCATAATGTGTTCGTTCTCAGCCATGATTGCTGCTCTGTGGTGGTCTCAAGAAGACTGGGAGGAGACCGGTATCTTGTCGATAATCAGGATGTAATTGTAGGTTTATGACTGACGAGAACGGTCAAAGGAACAGCGAAGAAGAGCTCATTTTTTGAGACATTGCAAAGGTCTTTCAGAGATAAAAGACATTCCAAAGACCGTGTCTTCGGCTTCCGGAAGTTGCTACTGGTCTTCAATCGTGTTGTCGAGATAAGCTAGAAGAAAGTCCTCACACAAGAAAGCACATAAATTTCGGACTCTTTGTCTCAAAGACATGTCTCTCTATGTGCTCAAATGCAGCATATAGTGAAATCATCGTTACTTTCTAGATTCAATCCTCGCGAAAATAGCAGTTTTCGAATCCTTTGAGGACATCCCTGGTATCAAACATCATCGCGTAACAGATAGCTTACCAATTTCTATCTATTTCCGTATCTGGGAATCGATCTGACGCAACAGATGACACTCTTGCGAACACAAGGAAGATCCAATGGAGTATTAGAAACCAAAAAAAAGAAAAAGAGACCTCCCACTTCACTACACCTTCCGTCGGCCACTTCGCTCTAGCGACGGCGTGTCAGTTGGTGAAGCGGAATGTTCAGCCATAGCGGCCTCGCCTGGAATCGAACCAAGAACATGACGGCAATGGCAAGCCATTGCGCCACACGGACCGCTACAAGAGATAATTAGATTTCCCTGTTTATGACTCTGCAAGAGATGGGGTTATCTTTGTGGTGAAAATGTCACGCTTCTTGTTCAGGGGCTGGCTGTTTTTAAATAAAAGTGTTGTCGACCTCGCTCTTGCTTGGAGTGGAAGCTACGATTCACCAACAGAGCTGCGTAGGAAGCTGAGAAAGTTCGAGATATGCGCACCTTAGTCTGTACACACGTGCGTGATAACACAGAGCTATGTCACTATAACCTGTGCAATCATTCTTCCTCGCCATAGTCTCTACCTGCATTCTTCGCATTCCAAGCGGCGTTTTCCAGCCATGCTTTGAAACTCTTGAAACTGTCCTCTGAAATCTCACCGCCACTGGCCCAACACCCCCAGTCTAGTTTCTCCCACTCGTCCCGACTACCAGCAAAATCATCAATGGCGCGCTCAATAATTCGTTTTCCTGCGTCATTCACCATTTCGTACAGCTGCTTGTAGTGGTCCCGCATCTGCTGCATCAGTCGAGGAGGAATAAGCCATATCCTATAGATATCTTCGTTGGCTATACAGACGACGTCGGTGAAGATAGGTGTATTTGGGAGTTTTTCGCCATCTGCTTGAGTAGAATCGCGATAATCCTTGAGCAAACCAGGCAGAGTCAGTTGATAAAACCCGAGCTTGCATTGTCTGCAATCAATCCAGTCGATTTCATCAACAGATCGGAGATACGGGCCGGGAAAGTAGCCATTCCAAATGCCCCCAAAGTCGGTAGTCTCTAATCTGAAGCCGTTGCTGATGCGTAAAAAGGCTTTGAAGTCTTCGGGGAGAGTCACGTTGAGTCTTTGTTCAAGATTTGAGATTTGCTCGTCTGAAGCGGGCGACCGATAGAGCGTGGTAGGCTTCTCTTCGCCCAACTCTTGCCAGTGCAAATCTGATCTTGCTATGGTGTCATTGTTACAAGACTGAAGGAGCTCCGATATGGTTTCTGGACCTCGAGATGAGGGTCCATACCAATAGCGTTGTCGAGATGCTTCGAGGAGTTCGGCAGCTCGTGAGTCAAGCTCTTGATCAGACAGACCCCATATTCTGGCCAAAGCTCCGGACATGAACACTCTTGCACAACGAGGAGATCCGACCAAGGAAGATTCTTCCAAGGTGCTGAATGATCGCTTCGGAAATGTTGCCAGAATCTCATTGATCTTGGGATCAGTCAGAGGATCAACATTGCGTTCTTCAGCAAGTTTGACAGTCATCTCCAAAGCCGGTATGATTGCTGGGCTCATGCGGTACTTGGAACCTTGATCAGATGACAAGATGGCATTTAAGCCAGCTTCGTCTTCAGTGCGCTGATGTGGCTTAACATCGGCGGGCCATCGCAAATCTTCATAACCGTACGATTTGATGTAGTCCTCGAAGAAGGCATCTGTCGTAAAGTCTTCTGGAATGCCGGTGGGGAATTCTGTCATTCGCCAATACACGACCAGTGCACGTAAGTTCAGATTTTCCAGTGCTGGGCGAGAGTAATAAAGCTCGGTAAAGTCACGCGCAGCATCTACACGGCCAAGCAAAGCAAAGCGAAAGGCCAGGCCAAGAATGCAGAATTCGACTGCGGAAATGTGTGGTATAGTGAGAATGTAGGCAGGCTCAACAAAGAGATTCGATGGGAGAGTCATTTTGCACGATTGATGACGGCGAAGAAACGAGATCAAGGAAGTTGAAAACGGATGAGTTTACCTTACGTTGCTTACATGGAGAGGTTGCTACATATAATAAAAACTAATTGCATCCGATTGCAGGCAGCAGTTGAACGCGCGAAGGATGAACATTGTGATGTCGTGTTTTGGTCGGCGTTCGGGAGAGAGCGCTCCGTAGCCACCATCTCCGTCCCACGCGCGTCATCAGAAGCCTTGAGTTTGGCATCAGCGAACAGCTTGCCAGATCAACAATTTCTGCGCAACAAGAATGGCGCTCGACGACTATCGCAGGAATCAGGACAATGATGTCCGGCTAGTTGATTTCCTTGACGACAAGTTACAGGCTTTTGCCGACTTGGAAACCCTAGATTCACTACTGGACAGCGTCAAAGCACAACAAGACTTGCTTAAGCAGCAGGTATGGGAGAGGAGCCAGTATATTGTCTTCGATGCATGCTCTGACAGTTGACATAGCTAAGTGATGCCCGCAACGACCATCAAATCGCCCAGCAAGCCTCGAGTCAACATGCGACTTCGATCAAAGAAAAAGGCGCCGCCTTCCAGCGAGACCAACAAGACCTGGACCGCCGTCTTCAGGTCGTCACACAATCAGACACCAGCTATGATGCCCTACAAAAGTTTGAGACCAGTATGGAACGACTGAGGAAGCTTGACATGGCCTCGGGCTATGCTGAGATACTGCAAGAGGTGGACGCTTTGCGACAAGAGATCAATGAACAGCTGGGAAAGTCAGACAAGGCTGCTCTGACCGCATACAAGAGATTGTCCGCTCTCGCTACCGGTCTACAGCCTCTGTCTGATGCGGCAGAGGGTGCCGCTCCTCATCTCATTGTCCATGTCTTGAGAACTGCCCATAGTGCACGCACCCAGATCGAGCAATCTTTAGCAGCCGACTTCGAAACAACTTTGACCAAGATGGGCTGGCCAAAGCAGGGCATCTCGGTGCCTCCGGGTCTGCAGGCAGAATGGAACATCCACATCGAGAAGCTCATCGATCTTCAAAAATCCGAGCTCATTGCAGCAGATGCAGCAAACAGTTCAAAGACATCCAAGGATGAGCCTGCTGTTCTGCTTCCTCTCGAGATCATGGTCAGATCGCTTGAGCTTCGTTTCAACTACCACTTCTCTGGAGATCGTCCTACCAACCGTCTGGACAAGCCCGAGTACTTCTTGAACCATGTCTTGGATCTTATCAACAGCTACTGCGCATTCTTCCAAGCGAATTTGCAGCCACAGCTCCTGGCTAACTTCCGAGGCTCCGATCTTGCATTTATACCTGCCTACATTGAAGCAACGTCGGCTCTAATCACTGCTTTGATCCCCATGTTGCAGAAGAAGTTGCGTTCGATCCTTCCTCAAGTCTCGGAACAGCCCCAATTGTTCAGCAACTTGATGCATGAAGTCATGGCGTTCGATGCGACCATTCAGGAGGAATGGAATTATACGCCGCTCTCTCCCGCTACCGTCTGGCGTGGTCTGGCATACTTCATCCTCGAAAAGGAGTCCTACTTCTCTAAGTGGCTGACCGTCGAGAAAGACTTTGCGCTGGCACGCTATCGAGACATTATCTCTGATCGATCGACCGGAGAGCTTGATTATGATTCAGTATCTGCAGACAGCACTAAGCCTACCAAAGCGGCGGTCCGTGTCAATGATCTTCTTGAGACCATTACGGACCGCTACAAGTCTTTGTCTTCATTCAGCCAGAAATTCCGTTTTTTGTTTGATATACAGATCGAGATCTTCGAGAGATTCCGTGGCAGAATCAATGACAGCCTACAAATTTTCTTGACAAACACCACAGCCGTCGGGCGTGCCGTGCACGGCGTCACCAAAGAGGAGCAAGCTGAGCTCGCAGGAGTCAAAGGCATGGATCACCTTTGTCGTATATTTGGCTCTGCAGAATACCTCGAAAAGGCCATGCGTGACTGGAGCGACGATGTCTTCTTCCTTGAGATCTGGGAGGAACTGCAATACAGAGCTGCCAACAAGATCGACATCAAGGGTGACCTTAACATGACCGAGATCGCAGCAAAGACAAACGCTGCCATCAGCAACGCAGGAGAGAACCAAGAGCTCGAGGGCGCCTTGTTCGAACAGACGGCAGCAAGCTATCGCGGACTGCGTGTTCGCTGCGAGGAAGTCATTTGCGATACCTTGATCTACCACCTCCGCGACGTCCTGAGACCGTACGGCCGCATCAATCCTTGGGCATCTCTTTCGGCTGCAGGCAGTGGTGGAGAGACGAGTTTGACTGCTGAGCTGGATCCTCCGCTCACTCTCTTAGACACACATCTGTCTTTCTTGTCGCGCGCCTTGTCGAAGTCTGCATTGCGTCGTATCTGCCGCGTTGTCGGTCACAGTCTTCAGATCACGCTCTGGGACACTGTGCTGCTCCGACACTCTTTCTCAACTGCTGGCGCGTCGCAGTTCATGTCCGATTTCAAGGGTATCTGCAGCATTTTCGATCGTTATCTTGGTGCCGGCACTGGCCAAAACGTCATGCAGCGTCTTGACAATGGATTGACATTGCTCGATCTGCCTGTGAGGGGGGAGATCCCTGTCGAAGTCGATGCTGAAGGTTCTGGTGAAACAGCTTCAGAGAGAAAATGGGGACTCTTCGAAGTTGAGAGAAGAGTGTTCATGGACAATGAGGCCGCCCGAGATGTGCTAGAAGAGATGGGCTTGGAAATCTTGACTGAAAGTGACGCTCGTGCTGTTCTGGGTAAGCGAGTGGAACTTAGCAGTTGATAGTGCTTCGGTCAACAATATCCACGTACCTGAAACCCTCCAGATGAATTTAATACGCACATTTTAGTCCACCCACTTCCTGTTCATTCGGTTCAAAGTGAGAAGCACTTGAATTTCTTGGGCGGCTCGCCGTGACTTCTTCGGTACCGGCATCGCACCTGCCTTCACAACTTCTACAACGCAACTTTCCGAGCTGACGCCTTCACTCTTCGCACTTTCACTCTTCTCTAAGATCTTCTTTCCTTCGTACCTTGACTTTGTCATCTCCACTTTTCTACCTCACACTCTCACCGTCATGGCACCTTCGTGGCCGCCTTCATCAGGCCAAACACTCGATCATCCACCATCGTCCCCTCCGTCTTCTGATCTCCATCACACGTCAGCATCACCGAGAACGCACACAAGCAGCATGATGCCAGCCCAAGAAGAAACAGCTTACATTGCTGGTGCATCAGCTCTTGAGTCGAACAAGCCCGCTCAAGCAGGCTTTCCCTTCTTGTCGCTTCCACCTGAGATTCGCAACATGATCTACCACTACATCTTCACTCCTGTGAGAGATGGGAAATGTTTGGCGATTCACGCTCCCTGGGATGCTCATCGTCTGCAAGGTTTTCGTCGTGAATGCAGTCTCTGCCGACTCAACATAGAACATGACACCTGCTTTGCAAGGTTCAACCATGAGCAACACTTATCCTATGCCTTCGAACTTCCGCACAACCATGTACAGTCCGGTATCCTACGAACATGTCGTACTGTCATGAGGGAAGCCTCGCCCGTCTCGTTGGCACATATGCACATCAGCATGCATTTATCTTCTCACGACTCGGATTTTTCCTTGAGATGCTTGAAAAGATTACTGGCATACATGCGTCAACCTGGAGGGGCGTATCTATCAAGACTCACGTACACATGCTACACGTTAACGGCAGAAACCATGAGGCTTCTAATTCAGATCACGAATCGAGGAAACATCAGCATCGGATATCTTGTATTAATCACAAGCTCATCAGTCAATCATCCTGACGCTGCCAAACTTTTCGTCGCAACCCTGGACAGTCTTGAGCACAAGCCAGCAAGAGTAGAATGGTTGTATCGCTATACCCGGTTGCCGGATGAATATAACAATGACAGGAAGGAATTCAACGAGGCTGCTCGGAAATGGCTCGTACAGTCGGCAAAGATTAAGGTTACTGACTGCAATGCTGCGTTGCCTCTGCTTCAAGACCTCCTCCCTCAGTACTTCGACCAGTCATCAGACTCATCAGACTAAAACAGCTTGTTTAATCGGACCAATCACAGCAAGAACAACACTAGCAACAAAATTCCATCCACGACTATCCGCACATATTAGTCAGCAATGACAGGCGTATGAAAGGTTGCTAAAGCTGAAAGACCGAAGGGTGGCTCAGTGGTATGCAGGAGCGCTGGAAGGGGTGAAGAAGCTGATGGCATGTTCGAAAATCACGAGATTAGACAGCTTGCTTTCTGGGCTTGCTTCCGATTAACTTGATGGTAGACTCTAGCTAAATTACAACTGCTTTTTAACATGCTCATTACATACCATCTTGTGTTCTGTTCGACATCTTTCACAATCGAGCTTGGAGGATTCTCTGCGGGGTATGTTCAACCAGACGCCAACTTTGCGTGCATCTCGTATCTGTTCAGTACGAAACACTCTCTGGTCTCTCAAGACTCTTTCAATTTACCATGGGACATTCAAAAATTCAAACAAACGCTAAAATAGCACCAGAATTGGAGCATCCAGATGAAGTGCAGCGCAACGGTATCTCATTCTTGGACCTGCCGCGAGAGCTGCGTGCGATGATATACAAATATATCCCCGATAATCATGGCGCTTTCAGCTACGACATTCGCATGAACCGCTCGAGACCCCATTGGCTACCATCAACTGTTGGCAGCCATATGAATGGAAATTTATTCGACGAAAAGTATGGCAATCCTGGTGTCGCACTCGGCAACGGGGCACACTGCTTTGCCATCCTTCTGACCTGCCGAACCATCTACTCAGAAGCCTTACCGATACTATACGCGAGCACTCCACTAGGGGTCTGGCGCCCCATGTACGACTACGGTGGTTCCACAAAGTATCCCGATTTTGTTGCGAAAGTATTCAATTCACTGCCTGTTCATGCAAGCCAATATATCCGGACTCTGCAACTGCAAGGAGAGTTCTTTCATCGCAGCATGCAAACGCTTTTGACATCAGCAATTATCAAATTGCCTTCTTGGAGGATCTTGGAGATTGGTTTGGATCCTCATTACGAAGACCATACAAGGAAACACTGGTTTGACGGCCGCGGTGCACGGCAATCATGGCCTGCCTTTGCGACTTTACACTCAGTAGCTCAACACCTCGACAGCATCAGTATCACCGTTTCTCCTCCAGAAGATGGAGTGCATACTCGTATACTCTCTTCGACTCAACCCAACAGTGTCTCAATTTCTGGCACCGCGTATCGACAGTTTCTGTGGTTGCAGTTACAATTATTGGTGATGCGAATCGAGCTCACGATATACGGTGCCCTTTTGAATGGAGATTTCAAATCTGGCATGGAGTTTTTCATGGACACATTGCTGGAAAGAGAAAATTTGTTTGAGATTTTTCAGAGGAGTAAATTGATTGATGAATGTATTGCGGGGACTGCAAAGTTCAGACTTGAGGATCAGAAAGATTGGTTGAGAGGGATTACTGGAAGGACTTTTGAGGTTGATGAGAAGGAGAGGAGGGTTAATGTGATATCTGAGAGGAAGGCAGAGATGAAATGGTGTAAGGTGACTTATACGTCGGCTCCAAGGGGACAGTGTATGGTGGATGAAGGCGATGCACTATAGCATAACAGTTTGTGGGACTTCGTTTGAGTCTGAGACAGAGCAAACATACAGATCATAACAGTGTTTTGTTCCTCTCTAAGTTCCCCATTCCTACCATTATATACTTTTCTAATCACCAATCTACCCTGCATTCGGTTCAACGACTTAGCGGCCGGGTCACGGTTGCTCAACAACCTGCACCCGAGCCGCGCCGCGGTTCAAATCTCCCGCTCGGCATCCTTTTTTGCCTTTTTGCACTTCTGTTCTTTACAGAATTCCATCTCCTGCATGCGGAAGTCTAACATCTCTGCCTATTAGAATGCATGGTACTTTCGTGAATCGGGAGATGGTCCAAAGAGATGTTCGTTCAGGACGCCCTCCACTACGACACTTTCATGTCGTGAACAGCACTGTGCATTTTTACAATAGAACATTGGGTGCAGATCTACGGGAGAGGGCTTAGAGAGGTGCTGTACCCTCTACCTAGCTCTGAAGCATAGTCTCCTTGCGTTGATTTTTGTGACTTTTATCGTATTCCGAGTGAAGCAGAGAGCAGAATACACACTATAAAAATGCACAGTTGTTTACTGAAGTAGCGGTGTGTCCACAGAGAGCTAAGATGTCATGAACTCCCGGTATATAAGGGTTTCTACCTTCCCTCGTACTCCGAGTATAGCACAGTGCAAAACGGACACTATAAAAAGGCACAGTGGTTTATTGAAACAGAGGTATTTTCACAGAGAGTCAAAATGTCATTATTTCTTTGGACTTCCTTATAGATGTTTATCTTGATCTTTGTTCAAGTCATGGACAACTATTATGCTCACAAATCAATCTTTGTAGCAACCACGTTCGCAGACATGAACCCAGTAGCAAACAACCAGCCCTTCTTCTTTCCTCCTTCCTTCTTTGGGTCAATGCCCACAATGACGGCTGCACTGGCTGTTCTAAGTCTTGTTCCGTCGTCGGCGAAAACAAGTCTCTTCTCCCAATCTCCCTTAGCTTGTACAGCTTTGTCGACGGTGGAAGAAGATTGTCGGTGCTGCACCAACCACACGAATGTTGGATCCTTGCCTGTAGGGTCTCTCGTGTTCTGTAAGAGCTCGATACCGCGCGCCAGGCCGGCAAGCACGTAACCGCTCTTGTCGTCATCAGCAGAAGCCCAACGGTCGTGATACCAAGATGGATTATCGAGGGTACTATCCATGTGCACAGTTTCCTCAATAGCCAGGGTTTTGGCCTCGGGGTCGGGGATGCAGCGGTAGAGAATGCCTCGCTCTGCACTGCAGACAGTGACTTCGTTGGAGCCGTACACATGGCCCAATCCATTGTTGTTTTTGATGCCTGTGAGTGCAGTCTTGATTTCGAAGCCTTTGGTATAGAAAGTTTCGGAGGGGTCTGTGATGGTTACATGGACAGTAGTCGACCATGCGACGGGTGCCAAAGTCTCAAGCTCTCTCATCAAACCCTCTCTATGTCTGTGGTCATTTGTGACGTAGAACTCAGTTGGACTGACGGCATAGATATCGTTGGGAGTCTCGATCAGCTTATGTGAGATCGTGCGAATGTGGTTCAGGGTGCTGCTGCCAATTACATGTCTGAAAATCTCAATGCGAGAACTTGACTTGACAATGTGTTCGCGGCGGGTAGACACAAACTCGGGCTCCGGAACATGGTTCACTGCAAAAATATAGACGGCATCTTTAGCCTGAGGGTCGGCGATGACATCGATTCCATGAGATACGAAAGTTCCGTCAAAGTTGACAAAAGACAGACGTATGCTTTTCATAGTCTGTTACAATCTTCATCAGATTTGTCGTTCCTTCTTGCACAAGAAAGAGATACATACCTCGGGATCAATGACATGGATGCTGCCCTGTGCAACACCTGCTGGCGGATCGAAACTCCCCAACGGAGGAAACCAATCAAAACGGAGTTTGGGGTTGTCTTCACAAGCCGTGAACAGCAAATTCGCAGGTTCATAGTAATGCAAGTCTTCGCAATGCGTCGTATCTTCGATCTTGACATAGTCGACGGCATTGGCAATTGTAGACTGCGGGATTGCTCGTCCGACTCCCAAGACTGTCAGTTCATGTCGAATTGGCGGGACAATGTAGGCCGAGATAGCTGCTAGTGCAGCTATCGAGAAGACGGTAGTTTTGCCTGGCATGATGCGGAGTGTATGTTGAGTAGTCAGCAGAATGGCAAGAAGGGATGGGTTTACTAAGAAGGAGGTCGAGACATGGTTCAAGTTACGTCGTGCATTCTAGACATGACCTCGGATCAATCACAATTGAGTTTGGATTTGGCTTGGTGAACCTGCTTTGGGGGCCCCGCAGATGGCCCCAGACCCCGCAGCGAGGCATGTCCGAGAGACAGAGGACGAATAAAACAATGACATCCTGAAGTAACAAGTATCTGACAATAACAAAAGCCAGGTAAAAGTACTTGATAATGGTAACATTTTGGGCTGCCAGTTTAAGAGTGGTTACGCAGCTCAAAATGGGAAGGAGCAACACAAGAAACCATTGCTCTTTGCGCGGAGCAAGGGAATGGGTTACCCACAATTCCAAATACGGGCATCCCCTCATCTGTAACTTCCAGTTGTGGAGTTTCGCACCACTCGATGCACCGTGCGAGTGTCGGAGTTGCTTAATCAAGTCAAGTCCCTCGGTGAAGTAAAAGATGCCACGAGATGCAGAAAAGGCATAGCTTGGAAAATATGGATTCACGACTTCTCGGATTCCCATGGTGAAAAGGTCTGCAGTAAGCAAGTCGAACAAAAACCTACCAAGCACAACATGCAATCCATCTCATGGAATTTCGTCAACAACAGAATTGAAAGAGAAAGATTGTCATTTGCTAGTGTCAGCAGTAAGCTACAACAGAACTAGCTAAACTACTGAGATATCAATTTCATCCTCTTTCAAAAATTCTTTTCTTACTGTTTCTTTCCAACCAGTTCTGGTCTCAGTTCTCTATTGATCTTTCACTTTCCCATTCAATAAGACAATTGTTGGAAACAAAGTCTGTTCAGCGCAGAGAAGTGCAAAAGGCGCGGGTGGAGAACATCCTGGTACTGATCTAGTTCACACCTCGAGAGCCTGACGGCTAGGCTATTGAGGTGGATGATCAACAGTTGATATATGGTGTGGTGTGATTGGGACATTACGAGCGGTGGTTCGTCTTCTTTAAGTTGTGTCGTGTAGTTCAAGTACAGTGCAGCAGCTCCTAGAAACCGCTGCACAGCAGAAGGGGTGTTGTATCGCTCTCGGCAATCAAGCTCAGATCGGATTCGAAAAAATGTATGCCGACCTTGGCCTGAGAGTGTCGATCAAGGGTCTTGGTAGGACGTGCAATGCACAGGTGAGTGTTGTGATAAGAAAAAGCAAAGTAGAAACAAGACGTCAGTTGACCTAGGTCCAGCCGGTTGTAGGCCAACAAGACGACTTGTCGGTTAGAGGGGAAATGTGCAAAAGAAAAACGTAATGGTACATGTGTATGAAAGGGGTCGGGAAATGGAAAGGCAATCGTCAGGTCGATATGGCGCATGAAGACGGTCGAAATGATGAAGGTAGTTCTGGTCTGCTCTGTTCAAGAGCGCGCGTGTGGTTGATGTTGTTGAATATAGAGACGTCGACGTTGTGCTGGACCGGAAGGAGGATAGAATAACTTCGTGGTAGCGTGGCGAAAACAAATCCATGTCTTGCTTTTCCCTTTCTCCTCATACCCATCGTGAGAATGCAAATAAACCCGCGCAATTAAAACTCCGTGAGAACGCCAGATAGATCAAATAGAGAAAAGTCCCCCCAACTACCTGCTAGGTTGTTGTCCCTGGGGCTGAGGGAAACTTTGAGGTGTAGGGAAAGCGTTAGGCTGGGCAAAGCCACCCTGAGGGTATGAAGACTGCTGCTGTTGCTGTTGCGGCGGTGCGCCGAAAGCTTGCTGGTTGTACTGGGCCTGCTGTTGCTGGTAACCGCCCTGGCCACCTTGACCACCCTGAGAGGGATACTGGTTGCGAGGAGGTCCTCTTCTTTGACCTTGCTGTCCCTGGTAGTTACCACCGCGGCCACCACGGTAGCCCTGCTGGTGGTGCTGACGGCGCTCTTGAGGCTGTTGCTGCAATTGAGGAGCGCTAGTGATAGGGCGAGGGATGTTCTCGGGAGTGTCGTAAACATACAAACCCTTGTCAATGTGCTGAGGAATGGGCTTAATCTCAGTGCCGAGCTCCTGCTCAATTCTGTACAGGTTGAAACGGTCCTCCCAGTTGATCAAGTTGATAGCGAGACCCAAGTGACCGAAACGACCAGAACGACCGATGCGGTGAAGGTAAGTCTCGGCGTTCTTGGGGAAGTCGAAGTTGATGACAACGTTGACAGCCTGAATATCTATACCACGGGTGAGAAGATCGGAACAGACGAGGTTACGGCAGTGGCCAGCACGGAAGTCGTGGAAAACACGGTTACGGTTGTGTTGGAGCATACGTGCGTGCGAGTAGAAGCATGAGTAGCCGAGTTCGGTAACCTTCTTTGCCAAAAGCTCAACACGAGTGGTTGAGTTACAGAAAATGATAGACTGGTTGATTTGCAGACGCGAGAAGAGGGTGTTCAAACAGTGCACCTTTTGCTTCTCCTCGACGAAAGCGTAGTACTGGGTGATACCACGTAGCGTCAACTCGTCCATGAGGTTGATCTCGTGAGGGTCCTTCATGTGCTTGTCCTTGAACTCCTTAACAATGACGGGGAAAGTGGCGGAGAAGAGCATGACCTGGCGGTCCGGAGGGTGGAACGAAAGCAGCTGATCGATAGTAGAGGTAAATTCGGGAGAAAGAAGCTTGTCGGCCTCATCCATGACGAAGGTCTGGGCGGTCGACAGGTCGGCGACACCACGGCTGGCAAGATCCAAAATTCTGCCAGGGGTACCAATAAGAATATGCACAGCCTCGTTCAAACGGATAATGTCATCCTTCAGGCCAGTACCACCAGTAGTGACCATGACATTGACACCAAGATGTTTTCCAAGCGTCTTGCACACCTGCGATGTCTGGAGAGCCAGTTCTCGCGTAGGTACCAGGATCAAGGCCTGGATCTTGCTGTTCTTAGGGTTGACGCGTTCGAGAGTGGGGATGATGAAGGCGGCGGTCTTTCCGGTTCCGTTCTTTGCGCGAGCAAGTACGTCTCTGCCGGTAAGAGCGACGGGGATAGCTTCTTCTTGAATGGGCGAGGGCTTTTCAAAGCCGGACTCGAAAATGCCCATGAGCAGTTCGCGCTTGAGGTAAAAATCTTCGAATTCAAGACCCTTGGTCGCTGTAACATCTTCTGTTTGGACTCTGCCGTCCTTGGCAGGTACCTTTAATCCTGACCTCCAGTTGCCGTCTGCCTGCGATGATTCACTGAGGGGGATAACTGTCAGCGCGAAAGTCCAGAAGATCTATGGACCAGTATTGGCATACTTGAGCGAGGCAGCCTCGAGCTGATTTGCGAGTTGATCCGCCATTGTAGGTTATGCTGTGTGGGTTATGGTGATGTCGAAGAAAGAGAGCTGAGCTCAAAAGACACGCAACGTCTAGTGAGGTCGTCGAATGAGTTGGGGTAGAGGTGAGATCAAACACGCGCAGTGAATGAGTAGGCCAAGTATGGGAGGCGCAGATCAGATGAGGGTGTGTATCTGTGGTTGATTTGCGTGGGTGAGCTGTCGCTTGTGTCGGACAAGAGAGGTTTCGTCGTGTTACACGGTTCTTCGCGTCAATGGAGCAGCGATCTCGAGCGAAGTGATTGTTTGCAGATCTAGAATGGGATCGAGAGATCGAGAGAGGAGCGAATTGAGGGTATATCAAGCGGGGGAGCACGATAAGGCAGCGAGAGGATCAAGTTACGATGGTAGAAAGTCGTCGTGCGCCGCTCTCGCCATGTGGAACATCGAGCTATGAATTCGCGCCTTGGCACACGTCGGACCAATCACGAGAGCTCATCGTCTGGTATAACACTCGCACCTTCTTGGATACTCTATATTCTTGGTCTTTTCTTTTTGAAGTATTATTCTGGGCTCTTGGTACAGGCGGAAATAATAAGGGTCAAGCAAACGTCGAAAGAGCTCTCTCCTGCTAAGCGCCCACCACAGCTGTTCGTGCCGCACCCTTGCAGCAGACCCTTCGATGACCCGATCACCACAATAATTAATATCGACTCGATTCCCATCTGACTGATCAACTTTCCTTCCGAAATGTTTTCTCAGATGCTACGCCAAAAGCTAGGATTATCAAATCCTCTTTCAAGTTTCCAAACTCGCAGGGCTTCATCTCTGCTTCAACCACGAAAGACCTCTTCTCTAGTCCAACCACGCCACCCCTTCTTCAACCCATCAACAACCCGCACAATGAACAGAGACCTCGACCTACTCACCCACCTACGCCTCCAACGAGCTCAACGCTTCTATCACTCAGGTTACGGCTACCGCGACAATGGCGTAATGTCCTCCTTCTACTTCCTCTTCGCCGCAAACGCCATGGTCTTTGGCGCCTTGAACTACGCAAAATACACCAAAGACTGGAGGCTCGAAAAGCGTCTGCTAGGCAACACCCTACTCTCTCCAGCAAGTGTGGACTCAGGGCGTTGGTGGACTATCATCACTTCTGCATTCGCTCATGTGAATCCCTTCCATTTTGCTTTCAACATGCTCTCGTTGTACAACTTTTGCTCCTTGTGCGCGTTTATCCCTGGAATGAATGGTTTGCATCTCTTTGCTGTAGCAGGAGGTTCTGCAGTCACAGGAGGCTTGGGTTTCCTCTACCACCGCAGAACCAAAATCGCAGCAGCGAGCCGCAGTGACTGGCAATCCAAAACCCGCAACTACAATTCTGCAGCTTTGGGTGCTTCGGGCGCGGTTATGGGCGTGGGTGCGTTGACTGCATGTATGATCCCTAATGCTCCCATGCAGTTGATGTTGATCCCCATCACTTTCCCTCTCTGGGTCTTTGTGGCTGGTTATGGCGTTGTAGATGCTTACCTCCTAGACTCGCCGACTTCGGGAATCGCCCATGCTGGACATTTGGGCGGTTTGGTGTTTGGTGCTGCGTACTACCTGGCTTTCATGAGAAGGTCGCCGATGGGTGTGTGGAGAAGCGTTCAGAGGATGATCTCGAGAAGATGAAGTGGGTTGAAAAAGGGTTATGCTTCTCCGATATCAACTGTCAGACTTGGAGCAATTGGGCACACAATCATAAAAGAACGGGCAGAATCATGCAAACTGGGAAGAATGGAGAAGCAGCTGAATTTGTTGCTCCGCTAGGCACGGCTATAAAACCTCCTGAACCTTGATCCTATTGAAATAGAGGATCACCCGATACGCTGAAAATGCAATCTGAAACCAAAAATGGGTGATATGGCCATCACCACATAGGGAATAAACTCCTCCTATACACTATCGTGCCCGTTCCACCTTGTACTCCACAACCATATGAATGTGCCTTAGACAGCCTGCTCAGGCGTCTCGTTGCTTGCCACAACGGCCGTGCCGAGGCCTCTGTCGTTGGTGCCACGAATAATCATCTCCTGCCGCCTGGCACGGATGAACTGGCTAACAGATCTGATCAAGATGAACCAACCGACAATCATGAGTGTGTACGAAATCCAGTCTTGAGCACGAAGTCCATCAGCAGCTTCTACTCCAGTGACATCTGCAGCAACCTTCGAAGGGTTGAAGTCGTGAGCGTTGGGGTCTGAAGGAATGGTGCCAGATGGGTCATTTGCCGGTACGCCAGAGACAGGATCTGCGGGTACTGATCGGAAGGTGAAGCCGTACTGAATCAAGGTAATACCCAGACCAGCACGAGAGCCGTGCTTTGCAGCATGTGTGGTGTGAAGTAGATATGTGAGGAGGAAACCGATAAGTTGGAAAGACATGGAGATAAGAGCGTTCCAGACAAAGGAGAATAGACTGCCGACGACGAGACCATCGACAAAAATGTCGTCACTGTTGAAGGCGCCAGGAGCCAAGATAGAGGTTTCCCAGTATGGCGGCGCCGAATCAGCGGCTGCTTGCTCGTAGGTCTGCGATAAGGTCAGTATATCGTTAAGGAGACGGGAGATATACAGAAAAACGTACCGGAGGCTTCTCCTCGAGCTCTTCACCACGGGTAGGCTTCGCTGAAATGTTGGCGAACACACCATCATTTGCACTGCTTCCACCACCAATGACTCTGTTATTGGTCGAGCGACTTCCACCAGGGAGGAACATGTTGATCTCAGTAACCCGACGGCCTAATCGTGGAGGTTGAACTTGGGGTGCTGGTGCTTCTGGAGAAGAGTCGCGGTCGGCGGACTGAACAAGTCGCCTACGGTCGGCGTCAGGGCCGTCATGTTCTGACTCGTCATCTGAAGGGGCAGCAAAGGCGTCGTCGATATCTCGGTCGGCATCCTCGTCGTGGTGGTGGTCGTGTTGAGCAGAGTTTCTGCGAGAAGAGTTGCGAGAGCGGAAAGATGGTGGCGGCGAGTTTGGAATGGTTTGTGAGGGCTGGGCGGCTACGTGATCGTCGTCATCGTGTGTTTGCACCTGAAGTCGAGTCAGTATTGACGAATAGAATAAAAATAGAAAAATCGGCAATACTCACACGTTCGTAGTTGGAAGAGAACATGTTGATTAGGAGTGGTATGGTCGGGCGCTTGAGATAAGCAGAGTGGGCCGACGGGCGCGGAGGGAAAGGGTCGCTGGGGTCGATCAAAGGAGGCGAAAGTAAACAGACGTCGAGAAATCCCAGGTGGCGGTGAAAGAAAAGAGACGGATGGTTGGGTGCGAGAAGCTCAGGAGACGAGGGAGACGGAGTCGAGAGATGATTTGATATATGGAAAAGGAACGGATGGTGGTAGAAGAGAATGGACGACGACGGGCGATGAGTCGTCGGTTGCTGATGCGATCAGAGTGAGTGCCTAGTTTCAGCCTCAGCCTCTTAGATCCAAGACCCTCGACACTCGTACAAGAATGCGTCTCCGTTGGCTTCCGTCTTCCGAGAGCGTATCGCCCAAGGCTAAGCCACAGCTCTAGCCACAGCCTTAGATCTGGGGAAATGAATGCGCGAAGTCGAAGGGTTTTGATGATGTCGACGATGAATTTGTGAGATCGTCACTAACCTTTTGCTGCCATCACCAATTCTTGTAGCTCTCGCCTTTGAAACCACAAACAATCGCGCAATCGCCACATCATACACAATGTCACGCGCTGTGAGCAGTCGTTCTTTGTCCTACCATACGACAAAGCCAACTGACAGAAACCACAGCAAGCTTCAAAGCACTACGCCCGCATCCTTTCACAATGGCCTGTCGACCGTCTGCGCCCCGAGATCACCTTCCAATCCGTTCTGAAGAAGCGCCTTGAAGCTGCTCCTATCGCAACAATCAACGAGACCAACACTGCTCGCACACAACCCCCCAAGCCGAGAAATGAGGCCCGCGAGGTCAATGCCCTCTACTCGTTGCTCGACAACAGATATTCTTCTGCTGTATGCCAAACATTCATCAGACACCACGAAGTCATCGTCTAACATACACCCAGTACCCCTTGTCAAACGCCATGATGCACCCTGCTTCTGCACCTGACCACTACACAACCCTCGTTAAGGAACTTGACGAAGTCCCCGATCGTACTTTCTTCCAACGAGTTGCTAGCCGTTTCAGAGGCATGATCCGTCTGTCGTAGTTTTCCCGTCGTTCGCCTGTAAAACATATCATCGCCACTTGTTCAGGTCCATTGGACAGGAGGTTTTGGCGCATGCAAAAGGAGTCTGCGGCTCCATTATGTACTAATAGCACATAGATCTATATTCACGATGTCATGCCTGTATCTCTACCCGCGCTCACTCGTATTCGTAGTTGAAAACGCTTCAACTGGTGTTGATCGTGTCAAATGCAACGTCCCCACTGCCTTGCATCAAACTCTCAAAGAATGCCGTGTCCATTCCTAACACCGACCAATCGTCAAAGGTAATGTCCGATAGTATCTGGTCAGGTTGCATGACGAAGCCCTGATGCGTTTGCAATGGCTCCGAAGTTACATGCTGGCTCGCAACATCTGCAGGAGTAAAATTGTTGGAGCTCGGCGTGTCGACGCGGATCGATCCTATCCCACCAATACTGATGCCCTCTGGAAGACTTTGATTCTGCTCTGATCTTGATGGAGTGACGGTGGCGACTCCTCCTCTAGATAACTTGATGCCACCAAAGAAAGGTGCTCGGGTAATGACAAAATCGCGGTCTTCGCCATCATTTGCATTGCTCTGATCTTGTTTCCGAGCAGCACTTTCTTCAATAACTAGCAGGTCTTTGAGCAATGAAGCGCATCTGACTGCGAGTTGGTCCTCTGGAAGTTCGGAAATGAAAGTCATGCATTCTAGAGCTCGCTGTACCATTGCTCGATCACCCAATCGTTGATGTGCTAACACATTGCCCGTAGTTGTGTCGCAGTGACTGGTAGCATGTGCTAGCATCAATGTCATCCCTGCAATCAACGCCATGAAATCATTCATTCGACAACAAGCCGTGACGAGATTGAAACTGCGCAAAGCGATTTGTCGTGTCAGAATCTCGCGGCTGGCGTTTACGCAGGCCATTTTGGAGTACATCCTCTGCGTGGAGTGGCTTGGACATAGCATATGAGGCATATGCAGCTGGATCACCAAAGTATAGTAGGAGCTGTGATCGAAAACACGTCTGATCTCATCAAAAGCGTGTGATGAGTCTTGCGTAAGACCTGAGAACTCTGTCGGTCGCCAGAATGTTGGTGATAGATTGGTGGAGATTCTGAGGAGTTCGTCATCTATACTCTTAGTGATCTCGAGAGCTTGCTGTGGCAATTCAATCTGATTTCGCTCGAGAATCTTGCCGGCGACATTTCCTAGGTCAGTGAGCAGACCACAATCGTTGGTGGCATCGTTTGTAGCATCCTGTCGTGTCAAGACTATATTGTCTGTGCTTGTAGGCAGTCCAGATAGCAAAGAGACAACACGCTCCATATACACAATACTAGTCCAGATGGTTTCGGGGTCAACGACATTACGATCATCAATAACCTTGTACCGATAATGACCACGACGGTGCAAGCCCAATAGTTGCGCAGCCATAACAGCTCTCCGCATCGTAATCCAAGCTTTTCGTATATCACCAGAATCCGTATGGTAAAAGGCTTCAAGAATGATGCTCTCTAAACACTCTAAAGACCCCAACAGTGAGTCATTAGTAGTAACCAGTTTAATAGCCGCACCAGCAAGCTCTTCCATAATCTGATGGTGATGTTTACTCAAACCATGTATCCGTTCTGTAGGAGAGATATACCGCAATGCTGTTGCAAACAGTAACATTTGCTTTGCCAATAGCACTGGATCGGATTCTGGAGACAGAAGGTTTGGTTTAACGATGTATGTCTCTGCATTTCTGTGGAGTGTTGAGAGAGGGGCTTTGTAGTCGAATTGATAGCATGTTGATGAGATGCCGCTGACTCTTTCTTGAAGGGTCTCAATGTCTGTTTGAGGAGGGAAGGAACGAAGGAGGTCTTGTGTTATTGTTGAATTTCTTTGCAATTCTGTGGGTGGAATTTGGTTCGAGATTGGACTTAATGGCCTTAGTAAGGCCTGCGTAGGCGTGGCCGACTGCGCATCCCGATTATCATCGGTTTCTGTCACAACTTGTTGATGCAATCCCTCGGTGTATCTTCTATTCTGACGAGTATTGATTGGGGAGTCTGTCGATTGACTGGTGCATGTCGAGTCTCGGCGTTGGCATGTGATGCATCTGGCGTTGGTGGGTGATGCGAACACACATTTCACCTTCCTTCGTCTGCACTCCCAGCAGCTGTGCGTCCCTTTCCTGACCTTGTTTTGCTTCGGCATGTCAAGTGATCTTGAAGAAGATCTCCGCCCGAAGACAATTCGCTACAGCAAAACGAATATTGGTCTTCTTGGTCATCGCTTACAGGTTCGTCCGAATACACGTTCGTCCGAACTGCACTCGGACAAATTTCCTTGGCGCAGGGTATCGTTGCGAGCGTGTCGTTGTCAACGCGCAATCATTGATTGGAATCATCATCTCCTCGCGGACGAATTCTCTTCATGCAAAGATATGTCATTCTGCGAGTATAGCTGTATAGGCATACAACCGTGTTTATATGTGAGTCTCGCTACAGGAATCTATTGTGCCATCAGACCCAGTAGACGCTGCCTTGTCCTCGGAAGACATTCTTGCAGCTCATGTACCATTTCACGGGAGCGAAGCTCTTTGGACGGACGAAAATGGAGCTCAATCACTCAAACGGACGAAAGAACTCGGCCACTTCTATAAAGCCGGACATGTAAGTACTCGGTCGTATATGTGCAGTCGGTAGGTTGTGTTCGTCCGCGGCCGATTCTTTCCGTATAAGTATTGGGGATCGTGTCACTTGTTTATCTGACTCCCTTGCCCATACACCGATTCAAGGAATCACGACACACAAGCCAAAAGAGACTGTAACGATCTCGCTACAGCACTAAGATCAAGGGTCAATATGTCCGAGTCGAAAGACGACCCAGTTGAGGTTGTCAAGCCTGAAGAAGACACATCTGTTCTTGACGAATACCTGCATGGCTCTCGCTTGATACTACTGACAGTATCGCTTTTACTGGGCATGTTCCTGGTTGCTCTTGATAACGTTCGTCTACCCTAGCTCTTGCGGTCAAGAAAGACAATTGACATGATCTCGCTAGACTATCATTGGCACTGCAATCCCCAAAATCACAGATGAGTTTCATGATCTGAACAAAGTCTCATGGTATGGCTCTGCGTACTTTATGACCTTTGGTGGTAGTAAGTTTATCTGATCATATCTTCATTTCATGACTGACCAAGACAGAGTACGACATGTAGGAGTCGAGGCGCTCTACTTATGGTTCTAGGCTTTCAATCAACATGGGGCAAGGTCTTCAAATACTTCCCTCTCAAGCTCTGGTTTCTTATTTCTTTGTTGATCTTCGAAGTTGGCAGTCTGATTTGTGGAGTGGCACAAGACCCGACCACTCTGATTGTAGGCCGAGCAATTGCAGGTCTCGGTGGATCTGGCGTTGCGGTTGGCGTGTTCACAATGCTCGGCTTTGCTGCTCCGCCTGAGAAGCGTCCACAGCTCTTGGGATTCACCGGAGCGGCCTACGGCATCGCTGCTGTCTTGGGCCCACTTATAGGTGGTGCATTTACCGACAAGGTGACTTGGCATTGGGTAAGTTGACGAGATCCTGGCTACTGCTTAGGTACTTACAATATCGCAGTGCTTCTATATCAATCTTCCGGTTGGAGGACTAGCAGCTATCATCATTTTTCTATTCTTCAAGCCACCAAAGAGCGCCAAACCTGCGCAGGCGTCGTTCAAGGAAAAGATGCTACAGATGGACTTCGTCGGTGCCACTTTCATGATCGGCTTGATCATCTCTTTCATACTCGCATTGCAATATGGTGGACAAACACACTCATGGGATAGCAGCCAGGTCATTGGACTATTGGTCGGTTTTGTTGCCCTCACTGCAGTCTTCGTGCTTTGGGAGATGTTCCAAAAAGAGCGTGCCATGATCGTTCCGCGCCTGGTATGTGACCCCAAGTACAACACTTCGACTGAGCTGACGGAATCGCAGTTCATGGAACGCCACGTCTGGGTTGGCTCCGTCTTCATGTTCTTCTTCGGGGGTGGCTATTTCGTGCTCTTGTATTACCTTCCGATCTATTTCCAGAGTATTCATGAAGCCAGTCCTATCGGATCTGGTGTCAGGATGCTCGCCTTGATCCTCCCATTGACTCTCACCGCCATCATCCAAGGCTTTGCACTGTCGAAGATTGGTATCGTGCCTGCATTCTGGATCTTTGGCGGTGCATTGGCGACCATTGGCTCTGGACTTTTGTACTCCATGGATGCCAACACTTCTACTGGCAAATGGATCGGCTACCAAATCTTGATCGGTTTGGCCACTGGCACGACTTTCCAGGTCGCTATCGCGAATGCACAAGTTCACGCTAGGCCAGAAGACTTGTCACAAGTCAGTGCCATCATCAATTGTAAGTCGACATCTAGCAAAACATCTTCGTAGTCTAATGGTTGTCACAGTCTTCGTCACCATTGGCGGTGCCTTCTTCATTTCCGCTGTACAATGCGCATTCAACAACCAAGTCATCAGACAACTCGTAAAGGACCTTCCTGGCATCGATCCAAGGATTGTTCTTGGAATTGGCGCGACGCAGATTCGTCAAGATTTCACGGCATCACAAGTACCTATTGTTCTTGATGCTTACATGGTTGGGCTGAAAGCTGTATTTGCCATTACGACAGCGGCGTATGGTGTCTCAACCATCGTAGGCTTCTTTGGTAGCTGGAAGAGACTTAATGAGGAGGAGATCAAAAAGGCTGCTGGTGGTGCAGTGTGAGGAACAATTCTTGAATCTCTTTTTCTTGGTGGAAGTCGCGACTGTGCAAAAGAGGAGAGGGGTCGTGTAGATCTTCAAGCCACCTTGTGGAGTCGGTGAAGCTGCGCTGTTCGTGGATCGCTCTCTCCCTGGCGTGGGGTGAAGTGCAAGTGGTTGTTTCTGTTTTCCTGAACGTTGGTTCCAAGCTCGCATTGCGCGTATTCACATCCTGTCTGTCTGAATCCATCCGCACCTCGACAATTGGCTTGAGGCCACAACAGCGAGCTTTTGACTTCAATCATTCTGATTGGCGGCTAGCGATATGCAGGCTATTTTCGACACCCGTCCTGGTGGGGACCAGCTTGCATGAGGCTCGAGAGATAGGTGCCTCACGCATCGCCTGGCCATCCCGCTCGACTTAATTCTCCTCATGCGTCAACACCCCTGGAGTTTGTCGGAATACTGTCTCGTAACTGTCCTGGATACCTAGTCGTCTTGTTCGTTTCATTCTGAAAGATGAGCAATCTTGAGCCCCGGCGCGAGCAGTACACTGTAGGATGGGTGTGTGCCCTGCCGACCGAAACGACAGCCGCGCAGGCAATGTTGGACGAAACTTATCCTGCCCTACCATCGACGAATGCTCACAATTCAAACGTCTACATTTTTGGGAGTGTATGCAATCATAAGGTTGTTATCGCGACCCTCCCAAGTGATTCCTATGGTACGACTTCCGCTGCTACCACGGCAAACGAAATGCTGCGCGACTTTCCTGGTATTCGGTTTGGTCTACTTGTGGGCATTGGCGGCGGCATCCCTAGTGAAGAGAACGACATCAGACTTGGGGATGTCGTCGTTAGCAAACCTCAAGGCACTATTGGTACGTCAGCGCTGAAGTCGTTCATCTCTTTGTTGGACATTAACTGACACGTGCAGGTGGTGTCGTACAATTTGACCTTGGTAAAGAGACCAATGAAGGTTTCGAGAGGACCGGGACACTTAACAGGCCACCCGACGTTTTGCTCAAAGCGATTGCATTACTTGAATCTAGGCATGCCCTACGTCGCTCGATAGACGTGCCCAGATACATATCAGAGGCCTACGAAAAATTTCCCGACTACGAAGCCGAACATCCAGGCCCTGATCAAGATCGTTTGTTTGAGGCAGCATACGACCACGTTCCTATGCAAGCCTCAACCTGTAAGCGGTGTGGCCTCGATCAGCTTGTTAACCGCAAGGTCCGAAAAAGTCAGAACCCCGTCATACACTATGGTCTTATTGGCTCCGGTAACCAAGTTATCAAAAACAGTCGCAAGAGAGATCTGCTTGGAGAGCAAGATATATTGTGTGTTGAGATGGAGGCTGCAGGCCTTATGAATAATTTCCCATGTCTTGTTATTCGAGGGATCTGTGATTACAGCGATTCCCACAAAAACAAACAATGGCAGCCATATGCCGCGTTGGCGGCTGCAGCATACGCGAAAGAGTTGCTCAGCACAATTCCGGTTCTTGAAGTTGAAGCAGCCCCTGCAGCTCTTGAAATGCTCCAGAAAAGTTAGTTCAATATCATACCGTTTCCAATTCCTAGTAACAAGTCTAAAGGCCTCGATGAGATCAAGGAAAGCATAGAGGAGATCGCCGAACAAAACGAAGAGTCCCGTCAAGAAACAAATCATGATAGGATACGGAATTGGCTTTCTCCTGCAGATCCTTGGAACAATTACAATCGAGCACTTGAAACACGTCACTCGGATTCAGGTGCATGGTTTTTGCAAAGTCAGCAGTATTTCCAATGGAAGTCTTCCATAGGGACATCCCTATGGTTGCATGGGCTGGCAGGCTGTGGTAAGACGGTCCTCACCTCTTCCATCATCAAGAACCTGGAGCGAGAGATCAACTCAGATCCTCTTGCTTCATCTGCACCGATCTTGTTATACTTCTTCTTCGATTTTAGCGACATGAAGAAGCAGACTTTGAGAGATCTGGCATTTTCGCTCGTCTACCAACTGCACCGTCAGGATGGGAGCTTGCAGGAGCCTCTAGACTCGCTGCGAAAAGCCTGTGACAACGGGTACAGAGAACCGACGACACAGCAATTACTAGAGGTCTTCTTGAACGCCATAGAGATCACGGATCGTAAATTGTATCTAATACTCGACGCTCTCGACGAGTCCAGTGTTCCGAGGCAGGATCTGCTTGACTGGATCAAGAGCATTGCAGAGCTTGCCTCCCCGAAAGTTCATCTGCTTGTTACTAGCCGCAAAGAATCTGATATCGCATCGATCTTTGGTCGTGGCAACTTGATGGGTCAGGTTGTCCCTGTTGAAACAGACATCATCAATGAAGACATACGAGCATATATAGGACACAGATTGCGAACAAGCGGTGAATTCGGGAGATGGAAAGACCGAGACGATGTCCAGCAGATGATCCAGGAATCGCTTATGAGCATGTCTGACGGGATGTAAGTGAAACTAATTTCTCTGGCAAGCCAAAACTTACAGTGCAGGTTTCAATGGACTGCATGTCAACTTGACGCACTTTCCAAATGCACAAACCAACTGGCGCTCGAAAAGGCTCTCGATGCATTACCGCCAACACTAAATGCCACGTATTCACGCATGCTGCGGTCAATTCCGAACGAGCAGAAAGATGACGTAGTAAGGTTGCTCCAATTGCTCGTGTATTCGGACAAGCCACTCAGTTTAAAGGAGGCGGTGGACGCCATAGCGATAAACCTTGAAGCAGAGCCTTTCTTCGACCCAAAATATCGTACGCCAATACCCTCGGAAATCATCGCATCTTGCTCTAGTTTGGTGACGATAGAAAGCCGCAAAAACTACGGACAGGTGCTTCAACTTGCACATTTTTCTGTCCAGCAATACCTCAAATCTGAAAAAGTTGATCCGGGCTGGAAAGATTGCCCGTCAGAGACCCAAGCTAAAACAAGCAACGCTAAGCTGTGCCTTGCTTATTGCTTCGGACTAGGTCGGTATGGTATCGAAGACGATGGTCTAGACTATGATGATGAATACCTAGAGCAGAGGCCCTTCACAAACACGGCAGCAAGACAATGGACGCATTATGCTGCGCAAGTCGAGGCACAAGATGACCGACTGCTCGCAATGATAAAAGATTTCCTTCTATCAGACAAACGTAAGAGAGCTCGTCTCAATTGGCTTCGTCTGAGGGACACCGAAGACCACTTGGTTCCAAATCGGGACTGGTACACAAAATGGTTGCGCGAAAGCCCAGAGAAGCTAGTCCCGTTAACGATTGCCTCAGCTTGCGGTTTGTATCACTTCGTCAAATCACTACTGCTCTGCAACACCAATCCTAATGAACATTGCTCAGTGTGGGGATCTGCGCTATATGCAGCCTCATATGGAGGGCATGGAGATATCGTCCGGCTCTTACTAGATCATGGGGCTAGACCTAACATAAGAACTGGGCGGACGGAGTTGAGCGCTGCGATCTCCTTCCCCAACCCGGCACAACGATTCGAGATCTTCCAAGCATTGTTACAATATGTTGTTGATGTTAATATTTGTGATGGCCTTGTTGGGCTCCCGCTCGTTCAAGCGACAGTACGTGGAGACGAAAAAATCATCGACACGCTTCTTGAAAGAGGCGCTCATGTTGACGCCATCGATAACCAACGAAAGAACGCCCTGCGAGTAGCCGCTGCCTATGGAGACAATAAAATCGTCCTCAAGCTTCTAGATTACAAAGCTGATGTCAACTCAGTTGGCAATCCCATCGGCAGTGCTCTCAGTTCTGCATGCTATTGGGGTCACGAAGAGGTTGTCCGAACGCTTCTCAACAAGGGTGCCAATATGTGCCAAATATCTGATCCCCGGCGACTCTCAAACGATGGATACGAGACTGCTCTGGACGCTGCTTGCCATCATGGGCATGAAGCAATCCTTCGTTTGCTTCTTCAACATGCAGCTAAAATCTCATTGGCCCTCGACGAAGATTTGCTCAACAGATGTTTCACTTTTGCTTGCAATGCTGGACATGACAAGATTGTCAAACTTCTGATACACAAAGTCGATTTGAATGCTCATGATAGCAGGTTCGGTAGTCCTTTGCTCACAGCCTCCAAACACGGTCATGAGGAAATCATGCGACTGCTTCTGAATCACGGTGCTGACGTCAATCAAGTTTGGCAGTACAGAGATGGAGACGGACTCCCTGGTGTTAGTGCTCTGTATCTAGCATGCACCCGGAGACACAATGAAACCGTAAGAATACTTCTCGATCATGGCGCCAATGTCAACGCTCAAGGTGGAGATTTTGACACAGTCCTCATCTCGGCATGTTATGGGGGCCATGAGCAACTTGTCAACTTGCTTCTTACACAAGGAGCAGACATCAATCAAGTCAGCGAACGATATGGGACCGCTCTCATTACAGCATGTCTGCAAAGTCAAGAGTCCGTTGTGAGAATATTGCTTGCTCGTGGCGCCGATCTCAACCAAGCAGAGGTTTTCTCTCAAAGCCCTTACGAGACGTCAGTGTACAGAACACCGCTTCTTCACATCATAGCAGCGGCTACTCTGTCCGGCGCTAGATTCCCGGACCGCGAAGCTGCGTGGCTGCGGATCTTGAAGATACTGATAGCTGCTGGAGCTGATCTGAATAAAGCAGACGTCCAAGGTCAGACACCGCTTCATTATGCAGCAGTATCTGGAAGCTCAGAGTTGACAAAAGCCTTGATCGAAGGAGGCGCTTTGCTTGATGAAATCGACGAAGACGGACAAACTCCTCTTATCAAGACCGCAAGTTGTCACGCCAAGGGAAGCATGGTAGTTCTATTGAACGCTGAAGCAAAGACTGATCTACAGGACTTTGATGGCAGAACTGCGCTCCATTACGCAGCCGATCATGGCTGGCTTGAAGTCTGTGTTATGCTGGTCGAAGCCGGTGCGAATCCCAATACCTTGGATAGACAAGGTCATACGCCCTTACAACTAGCCGAGCAAGAAGATCACACCGAGGTTGTCACATTCTTCCTTCAGAACAAGGAGCAGGTATGATGGAATATTCTGGCCCGTCTCTCCTAAAGCATCCGAATAGTTACCCTCGTTTCTGAAACATTTGATGACGGAAAAACATAGTGTGAAGAAAGAGAATCAATAAATGCAATCTATAGTCTATATTTTCATGGTGTATCACATTTAGACCTTCCTCAACTCAACGTCCTCCTCTGACTCTCTAGCTTCCATCTCATCCAGCTTCTCGTAGATGCCTCTGCCATCGGCCTTCTCGGCACGTTGCTTGACTCTGTCTTTGCCCCATGCATACACTGCACTACCACCCAAGATGCAGACCATGGCCCAGACTCTTCCAATGGTAACAGCTTCGCGGAGAATCAGCACAGCAAGAGCGCTTTGAGCAACACCACGCGCGGCTGTGACGATCATGTGTGTTGTTGGGCTGGTGACAGAGATCTGCAGGAAGGTTGCTAGAGTCAAGAGGAAACTTGCAGCACCTGTGGCGGTAGCGGTGTACAAGAAAGCGTGGAGTTGACCAGAGGCCTCAGCAGCAGCGACAGCATTGGCGACATCGAGGTCCACCGCGCTGTTGTAGAGGCCGGAGAAGACCGTGTACTCGCCAGAGATGATGAAGAGAGGGAAGTAGCAGACTAGAGCCATGCAGTTTGTCATCCATACCATTTGCCACATTCCCTCGTCGCCTTTTGTGAGGAAGCGCTTGACTACCACGCTTTCAACAGCAGTGGTGAAGCTGGACCCGACGCCCAACAGGAGCCCCTTGATGCTCGTGAGCATAGCGCCCAAGTCTGTGATCATTCCAGTGGCGAAGCCCATCATGATCATGCCGCATCCGAACAGAGAAAGCGGTGGGTTGTATGGTGGAGGGTGAAGGAAGAAATGGGATAGGAGCAAGGTGAATGGCAAAAGTAAGCCCCTTGCGATCTGGTATAGAGAAGCATCGACACTAGCCAGGCAGAAGGTCTTTGCAAGGATTCCGATCAGACGTGCGAGCATCAAAGGTATCAATCCCTTCCAAGCCTATTTTTTGTCAGCGAACTTTTGTTGAACATGTGAAGGGGTTTGCACTTACAGAAAGAGGACGACGGAACTTGATCCATCCGAGTGGTTTTCCAACGAGGGTCAGAAGCACGACTTGTACGAATGTTTGCAGTGCAAGCAGAGAAACAGGTGCCTCTATGCCATTAAGTGCGGACTTGGAGATCAAGGTCACCGAGACAGCGCAGCTTGAATGGAACAGCACTGTTAAGGCAACTTTTGTTCGTGATGGTGATGATGATGATGATGATGATTCCGACATGTTTGCGATTGATGGATTTACTCGACAGGCTTGTGAGAGGCTGAGGGGGACTTTCTCTTTTACTTACCAAGACTCAGTCCCACCCGTGCCACCCAGCTCCGATGTTCATTTCTCCTTTATCAATGCACGTACTGACAGACGAGTCGATCAAGAAGGAACCGGTAGACTAAGCTCGCGAGGGTCACGTTCAACCGAGTTGTACACAACGAAGGATGGCCTCGCGGCGTATGCATGCAATGGTAACCGAGACTATGATTGGCACAATATCGTTGAGTGGCTCTCACTATGTATCAGTACACCTCAGGAGACTAAAGGCGTTCGACTTCCAAGCAAAACTAGAGAACGCCGTTGATTTGATGTGGCCAAAATCCGACTTGGCAGGCACCGACTGACCCAGGCTCCAAGATTAGAAGATGGGTTTTGCTTTGTTCTGCGCCTACGCGGGAGAATTACTACTGCAACAGGCATCTCCCTTGTTCATGCGGCATAACAACGTTAGAAATAGAATCAAATGCAGCCACGCGAAATCGGCTCTTGGGTAAGTGTAAACCCCTAAAGCGGGTCGTGGTGTGTTGCAATACATGCAAGCGTTTTGTAGATCGATTCGAGCGATAGTTGATCCACGGGTCCTCTGACTCAGATCATATCAATAGACTGGTGGCGATGATGAATGGCGATAGGCCTTGCGATTCTTGGGAGAGATTTTAGTCTGCACAATAACTCTTTTGAGAACATTCGTAATCTTGTATCAATTGATTTATGATCGCCTCAAACCATACCGAAAGGCACTTGAACAGGGCAGAATCGGGCAGGAGCAGCAAGGTGCAGTAGCGGAGGGACGTCTATAAGCCTTGGATCGGGCTTGGCACCGGAAAGGGCCTGAACTGACTCTTTTTCTGCCGCAGCCACCCCGTTTGAGAGATCTTCCACCGCCGTCATCTTACTCTGTTACTACCTACTTTGTATTCTACCGCATAATTTCGCCTTGAAACTCCAGCCAATTCATGTCATGTTATCTGGCTTGCGGCCGCATCGGCCCCAATTTGACAGCAGAAATATCTTTTCCGAGATGCCAAGGTCTCCTATCCCTGTCAAAGTGGATCGTCGGCAATGAAAAAAGGCGCCATGTGCCTGCATCAACGGCCATCCACACTACCGTTTCTTGGCTCATCAGTATCCGCTATCTATGATATCCAGATTGTCGGACAGCAAACGTCTTCACTCGGCATCGTGCCTGTTTTAGCTGCATGGTGTTGTAGAGATTACCCTTGGCTTAGGGGACGGTGAGTCGAAAAGGAGCGCCATGAATAGTAAAAGGCCGTGATCTGGTAAGGTAAGTCAGATATCCATCTTGACTTGATACTCATCATTCATCGAACCAAAAATGCCTGTCCCTAGTCGATGCGCGTTCATCGCCATAGTTGTGGCCGTGTTCCTCTGCTTGATTGCTCTCTTTCAGACTGGCACAGTATCAACCCCTTCATCATTACATCTTGATGATGTGACAGACTTTGTGTCGTCTCCATTCTCGTCATCCAAAGAAGAAGCCCAGAGAAATACCACACAACAGACGCCGTCAGCATCGACCTCGGCTTCAGCAGTGCCTTCAGCAACAGTTCCGGCAGCTGTCTCGAACTTACCGATCTCATACGACAAAACCACACCTCCATCAACGGGCTGCGAAGCTGTGGTGAATGCTGCCCAACAAAAACTGATCTCGGAGTACCAGCAACTCCTCAAAGGCATTCGCTATGTCAACGTCTGGGGCTACCTCGAAACTGAGAACAAGGGCGATGCCGCTATCTGGTCGGCACAGCAGATCCTCTTGAGCATGATGGGTATTGAGACTATGGAAGCTTGCCGCTTCATGGACAAAGGCTGCAACATGACCAAGTTCACTCAAGCACTCGATGACCACAAGCCTAACTCTGCCATCATCATGGCTGGCGGTGGCAACTTCAACGACTACTACTGGGAGGATCAACCATCAAGAATCGCAATGATCGAGCACTTCACCCAGGTCCCCATTCGTGCCTTCCCTCAGAGCATCCACATGACCCACAACGACCGCATCAACCGCACGAAGGAAGCTTTCCTGACACACCCCAACTTGCAGCTCGCCGCACGCGATGCACCTAGCTACAAGTGGCTGGCAGACACCTTCGAGGGCGAGAAGGTTGCCGCTCCACATACCGACCTCGCTGTCGCTGACGGCATTGGCAAAGGCGAAGTCAAGACTGTGCTCACCCCTGATATCGCATTCATGTGGGGTAGCCGTCCGGACTTCCGTACCAACACACCCAAGGAGTACGACATCCTGATCCTCGCACGCGACGATATGGAGATCTCCGAGGGTGACTCTAGATCCATTCCCTTCGGCAAGGGCAATCTCGATCTCGGTGGCAGCATTGGTAATGTCAGCTACTGGAAAGTAGACTGGAAGTTCACACCCACCCCTGACATCGATGGCGAACACCGCGAGATGGGAAAGAACCAGCGCGCCTGGGCAAAAGCAACAGAAGGCTTCAGAATGCTCGGAGCTGCAAACTTTGTCATCACTGACCGTTTGCATGGACACATCTTGAGCACTTTGATTGGTACACCACATGTGGTTATGGACTCAAAGTTGGGCAAGAACATCAATTACCACGACACATGGACGAAAGACTGCGCTTGCACAAGAGTAGCGGAAGATATTGACGAGGCGCAAGACTTTGCAAAGATGTTCTTCGAGAAGGAGAAAGCTGAAGGAAGATGGAATGGTGAACTCGTCCATGGCGCAGAGTCAGCGGACGTTGTTGCATAGTAGTTCTTCCATATACCCTTTTTAATACTTTCTCTACCTTTCATGCCAATTCACATTTCATTATCCTGCCTTGAGAAACAGTGCTTCAAGAGATGTTTCCCCTATCAGTTTCTGCAAGTGTTTGCCTAATTTCCTTACAGGAGTACAGAATCGATTCTTGAATCGATCGCTATTTCCAACCGAAGAAGTCCTGATCCTTCAAGCCACCCGGCTTTACCACAAGTACTTGGTCGCGTGCCTTCTCAGAATCCGTTTTCGCCAAGACATTTGGTGGCTTGTCTGAGTTCACTCCTTCCGCTCCTCAAACTATGAACCCCTGCCCGTTTCTATGTTTGTGTCTACTTGTACAAGTATCTTCTTGGCCAATCCTTCTGTCTCAGGAGTGGTGGGACTTCGAAACGAGCTATTATTAGTTGTGGACCAACTCTGCACTACACTCGGCGTCGAGGCAATTGAGATGCACATACGGAGGCGCTTTTGTGGGAGAAAACAGAAACAAGGAAGTGAGAAGAAATTGGTCTATACAGCAGAAAATCTAGAAACACAACAAGAGACTTCTAATCGTCTTCTTGCTCAGAGCCAGCGCTACAATACATGTTTACAATGCCTTCTTCTAACCACTCGCCTACTCTCCTGATGTTGCCTTGAATGATTTTTTGAGCATTCTGCTTTGCGTGCTTGCTCTTCTCTGCTCTTTCCTCTGCAGTTGCATTCAACATCCTGCCTACAACATCAAACTCGTTCTCGCCTTCTTCTTGCAACCACACTGAGTCTTCTTCCACATAAGCGTAAGAATCAAGAAGACGTCGATCAGCAACCAGCGGAGTACCTGCAATCAACGCTGCAGGCACCGACGAGGAAGCCTTGCGGTCGAAATAATCTGGCGAAGCAAACCCAGGCAAAATAGCAGAAACCTTGGAAAGCAAGGCATAAAAGTCGATATAACCAAGTCCTTGATCGAAAAAGACATGGCTAGCCACGTTTTCAGGGACCTTGGGTCTGTTTCCCTGACCCAACAGATGCATAGAAACGTTTCTGTCGCCCTCGGCTGCAGCCAAAAAGTTTCCAAGGCGCTCAAAGATGTGTTTGTAGTCTCTGCGGTGAGGATCGTAGTCGCCTTGCATGGCGAAACTTAGGTCGTGGTTTGCTTGTTCTGTTGCTGTGATGTTGGGTGCGGCTACAGGGAATATAGGCACGAAAACGCGGATGGGAGGGGAAGGTGGGTTGGCCCAAGGATCGTCTTCGTTGGAGTCCCAAGCAGCGATGGTGTTGGAAAGGAAGGTGGCTGTGTGTGGTGATAGCGTCCAGAACTCAACCATGTTGGCCTCGACCCATGGTCTGATATCGGACTTGCGCTGTTCTTCGGCCCATTGCTCGGCATGGTGGACGATGCAGATCAAGCGAGTTGCGCCTTGAGCACGCAATGCTGCTAAACGTTTGGGTAGCCCATCACGGATTGCGATCTCGCAGGTTGTAAGGACCAAAACGTCGGGAATGGTGGTGTGTTTGCCAGTTCCCATAAACTCATCAGGGTGAATCGGGCCCGTGTAGTTCAAGTCAAATGCCTTGATGATCTTTTCGCTGCCGAAGCGAGGGTATGATTGGTAGAATGTGAGGTTTACGTTTGGTTGCGAGGCAAGGGAGTGAACGAGAGCAGCATCGACTTCGTCGTGTGCGACTACGTGCTCGAGGATGGCGACTTGAATGGTCTCGGGAACATTGTCGCAAGATTCAGATGCAGCTTCTGTCTTTTCGTCTCCTGGTCTTTTTGTCCAGACTCCAGACTCGATTGCTGCATCCGTTGAATCGAGAGTAGGCTTCCACCATTTGTCGAGTTGCTCTTGTCTCAGCGACGTGGTTGTAGCATCGGGAGAAAACTGGAAAGCATCAGTACATTGTGCGATGAAGCCTCAGCAGTTGAGAGGTAACTTACAGCAAAGAACGCAAAGATCATCAGCACAGAGATTATCGAGCCAGCGATAATTCTTTGCTTCATCCGCGAGCCTCTCGTCCGTAAGGCATCGAAAGCGTCTCCCAGCGACTCGAGTTGATAGTACTTGGGCTCATCATTATAGCTCATTCTCTCCATGACGCCAGTCTTGACAGACAAAAACCCCATAACGCGCTTCTTTCCTTTAGCCCTCGCTCTTTTGTCGCAATATGTACTCTGGTCTTTAAAGCATCCGCAGCATGGATCGCAATCGCATGTACCAGAATGCAGAGTATAAAAATAGAAGAAAAGAACGTGAGGTAAAAAGCCAAGAGCGAAGAGAAACAGAATACGAAATGACGGTACAAGCTCACCTTTTGGGAGGATGCTCCTTATCATCTATAGTGGTGAAGCGGCGGGCCGCTGCTCGTATAATTGCCTTCCTACTACAGTACATTAGAGGCGGTCTCACCAGCACCGCCGCCAACGACCAACACAACAAAGCATCCCACTGTCTGCCAACTGCGGGCCGTAACCCTTTAGCCCGCAGAGTCCCACCATCATCAGCGGCTTGTTAGGACATGCGCTCAAACGTGCGGCTGATCTTTTAACGAGGATGGACATCACACGCGAGCAACAATCCCTCGAAGGAGCCGTGAGCGCAGAAAAGCCACCAAACATACGGCAAATGAGCGCCGCAAAAAGACGTTGGCGGGCTTGTCTTGTTGCGCTGGAACTTGGCACAACAGACAAAGGAGAACAGAGCAAAAGCTGGCTAAACTCCTTAGAAATTGACAGGGGGGGTTTTACCGCTAACCGCTGTCAGCCAGTCCGAAGCTTAAATCTGCGCTATCAGGCCCATGCGAGATCGTCCTTTATCACAACGTCCGGGGTGGATCATCTATTCCCTATTATTGCCTATGACTCGCACTACTTTAGAACTGTATAAACGTTCATATTAGGGAGCGACAGAGTCTTACTGTCATCTACTCGCCAATTTCGCGCAACGCTCTTGCAATTGCCACTATAGGAGGCAAAATGCGATGTTCTGAATCTCCGATCGAAGGAGCCGTGAGCGTTGAAAGCAGGCAGGAAACCAAGCAACCAAGCCCTTGTCACAGCCTGCTCGCCAAATGGCGGAATGTGGCGGTCACGAGGCAGATTATCAGCCGCCTTGCTTGCTCGCTGCAGCATGAACCGAATTCATGAACGTCTCGTATCTTTTTCTAACTCTAGGTTACGGCTTACAAGTGCCCGAAGGAGAATTTTATACTCAAAAAGTCATGCAACGATAGATACGAGCTCAAATCGTGTCAAGATGAAGTGATATTTTGCTCTGTAGCACGTGGAAGAGATCAAGGCAGCAAACCTTCTGTAAAGAGCCGCTTCGGCAATATGCATATGCAGCAGCATCACGAGCTGCAAAACGTTGCGCGTCACTTTGTCACTTCGTCACGATCAAGGAGGGCATGGTCAACAACAAAGGCGAGTAGCGATACAGAAGACAGGAATAAGAGGCAATGCGTGAGTGTTGTGATACCACTAGTTCCCATATGCATAAAACCGGTCAATATTTGTGTCTGCTTTTCTTTGATAAACGTCTTGTTTTCTACCATGTTTGTCCATTCGCTATGCTGTTCTCTTACATGCTCATGCAGCCGCCATATCGTAAAGTTTGCACAAGAGTTTCAAGGCCACTTTATCTGCGTCTGGAGACAGCAGAGCGCCGAGAACCGTCTCGCGCTGGGGAGCCGGGTTACACCTTGCTATCCAGCTCGGCGTAGGCTTGTCATACTCATCAAACTCATCTCGGTCTTCCTCATCATCGTCACCATGGACGCCATTCCCTCGTGACTCATCGTCTTCAGAAGTGGATCTTGCCTTTTCTGAAGCAGGCAACCCGGCCTTCTCTACCAACCGTGCCAACATGCCAAGCCCACGATGCGTTATGAGGCCATAACTCTGCATGTCTGGGTCCATAGGTGGCATGTGCGGATGTCCCGGTTGTTGTCTGTGGGCTTGTGCAGAGCGATCAACCGAGAGCACAAAGGCCATACGCAACAGACTTCCGGGCCAACGATCATCAGAGCCAAGCCATGCACGAGCGAGATTCTTCTCCTCGGTCCCGTCATAAGAGTGCGCTGCTGGGACCATTGATGCTAGGATATCAGCGGCTAACATGCCCTGCGTGAGTAGAGCCTTTCTAGCTTCTACCATCTTGAGTTCAACCGTAGTGGAGAACACTCGTTTCGAACGCTCCGGTAAGACAGATATGCTCAGAGCAAAGGCGGAGGTAAGCAGGTCTGCTGGTGGAACAGACTCGGATGGGTTGAGTGTTTGTGATGAGGTGAAAATGCTGCGGTACAACGACCGATTAGGTTCTTGGCGAGCCAAAAGTTTTGCAAGACAGTCGACTGCAAGTGGAAGGTGTCGTTGCGCCAAAGGTATGTAAGGGCTGAATAGTAACGGAGAATCGGATGAAAGTGTGGGCGCTGGCTGAGGAGCAAATGCCAAAATAAACTGAAGGATATGAAGAGCATCATCGCGACTCGGCAACTCCAGGACACCAGTGATGTTAGAGAGGAATGTGATGATGTCTTTGTAGAAATCTGCGACGTTCCTCGAGGTGCGAAGGAAAGTATTGCGAGTGCCCAGCAAGCGAATTGCGTTCGAGACAAAATTAACAACAGAATTGGAAGATAGAAGGCGGTGGTTTGCTTCGTTGAAGGAAAGGTTCCGCAGCAACGTCGTGACGGCAATGAGGCGATCAGCAGCGCGATCGAGCTCATACTCCTGGGTGCCAACGGCAGGAATGTCCTGCAGAGACTCGTTCTCGATGCGACATAGTTTGACAAGATCTTCGTAGGATGGCAAGTCAAGGCCGTCTGACACTTCGGCAGCACCATCCGCAAGGATGTCAAGCTGAGCTTCGGCGCAGTCGACCAGTACGTCTGTCAAGTCCTCGCACTTGTCAAGATCCAGGTTGATGCGCGGTTCTATCGAGATCAACGTCAAATGATCCAAGGCGTGACGAGTTTCAGCATGAATACCAGACTGAAGACTCAAGGTAAGAGCACGGATGTCAATCAGTCCCATCTCATCGACCATAGGCACATCAGGAACCAGACGAGCAATCTCGCTGCCAAGCTTGGCCAACGGGATAATGTCGTATCCACCATAGTAATCCAAAGAACGCCTGTGCGGCTCGTACTCTGTTTCCTGGCCTGTGACGTGTTTGAGCTCGGCAGTGCTAGCTTCGCGCTTGATGCTCGGAGTACCGCCTGTTTCTGATGGAGCTTTGATTGCTGGCGAAGCAGAAACTCGAGCTTGCTCTTGGTCTGGTGGCGGTACAGAGTCAAGCTTGCCAACACTTGATGTACGACGGAACTCGTTCAAGGCTGGGTGTTGCATGGCAGCCTGTGGGGTAGCCATTCCATTGACAGGCGTGGGAGTAGGGCGCTGCATTGGCGTGCTTTGAGGGTTCATCATAGGTACAGGAGTCGAGTGCTGCTGCTGCTGTTGCTGTTGTTGCTGAAGGGCTTGTTGTTGCAGCTGCTGCTGCTGCTGCTGCTGTTGTTGTTGTTGCTGAGCTTGCATTTGCTGCTGCTGCAACTGTAACTGCTGTTGCTGTTGCTGAGCTTGTTGAGCCTGTTGTGCTTGCTGTTGTTGAGCCTGTTGCTGCTGCTGCTGCTGCTGCTGCTGCTGTTGTTGCTGAGCTTGCTGCATCTGTTGCGCTTGTTGCTGTTGAGCTTTTTGCTGCATCTGCATCATGGTCTGCTGCTGAGCAGAAAGCTGATCGTTGGGACGACCAGGAGATCCTTGGGCGGCATTTGGGGCACCCAGTCCAGCTAATTGACGGGCTTGTAACGAAGCTGCCTGCTGGCGTTGCTGCATTCTTGCTTGCATGAACACGCGTTCGTATTGACCGAGATTACTCTCGAACAGCTGCTGCAGTTCTGCTGGGGCAGTAGGATATTGTTGGAGGTTGAAGCCAACCTTCTGCGCGATTGTGGTCCATCCATTAAATTGGGTCACACGCGTAGAGCCACCATGTTGCAGGACAATGACCCAAATAATGTACAAAGGTAATGGTCGTCCGCAAATTTGGGGCTGAGGGTTGAAAGGTCTGTTGTTTTGTTGACAGAATTGCTGCAACGATCGCATCCACTGTTCTTGCTTTTGCTGATTTGACTGTGATGACTGCCCCGGAGTTGCCATACCATTGGCGCTTCCAACACTAGCATTGGCCGCAGCAGCTGCAGGGTTGAAGCCAGCAGCGGTTTGAGCAGCGTTGGCGCGCACCTGAGCCATACTATTGGCTTGCAGACGCTGTTGCTGTTGTTGCAGGCGTTGCTGGTAGAGCTTCTGCTGATACTGCTGCTGCATCTGTGGCACAGAAGTGATGCCTTGAGACATGTTCATGGCTTGTGATGAAGAAGGATTGAAGTTTGCGCCGAACGACTGCTGCTGCGGAGTGAAGGCGCCAGGTTGCATCATGTTGTTGGAAGCGGTCGATGGCGCGGGAGACATGGTCTGTGCGAAGGTAGCAGGTGAAGCTGTCGACATACGTTGTGGTGGCTGCTGCGGCGGACGGAACTGCTGAGGTTGCATGGTTGGTGACGGAGTAGCATTTGATGACGCTGAAGGGTTCTGTTGCAGATGTTGATAGGGGGTGGGTGGAGCTTGGAAGGGCTGTTGCTGCTGTTGCTGTGAATTGAATGCGCCAAAGGGAGCACCGGCCTGCATCGGAGTTTGCGATCGCGACATGTCTAGTGACTGTGAAGGGGCGTGCGGCGATTGATGCATCTGGTCTTCCGAGGGACGCGGACGTTTTGAGGGAACAACCGAGTTGACGTTGAAGGTCTGTTGCGGGTTGCCAAAGGCCTGCTGGGGGTTGATGCTGCCATTCTGGGCGAACGAGTTGAGGTCGATGTTCGAGGGATTGGGGTTCGCATAGAGCGACGACATGGATGGATTCATGTAGACGCCATTGGTCTGACCGGGCCACGGCGCGCTCATGGTCGAAGCTGGTTACAGCATGGGGCACACGCCCTGTATATCGAGGTTAGCTACTGGTTCGGGATGCCGACTTGTGACGCGTCCGTACGCGACCAAGCATATATGGGGAGCGACGGGTGTTGGACGGCAACGCGACAGTGCTATGGCCAAGCCATTGGTAGGAAAGCTTGGATGTGAAGCGACAGTCGCGTCTGGATGGGCGCGGTGGAGATGTCGGTGTCGGAGGGCGTGGGTGTGGGTGTGTGACGGTGGTCGGGCGGGAGATGAGGTGGTGTCCTGGTCTTCAGACCGAGGTAGGCCATGGGGGACACTGGACCTGGCGCAAATGGACCGAGCAGAGGTAGAATAAACAAACGTACCTAATGCAAAACAAAAAAGTCGGTCTGTCGAGTCGTTGGACACGCGCGTATTGATGCCTCGGAGTGCCTGCTGTCTGGAAAGAACCACCCGTGCCAGAGCGTCGCGCTTGCCTTCTCCTCATTTTCGGCCAACATGACAAAAGTAACGTGACCCTCCACAGGGCTGTGCTTGTGCTTCTTGTGCTTGTGCTTGTGCAGATGCTTATCCACCTCCCGTCGACGAACGTCGATTTTCTGCATCTTCCCAAAAATCAGAGTCAGATACAAAAGAGCAGATGGGGAAAACGTAGACTACTCAGAGGATGGCCAGACCCCGTAAAGGGAAAACATATGTCATCTTCGGCAGGGGACACCGTGCCTTCGAGAGGCGCGCGGATCTTGTTCTTGGTTCGCGGACATGCAATCACACAGCAAGCTCCACAACGCACGACTAGTGATACACTACCCAATCTACTCTTTTTCGATTTCAAAAGATCTTTGCGGATCTTAGTCTGCCACGCCAGTCGTCTCGCTGATTGACCATCGCTCAAATCCTCCTTGAAGCCCGCTTCTTTCTTAGCCGTCGTGATCCTTTCCTGCCCAACAGCGCCAGAAGTGTACCGACAACATGTACCCCAGCTCGTTCACGCTCTCGAAACCCTTGGCACCAAATCCAAATATGCTCGTTTGTCTCACATGCCACGAGGTGCTCTTTCCAATCCCCTCAACATGATGCTCTGATGGTTGTTTCCGCCTGATGCTTTGCGCCCCTCCTCTGTACCAAGAAGGATCGAGGCGTCGTCCCTCAAAACTCAGCTGTTTTTGACATCATGCGGCGTTTTTGCCAAATCTCGGACTTATGAAAGAGCACTTTCTTCTGCAATGATCTGCCTCTCAAATCTGTGTGATTATCGAATGGCAAAAAAACCTTTGAAACGCTCCTTTCCCTGTCAGTCTGCCACGGGAAAAGTGCTGACGACTCTAATCTTCTAAACGGATATCGGCGGCATCAAACCTAGTGAACCCGGGCTTCCTCGATGTAGGTATATCTGCCGAACTACACATCAGCAGCCACCTGATGACCAGATCCGACTCGAATAATTTCCATGTTCCCATGCGACATGCAACCACTGGATGAAAGCTATACCGCAGAAAACACTTTTCAACCTCCACAACCAGAAATCACCAGCACACCTCATATCATCACCATGTCGAACTCCCTCTTATCTTTCCTGCAACAATACCATCTCACCTCGAATGGAACAACCATCCGTAGCAATCTGACCCGCCTGCATGGATCCATCCATCAGGCATGACTCTTACACGCTCACGTACAAATTAAGAGAGTCGGAAGTGAGATAAAGTTCTTATGCGATTAATTAACAAACTCCTATGTACATATTCCACCATCGCTCTCAATGCCATATCCTCCAAACGCCATGCAGCCTCCCATTTCGTTCCCTGTCTTTTACACACCAGCAACCACACCCCCAACAACATCCTCCAACATCCTCATACCATAGAAACTTCCCACACTTCCAAACACCTTCAACTGCTTCACAACCTCCTCCCTCTTACACGTAACAACCCACTCCCCAGCACAACTACAATGATCCATAAACTCGTTCGTGCGAATCCGTCCACACCTCCCACACTTGATATCCTGCGTCGTCCACTGCAACACCAATTTCTGCACTTCAGAAAGCAAGCGCTCTTCAATGGTTAGACGGTCAAACAGGGCTTCGCAGTTATGGCAACGGATGGTGAGGATACGGTTGGCAGCAGCGGTTTCATCAGAGGGAATGATATCGCTGTCACGACAAAGATCGATATCGCGGGGTAAACAGCATTCAGGACAGCTTAATTGCTTGATGGCAAGACTGTTGGAGGGATTGGTGAATGCGCCTTCAGCACTAAATTCGCGGATTTCAAAGAGGTGCAGTAATTCTTTGCGTAAGAGGCGGGCTTCGAGGGTGATGGTTTTGTCGAGGGAGAGGACCTGCATGACACTCTTTACCAATTGCAAAACTGGATTGGAGAATTTTTGGGATGAGCCAGGGAGAGAGGGGAAGGCCCAATCTGAAGCCAATTCCTCGTGCATGGCTTCTGTGCGTTGGCGTTTGATCAGAGCTTTGATCTGTTTAGCCAAAGGCTTGGAGAAGGTTTTTGCTAAAACATCGCCAGGTGTGGTCTGGTCGTCTTTCTCAGAAGCAAAGATAGATGCGTGGATGGGAAGTTGTGTCGGTCGTGGTGCTCCATTGGCTCCCATGCCTTCAGGTCTCTTGCGGCCATGCATGAGATCGATATACTCGACAACCCAATCATTGAACATGGGTTGCAAGATTTTAGGCAAGAATGTGCCAATCTGCCACTCCATGATAGTATTGAGTGTTTGATTTTCAGCCTCGACAACCTCTGCACATCCCTTTCCGCCATAGTTGAACTCATCATACCAGATCAGGTAGTCCCAATACTCGGTAATGCTAAGATCCAAGAAGTTGAAGGATGGCTTGGCGTTGACAGTCTTGAGAATATACTGACTGTAGGCATAGGCATTGCCGACTTCCGCCTTTGTAGTCTGCAAAAGCAATCTGTTCGCACTTGCGTACACGACATGCGAGCCCACACGTCTGAACTCGGACATGAGTTGTTGCAGAGCTTTTCTCGACATCATTTGCACGTAGTAGTGTAATGATTTGTCGTACAAGAAGGAGCCTGGATTCTCAATCCAGCGGACCAGGTGTTGGACCATGACATCTGCCATGCCACCACCATGACACGCTTCCTCCCACCAAGCTCTGACCATCTCCCTCAGAGCCATAATGCCAGCTTGTGCAAAGGTGTTTTCGCCAGATACGACGTGGGAGATATCTTCAATACCTTCTTCATTCGGTGGCGGCACCGACAGACCCATCGAGTCGCTGCCTTCAGCATCGTTCAATACTGCAGAACACAAGATAGTGTTGATGGCAAGATTCTTAACACTAAGATCAATGCACACCGAAGAGTAGGTTCCAGGATTGTTGACAGAAGGCATATCCACAGTCTCCATAGCAGCGAGGATATCATCTTTCTCGTAGCCAGCATGGTCTGGACGTGGATTGGCCGACCACCACAGCACGACCTTTTCTTTCTGCAATCTTCTTGCGTACGAGATATCAATCAGGAAACGAGGATCGTCTTTTTCGAGATTGCAAAGGGGAACATTGCCGTAACGACTGAGCTCGATCAAGTGTGTTATCCATGATCCGAGGTCGAGGTAGTGGCCAACCAGTCTCTTTGCGACGAAGGACTGCCATCCCAGAGGAGGTAGTCTCTTGTCATCTTCGTCAGACTTCAAAGGCAGCATGGGTAAATCTTGTAAAATTGGCAGATCGTGTCTGAGCAGACGAGGTTGTTGAGATTGGATGACGACCATCAGAGGATTAGTCTCTTCCTTTTGGATCTTCTTGATGGCATCGCCAACTTCTTGAAGTGCTCTCTTCTTGGTGGTGACGTTGACGGTCTTGAAGTGAATGCTTTCTTGGTACTCAAAGACGTCTTGCCATTGCTCGCCGTTGCTCTCTTCAAGCTTCTTCGAGAACATATCTTGATAGATGCGATCAACATTGGGCATGCCTTGATCAGCACGAGATCTGTTGAGAACAACGATTTGAGCCTCTTTCTTGGACGAACAGAACAAGGCGAAAATCTGGCGCTCTCCGGCAATAACGTGGTAGAGATAGAGATAGCTCATGGAAGCAGAGGACAGGTAAGGCTGCTTGGGAGGCACGTAGTGAAGTGCTGACAGGTCGAATCCATGAGTCATACCTCTACCCAGAACACCTGCCTGCTTCTCGTCAAAGGTACAAGTACTGCCGAGTTCCAGAACCGCTCTGATGTCCAGTGGTACTTGCGTCTCGTATACACCTTCAACACTCGAGTGGTTGAAGAGTGCTGCAAGCTTGTCGGCGTCCTTGATGTAGACCTGTTCAGGCATGCTGAGTTTGAAAAGATGCACTGAAGGATGACCATTCGGCAGAGTGTAGTTGACCACTTTCTCAGCTTGCACGCCATCAACAGAAACGTCAGGCAGATCATCTCCCTTGAGATTAAGGAAGACTTGACGCGGCACCACAACCTTGAGTTGATGTATCTTTTGGTCGATCAAGACGAAAGCCTTGACTTCGCCTGGGCTCTCGCCCTCGCAGAGCTGCAAAATCTGCCATGTTGAATTGTACATCAACTCACTCTGGTTGCGGAACATGTTGCCAATGGCATCAGTGTTGTCAACTCTCCTCTCACCGAAGAGTTGACGTCTTCTTTTACGAGCCTGCTTCTGAATCTTCCACTTCTTCTTCTGGTATTGAAGCCAGCCCTCGTAATCTTCGGTGATTGAAGGCATATTTGGTGGCAGGCTGTCGTAAGGGTTGACAGGTGCAGCAGATTCGACTTCCACAGCCTTTCTCTTCTGAGAAGAGGCGACTTTCGACACCATGGCTCTCTTCGGCACAGTCAATGACGATGCACCAAAGTCCTCAAGGTCTCCGACGATTCTTCCATTGACAGCATTGATGTCAGCAGCATCCAGGGGCTTCTTCTGGAACAGATCTGTCATTTTCTTTTGCTTGAACACATCATCCTTAATTCTGATTCTGCGCTCGAGCCAGTCAGGATGAGCGACACGAGGAACAGGATTGCGAATCTTTTGCAGAGCAGCAGGGATTGTGATCAGTTTTTGGATAACTGAACCCAAACGCTCAAGGTAGTAGGCCCAGTCAATGACAGTACGAGGATCCATGTCACCCGGATCGTCCTTCATCCACTTCCTAAGGTAATGCTTCTTGACTGATTCTTCAGCTGAGAATATGGCGACCGGGATGGCACGTTCGGTAACTGGAGAGTTTCTGGGCTTTGACGAGATAATGTACTTGCAGTTCAAGCCTTTATCTTTGACCATCTGCTCGCCCAAGAACTCAGCAAGACGCCTTGCAGTGGTGATGGCAGTCGACTTCTGTGCGCCATACTCCTCAAGTGTCTTGGTCATGCTCTTGTTCTCGCAAATGAGATCGATAAGTTCCTCATCGGCCAGAGTCGTACCGTGGGAGTCCAGAACATCCAGCCATCTGTTGGCGATCTTGGCTACTGCTCCGTATGTCTCTTCTAGCGTAGTGCCCTCCAGGAAGAACTTGAAGATTTGTGTTTGGAAGATCTTGATCAGCTTGAGCTCACCACGACGTTTGACTTCGAATCCTTTCAGTTCGGCAAGACTGCCATCGTGGTTGAACACAGCATAACGCTTCTTCAAGTTCTTGTCTTCTTCCTTGGAGGTAGGCAAGATCATGGCCCTGTATGGACCATCGACTTCGAAGAAGATAGTGTTGTCACTGTGTGTCTCGTAGCGGAAAGTCTGAGGATCAACCAGCTCCTGGTACTGGTGGTTGGTGAAACCATCGTGGACGCGATGATTCAACATGACACAAGGATATGACATGGCAATCTTCTTGCCGTTCTTCAGCTTGAACGCAAAGTTCTCAGGGAAGGTCGCTGGAAGGATACACCAGATACCGTCGGTGTCGAGTTCAAGAGGTCTTCCAATGCGTTCGACCAATTGACGTGCCATTTGAATGATGCGAGCGCCAGTCAAACAGGTGACACCGGCCATCTCCATGGAATACCAACGAGAACCTTTTCTCATGACATAACCGTAGAAACTGTTCAGAATGACTTTGTGAGCAAGTTGAAGAGAGTCGAACAAAATGATCATCTTCTTGGCGTCATCAATCTCGGCTTGTGAAGCACCAGCTTTCTTCAAGTCTTCAGTCTTGCCCTTCCAGACCTTCTGCTTGCCCTTGAAGTCGTATCTTCTGTCACGGAAGTCCTTGACAGTGTCGACGTAGAAGGGGTTCTCTCGTTGACAGATGATGGCTTCCTTCTCGATAGTTTTGGCTTCGTGGATCTTGTGGTAAATCTTCTTGCTGTAATCTTGTAGTCGCTTTTTGACTAGCACAGATTGCTCGTCCAGAGACAAGTCTTGGAAGCTTCGAGCCAAGCTGTTTGCCTTTTTGCCTGGGAACTTCTCACTTTCCAAAGCGTGACGAATCATGTTGTACTCGTCACGTTTGGCAGGCAAGTATTCACCTCTCCACGACCATGGTAACCTTCGATCGCAAGTCTTTCCAGGTCTGTTGAAGTCGCAAGCAGCGCAGTCTGCCTCTTGAATCATGGAATCTGGTTGCAGACGGTTTGTTGTCATGATGTTGGGGTACATGGACGCGACATCCAAATGGTAAATCAGAGGCTTTTCCTTGCGATTGGGCGTTTCCTTGAGCTGATTGAGTCTTTCCAGAATCTGGGCTTTGACTTCCTCATAATTCTCGATGTCATCTAGTGACTTCTTCTCTTCCACTGTAATACTGAATTTTAGCGCATTGTCAAGCTCCTTGATCAGTTCGTCGATTGCAGCCGGGTCAACAGCAAAGTTGCAGGGAATATCCGCACGGAAGACACCAGCTTCGATACTCTCGACGTGACCACCGACATAAGTTTCCGACTCGAGAAGATGGCCTTCCCAGAAAGATTCTCGCGGTGCTTGATGCTTGTTCGGTAAGACAATCTCCTTCTGATAGGCCTGGACCATGAGCAACATCTCACAAAGCGTACCAGTACCTTTTCGCAACACATCATCAGGTCCGAGCGGAATGATCGTACATAGCGAGAAAATGAAAGGATGAACGTATTTCATGTAGAGGTAGTAAGTCGCAACGGCGTCTGAGACGGAGTATTCAGCCAGAGTCTGTGGTCGTTCCTGGGCGTATGGTGTCATGAGTTCCGGATCCAGCTCGTCAGGATCGTAGCCGAGTTTGGCCACAGTGACAGCTTTGAGACCTCTACTTCCTTGAGGCAAGTAACTGTCACGGTTGACCCAGGCGAAGGCATCCATATGCGCACAGTAATTTGACTGGTAGATGTCTTCACTGTTCTTGCGGAAGCCGATTTCTTGGTACATGTCAATGCCTTGGATACTAGCTCTGGCTTCGACGTATGGCCAATCGAAAAAGTCACCGTTGTATGTCACAATGATGGTCGGGCGTGCTTCCTTGATGCAGTCGAAAAATCGTTCCAGCAAGGCTCTCTCGTCCGGTTCGTTGAAGATCAAGAAGGGTCCTTCATATTCTGGCTTGGGGGTATACTCGAAATCGGCAATGTCCTCAGAGACGATTTCTCGGTTTGTGATGAGGAAACCTTGACCATCGATCATGTACGAAATCATCATAATTTGATCAACAGCAGCATCAGGAAATTTGAGGGGAGCTTTGCAAGTCTCGATATCGAAAGCCAGAATGACGGGATCCGCACGTTGTAGCCTCTCTTCGATGCAGGTCAAGGTGATGTGACCATGTTTCGCCTCGACAGTGTACCATTTTCCTATTCGGATGTCCTTGTCGATAGCTACTCGTACGTGGTAGGGCACGTCGTATTCTCTGATGTCGACAATAAAGTCGCTGGCGTCGAAAATGCTGGCCTTGTTGGCCTGCTCGAAGTCGTCGTCGAACATGTCCATTCCGGCATTTGCAGTTGCAACCTCGGCGTATGTGTCCATGGCATTCATCTTGCTCTTGTTCTTTTCGGCGATGGGCGAGACGCCCCTTCTGACTTGTAGTAGGTGGTCAACATTGGCGAATGTGAGTTTGAGGAAGTTTCGTCGGTGTCCGAGTAAATGGTTTGGCTGTGGAATACGTTAACCAAGTGTTTCCGATACAGACGAAGGCTCAGAACGTACCATTGACAGATCCTCCTTGTCTATCCTTTGCACAGTCTTCACTAGACCCTCAAAGGACCTTTTGCACCACTCTTCGACTTCGGGTTCCTTGCCTCTCTTGACCGCAATGAGAAAGTAAGGGTCATACTGAACAGTAGCTTTGAAAGTGTTTCCATCGTCCTGGAGAAAGTAGAAATCGACGCCCGCGCGACCTCCTTGATTCTTGCTGTCCTCAATGCTGGTGCTGTGCATGTTTATAAGCCAGCCCTCTCTTTTCTTGCCGGCCTCGAAGCGTTCAAAGCCCATGGACTCGTCGATCTTGTGAGCCAGCCGTGTGGCCTCGAGCTTTTCATTCTGTGACGTTTGTTCTGAACCTCGTAGTGTGGCAAGATCTGCTGTCTTCATCTTCCGTGATCCGTACGAAGTGTTGCCATTCTTGCCCATGCGGCGGAAGGTCTGGCCGTTCTGTCTCGCCATGGTGGGCGGATGGATGTTGTGGTTCTCGAATTAGTGTTGTTGATGTGTTTGAAGAGAATGTCGATTAAGTCCTTCTCAAATGCAGAATCATGAGTCGTAAAGGGTAACAGCAGTAAATAGTATACGAGAATCAGAGGCGTGTAATTGACGGTACACAAAAACAAAGAGGGTGGTAAACGAAAGCCAGAGCCGACGCGCTCAACACACGAAACTCGCGATGCTGCGACGCGAAAACAGATTTAGGGCTCGCCTTCCATCTCGGCTCTTTCGGCAGACATGCAGCCCGCGATGGTCAGGGTCTGGCCTGGCCTTCGATCGTGGCTTTGCCCGCATGAGTTCATCGACTTTTGACACTTTTGACTCGAGAACATTCACTCTCTCATTCACACACAACCATGTCAGACGATACAACACGGCAGACTGCATCCACGGACAAGGCCTTTGTCGGAGAACAATGGAAGGGCGCCGAACCCACACACGCAGTCAAACCTGAAAACGCCAATGTCTACGCCGCCGCAGCGTCACAGCATACCGCCGGTGGCTCAGCTGCCGATGTAACTCTCAGCGACGCTGCAAAGACAATCAAGCTTGAGGACTTTGCTGCTTTCCCCAAGAAGCCCTGTGTAAGGGACTCACTTCTTACTGGAATTACCGCTGGCTTTGTTGTAGGCAGCTCAAGGGCAATTTGGAGAGGTAAGTTACTTGACTATCTTGCTTCTCTTGATCGCATCTTCTAACAAAAGTTCCACAGCACCCATCCAATCTGCCGCCAACTGGGCAGTCGGAACTTTCGTCATTGGATCCGCCGGCATGTACCAATACTGCCAGCACAAGCGTCTGGCAGAAAAAGAAGGCATGACACGCGCCATGGAGATTATCGATCGCAAGCAAGTCGAGCGCAAACAAAAGGAAGCTCGTCTGGAGAGAGCGAGAGAGTTGCGTCGTCAAAAGAAGGAAGAGGAGGATACTCAGAAGTTTGCTGAGCTAAACGCAAATGCCGCCAATGCCACTCCTGGCACAGACGAGGCTAAGTCCTCTTCGTGGAAGTTCTGGTAAATCTGCTTGGTTGACCCTCTTCACTTGCAAGCCTTTGCGACACTTTGCATCCGTGTATTGCACTCGAATGTGCTGGTCAGATGCATTGGACACTCAAGCTCTGGTCCCACTCGAAAACTAGAAGCTGCGCGACAGCTGTCGTGTTACACTCAAGAGACAAGCTCCTTGAGACGAGCATATGAACTGTATTTTTAGCCATGTAACATATTTTGTACAAACTACAACCGAGGGAAGACAGTTTAGTCGCGAACAACAAATATTGTGGTATCTTACTTCTATACTATCGTACAACCCAGTCTGCATGGCTGTTCTATTCTGTTCCTACACAATCCTCTTACTTCTTAGCAGGAGTCTGGCCAGGAATGACAACCTCCTTGAAGGGATACTTCAACTCATCATCCTTTCTCATAAAGTGCTTTCTCCTCTTCTTTGTCATGACGTGTTCGACAATAATCTCCTTGCCCATTTCTTTCATGTATCTTCTGATGAATCGCGGGTCCCAGAGTTCAGACGCAATGCCCAGGTCCTTGCAGCAGCGCATGAGAGCATTGGACTTGCAGCCCTCGGTTGCGGTAGGGATGCCATCGGGATCAAAGTATTGTTGCTCTCCGCGAGCTATTGAGACAAGTCTAGTAACGACATATTAGCAAGATGCGACAATCCATAGAATAGAGTCAAAAACTCACTGTCCTCCGGCAACCAGTGCATATTCTCTTGTGACCAACTTGCCGGTAACGATAGTTTCGCCACGGGGCACAAGACCCCAGCCTCCAGGACCAAACGCCTTGTTCAAGATCCTTCTGTACTTGATCTCGGGTAGGTAAATAATTCCGTCGGGCTTAATCTCGATATCGTCAAAGGGAATTTCTTGTGTCAAAATCGCGGCAGCCTCAGCGCTGAAAGGTGTTGAAGAAATGCCGTGGAATGAGCGAGACCAGTCGACTTGCTTCTCGCCCTCGTCCAGGGTAGGTGGAGGATCACTCAGACCTTCGGTGAGGGAACGCATAGGCTCACTTGGTGCGGCGGGAGCTGGAGCGGCGGGCTTAGGTGTGTTTGACGGTTGAGCAGCAGGTGCACGAGGGGCAGCAGTGTTTGGTGCGGTAGGGGTGGCTCCATCGTAGCGGCGAGTCTGCGAATTGAAGCTTCTGTAGGTTGATGGCGCAAGATGCGATGAGCGTATGCGAATGATGTTGCGCTGCGACGACCTGACAGCCGGCTCGAGGCCTGTTACGACCTCACGAACGAATGTGGTGCGCATCTTGGTATGCGTTGTTTGTTGCGCGTGAAGATTTGGGGTTGCAGATGGTCAAGCAAATATGGCGTGGCGAGGCAACCAAGTGGAAGCTGTTTTCGTCACTGAAACCACCATGGTACTTACCGTCAATGGTATCGTCCATCTACATTATGGACGATTCAGCAATATTAGCACAAGTAATGAACAAGTTCTGAAAACAATGGCAAGAGTATGGTACAGTTGTGTAGTGTATTGATTAAGAAGGACCATGGATAGCGGTCGCAGTCCCATCATGCTCCGAGCCACCAAGCTCATGCAGTGCAATCAACAGCTCAAGCTGACACTTCCACCAACTTTTTGAAGTTGTTCAAACATTCTTCTGATCGGTTCTGCGGTCATTGCCTTGCTTCTTCCAGCATTGCTTGAACTCTTCCATCTGTTGAGAGTGGTCAGTATTTGCTCGCGAAAGAGATCCGGCAATCGAAGCTCAAAGTCCGAGACTTTCTCAAATCCGAGGCCGCTCTGCTCGCTCAACTCACCTCTGTTTTGCACTGTCTCCAATCTTTCTTTTCGAAGAAGCAGTCGTTCAGGCGCGTGTTTTCGACTATTGTTCATTTCAGTCCTCTGTTTTTTCGTTGAAAATCACGCTCAATTGCTTACCAGAGCAGCCAGTGCTGAAGATACGCTTGTCCCTGCAGGCGTTTGTTGAGCATCTCGAGTCATACCAAAGACTCTAGGGAGAGCGGAACATACCATTCATCTGGCTCATCGTCATCTACAACTGCACTTGCAGTGTTCTGCTTGGGATCTCTTTCTGCCGCCATACTTTCAATTTCTGTCGAGTGTTGGAAGAAACAAGAAGTGCTGGTCATCATCCAAGAACAAACGAGGGTTCTCGGCCATTTACGAATCGAGTAATTGCCACAAAATCACCATCATGGCTGACAAAAGAGTTAATGTGCTCGTCTACTCGGGTATGCACATTTCATGATGTTTTCAAAAAGGTCTTGCAATTTGCTGATGTTTGGTGTTTAGGCAATGGTTCTACTGTCGAATCTGTTCGTCACTGTCTCTGGTCTTTGCGCCGGCTTCTCGGTCCTAACTATGCTGTCATCCCCATCACTGGAGAGACTGTTCTCAAAGAGCCATGGACGGCATCTTGTGCTCTGTTCGTCATGCCTGGCGGAGCGGACGTTGGTTACTGTCGCAGTCTGAACGGCGAAGGTAACCGTAAAATCTCCGCCTATGTCAACAAGGGTGGCGCCTATCTTGGTCTCTGTGCTGGTGGTTACTATGCATGCAAGCGCTGCGAGTTTGAAGCCGGCAAGAAGGGTATGGAAGTTTGTGGTGATAGAGAACTTGGCTTCTATCCCGGCACTTGCAGGGGTCTTGCTTTCCCTGGCTTTGTCTACCATAGTGAAGCTGGTGCCAGGGCAGCTGAGTTGAGCGTGAACAAGCAAGCCTTGACCACTGTCGGTGGAGCTGTGCCTGAAACTTTCCGCTCATATTACAATGGCGGCGGTGTCTTTGTCGATGCTGAAAAGTACAAGGATCAAGGTGTGCAGGTGCTTGCAAGCTATACCGAGCGTCTGCACGTCGACTCTGGCGAAGGCACTGCTGCTGTGGTATACCGCAAGGTAGGCGAAGGCTCTGTCATCTTGACTGGCCCGCATCCTGAGTAAGTTCGATGCTAGAGTTTACGAACAACAAGCTGATCAACCATAGGTTTGCTGCAGTCAATCTGACCAAGGGTGGTGACAATCCTGCCTATCCAAGAATCGTCGAGGCTCTCGCTACAGACGACAAGCAACGTGTCGATTTCATGAAGGCATGCCTGGCCAAGCTCGGATTGAGTCCTAGCCAGGATAACCAAGGTGTACCTTCGTTGTCTCGCCTGCATCTGTCGACGCTTGAAGCCTCGGAAGTTTCGAAAATTGCATCTTCATGGTCTGAAATTGTCGAAGAAGTCGACGGTAAGCATCTGGTCAAAGGCGAAAATGACACCTTCAGCCTTGAAAAGCAAAGCGGACCATGGAAAGCCGGAGAGTCTAGCACTCTCAGCCTGCAAAAGGTCGCCGATGCTCTGCCTGCCGTGGTAAAAGACATCCTTCCCACCGCTATCAGCAACCCATCATCCACCACAACCGCCGAGCAAGAACCCGCCAACCAAGACACCGGCATAGTCGACTACGACAAAATCACAAAAACCCTCTTGGTTCACGACACCTCCCTTCCCGACACAAAACAAACCCCCTACTTCAACCACCACGCCTACTTTGCAAACCTCTCGGCCTACAAGACCAAACACCACCACCACACCTCCGAAAGCTTTGGAAATGTGCTTCTATACGGAGAAGTCGTTACTTCTACATCCACCCTCCTCGAGAAGAATCCAAAACTGCTAGAGAAACTGCCGATAGGTACTACAGCAACGGCAACAACGCAGGTTGCCGGTAGAGGCAGAGGTAACAATGTGTGGGTTTCTCCTCCTGGCTCTTTGATGTTCAGTACCGTGTTACGCCACCCGATGGCTCTTTCTTCCACTGCGCCTGTGGTGTTTATCCAATACCTATGCGCCCTCGCCATCGTCTCTGGTATCCACAACTACGACCGCGGCTACTCTTCCCTCCCCGTGAAGCTAAAATGGCCCAACGACATCTACGCCCTCGACCCCTCCAAAGGCCCTAACGCCAACACTTCCGACCCAAAAAACTACGTCAAAATCGGCGGAATCTTGGTAAACAGTTCCTACTCTGGCGGCGACTACACTTTGATCTGCGGAATCGGTCTAAACGTCTCCAACACTGCGCCCACAACTTCCCTCAATGCTTTATGTTCTGCCGCCAAACTGCCTCCCATGCAAGGAGAAAAACTTCTCGCGTCTATCCTTGTAAACTTTGAGAGTTTGTATTTGAGGTTTTGTCATGGTGGGTTCACGCCGTTGTTGGATGTTTATTATGGACATTGGTTGCATAGCGATCAGATTGTGACACTGGAGCAGGAGGGAGGTGCAAAGGCTAGGATCAAGGGAATCACTAGTGATTGGGGACTTTTGGTTGCAGAGGAATTGGGTTGGGAAGATAGGCCTACGGGAAGGAAGTGGGAGTTGCAGAGTGATAGCAATAGTTTTGATTTCTTCAGGGGCTTGTTGAAGAGAAAGACTTGAAGGATGAGTGGGAGAGAAGAAATTTGAGAGAAGAGGAAACGATGGTTCGTCAAATATGCTCCTGTACTTCTATGTATGCAATCTACTGATGCAGTGTCTGAAAAGCGTCTACGAAACCTGGTGTGTTGTTTCATGCTCCGAAAACCAATGTCGACAAACGCCTTATCATGATCATCATCTATCCATCAGTGCATGAGAAGTTCCATGCATACCACTCCCAAGACGCCGGAACATGACAAACAAAGCCCTGCAACGACAACAAGTATCAAGACTGACAGTCATCTAGCCCAGACCAGCCTTGCCTGACTTGACAGTGGCCTGCACAGGAACAAGGAGACCACCAGAGCCTTCCTTTCCAAGCGACATACCAGCCGCCCAGCCCATCTTCTCCATGAGCTTTCTGCCAAAGTTGCTTGCTGGGATCTCGGATGCGTTGTGGCCGACAACATCACCGTTGCGGTATGCTGCGGCGCCGCCACCGCCACCTCCCATTTGTCTGGTTCTTCTGATCTCGCCAGCCATGGTACTCTTGGGCTTCTTGGATGAGTTCTTGAGGTATCCTCTGCTGACAAAGCTCGAGACGCGGTGGAAGTGTTGTTCGCTCCACTCGACAGTCCTCGATGTCTTGATAAGAACAGGCGCTCTGTTCTTGCCGCTTCCAACAGACTTTGACTTGAGGTTGAAGTGATTGGCAATCTCGTGAAGAACCTTGCGATCATTCTTTTGCATGGGCGGGAATGCCTTGGTCGTGTGGTCTTCTTGCTCCAAGAAGTCCTGAAGCTCAATTCTGACCTGAGCCATAGTAATGCCCTCGGTGTAGCGTTGGTTCATGTCGGGCTTGAACTTGTTCTTCTTGCCGAGCAAACCCAATTGACGCAGCTCCTCGCGCTCAGCCTTCTTGCTAGCCTTCTTTGAGCGGTCGTTAGCCCACTGGTTTCGTAGCTCCTCGACAAGATCCGAGTCTGACAGGCCAAGCTCTTCCGGAAGTGGTCCAGACTTGCGACCCTTGTTGTTCTTCCTAAGACTAGGACGGTCGAAGTCCATGATATCGAAGCCGCCATATGCGTCTTGCTCCAAGACATCCGCCATGAGAGTGGCGTCCGGGAAGTTGTCGCTCTTTCTGCCGCCCTTCTTCTTCTTGCCACTCTTTGGTTGCTTGAACGAGTAGTTCGCCAGACCTGCGCGAGCACCATCGACATCTCCGAAGCGGTCGTCATAGAGCATGATATCATCTCCATCGATACCCAACTCTTCTTGCTTCATGAACAAGAGAGCCAGCTCTTCGTCCGTCATTGCCTGTGCGCGTCGCTCTCGAAGATCAGCGTCGTCCTCCCACGCCTCACGCTCTTCGCGCGCTAAGCGTTCCTCAAGCTCAGAGCTATCTTCGCTGCCGATATCATCATCGTCATCATCATCATCATCGTCTTCCTCTTCCTCGGAGCCAGACTCATCTTCCCATTCATCCTCCATGCCAGTGACATCGACATCATCTGGGTCCTTCTCTTCCTCGTTCAGAAGGTCGTCGAAGAACTCATCGGTGTCGTCGCCAGAGTTGCCACCCAGACCACGAGCGCGAGTAGGCATGTCCTCTTCAGCAATATTGTCGATATAGTCACGCAACAATTCTTCCTCGAGATCCTGCTCAAGTCGGAAGATGCGATTCTGCTTCTTTCTGTTCTTCTTCGACTTTCGTGAAGCACGAACGCCGCTAAGATCTTGGTCGAGACGATCAGCGAAGCCGTTTGCCTCTTCCATCGAAGGCCAATGTTCTTCGGGCTGTACGGGAGACTCTCGCGACTTTGACTTCTCTGACATCTCTTTCGCCCACTCTGGTGGGTTGTCCAACGACTTGAGGAACTTCTCCAACTGAGGGTTCGAGTGAGGAGTTGGCTGAGCGACAGGCTTGGATGATGATTTTTCGGCAGGCTTTGACGTTGACTTTTGGGCGACGGCGGGAGGATCGTTTCTGATGGTTACACCACTGCGACCGCGGAAGACGACCTCGTCACTTGATGACGATCTTGCGGGTGAAGGTGCGCGAGGGGCGGGGACAGACTTGGGACCCTTGAAGGCAAGCGACTCGTCTCCGGCAGTGTCGACAAAGAACATAGGAGCGTCTTCGACTTCGGCTGGAGGTGAAGGCGCAGGGTGTTGCTGTAAGGCGGGCTGCTCGACAGGAATTGTGATCTCGGCGTGAATGTGGACTGATTCGTCGACGTCCATGTCGACATCGTCGACGCCGTCTGATGATGGAGCAGCGACAGATGGTTGAGCGTTAATGTCCATCTGAGCCATTGCGTCTTCTGAGCGGCGCAAATCTCTATCGTGGTCGAGGTTCTTCTCCTTCTTGTCTGAGATTGGCTCGTCTAACGGAGCCATAGAACCAGCGCTGACGAAGGAAATCTTCTGGTCTCGTAGCCGTGACTCCTTGGTCCATTCATGCTTCTCTGTGCTCTGGAGTTCATCTCTCAAGGAGAAATAGGGCTTGGGAGTATTTGAGCCTAGAGAGAAGAAGTTCAGCTGACAGAGGTGGCCGTCGATGAAGTGAAGGACTGACCAGTGTGGTTGTTGGATGAGTCGTCACGGAAAGCGAAAGCATTCTTGTTGCGTGGCGGGGTGTACTTGGCAGCCTTTTGTCTCAACTTCTTGCCCATTTTGAAGAGTTAATCAAACAAACAAGGACAAGTGAAGAAATGATGGGGTACTGAGCGGCGGGAGCAAACAATGCACAGAAAGGGAAGGTGTGGTGGACAGAAGTGAGGATGTTCCTGACAAGACGAGAGGCGAAAGTGTCGAGCGCCGGTGGAGCGTTCAGAAGCATCAGCATCATCGCTCCCGCCGTTTTCAGGGTCCGTGAGTGCCTGAAGTTAAACACCGCCTTTAACTCCGAACCCCAGCCCGTCACGCAGCCATCACGGTCAAGGTCAAGAGACGACGATATCAACTTGTTTGCTGCTGCGGTCATCTCATGTAGATACTGCCATGAACAGCGACAACCTTGTCCGCTTCGCCGGGCACATCTACCGATACATCAGGGATCCCATGCCGACCAATACTCACAACGACGACATTTGGTGCCTGGGCCAAAGATACGACTCACACCCTGAAGCCAACCCGCCCGAGTCCACCCAGCCTGAGCCTTCTCTAACCTCATCACCTGCTGCCACATCTGCGACCGAAGACATACCCTCCGATTCGGCGACAGTACCTCAGAAAGAAGACGAGTTCGAGACCATTCAACCCCAGGAAGCTACCAACGATAACGCCTGGCCACCTGCCTTCCTTGACGACTTGGAGTCTCGCATATGGCTGACCTATCGCTCCAACTTCTCGCAAATCGCAAAGTCTACCAGTCCCGATGCCTCGTCCTCTCTGTCTTTTCGAACTCGCCTTATGCAGTTGGGTAACCAGGGAGGCTTCACAAGCGACACTGGTTGGGGTTGCATGATCCGAAGTGCTCAAAGTCTGTTGGCAAACACGCTCCAGATACTTGATCTGGGAAGAGGCTGGCGCAAGGGAGAGCAGCCCGATGCTGAGCGAAGGCTGTTGGCTCTATTCGCAGATGATCCTTCCGCTCCCTTCTCCATACACCGCTTCGTCGAACATGGTAGCAAGGCCTGCGGCAAGCATCCCGGCGAGTGGTTTGGTCCATCAGCTGCGGCTCGGTGCATCAAGTATGCCATCTTGTCCTCTGTCTTCAAGACACCTTAGCTAACCATCTACAGGGCTTTGGTAGATTCACATCCTTCTTCTGGTTTGCGAGTCTATATTCGTCCTGATGACTCGAGCGTGTACGAAGACAGCCTCATGAGCATCGCTCGCGCTTCCAATGGCTCCTTCCAACCGACTCTGATTTTATTGGGTACAATGTTAGGCATCCGTGGTGTGACTCCCTCCTACAGAGAGGCCATCAAAGCTGCTTTGCGTCTTCCTCAAAGTATCGGAATCGCTGGGTATGATGATTACCTTCGCTTACCTACTTTTGATCGTCAACTGACCTGGATTTACAGTGGCCGACCGTCCTCCTCGCACTACTTTATCGGCACCCAAGCCGATCACCTCTTCTATCTTGATCCACATACCACACGCCCTCTGCTACCTGCTTCTCCCTCCGAGGCCGACATTGCTTCCTGTCACACACGTCGCCTACGTTTGATACCACTGGACGAGATGGACCCTTCCATGCTCCTGGGCTTTCTAATCCGCAACGAGGAAGATTGGACCAACTGGAAAGCCGTTGTCGAAGCTACACCACCTACCGGTACCAAGAGCATCATACACATTTACAAGGAAGAGCCCTCCCTCTCGGGCGATATTTCGGAGGCCGACTATGAGCGTGCCGTTGCCGAAGTACAGAGTTGTGACGAAGACGAGGAAGACGACGCCATCATCTGATGAATGCATACTGCTACGACGACTCCGATGGCGTTTCTCTGGGCTGTCTCTTGCTTCTCTTTTTGTTTTTTCCATACTGTCTTGGAGTACTGGGCAAGGGCTATTTGTTTCTTTGAGTCGAGGCTCTCTTTTGCGCGCCCGGCGCGACGCGATACCGTATGCATTCATGTGCTCGACCTACTCGAGTAGGTGCTCAAGGGAGTTTTCTCATGGTGGGTCTGTTGGTTTTCTATAGCAACAAGCAGAATATACCAATTTGACGATTTTCGCTTTACGTTCTTTACATCGCGGCGTGCGTGGGTCGTTGGTGTTGATACTGTGAAGATTGATGATTCGAGGTGGCTGGGAGGCACGGCAAGAGTCGGCTTTGCGTCTGGAGACAGGGTCGTACCCCATACAAGCAATTTCTGGGTCGACGACGATGTTATGGCCGCATCAATGACTATTTTCTTCTCTTTAATACTCTAACACATCCCATATGTGGTATAAATGGTGATCAATGAGGTCTTGGAGAAATATTGTGCTTCTTCGGTCTGTTCTGCTCGAATATATGTTTTCTGATATGCTTGATGTTGAACATAGACTCAACCAACGTTGGAAGATAGAGAGCAATAGAGATGAACAAGTATATTTGTCTATCGACACCAATTCTGCACAGATCGATCATCAAGTCAGACAAATGGCTATGGGACAGAAATCTAACCCTCCTCGAAACAAGATCACAAGAAAAATACCATAGTTGCTGGCACACGACATGCTTGATGTCAAAGACAGGGTGACTCTCTTCAACGAAGTTGACTTGGTCACAAAACAACACCAGCTGAACATCCCCAACACTAGAAACAACCATTTCATTTCAACTGACCTACACATCTCATCTGTCGAATGCATACACTACTTCCTACCCATCTGTCAAGTGCATACACTGTTACGAGTCTACCGCAAACATACAGCAGAAATATCTATGTCTACGTACAGCGATCAAATGCTCTCTGCCGTTGCCATGCCAGATTCGAAGACTAGACCAAGATCATAGAGCAGGAGCTTGGACTCCTGAGGGGAGCTCTCCTCTCAGAAGGACATAGCAACGGACCACCGTGACAGTTTCGCGTTTCGTCTGGCACTAGAGATCCGCTCGAGCATCAATGTCACTTCTCGTGATATACAGACGGTAAATGCTTCGTGATTCGTGATTCTTCTCGATATCATTCTGGCAGCATTTTCTCGAAAGCATTTTGGGAGATCCAACTCCATCGATTTCGAGTCTTCTTGTAATCCATTTCTCGCATTTGTTCTGTTGCATTCTCGAGTTGCAGTTTCGCTATCGAGAGCGCTCTCTTTTCTCATTCAAAAGTGAGTTGAGTTTTGGTGAGGAAGCAAACTGGAAATGATGCGAAAAGAACTCAATGAAAGGAAGAGAAAAGGAAAGTGGAAAGCAGGATGTAAAGGTTTGGAAAAATCGATTTGGTTTCCTCCATGGTTCTTATGGCTCTTGATTGTACAGCTCGTATCGTCGAACCTGTTGATGCGCCTCTCTCTTCTCTTAATCGTCGTAAGAAAAACCCGATGGTTGTAAAATGAAAAACACACTGCGCAATAAACTTATACCCCATTCCCATGACCGCATTATCAGAAAGAAGTAACCCCGCTAAACACCGTCCCAATTGGAGACCACCCCGTTGCCCAAAGCCCAGATTCAGGTCGTTGCTGAAACTTGAGGTGGTGGTATCACAGAGAAAAGGAAGCCGTCAGATCAACAAATGATTTGTGATCAAAGCAACTCTTACTTGGTGGAAGAAGAGTACTTGGTGACGGCCTTGGTGCCTTCTGAGACGGCGTGCTTGGCAAGCTCACCGGGGAGGATGAGACGGACACTTGAGACGAAAGTCAGAAAATGAAAAGTGAAAGACCAGATTGTTGTGATGACTTACGAGGTCTGGATCTCACGCGAAGAGATGGTGGACTTCTTGTTGTAAGCAGCGAGCTTGCTAGCCTCGGTTGCGACACGCTCGAAGATGTCGTTGACGAAAGAGTTCAGGATGGACATGGCACGGTTGGAGATACCAGTGTCGGGGTGAACCTGCTTGAGGACTGAAGAAACGCGTCAGTAAAAGTGGAAAAAGACGCGACTTGTTGATGCGAAAAGCGCAATCCAAGAAAGCAGAGTGATGCGATCAAGTAAAAGACGCGATTCGGATCAGTGGAGGTCGAGGTGGCGTACCCTTGTAGATGTAGGAGGAGTAGGTCTCCTTTCTGGTCTTGGTGCGCTTCTTCTTGTCACCAGAGGGGGCGGCGGTCTTCTTGCCAGCCTCCTTCTTCTCAGCGGGAGCCTTGCCAGCGGCGGGGGCCTTGCCGCCAGTGGTGGGAGTCTTCTGAGCTGCCTTGGGTGCCATTTCGATTGATGTGATTTGAAAAAGTCGGAAAAGACTTGAGTTGTTGAGTTGATTTGGGTGGTTAGAGGTGGTTGACACGTAAAATGCGCAGAGTGTTGATGATGGATGAAGAAAGAAGAGAGGAGGGTGCTGTCGTCGGGGAACAGCTTCGCCTTTATACAACTGCGGGTCGAGCTCGAATCACGGAAAGTGACGAAGCGTCGAACGCGACTTTCTCCAACGCGCTCACTCCTTCCTAGATCACAATCGCGGCGCCAAGCAAATGTATGAATGGCTTAGCGCAGGAAGGAGCTTCGGCTGTTAACGAATCAAAAGAGGGAAGGCACGAACGCACAGACCAACACTGGCGTCTCATTGATCTTGACGGCGAGTGAAGCTGTTGATCTTGGGGAAGCAACGTCAAGCGTCGCCGCGAGTACTTAACCACAGAGCTCCCCGAACAGCCTGTCGTCTCTTCCTTCATCTTTCATCCACGCTTCTCGACTCACGCTCGCCGTATTCATCGCCGCTTTTTAGCACCACTTTCAACTCAACCTTTTCAACCACCCCAACCAAATCAATCAAAATGACTGGAGGCAAGTCTGGCGGCAAGGCCACTGGCACCAAGAGCAACGCTCAGAGGTAAGCAAATCTCACTTCTTCACTCACTTCTCACTTTTGCGCCTCACTTGACGCGCTTTTCCGGTCCAAAACAACGCGTTTTTTCATCTCGAATCATCTGAGTCTCATTCTGACATCTCTCTCAGCCGTTCTTCCAAGGCCGGTCTCGCTTTCCCCGTCGGTCGTGTCCACCGTCTCCTCCGCAAGGGCAACTACGCCCAGCGTGTCGGTGCTGGTGAGTCAAATCGCTTCTTTCAATCCTAATCAACCGCATCTAACGCGCTTCATCAGGTGCCCCTGTCTACCTCGCTGCCGTTCTTGAGTACCTGGCTGCCGAAATCCTCGAGTTGGCTGGTAACGCCGCTCGTGATAACAAGAAGACCCGTATCATCCCCCGTCACCTTCAGCTTGCCATCCGCAACGACGAGGAGTTGAACAAGCTTCTCGGACACGTCACCATCGCCCAGGGTGGTGTCCTCCCCAACATTCACCAGAGTACGTTTTGCGCCACCTCCACAATCACACTTTCACATTCTAACATGCTTTCTTTCAGACCTTCTTCCCAAGAAGACCGCTGCCCCCAAGGCTGCCGGCGGCCCCAGCCAGGAGCTGTAAGCAACTCGCTACAACTTTTGATTCTTTGGGTTTTACGGCGCGCGGGGTGCTGCTTTCTTCAGCTACGATAATGGGGTTTTAACGGACTGGGCACAAGTGATTTTTTATTAACGGGAAGAGCATTTTCTTTTTTTCAGACACATTCGCAGCAACTTTCTATCCATTGTTGCTTGCAGAAGAACAGGGCTGTACATTACCAACCGTGGCCACGGATGGGTAAATGAGACCGGAGGGGAATAGCTGAATGACACGCTTTTGATACCATTACATCAACCAATTCAGCTTTGTTAAACTTTACACCCTTCTTGCCCACTCTTTCTCTTGCTTCATTCTCTACCTTCTCTTCATCTCCACGATTCAAGATACTCACTTTTAGGAGCTGTGTCTGCCTTCTTGACTGGAAAAGCAGATGCATCAGCGACAGCGAGAGCACGCGACCTCCGCAATACTCACAACGGCCAGCGAAACATCGCCAATATCGACTTCTACCAGAGTAGCGAGAAACATGAGGAACGCGTCTTTGAGAGATAGCCAGTCGAAAACAGCCAGAACAAGCAAATATGCACTAGTACGCGACTCAAGCAAAAGCAAACATACCAGAGATACAGAAAGGAGAAGAAGCAAGCCAGCCAGAACCGGCTGAGAGCAAGCAAGACGCAATTGAGCAGCGGACCAATGTCAAAAGAGTTACATGCACCGAATTGACAGGCCAAACACAAACTTGTACAGGTCAAGACAGACGAGAAGATTCAGATCAGAGAGAAGACGAGAGAGATATTGCAAATTCAAATGCAATGCATGGTAGATTGCACGAAGAGGAGCACCACGAGTCCAATGTAATCCTTCCTCGAGGCATGTCAGGTCTACTTCCATCCTCCGCAATCGAACAATACAGAGATGGTGGGAGCAGAAGAATGTATATGAATTCGAGCGTTCTTATGCTGTAGGCCTTTGTGCACACGCAACTGATTCAAAGGCTTCCTTGTTTTGAGGTCACGAGGGTGACAAGCAGAAACATCTGGCAGAGAAACACCGTCAAAGGCAGGATGATGCAGAGCAATCGAAGTAAGTACTGAACAGTATCTATTAATTTAAAGGCAGCAGAATCGATCAGGTATGCCAAAGATGAAGTTGTAAGACAAAACCGTACGATACTCTGCCTAAGCCAGCGAGCCAGGTCCACGGAACGAAGGCATTCCAGTCGCTAAGGTACAGGCCTGCCGCTATAGCACCCTGTGAAGTGCTGCAGCAATATCAATGTTGTAGAAGGCAGAGACCTACATCGAAGTTGTAGACACTACCAAGACGACAGCGGTACATGAATAACCATATGTTTGTCAAGGGAGACGTGAAGGTCTCTCTGTTTCCATCGCTCCAGCGATCAATGCACTTTTCGCATATAGTCATTGTACTAGACATCAAAATGATCAGGTTAAAGGGGCAGCAACAGTGTGAACAAGCACAGAAAAGATAAAGGATTGTAGCTTGACATCAATTTGAAGAGAAGAAAGGTGAACACGTTCAAGATCGATCATTCAGATATCGTACGTAGCATCAATAAACCCAGCCTCGGCCTCTTAGAGTACCAAAGTGAGAAATTCAGTGCTTGACTCTATACTTTTTTATCATCATGTAGATTCGATTTATCGGTGTGTGTGATTGCTGTGATGCAAAGTCTTTCTGAAAAGAGATTTGGGGAGAGAGAAGAAGCGATTGATGAACAGAAGAAAAGAAAAGGTATCGATTTGTTGCTCGTGGTATCTACATTTAGCAGCCTGGCGGGGGAGCTGTGTAAAGGCACTTGTCAGTGACTGAGGAGATTGAAGGCGTTGAAAGAAGAAGGACGTACGATCAAGGATGGGGCAGACCAAGTTACGCTCGTACTTGCTGCCACCAGGAGCGGTGGGAGGGCGGTATGGGTCGGGGTGCTTCCACTGCTTGAGGAGTTCTTCGGTCTGGTCAAAAAGGATCTGATGGGAGGAGAAAAATAGAACAGTCAGCGAACGAGATTCCAGTAGATTGAAGCGACAGCATTGGACGACTCGAAAGAAGGAAGAGGGCTGGTGACGGAGGGATGGATATCGCTCACTCTCTGTTGTCTGGGCTCGCGGACGTTGGCGTTGGCTTCGAAGAGGGAGCGGATGTACATGGCCTGGCCGCGCCAGAGGTATCGGTGGACGGACCAGTCAAGGGCCAGCTTGAGTGACCGGCGGTATAGACGGCTGTGACGATGAGAGAATCAGCACGCGCGCAAAGACACGGGCGACGGGTCGAGAGGCAGAGGGCAATTACATTGCGGATGTGTTGGCCATGGTGTGAGATGGTCCGGATGGTCAGCCGGAGAGAGTGTTTAGTGCAACAGGTCGCTCGACAGATCCAAAATGCTCTGTTGCGACTTCCCAATTGGCGTTTGGTATGCGCGCTCCAGCCAGGGCAGCAGCTGCAGTTGCTGACCTCTTGGCGCTCGTAGGGCTGGCACTGGCTGGCACTGGCTGGCACCGGCAAAGTGCAAGAGGCCACCGGCAAGACGCGGACGAAGCCGGAGCGAAGGGAAGGAAGGCTTTCTGACGTCGGCCAGCGCTGCGCTTGCTGGCGGCTGATCTTGGGAGCATCGAGATCATTTTCGCTGCCAACTCGTCCAGACTTCAAGGTTCCGCAAAGCATCAACTGCTGTCCCGACTTTCTACGGTCACCCCCCTCTATACCACAAACAAATCTGCTCCAACTTAGGACCCTCGCCCCATCGCGTCCTCTGTTGCTTGCCTTTCTCTGTCGCTCTCGCCTCTTTTTCTCGACTGCGTGCTTCCTTTCTTCTACACCATGTCCAGCCGTCAATGCCTTCGCCTGGCCGCAGGTGCTTCGATGCGCCCTGCTGTTCGCGCCGCTCCTAGATACGCTACTCGCTCTGCCGCCGCCCTGAGATGCCTCTCTACCTCCTCCGTCTCGCGTTCCTCTGTTCTCCTGTCACAACAACCGAGGTAAACATACCAAACTTGTCGAAAAATGTTGTCCTCCTGATCACATCTCCAGGACACCTGCACACCTCCTCCGCTCTTCTCCCATTGCTCAGGTCCAGACCCGCGGCTATGGTGCGTCAACTTACATTCCCACGCGCACGCCATCCTACTAACAACTATGTTGCAGCTGAGAAGGTCGTTCAGGTCCCTACCATGGCCGAGTCTATCACAGAGGGTACCCTGAAGCAATTCTCAAAACGTGAGTGCTAGCCTCAATCATCTTACTGCGACCCCATCTAATTACAGCACAGAGGTCGGCGACTACGTCGAGCAGGACGAGGAGATCGCTACCATCGAGACCGACAAGGTACATAACGACAAACATGCGCGATTTTCATCTTCACCAAACTAACCCTTCCCGACTCACAGATCGACGTTGCTGTCAACGCTCCCGAGGCTGGTACCATCAAGGAGTTCTTGGTCAACGAGGATGATACCGTCACTGTCGGTCAGGATCTGTTGAAGATGGAGCTCGGTGGTGCTCCTTCTGGTGGTAAGGACGAGCAGGCCAAGGAGGAGCCCAAGGCACCTGCCTCAGACAAGCAGGAGACCTCATCTCAGCCCGATGGCGCAAAGGAGAAGGAGGCTCCCAAGGAGGAGAAGAAGCCCGAGCCCAAGAAGGAGGAGCCCAAGCAGGAGAACAAGCCTGCTCCCGCCCCCAAGAAGGAGGAGAAGAAGCCTGAGCCCAAGAAGGACTCAAAGCCTCAGGAGGAGTCTGCTTACGGCAGCCGCGAGGAGCGCCGCGTAAGACTCCAACACCGTCTTTATTCATCTAGGAGCTGGGACTGACAAGATGGTTATAGGTCAAGATGAACCGCATGCGTCTGCGTATCGCCGAGCGCCTGAAGCAGTCGCAGAACACCGCCGCTTCGCTCACCACCTTCAACGAGGTCGACATGTCGGCCCTGATGGACATGCGCAAGCAGTACAAGGATGAGATCCTCAAGAAGACTGGCGTCAAGTTCGGCTTCATGTCTGCCTTCTCCCGCGCTTCCGTCCTCGCCATGAAGGACCTCCCCGCCGTCAACGCCGCCATCGAGGGCCCCAACGGTGGTGACACTGTTGTTTACCGCGACTACGTCGACATCTCCGTCGCCGTTGCCACCGAGAAGGGTCTCGTCACCCCCGTCGTCCGCAATGCTGAGTCTATGGATATGATCGGTATCGAGAGCGCCATTGCCGAGCTTGGCAAGAAGGCTCGTGACAACAAGCTCACCATTGAGGATATGGCCGGTGGTACCTTCACCATCTCCAACGGTGGTGTGTTCGGTTCGCTCTACGGTACTCCCATCATCAACCTGCCCCAGGCTGCCGTCTTGGGTCTCCACGCTATCAAGGAGCGCCCCGTCGCTGTTAACGGCAAGGTCGAGATCCGCCCCATGATGTACCTCGCCCTCACCTACGACCACCGTCTTCTTGACGGCAGAGAAGCCGTTACTTTCCTCGTCAAGGTCAAGGAGTACATCGAGGACCCCCGCAAGATGCTCTTCGGCATCTAGATTCGTTTGACTTGACCTCCCATTAATTATATCATAGTTGTTGCGCCATCATGAAAAGAGCATTCTGATTCTTTGTCGAGGATATCGAGTGCTTTCAGAACCAGAGGGTTAATCTCTGTCGTGTGTATATCAAACTTTTGTTCGTCCGTTCCCGGCCTGTTTTCTGTTCTTTCATGTGGTTTCTTATTCCACGTTCTGTAGCCTGTCACACAGCTGCAACGTGTATTTCAGTCTTGTTCTGTTTCAGTGAAATTCCACGCAACACAGGTTTGTTGCATGCTTGCACAGGGGCTGGCCTGCGTATAAAACCTTGACGGATACCTTCGTTCCGTGCTTTTTAACTTTTGCAGCCACTACAAAGCTACACTTGCTGTGAAACGACCATAGCATTCCAATTCGCAAGAAGGTTCGTGGAAGACTTGGCAGACGTTTGGGTCAATAGTTTGCTACTTCGAAGAACCATGGTTGTGCTTGAATGTCGTTGCAAGGATATCGCTTCTCTTGGTCTAAACAGGCTGAGTTTGAGGATTTCGTTGTGTGCAGATAGGTGGGTAGGTAGGTGGTTCGGTCGTCGAATTGCCAAAGACAGCTTCCTCCACATTCTCCGAGTGGGGCAGAGTGATTATGGTCAGGGTCGTACCCAAGACAAGCCTTCTCGAGACTGACGACGACATCACAGCTCGACACATGATTATTATCTTGATCAGACCCTACAGGTTGTATCTTTGGTAGTCTCTGTGGCTTCTGTGTGGGTCTTGAGCTGATCGCTTAGGTATCGAAGAAGATATGACCATTTTATGGTTTTGAGCATTGTCATTTCAGAAAATGGTCCTGCTCAGTTGCGAACGAGGTTGTCACATTGCAAAGAGAAAAGGTAATTATGCTTATATTGAGATAGTTGCACAGGGACTTCCTAGAAGACCGCAGGTATGAGTAGCATGTGCAGTCAATCACTATACGCTACAGCTATACCAGAAAAGAGAGCACACCTAGTCGTCGTAGCCCATCGCATGAGCGGACGTTCCAAATCTCTTCCGGATTTCGGAAGAGGTCCTTTCAGATGTGTCCCCATCGAGAATTCGCATCCGTTAGCATCAATCAGCATCCAACCACGCGCACGGTGCAAATGTTAGCATCAAGCTAAGAAGATCATCACGCGTCCTATATTACGACCGCGGACAGAGTCATGGAGGATCTACACCTGAATTCAGGTTTTTGTACATTGGTAAAATGCCATCAGAGTCCGTTCGTATTGTGCTTCGTTCATATTGTTAAGCAAAATGGCCCTTCCGCTGTTTCTGATTCGCCCAAGCGCCAATGTCGTGAGCGATGCCGTCAATATCCGGCATCTGATCCTTGACTCGTGTTACGACGTCCGAATAGGCTGGTGCAGAGTCCAGAATGTCTGGTTCTACTTCCCAATGGCAGTGGGCGTACTTCGGTAGGGAAAAGGGCCGGTCCAGTGCGGACCAGCAAATTGTTGATACAGACTGTGAAGGGGGTTATTCGTGCGCATGCACGAAATAGGCAATCACGTTTTACAGACCCAAGGTTCTTCCCGCACCACAACTCTCTCTGGAAACTAGACGCGGTCCCTGGCCACCAGAACAAAGTTCCCTGTCAACCTTTCGCACGACACAGTTTCAAACGACAGCCTTGACATGTACATCTTTGCTGTAGATTCAACGTACCTTGGTGTCTGCTCTTAATTTTGCTTCCGGCACCTTTCAAAGTTGTCCAAGTATGAACCTCGATGACGGTACACTAACATACCATTGTAACAGATCGTCGAGAACAAGCATTGCCTATGGTCGCCATTGTCTCGCTCCTCTGATCAATGCTTTCTGATCTGAGCACATTCCTTTTCGGTATCGCGATATCTGCCGTGTCTTGATCATCTCTATTTCTGCTGCTGCTCACGTGTTATCGACTCATTGCTAGTGCAGGTAAACCTGCGTACCTCGAGGTATCAACTTGACCATATCATGATTAGCAACCAAGACCCGCTTCAACATGTCAATGCAGCCTGACTCTCCGATTTTAAACTCTGAACAGTCAGTCTCAGCAACGCTCAGGCTACAATTGCCGTCGCCAAGTCAGGCGTGCACAGGCTTCCTCTTCTCCATACACTCGGACCTCTCTTTACACATCAAGGCTGAGATGTGTCGAAAGATCTTCGCTCACGGATCACACCCGCTGAAAACAATTTGCTGGGTCTCCCAGTCCCCAGCGATACTCCAAACGCTAGTCCTCATGGCTCAAGGCTAAAACAGCTCTGACCTGTGGAGTCAACCCTAGAACCGCACACAACTAAGGTGACAAGACAGAATTGGGATGTTTCCATGACTCTTGGTCTGCAGATTATGATAATTCAGTGGTTCAGTTTCAAAGTCTTCGAACCTTGTTGCTGTCTGACATGGCCTTATTAGCATAACATGGTCCCCATTTACCGGACCTCGACCCGTTGCTTGTCGACCCTCTCTTTCCAACGACACCTCCTCGGGATAAGAGCCTCAATTAATCTGGACAGCTTCCGGATCTGGCGTTGACTTGTCCAGCTCCAAACATGAAGTCTTTGGTGGTATTATTGTTATTCGCCTTTGCTTGCTCATCTCAAGCCCTCACATCGCAACAACTGCAGAATGCGAGTGCTGCAGACATCTTGCAACTTGCAGCCCAGGAGCTGCCTACCTGCGCAGTACGTCAAACGCCTTGAAGTATTGATCCCAGAGACTTACTGTCTATAGCTTACATGCACAATAACGACCCTTAATGGGCCAGACTCACCATGCGAGCTTACGGATCTTGCCTGTATCAAAGCCAACAAACCACTTCAAGATGAATTGACTGTATGCGTCAAGGCCAGCTGCACCATCAAACAATCACTCAGTAAGCTCTACGGACCTAATTGCAATCAAACAGGGTACTGATGATTGTAGCTGCCAAGGCATTCCTTCAAACATTGCTAGGTGTTCCACGACGTAACAAGGAGGCAGTTGGAACTTATACGACCCTGGTCGTGGGAAGTGTGGCTATTCTGACCTACTTCTTACGAGTGATTTCTCGGCTGCCCGGTTGGGGTTCGCAATGGGGCCTTGATGATTGGGCTCTTACTCTAGCTATGGTAATACTCCGCTTTCGAATATCCTTGTGAACCAATACTGACAGATCAAAGCTCTTTACTGTTCCACTGACATTCTGCGCATATGCCTGTAAGTCTCGCTCTTGCTCTTGCCTGAGTCTTACTGATTATCCCAAGTGAACCAGATTGGTATGGGCAAGGACATGTGGTTCGTGTCCTTCGATCACATTACAAAGATTCTCAAGGTACGTTCCCAGATAGTCAACCATATCTAGGCACAACTCACACGTTCACGACCAGATCTTTTACTTCGCCGAACTGCTCTATCTTACAGCCGTTGGAATCACGAAGATATCAATGTTACTCTTCTACCTCCGAATTTTCCCTGACTGGAAGCTTCGTCGCGCTATCTATGGCATGATTGGAGTTTGCACCACGTACATCATCGTCTTCGTCTTGGTCACTGCCTTCCAATGTAGACCCGTTAACTTGGCCTGGCTGAAATGGGATGGCGAGCACCATGGGAAATGTCTGGACTTGAACGCTGATGGTTGGGCGGCTGCCTCTATAAACATCCTTCTCGATCTAATCGTCATCGTCCTACCTTTGAAGCAATTGACGATGCTCAACATGAGCTGGCAGCGCAAGCTAGGTGTGATAGCCATGTTCCTCGGTGGTGGCTTGTAAGTTCTGCTCCGTAAAAAAAGCTCGACTAGATGCTAACGTACACCTTCAGCGTCACTATCATCAGTATCCTCCGCTTGAAATACCTCATTCAGTTTGCACACACCGAAAACCCAACTATGGACTACCTGCCCGTTGGAATCTGGTCTGCAGTCGAAAGTGACGTTGGCATCATGGTCGCCTGCGCACCCGCCATCCGCTCCCTCGGACACCACATCCGCGAAAAGATCTGGCCCAAACAAAAGTCCCAACCATCCTACTACGAAGACACCAAAAACAGCAGCAACCACAAGAGCAAAGCCGACTCTGTCAGCCGCAGCTGGGGTGCCTCTAAGATGGATTCTCGCTCGCGCCTTAGCATCAGCAATCGCAAAAACGAGTTTGTCCAGATTGACGAATACGAAATGGATGTGGGCGGTCCCCTCTCACCCAGGGATGATAAAAGAACTGTGGCGGATGATTCTTCAGAGGGATCTTTCAACCGCTCGTATACGCCGCATGATGATATTGCACCTCTGGCTGCTACAGCAGCACCAATTGGAAGGGGTAACAGTGGCATCATGGTGCAAACGGACTGGAGCGTTGGCAGAGAAAGTCGAGAAAATGGTCGCCGCCTTTAGAAATTTGCTCTCTTTTCTTTTTTCTTCTAAGACAGGATACAACAGCATGTATATACAAATTAATCAGATCATCTAGAGCGTGGAACATCAGTACTCGCTCGGTCGCAATCACTTTCTTGAGCGAGTTGGTCTGTAATCCGCCATAGACCATTGTTCTTCGCAAACGCAATATCATCTTCAGTCTCATGTATCAAAACCATGATTTAGCATAAGAAAAGCTGATGAGTAGAAGATGATAGAATGATGATTGTTTTTGTGATGCTGGTTCATGAATGATAGATTGAAAAAAATTGCAAAACAAGCACATACGGCCATAGTCAGCTGAAAACTGGGCATCCCGTCCGCTCTGCCATACATAAGCAGTTGAACGGCAGATTAGTACTACGGTGGGTGACCACGTGGGAATCCCTGCTGCTGTATGTTTTGCATTTTCATTTTGTTCTCGACGGATCTCTTCTTGTGCTGTGTCTTTCGGTTGTTAGGCCCTTAGTTGCGCTGTGTGATGGTGTTGTGACGCCGAGCTTTTGGTATGACTGGGCTGTGAATCTCGCATCTCACATCACGTCCGATGAGCGAAGAGCGTCTGACCTTGCTCCTGCCGAAACTCTCAAGTACTTCTATCTGGCCTTGAGCGAGACCCGTCTAGTCAGTCTGGGCGAGTCAGTAATCGATACTAAGGCACGTCCGTTCGCGCCATCACGGTGCACTTTTATGTGATTATCTCGCTTGCCTGTATTCCTCATCAATATGATTTGGATAGACATCTACTTGGACAAACATCTGAAGTCGAGACCTTAGAAAAGCTCCTATCTTGTTCTTAGATGGATGAGGAACACTTCACATCCGATCCACCATCGCCAATTCCATGGCGTATACATCCCCGCACTGTCTACTTGGCGAAGATAGTCATCTTCGTCACGTACAATCCTTCAAGTCTTCCAATTCATGGCTGATTTAATCGTGCATCTAAGAAGCCTATCTCCATCTTATCTCCATCTGTGGTATCTATATAGCTAAGAGCGATTACTCAAGTTCCGCGAGCCTCTTTGCTGCTATCAGTCGCTTTTCCACCGGACGTGAGTAGGCAAACATGGCAACTGCATATGATGTACAGACGTATTTGCTGGATGAGTCCAATATCCAGGACACAGTGACACGCATGGTGAGTACAGTATGATTCAAGCCCAGATGTGATGGCATACTTACAATATCCTATAGATGTACGCCTTTGACAACAAAGATTCGTCAATGTTGATAGATCAAGTGTATGCGCCAGAAATCCATCTCGACTACGATACACTGCTACTCGGCGGCAAACCAGAAGTCATCACCAGCAAAGCATGGGCAGATAGACTGGAACATATGCATGATGCTTACGATACCACCCAACACACTGTGCAGTAAGTACACATACCCTTTTGGGCCACTGAAATGGATTAAAACTTACACCGAATGTAGCAACTTTCTCATCGAATTGCCTCAGCCACCATCCGCCAATAAAGAGGTTGCAAGACCAGACAGCTGTATAGTCTATGCGCATGCAGATGGATGGTTCTACAACCGCAATGCAGAGGGGCGACCACGAATTATGTGTCGGCGCAATGGAGTGAGTCTCGTCTCTGCTTTCTCCGCTACCGCATCCGCAACAGCGACTAATCGCACGCTTGACAGGGCAAATATCGTTTGGAAGTTGTTCGACTCAAGGATAAGGAAGAGCGAGGAGAGAATCCTTGGAGGGTTTGCAAACAGCGTGTAAAGTTATCGTGGCAGGATATGGGAAGCCAGTAGCGACTTCCTTAATGGATAGGAGTGTGGACTATAGTTGAGGTTAGCAAGTCATGATGAATTACCATTCGTTGGACTTTCAAATCTGCACTTCAGCTCGTTGTCCAGATGCGACCGCTCCTGCAAAGTATCCAAGAACATGAGTTGAGATTGTTCGAAGAAGATGAATAACAAAAGAAATAAGACGGCATGCAACAGTGATCGAGGTTAAGAGCAAAGCATAACCTGGCGAAGCAACACCAAGGCTTGCGGAGGCAGATACAGGAGTTGAGACAGCCTTATGAACATGTTGCAGGTCATCAACCATCACAAAGTACCGACCTCTGTCTTGCTTGGCATTGTCGTTGTAATTTCATCTTCACTCAATTGAAGCAATGTCTCAAGACGACACAATCCGAAAATATGGGCTCCGCCATCGTTCTCTCTGCCCTTTTCGCTATCCTCGGCATGACGGGACCTATCATATTCGGGAAGCGCGACAAAAGCGAGTGTTACTGTCACTCAGGCGGCACGTGTTGTGTGTCTTTGCTTTCTTTGTTGTCCAGCCTGTCCAGCTGGCAGAATAATTTTTGTAGTTCCTTTACGCCGATCACACCGCCACTGGTTGTGGTGACGTTGCTTGCGAGTGGATCGAGGAGGAGGATGCTGGACTGACCAAGGGAGACACCGAGACTCCTAGCGGACTTCTTAGACTGGATGTTAGTGAGAGCAATGAGCGTCGTTCTCCTTTTCCTGCCTTGATGATATGTCTTAGTATCCGAACCCATCGTGCCGTCTCTTTGCGCTGTCTCTTGACGGTGGTGGCAATTTCAGAACTCCGATTTCTTGTCCAGGATTGAAGTGGTGCTCGCGATCGTTGGAACTTGATTGGACGTTTGTTGTATCGAGAGTCTCATGAGTTGTTCTCCAAGAGAGTAAGGGATATGGCGAATTGATGCAGCACAAGCGAATTGAAGCCCTTCATTACCACTCATGAGCTACGTAAAGGGCATTCGCCGGCTTGGGTTTTGTTTGATAAGGTAAGCTTGAACTGTAAAGCACGTATCCGAATCGATTCTCTACATGTGGGGGTTAGTCATGCCCAAAGACAACAACAAGGACGTAGGAAGAAAGAAGAGGAAACAAGAAGCAGCCAAGATCACAAAATAGCCCCGAGGATGGACTGAGGTGACCTTCGCATGTCCCAGAGGCTTGATCTGCCGTGAGCGGTGTGATTGCCTGCCACTACATCCGTCAACGGCCAAGGGCTTGGATAGATTTGAGGCGTTTACCAAAAAAGCATTGAATAGCCGCGAGGAGCTGGATATTCGTGCTTGACTTGCAGCCACCCTCTTGGCTTGCTCAATGATTGACGACATGCCTTGATGTCGTAGCTGTACGATGCAAATCAGATGGTCGAGATGGTCATGAATGACAGATGATCTGAGCCGAGCAAAAAGCAGAATGTCGTTGACCTCACGATTTACATGCCCAGATTCGTAAAATGAGGACGGAAAGGGCGAAGAGCGACAAACCGGCGCTCGCCTGCTTCTAGAATCGGTCAACCAGATCCACACCATCACTGATTCACTGCACCCTGTTCTGATTTTGCCTCGGAGCATAACTTGCGTGCATCAGCGGCACGTATGTATCCACCACCTGACTCGAGTTCAAGCTTCTTGTTGGTTTTGTTGTCCAGACCTATTTGCTATTGGCAGACCAAGTTTGGGTCAGCCATTCAATCCAAGAAGAGCCAACACATGCCTTGCGAAGAATGGCATCCTAACGTGATAACTTCGAGGTCTAATGAGATTTGATGATATTCGGAAATTGCAATGCTGCACGTGTTGTTCCGGAGGCCATCATCACTGTAGCGATTCACGAGATAGCCGCGGCCGTTTAAACAGGACCGAAGAACAGAAGTCCGTTGAGCGAATAGAAGCCGCCAGGCTGAATGTTTGGGAGCCATTTCCGACGGAAAGTAGGAGGGTACATTTCGCTTCCAAGTTCCAAGACGATTATAGTGGTCCAAAAGAGAGCCTGTTAGTCTGAAGGATTCTGGTTGAATATGGCCGGTGGTTATAGCGCAGCATGTATTGTGCGGGTGACAAAGAATATCCACTTCAAAGTCTTGGAAGGTCGATTCAGCAGCGTAGCTTGATGCAAGAAACGAGATGCTCACACCGAAAGGGAAAACTTCCTCTGTCGGATGTCACTGAACCCTGAGGGTGAGAGGAAGGTTAGGACGAAGTGGCTTATGCCAAGCAAACGTGGAGGAGAGCGTGTCTGGCCACTTGGGGAAGGCACGAACATCAACGTGTTTCCCCAGACGTTCTTCATTGGTCCGTTGGCACTTCACACCTTTGGGCTCTTTGAGACGCCTCGACTTCGAGTCTCGCTCGGCTATCTGCAATTAACGTCCCTCGGGCTCACTATTCGGCGGCAAGGAGCGCACTCCTGCTGCTAGGGTCACGTCGCACAAGCCCGCAATCGCCTGCAATTTTCTCTTCGGTCTTGCCGTTCCACGTGTGAGTGGGACGACTACCCAGCATTGGCCCGGATCGAGCAGACCTGACACTGCATGTACCATCAGCTTGGGATTGTTCAAGATCCATCATGCAGGTCCAGTCTTGCGAAATGATGCGAGCGTGAGCACGGAGCTTTTTGATCGTCCAAACCATGTTCACGCGACAAAAAGATTATCATTGAGGCGAGAACGCAATAGTAGTATGCTAAGGTTTTTCTTTGCACGAGTATCACAAATCTGGTCGACCACGAGTTGCGAATTGTGGTTCGCAAGGCCCCACGCGGGAGATGGCTCACTCGACATGTTGCTCAAATCGGCCGTTGTGCTAAAAAGTCTAAGATTAGGCTTTGGGGAGCAAGAACCGTCAAGACCGTGCAAGACGTTCTCAAGCACCCCAAGATTCAAACTTACGGCCTTGGCCCTCTCGTGCGTGATACAATGCAGTTCGCTGATTGGATTCCGACACGAAGCGCCACAGTCTGGGCCTGCAACCAGTTGAGGAACAAGCAAACAGTCGTCTGACAGCCAAGTCAAAATTCTCGAGTAAAGATGCTGTAGATAAAAGAAGGCAGCTGCTCACCCCTGTTGTGTTCTGTCTCGTCCATCATCAGCCATTCACTTCTGAAGACAGATCGTCCACAGTCAGATCTTTCTGACCACTCCTTCCCCTACACTCATTGCTTCTACCATCCTAGGTAGCACCTTACTCTAGCAATGGCCGCCAACAACAGAACCGCTGGTGGAAACGCCGCCTTCCACAACTTCAACAATGACTTCGCTCACATCGAGGACCCTAACGAGCGTCGCAGACTCGCTCTTGCCGAGATTGACAAGGCTCCCTTCGGTTGGTACCACGTTCGCGCCATCGTCGTTGCCGGCATTGGTTTCTTCACCGATGCCTACGATATCTTCGCCATTGGTCTCGTCACCAACATGCTTGGTGTCGTTTACTGGCAAGACGCCAAGAAGAACCCTGGCAAGATCCCTCAGTCTTCCGACACTGCCATCAAGGTTGCTACCTCTGGTGGCACTGTTCTTGGTCAGGTCGGTTTCGGTTACCTCGCCGATGTTGTCGGTCGTAAGAAGATGTACGGTCTCGAACTCATGATCATCATCTTCGCAACCATCGCTCAGGCTCTCTCTTCTCACTCTCCCGCTATCTCCGTCGTTGGTCTTATCATCTTCTGGCGTGTTCTCATGGGTATCGGTATTGGTGGTGACTACCCTCTCTCATCTATTATCACCTCTGAGTTCGCTACCACCAAGTGGCGCGGTGCCATGATGGGCTCCGTCTTCGCCATGCAGGGTATCGGTCAGTTCGCCGCTGGTATCATCGCTCTCATCGTCACTGCCGGTTTCAAGGAGTCGCTCATGACTGCCAAGAACCCTGCTGCTTGCGACGGTGTCTGCCAGCTTGCCGTTGACAAGATGTGGCGTGTCATCATCGGTTTCGGTGCCGTCCCTGGATGCATTGCTCTCTACTACCGTCTGACCATCCCTGAGACTCCTCGCTACACCTTCGATGTCGCTCGTGACATTGTCAAGGCTGACACTGACTCCAAGGCTTACCTCAACGGCAAGCACCACGGTAACCCTGATGAAATCACGCGCGCTACCACCCAGGCCGCCACTGCTGGTCAGCTTGAGGTCCCCAAGGCTTCGTGGGCTGACTTCTGGCGTCACTACAGCCAATGGAAGAATGGCAAGATTCTTCTTGGTACTGCTGGCTCATGGTTCTTCCTCGATGTCGCTTTCTACGGTGTCTCGCTCAACAACAGTGTCATCCTCACTGCTATCGGCTACACTGGTGGCAAGAACATGTACGAGGTCTACTACAACAACGCTGTCGGCAACTTGATCATCGTCTGTGCTGGTGCCATTCCTGGTTACTGGGTCACTGTTGCACTTGTTGACACCATCGGTCGCAAGCCTATTCAGTTGATGGGCTTCACCCTCCTTACCATCTTCTTCTGCATCTTCGGTTTCGGTTACCACGCTATCGGCACGGGAGGCAAGCTTGCTCTCTACGTTCTCTGCCAGTTCTTCTTCAACTTCGGCCCCAACGCCACCACCTTCATCGTTCCCGGAGAGTGTTTCCCTACCCGTTACCGTTCCACCTCCCACGGTCTCTCTGCCGCCTCTGGTAAGATCGGTGCCATCATTGCCCAGGTCGTCATTGGTCCTCTCCGTGTTCGTGGTGCCACCAAGACCCAGCCCTCTCCTTGGCTCAACCACGTCCTCGAGATCTTCGCTCTCTTCATGTTGTGCGGTGTCTTCACCTCGCTCCTCATCCCCGAGACCAAGCGCAAGACCCTCGAGCAGCTTGCTGGCGAGGTTCCCGGAACCCCCGAGTACGACGAGCACACCCATGGTGCTGTTGAGACCAAGGACTCGACAGACTACTCCCAGACCAACATGGCTGAGAAGTCTGCTGCTTAGATGAATGTTGATGATGCTTTATCTCTCTTTTTGCTGCTTTTGATACCAAAAAACTGTTCATGGTGTATATAAACGGGCTACACTTTCCTTTTTCTTACTTGCTCAAGCGGTCTGGTTCTAGTTGGTTACAGTCCATGCTTTGATACTTTTAATGTCAAACAACCTCCTTCACTTTTACAAACATCTCTATCTCCTCTGTGCTTGCCTCTTATCATTACTTGTTAAAGTTGAGGCACTTTTGACCCTAATGATCTGACTTTTCTAACATGAAAACCATATCTCGGGATCGCCTTCCCGACATCACCCACACGAACAACTTTCCGACCCCAGATCTGGAAGGTCAGAAAAAAGTATCAATTTGCTTCTAGACCCTATTCATCTCGTATCTTTTCTCCATTTCCCCGGCTACTGCTGATCTTCTGCATAGACTTGACACCATGTATGCACCCCGCCTCTTTTAACTGCATTGCAGCAGCACTTCCGCTTTTTGAGTTTTCCGGACATGCCGCTTGCTTTGCCTTCCTTCTAGTGCCATCTTCCCCGTTGGCTGGCTGGCTGGCTGTGACTTTTCTGGGTTTTGTTTAATGCCCGTTGGTGCTGTTTCTTCTTGTTGTTGTTTCTCTGGAAAGATGCACCGTTTTTATGTTGCGGTAGTCATGGTGAATATGCTTTTTTGAACCCAATATATGTCTTAGCATTTGGGCATGTGTACAAGTATGCCGGGGGTACGTGTACTTTGGTGGCTGCAATGGCTAATGATGGGTGATCTGAGACAGACAGAAGTGCCAAATCAAAAGACTGATAGCCCATACGAAAAGTCTTGCTTACGAGAATCAGGTTGCATGAAGTGGCTTAGCTGAGACTGTTGAAGTGTTTTACTGAGTTCCGAACAGTCAAGTGACAGACATCTGAGAGTAAAGACTTTGATCTGCTATTTTGAAGCCAATGAGTAAAGTGCCATGGAGCACAGAAGGTATTGACAGATGATAATGCGTAGCAGTCCAGAGCTATATGACTCGATTTTCAACAGCGTGACAGGGTTCACTCGAGTCTATTTACGAGCGACTAAAGGGGTTTGACTGTATCGTGTAGTGCATGTTGCTGTACATAGTCGGCACCCTCGAGTTTATTCTTCTCTCTATCAAAGATGGCGACGTAAAGATTAATGTCTTCGTTCCTTCTTTAGTGGACGGAGAACCTTGGTAGTAAAAAGAGCTTTGATGGCATTTGTCCCTAGTAAAAAGGGTGCATATTGAGGAATAAAGCTATTGGCAGTAAGAAGCGTATAAGAAAAAGGCAAAGAGAAGCGAAAGAAAAAAAAAAGAATCAAAATGCAAACAAGTTGGGTATCGCTCGCCGTTGAAAAACACAACCACCTCTTATGCACCTCAGTTCGCCTGGATTCACCGATAAGGAAGTCGACAAGTGTTTATTAAAATAGGTTTGTCCGCTTTGTGAGTTTGTGTGGATCTACCAGCACTTCAGACTAGAGAAGAAACCGCCCTTCTTCTTCTTCTTTTGCGGCGACGTAGCTGCAGATTCGGACTCTGAGAAACGCAACTTTTCGGATTCGCTGGTGATGTTGGGTGCAGGGGCGGATTGATGTGTTTCTGTTGCTGCCGAGACGCGTTGCGAGGCGGGTGTTGGGTTGACGAGGGAGGGGAATTTTGGTCGCTGACCTGCAGCGTACTGTTCTCTGGCCTCGACTACGCGCTTGACAATTGCTGTGTCATGTCAGTCCTGCTTTCCGAGCAAAAGTGGAGGTACGAAGCTTACAAGCAAAAGTCTCCTCGATGTTAACGACCTCACGCGCCGAAGTCTCCATGAAACCACAGCCTCTGCTCTTTGCCCACTCCAGACCTTCGGCAGCACCGACTTGTCTCTGACCCTGAAGATCGCACTTGTTTCCAGCGACCATGAGGGCAGGCCAGCACTTTCCCAGCTCTTGTCTGTTTTCCATCTCCATATCGATCAATTCGGCAAAGAAGTCGAGGTTTTGTAGGGATTGGGCATTGGTAATGTCGTAGACGAGGAGGAAGGCGTCAGAGGTTAGGTTTGCGGCAGACCACATGCCGCGATATTCTTCCTGACCTGCAGTATCGGTGAGGAAGAGCGAGTAAGTCTTGCCATCGATGGTGCGTGTCACCGAGTACGAGTCTTCGATTGTGGGATCGTAGTCGTGGGTCCAGGCGGAGCGGACGATGCGTAATGTGATTGATGATTTACCTGGCGCATTGCATTAGATGGAATCAAGGAAGTTGCGACTGAGAGGTACCTACCACAACCGCCGTCGCCACAGATGGTGATTGAGATCTTGTCGTCCATTGTCGGTGCGCACTTGTCGTTGTGTGAGGTTCGCGAAAGGATGAAGATGGAAAACGAAGCGAGCGCAGTCGATAGAGAGGTTTCGGAGTCACAAAGTACAAGGTGTTGAGGTCGCGTGAACTGCGTGGTACAAATGGCCGAAGTCCGAATGCGTGCCCGAGAGATGAGGATCAAGTGAAGATTGCAGGACAGTAAGAGAGTGAGCGAGCGAGAAAAGAAGTGCCGGTAGAAGAACCAAATACGCCAATGAATGCTAGGACCGAAGGAAAAGAAGATGAAGGACGAAGACGCATCTAGTGCATCGCATCAAAGTCATGTCGATGTTGACTCGGTGCGTGCAGGCTGATCCCTGCTTTGCCGACGCTCGGTCCTTTTCCAAGATGCCCTGTCGATCATCCTAATTAACCACCCAGATCTGCCCTGCAGTCGAACGTCCATGCAGGAAACTCCTGGTGCTTGCTCTTGCTCAAAGTCTCTCTCTATGTATCCTGCATCCTGTATATACAAACACCCTTCTAGAGGGACTAGAAAGTCAAGAATCAAGAACACAAATCATCAACTCATCTCAACGTCCCCAGACCACCATGAAACACTTCCGAACCATGATGCCCAAGAGCTCCACTTTTTAAAGCCCGTCCTAGCTCCTTCGACCCGACTCGTGCCCATTCTCCTGATGTAGCGTGACACTGGACAATCATATATGAAAATAATCTCGTTATTTCTCGTTTGTTGCGACATAGCTGACTGATCTATTTGTTGCGTGCCCAGTCTCTTCTCTGAATGTTGCGCAGTTCAGGCATATCGTATGCTTGTGCTGGAAGCTCTACATCCTTCGGCCCTGTAATGATACCGAATTCCTCCGTGTAGTGTGAGCTGCTACCATAAAACCCGACAATCTTCTCTCCCACTCCAGCCTCCAATACCTTGATGTCGTTGTTCCCAAACATACGTCCAGCTGCTCGATGTTTGTTGAGCGATCCTGTCTTGGTGCCATTTGACAAAGTCATAGTTATACCACCCAAGACCCTATTTCCCCATCCGAATCTATTCACCTCGACCTTGACGATGTCAACGCCCGAGGGCATGTGAAAGCTCTGAGAGTTTCCGCCGCCAAAATGGAATTTCGAGCCGCTGGGTGTATAGCGAAGCCCGCATGGTGTCGAATGTCCGTCTTCATAGTACACAACTGCTCCGTCAAGAATGGCGCCAAGTCGCAAATCGATTGTCTTTGCCCGACTCAGCTTTCCGTCTGCACCTTTCTCGTTGAGCATGACTGCCCACTTGTGGCCGTCGAGTTTTGCGTCTGCCTCATCGTTTTCATGTCCAGGTCGAAGGTCGATACCAATGGCCGATTCTTTGCCCAGGATGATTTTCGACTTGGGGATGCGAATGACATCCCGGATTGTCAACTTCCAGGCATCTGAACAGCGCTTGATGCGACCATTGTACCCCAGTACCTCCAAGCAAAGTGGTTTAGATTGGTCGAAATCTTCTGGAACGATGGTCACGGAACAAGTCTTTTGTCCACTCAACGAGCAGTCATAGCTCAGGGTCTCAGTAGTCTCGCCATTGATGATTTTGATCTGCGCAAGTCCGGATTTGCATTCGACGACTATGGTACCAGATCCAATATCGTCGGAAAAGTGTGGCGTGATCGAAGGAGCCTCAATTGACCTTGTGGGGATAGCGATTTGCTTTGATCTGCGTCTTCGTACTGCCTGGTGTATACCACGTTGTCTGATTGTTGAGATGCGCATATTGAGAGTTCTTGCACGATGAGAGACTGATCAGATATAAGGGTAGGGAATGCTTGAAAAAATCCAGGTGTGATTGAGATGTGGACGACAACAGACAGTGGTCGTCAACAAGCATTAAATACAGAATCCCACCATGGTGCACAAGAACAGTGCCTTACCTTGTTCAGACCCATGCTGCCTGGATGTAATATGGCTGAAGGCAGCATTGCCTTAGGTGCGACGATTCTCCAGGCATCAACAGCTGTGGCTGTCGCGAAACAGGCAGCGACGCGGAATCGCGAGTCAGGGTCAGCTTGCAGAGTTGAGCTGCTTCCAGACCGAGGTCCTCATGTCTATCGTAAATCCAGAGGCACAACACCTTGAGTCTTCAAAAAGAAAAGCATACGCGCATAATTTTCTTGTGATCAAGAGAAAAGAGGAAGTTGCATCTCCATTCTTGCAGTAACCAGCCATCTCGCTTGCAAAACTTCCGGGATTGGTTTACCTACACGTCATAATTACCTCGGTAGTCCGTAGTCGCCTATACCGGGGCCATCTTTCACCTGGCAGTTCAAATCGCGTGTCCTTTTGAGAATCATATCAATCCCATCAAAAATGGGCGACAAACATGAAAAACACACAAAACCGATAGTCTCTGTGATCTCCGGCGGTATTGCTGGGGGTGTGGAAGCTTCAGTAACATATCCCTTCGAATTCGCCAAAACCAGAGCTCAATTGCACGTTCGGAAAGCAGGAGTTCCATACCCGAGGAATCCATTTGCTGTGGTATTTCAGGTCTACAACCAAGAAGGATTACGTGCGTTATACAAAGGTTGCGGAGCTTTGGTGGTTGGTTCTGTTGGCAAAGATGCTGTCAGATTCTTGTCTTTCGACACAGTCAAGAATCTCTTCAAGGATCCCGAGACTGGTACTTTGTCGCCATTGAGAAACATGCTGGCTGGAATGGCTGCGGGTGTTGTTGCGAGTGCCACTGCAGTCACACCTACAGAACGAATCAAGACAGCTCTGATCGACGATGCCAGAGGAGCCAGACAATTCACTTCAACCACGCATGCCATCAAGACAATCTTAGCTGAAGACGGTTTCAAAGGCCTTTATCGAGGCTTCGCCGGAACAACACTAAAGCAAGCCTCAGCAACAAGTTTCCGCATGGGCACCTACAACATCCTCAAAGACTATGAGAAAAACCACCACATTGAGCAAAACACGGTTACAAACTTTGCCAATGGTGCTGTTGCTGGTACTACTACCACGTTAGCGACACAGCCTTTTGATGTCATCAAGACTAGGTCGCAGACTGCAAAGGCAACGACCACTTTGGAAGCTATTGCGGGTATCTGGAAGGATGATGGTATTCGTGCTTTCTGGAGAGGCACGGTCATGAGATTGGGTCGTACTGTGCTAGCTGGAGGAGTGCTGTTTACAACAGCCGAGGCCGTCGCGAAGATCATCAACCCAATCTTTGATCGATAGCGCGGATGGTGTATCAAGATCTCGATTGCCTCTGCGGCCGATTACTCGTGTCGTAGTTGGAGAAGATAGAGTATTCTGGCTTCGCGATGTTGTCGTGGCATCCATCACGTTCTAGTGTCAAAACACGAATCAAGCTCCTTCTTCCCACTTTATCTTCTCCCGTACCGTCAGGAGCAGCAAGCAGTGACTTAACAACAGCACTCTTCTCGAAGTGTCGGACGAGTCTCTAATGGCATCGCCTCACAGTCCCGAAATTGGTGTGTTTTGAGAAGACTGCTCACTCGCGACAGCAGACCACGACCGTTGGACCAACTCAGCCCACTCTCTCTTTGACTCCAGTAAAATCGGCAATATCGCATGCACAAGTCTTTTTCCAGCATCTGCCGCCCACCACCGATCCTGTAGCAGGTGGATAATAACACCGTAGTGTGCAAGTATAGCCAAAGCCATGGGATCTCTCGTCTCGATAAGGTTCACATAGTGGTCTCTGAATGTCACTGGCCATGTCATGATGCCGGTCATTATACCGCCTGAACAGTAAGCTCCCATGGCTTGTGATAGGTCTGATATGGCGCTGGAATGAGACCCGGCATGTACACTCTGCGCTGCCTCGACCCGCAGGAGCTCAAGTACGCTATCCACTATGCTTCAGAGTGTCAGCTCGCAGTCTTGTGCTATCCGACACAGGGTCAATCTTACCGACACATCTCTGGAAGCGGTACACCGGTACCATTTCCAGACTCTAAATTTCCTGGCGTATGTGGATTGAATAAAGTTCCAAAGCTAGAGAGACGTAACAGATCACTATAATCTTTATGTATCAAGCCAACACCAGCAAGAAATTGACGCAACTCAAGAACATCCATCAGAGCATCGGATAACTGTCGACTATGCTGCCAATGAGATTGCGCTAACGAAAACACCATAATCAGTATAGAGCACGCAAAGATCGCTTCATAGTTGCTGGAGTCCAAGGAACCCAGAACAAGCTGAAAGCCAGTAAGAGCTCTGTCTTCATAGTCCAGAGCAGCCCGATCCCATGTTGGATCTTCGAAAGAAAGGTGACGAGCAGATAGTGCCAGTAACGCATTCAAGAGATACTCATGCGAGAGAGCCAATTCTGGAACGACGACTTGCCATAGATAAGTCTCGTCGGAATGTTGTCTGAGCGATTTGAAGGCTTTGGTTGACCAGTTGTGCATTAGTCTGAGCTCCAACAGTCTTGTGTCTGTGGATCCGGGAGCAGGAGAGGGCGCATGTCCTAGTTGACCAGAAGGAGAGGCGTCCAAGCTTGTTGTGTTGTCGTCGCTAGGAGAAAGGAAGCTGCATGTGATCTCGCGTTTGATGCAATAACTGCAGCTAGGCGTAGCTTCATCGCACTATCAAGCAGAAGTCAGTAATGGAATCAGAAAAACCTTTGTTTTGATAAATGCAAAAGAAACACATTGGTGATGATAATATATGGTCACATGATGTGTGTTCGTCATGGGATGCTGACCTTGACGTGACGCTGTTTGCATTGGAGGCATCCTCGACGAGACTTGGTGTGCGACTTGCGCTGCGGCATCGATGGCCTGAAAACGTTTGTATTCAAGTATTGATGTGAGCGTATACAACACGAAGGGTTCATAGCTAGAGGAAATAGGTACCCCATTAGGGCTTGTCTCGGCCCCCGGAAGTTGCCTGAGCCAATCAAAATGTTGGAGACCCATGAGCCTTATGGCAGGCATTAAACAATAGTGCGAGCGAAAGGCAGATGGCTGGCACCTTGATGTTATGTTCTAGCGATAGGTAGCTATCGCTCAGTAAGCACAATGCTGCTCACATCAATCATGCTCAATTATGCCGGTAGCTCGTGCATAACGGGTGAACTATTACTTAATGCCTACCTGCCTATCTGCTCTGTATATTATTGAGTAGAGCGTAGATATATGCCGAAAAAAGAGAGAAGCACAGCAGAGAATAAAAAACACAGATGAAGAGTCGTCTGTCATCGTGTCACAAAGATCTCATTATCAAGCCATGTTGATCACTGAGCTTCGTGATGGCGTAGTTTGAGAGCGCTCGGAGCAATATTATCTGTGGGAAGCGAGAACACGGAGACCGTGTCGTCGTTGAAGTTGCTGATGAATCGCGGTCAGAAAGTCGTGAAAGGGTCGAGAGGCTGTTTCCTTCGACGGACAGCTGCCTAAGTAAGTGGATGCCTGACGTGGGACCTGGCGCTCAAATTCGCAGTTTCATGTGTATGTGTTGGTCATCTGTGGAAAAGCTGCCGATAATGCAAAGATGTGTTGGCAGTCGCTCTTGCCAAGTTTCATCACTTCTGCTTTCTTCCACATCTCCAAGTTCGTAGTCCTAGCGCGCGTCGTTTCTCTGTCGCGACAAACATACCTCATGTCGGACTCACCTCAGCCTTTGACATATCGGACCGATCAGATCACAGAGACTTCCTTGATGTCCATGACAGGCACTCGGACACGAAAGACGAACGGACAAACATAGGGTTGCCGACTCATCACTACTTGACACCAGCAACGCGATGATATGCAGTGCGAGGCTCACAAAAACAAATCTCAGCTTCGTGCCAAGACACGAGACGCAAAATACGTAGATACGCAATACGCATTACGCACCTACAACGTCTGTAGGCTTAGGCAACTCTGGCAGCTCTCTCGCAAACCTGCAAAACTGATTAGCAGCGTGCCAATCTCGTTACATGTTACTGCTTTGAGTACAAGACAGGGCATTGAAGGTGAAGTAGGTTCACGCGATACGCAGTTTTGCCCTAAGTTGAACGGACCAAACAAATTGCGTCTCTTGATAGCAGGCTGTGGAAGATACTTATAATGGCACACTCTTCGAGAGGCATGTAGCAGAGCTACCTGTCTTTTTCTTCGCCTTCTGTGAATCTATCGTTCTTGTCGCTTGATTCGAATTTTCCTCCAGTCTTTTTAGATACACTCGACCTCATCGTAAGCATACGACTCAACCTCAACGACTTAGACATCTTTACTGCAATGTCAGACTCTGGAACTCAATATGGCGACTTCAGGCTGTATCGGTATGATCCTAGCATGGCCGCTGCTGTAATTTTCATAATCGCGTTCATCGTGATTACTGCTTTGCACTTCTACCAAATGGTCCGAACAAAGACTTATTTTTTCGTCCCATTCGTCATTGGAGGGCTCTTCGAAGTCATTGGCTATATAGGAGTAAGTTGGCCTATGTCCTTGGCCATGTTTCAAGCAGCTTATTTATCCCTTCCAGCGTGCCATCTCGAGCGATGAAGCCCCGAACTTCAGCATTCCCGCCTACTCCATTCAAGCCATCTTGATCCTCGTCGCTCCTGCTCTGTTCGCCGCAAGCATATACATGGAACTCGGACGCATCATCCTGCTGACCGACGGCGAACAACATAGCATCATTCCCAGTAAATGGCTCACAAAAATCTTCGTCATTGGCGATGTCATCAGTTTCTGTCTACAGGCCGCAGGAGGAGGTATCATGGCTTCAGGCACACTTCAAGCACTCGAAAACGGCGAACACATCACCATTGGAGGTCTCGTTATCCAGATCATCTTTTTCGGCTTCTTCATCATTGTCAGCATTACTTTCAACGTTCGCATGGAGAGGGTACCCACCAGCCGCAGCATGATCCGCTCAAACCCCTGGAAGAAACACCTATACACTCTTTACGGCGGTAGCGCACTCATTTTGATCAGATCGGTCTTCCGTTTGATCGAGTACGCTCAGGGCAATGATGGCTATCTCATCTCACACGAGTGGTTTCTGTACATCTTCGATGCCTGCTTGATGTTTGCGACAATGGTGTTGTTTGCCTGGTACCACCCAAGCGAGATATGGGCTATGCTCAACAAGAACGGTGGTAAGATGGTTAATCATGGCTACAAGATCGAGGCAGCCATTCCTATGATTTGAAGAAGGAGTCGATATCTAGGCAACCCATCTCAGGAGCAGCCTATAGATCATGTATATTCAACATCGCTTACTCATGTGTCATCCTTGAGATATCAATTTGGTCTGCGAACCTCGACTCACTGGGTTGAACCCCATATGCAACAACAAGGCCAGCAGCTATGTCTCTTACAATATGGCTACAGTGTGATACAAAGGAATGAACAACAGACTTGTAGAACGAGGGTGAGTCTGTACAACAGCCGAACCCAGCGGGGTAAGGGTTCTGTTTCAGTGGACATTCGATCACCCTATCGGCGTCCCGGCTTTGAAGAAAGATCTGATTAGTGAAAGATCAATTGGACACAGCTTTTGCGAAGAGACGCAGATGATTATTTCCTGGATGAGCGTTATCTACTACTTCTTAGATCCCAATTCATTAAACTTCTCCATCAATGCAATCTTCTGGCTCCCGGTCCACTGCTGTTGTTCTGCCAACCACCGACCTTCGGCAGCACGCTGCACTTCAATCAGCTTCCGTGACTTGTTATATACCGCAGAGCGAATGGTTTTTGTTATTCCAGCCGTTGGATAAGCCCATGCACCGACCGCAGCGGCTCCCGGTTTGGTCACAAGGCCAGCTAATCCCTTGCCCAATCCGGTCACTATGCCTACAGCGCCTGACTTCTTATATTCTTTGTAAGGTTGTACACCAAGACCCGCAATACCATCATACAGACCATAGGCGAACGTTTTACCACCCACAGCAAAGCCACTTGCAGCTCCTGTAACTCTGCCGTGGTCACGTATCTCGTCGCCGTAAAGTTTTGGTAGAATGCGGAATCCTTCCGCAAGAGCTAGGGGGATGTCGACAGCTGCCCCCTTTATGGCTTTGGGCGCCAACCAGCCGAGACTCTTCGCACCAGCCAGTGCTGCTTTACCTCCCGCAGATGGCTGTTTGCCGCGTGATTTTGTTGATGTGACGGTATGAATACTCGAACTTGACTCCGCTAGCTGCTGAGATTCTTCGAGCCGCTCAGTGGCGTCTATCCGGTCTTGTCGTCGTCGTTCTTTACTGTATGCTTTGATGGGTTCTGTAACCATGCCAGTGAGGCATCTACCGATGTCCACCGTAGTCCCCACAGAAGCGGATATCCCACCACTTAAGGGCTCCCACCGGATGGGGTCAATTATGAGGGGCTTCGTTCTGTACCTATGACAAAGTCAGCAAATATCCAATCATCTGAACATCGATAAGCCCACGTCTTGAGGTCTTTCTGCAGACTATTGCGTTGTGATATCGCGATCTCTGCAGCAAGCTTAGATATCTTGACTTCTCTGCGACCTGATTTGATAGTCCAGACGGCTGGTTGGTCTGGAATAAGATCACATTGCATCGTCTCGAGAGGGAGATGCCTGTGGAAAGAGTTTACGGCGGCTTGAACACCCTGCTCGCGGTCCATGCGCTCTGCAATGACTTCAGCTGCTAAGGCTGTCTCTTTCCTCATCAGAAAACGGATGGCTTCAGCTAGCGAGTCAATAGTCATATGGCGTGGTGGTAAAGGATCCGGACCAGCACCAGAATTAGCAATCATATGGCCCCAGAAAGGTTGACTAAATCACATCAAGTGTCAGTCTTTGTCACAAAAGAAATAAAGTGTTTGACTTACTCTCCGAAGAATGGGCAGACCAGTGTCGGGCGAGAATTTTTTAGGGAACAGGCGGTAGTGCCTGCTCCACCGTGGTGTACGACAGCTGCCACACGCGGGAACAACCATTCGTGTGGGCAGTCACCAATATAGAAGATATTTTCGCTCGCGTCACCATCGAGATTAGACCATCCTTTAGAAATGATTGCTCTTACACCGGCAGCCTTTACAGCACCGAGAATTGTAGACAACATCTTGGCAGGATCATCAAGAACTATGCTGCCGAAGCCGAAATACACAGGTGGAGGTCCTGCGGCTAAGAAGTCCACGAGACCAGGTTCCGGAGTGCAGGCAGGATCATCTCGGAAGAAGAACCCACATATGTCTATAAGCAAGGTCAAGTACGATTAAATAGAGTGATCTCACTGTACTTACCAACATACTCTGGCCAGTCTTCAGGTTTGGGCACTAAGCCTGGTGAGAAGCAGTAGGTGAAGGGGACTTTAAGCATTTGTGCCAATGCTGGGCCGTCCAGAAAGTTGATAGGCTCAAGCTCGATGCTCTCTCGCCAATCATTAATCACGTCGCCCAATCTGGTTCAAGGTCAGCCATGTGACGCCTTGTGAAGAGGTACAGGTCGAGAAAGACATACCCTTGCCAGGTCATCAGCTCGACCACATGATAGGACATGTAGTTTGCCGCTGCATGACTTTCGTCGACGTTGGTCAAATTTGCCAAAGGATGTGGGAAGGAACGCGTGCTTGTCCATGGCATCGTGAACATGAGGTGGACAGGAATGCCCAGAGCTTGTGCGCAATGTATATAGGCAAAGCTTGGAGGGTTCGCAATAATGGCATCCGCTACAAAAGGTTGACCACTGAACTGATCAGGCAGGACACACGAGTCCCAACAGCCTGAAAGCATCTCGGCGACCATTTGACGTTTGCGACCAATCTCGCCGGACATGATTGTTTTCATTGAAGGCATGAGGCTGGGATTCTTGACCATGTAGGCCATCAAGGATGCCGGGTCTCCTCCTATGGGATAAAATTCGAGTCCAGCCTGTCGGACGAAGGCAGCAAACATGTCGTGAGTAGCAATTCGTACTCTATGACCGTATCGCTGAAGCTCGGTGCCCAGAGCAATGAAAGGCTGTACGTCTCCCCGAGAACCAACGACCTGGATTACGATATTGAGCTTGATGTTCCATTTCAGGCTTGATGCTGTGCTAGGATCGAAGGGCCTCTTGGATTCGTAGGCAGGAGGCGCTGGTTGTGAGTCTTCGTCTGGCGCAGAAGGAAAGCATTTTGAGAAAGCTCGAATGACACTCGAATTAAAATCGATGTCGACACGTCCATCATCTGGATATCGACAATCAGCACTATTGTTTCATGAACATGTAGACGTTTTATGGTTACCTCTAATGTGGTAAGGACCTTCTGCACCAAGTTCTACAGTTTCGGGATCGTGACTAGCATGATAGATCTGGTCGTAGCGAGGGGGAGGCAGTGAACCTGCTTCAAAGTCCTCACTTAGAGTGCTGTCAGAGTCGATAGATCCATGTCCTTTCATCTTAATCTTGGCCCGGCCTCGATGAAGTCAAAAAGAGTGAATTGGGTGCGATGAAGAGGGTGCTTGTCGAGATAATCAGTATGTTTACAGTATCTCGAAGAATCCAATGTCTTGTTGAGAATTGAGGTTATCGCGTATTTTCTAACCGAAGCAGGCGGAGAACTAATGCGGAGTACAGCCCCGATTGACTCAGTGGATGTGTCGATACACCTTGTTAAAGAGAGAACTGGGAAGGTGCGGCCGCGAATTGTTTGCACGAGAGAAGCAATCAGGAAGGTGGATTGAGAATTTGGCGTTGATACAAGATCTAAGGAGTTCAAGCGTGTTTTAAGTCGTTCTTGCAGTTTACTCAGCCTCGAAGAGTAGGCTGCTACATTACTCGAATAGAAGCAGCACGATGTTGTACATTGCGGTTACCCACAAGCTATCAGCACGGCCCCCAGGAAGCCTTGGAGCGGTTGCCTGGTGTATCGTCGTATCGCGCGTCCGCATCTCATTGGTTGTGTTTGGCATGCCGCATATTGTATGCGGCCAAGTTAATATCTGGTGAATCCTTCGACGCGAGCTGTCTGGTCGGGGCTCAGGTCACGTGCACCCCAAACAGTTTCATTGCCAGCCTGCACTCTCGTCTTGCACTGCAATGAAAACTCATCATGATGGACGACTTCTGTCCCTCGCAGGCCCGATCTGGATATTGGCTGACCTCGGCATCGCTTGCCATAGACAACCGAGCTGGTGATCAGTCGACGTGAGAGTTTCTCATCGAATACGCAATTACGCTCAGGACAATGGTCCTCACCAATGGCCAACCAATCATATTATTATCTAGCAGAGCCCATCGGACTCTCCTTCAGTTTCAGCTTGCGTAACAGATCAATTCACAGATCAAAGCATTATTTTAGAGCAACCTAAAATACCACTTTGATGTGGCGCTGGTTCGTTGCGTATTTTGCGTATACATCGCTCATCCACTTCGGTACGTATCTTGGCAGATGTAGAGCTGTGTACCACGCGCCAAAATCTGCTCAGTGTGCTGCACGCGATGCAATACTAACCTCTTGGTCTGCCCGAGATCTGAAGGTATGTTAATGACTTCGATATGTCCCGTGCATACGCTTGATGCGTGTTTCAACAATCTTAAGCTCTGATGTCACAAACTACTGCAACACATATAAGCCCGAATCTCTAGAATTCACCGCAGGCCATTCAGATTCCTGTTTATTCTTCCATTCCAGTCAGCATGTGGGCTCACTTGTCTCTGTCACTGCTTTTGCTCTGCTTTCGAGCTACTAGCGTGTATGGTGGTTCAATCTCCGCCAGAGCAAAGAATGGTACCATCCATCTCCGTTCTGACGGTACTCATCCCGCCCATCTGGTAATCGACCATGGTCATGATATCAACGGCTTTACTACTTTTCATATCGTCGAAGCCTCTGGGAACACCTCTGCTTTCAGTATCGCGCATAGCGAGTCAAGAGCATTGCTCGACAACTTACAGGTGAGTTGCACATATCTACCATCAGTTCACTAAAGACTTAAGCTGACAGAGCATAGAGTGATGGCCCCATTGCAATGGCCGCTGCTCAAAACACCTACCGAGTCCAACACTATAACATCTCTGCATCCAACATGACACACACAGACCGCTTGTTGCAAGGCGGAGTCAGATGGCAGATGCTCACTCTCGCTTCAGCAGGCGATCTTGTTCTTTCGGATGTGGGCATGGTCCCTTCTTACTACACAGCTAAACCTCAGGGCTCTTTCGAGTGTTCAAATGCAAAGTGGACCGACGTGTGGGACACTGGCGCGCGGACACTGGCATTGAGTATGGTCGCTGCTGAATCCATCCCGGAGTTATGGCAGATACTACCCGAGGGCGCTTTCATCGAAAGCGCTGCCCCTCAACCCTATGCTGGTTTACAGGCACAATCACTGACTTCTTACGAGATGGTGTTTGATGTCCGACCTGTTTTGGGTGGCTTCAGTTTCAAGGTGCTAAGCGATACACTCGGAAATGGTATTTATATCTGGGTCGACATGGCCAAATCTACTGTGAAAGCTTTCAGTGGAACAACAGAGGACGGCACCCTCCTCGCAACCGTTAACTTAACCAAGACAAGTCGATCCACAAGATCCTGGCACCACGTCTCTGCTTCTGTCAATCTTTCACGCATTAGTGTATCTCTGGATTATACGCCGATGCTCTCGTTCTCTCAGACTTCCAAGTTCTATGGCTCTTTCGGGATTGGTGCCGCAAATGGTCAATCCGCTATTTTCACCAACCTGACGGTCACCTCCTCAGGTGCCGAGATCTACACTTCGTCTTTGACATCAAATTCCACTCTGGATGATTTCTTAGTGGGCACTAATCCGCTTAGCGGTATTCTTGATGGCGCACGTCGTGACAGAATCGCATACGCTGGCGATCTAGACGTCGCGGCTCGAACAGTAACAACGAGTAGCCATGCCCTCGAATACGTCAACGATACTATTCGTCTCTTGAGCTCCAACCAGATGACGGCAGGGTATTTCGTACCTACCGTGAAGATACAGCAATCTCCAAGACAAGGACTCATCGATATCAACCAGACAGGCTTGATTGGATATTCTTTCCAACTTCTCAGCGCGATGGGTGAATACTATATGGTCTCTGGAGACGTCGTAGCTGCCAGAGCATATGCTCCAGCTGCTGTCCGCATGCTCGATTGGGCGGCATCACAAGTTCTTGAGAATGGCCTCTTCAACCTTACCGATGCCACTTTTGGTGGTGACTGGAACTATTACGACCCTTCCCAGTCTGGTGTAGTGACGAAGTTTAATGTTGTATACGCGCTTGCCTTGCAAGAGGTTATGCCTATGCTCGCTGCAGCTGATGTGAATACATCAGTCTACGAGAAGACCCTCGAGACCCTCCGACAATCTATTGATCGGCAACTGTACAACGATATCTTAGGCGGGTATCTCGTTTCGGAAGCTCAACCACATGGTATTGCTCAAGACGCCAATGCCATGGCTATCTTGGCAAACGTCCCTCAAGGCAATTACACAAAGCTCCAAATCTCACGCTCGATGGCTCGTCTTCTGTTCGTCGATCATGGTGCTCTTCCGTTCTCCAACGGCACAACTGGCGTATCCAAACTCATCAGCCCTTTTGCATCGTCATATCACCTACGTGCTGCATTTGCTGCACAAGACGCAGAGTCTGCTACTTACCTGCTGGACCATACTTGGGTACCCATGACATTGCGAAGCAATGCCAACTACAGCGGCTGCTTTTGGGAGACATTGACTCTAGACGGCAAACCTGGTTTGGGAGATGCCACATCGCTGTGTCATGCATGGTCATCAGGTCCGACCGCAGTATTGACCAGACACGTACTTGGTATCCAAGCGGTGGCACCAGCGCACCGTGAATGGCGTGTTGTACCTCAATCTCTTGGCTTGCAATGGGCTAGAGGCACTCAGCCTACGCCCTATGGCAGTATAACTGTTGACTGGCGGTATGATGGAGTAGGACTTCTCGCCATGAGTGTCTTTTCGCCTCGTGGCACTAACGGAATTGTGAATCTGCCCATACCGTCCGAGAAGTCGAACGCAACCGGCACAGTCGTCACACTGGTCAATGGGCAACTAGTGTCCGGATTAAGTTTCGCAGTTGTTGATGGCGAGCCATTTGAGCTATTGCAGTATCTCGCCTGAAAGTGCATGGCGAAGTGAGACTTGCCTTGCGAGCAAAGCACAGTCTTGCGCTATAGTAAAAGCTCGAGATTGGCTCTTTGGTTTCCATTTTCTGTAAATGGTAGATTGTAGGAATGATCTGGGCAATAATCGGAAGTCACTCAAGGAAAGCGGTGTTTTTCAGTCTAAGATTCCGATATCTGAGTCAGTAAGCATCAGTTGTGGTCACATAGCTGCAATGACACAGGATTACTTTCAGGACATCTAAGCAGGTTGACGGAAATATCTCTAAGGGTACAAGTAAGGTAATGCGTGATTGGACTGCAACTCCGCCTCAGCAAGGCGGAGTGCATGCATGAGGCTGAGGCGTCTTTATCACACCATACCAGCACCCTGTACGCCGCGAGAGTTAGAATTGACCTACACTTCAGTCATTAAGAAAAAAAAAAAAAAACACCTACCGCAATTTATAACACAATGGCGGAAGTCTTTGGAGCTGTCGCGTCTGGAATAGGCATCGCAGGCGTTGCTGCCCAAGCCATCGATGGCATCCGAAAGCTGCAGGCTTTCTGCAATGACATTCGCGATGCTCCTGAAGAAGTAAAATATCTGACCACCGAACTGGGGATTCTGCTGGGTACGATAGCCAGTATCGAGGCTCAGATCCAAAAGAATTCAAATTTGTGCGGAAGTATGAATCCGACGCCGGCATTGCGCTTCGTAGATCAGAGCGTTAGATCTTTCAATACTGTCATCGAGAGACTCAATAGTGAGATTTCACAGAGACGGACGATGGGCTCGATTAAGATGGCTTGGAAGAAGAAAGCCTTGGAGTCGCATCTGTTGAAGATAGAGAGGTCAAAGACTTCGTTGGGGTTGGCTGTGTCCGCATATTCGACGTAAGATGGGCATTTTGACTATGGAAGCACGCGCTAATATCGGCAGTGAGCTGTACCTACAGGCAGCCATGAGGACTGAGACCAGAATCGACCAACTGAGCATGAACGTGACAACACAGATAGCCTCATACCAAGCACAATTGACGGCTTCATTTGGCCCTCATCACAGCGACAGTCAGCGAATCAGACGCAATGACCAATTCGTCGTCGATAAGGGTGATGATAAAGACTGGGCTGGTATTCGAGAGAAACACAAGCCTCCGAAATGGATATCAGTCATATCCTTCACACTGTCCGTCCCCCTCTGGCTCTCGCAGCGTTCTTTACAGATCGATGTACGCCGAACAGCTCAGAACTGGACTCTGAGTCTAAGACCGTACCGAACGATTCCGTACGACGCCGAGACCTGGGATGCCGTTCGATTTGGCAACTTTGATAGAATGCGGAGTCTTATCGAATCTGGACAAGCAACAGTCTTTGATCGACGTGGCGATGGAACCACGCTTCTACATGTATGCTCTGGGCCTCTCTTGGTATCCTTCTGATTTGTTGACCACTGTACAGCGAGTCTGCACGTGGGGACCACCGCTAGCACCAGAAGTTTTCTCGCGCATGGCTCGTTATCTAGTCGACCGGGGCGCTGATGTCAATGAGCCTACGCGTGACGGCTAGTGAGTTAAGCAAATGACTTGGCAATTAATGACGAACTACTGAAAGAGCAATCGCACCTCAGGTTAGCCATACACACTCACTTCTATGGGGAAAGGTTGTTAACCGACGTTCCAAACGATGACTTCTTTCGAATACTCAGTAACGAAGGAGACTTAGACGTAGACTTCTTCTGGCAAAAGTTTCGAGATACTTCCGGATTCACTTGTAGTGCAACGATTGAGGAAGAATTGAAACGTCGTTTTCCATTGGACGCACTGGACTTTCCGAAGATGACGATGGCTCGCCGTTTGCGAGATATACAATCATACCCATATCTCTGTTTCCCACGAGAAGCGGCGAGTTACCTAGGCTTCGAAAGCTTCGAAGTTTCTTATCCGACGTTCAGCGATGATTTGAAGCGTGAGCTCTTACGTTTAGCTCTGAAAAAGTGGGCCACTCCATATCAGGGTTTCATACAGATGGCATCTTGTCTAATGCTGAGCTGTGCACGTCAAACGAGAAGCACACGTTGACCCAAAGCCTGCATAGCGGTAGTCCAGTCCCATGACCCCGATCTGTTTTTGTCGCGCGAGGTCCAGCACTTCTGCATGATCTGTAGAGTTGTCGTAGTGTTGCCGAAAGCGTGTGCCTCTTCGCCTAAGTCTTCAATCAGGCTCCGAAAATATGTTTGAGTCGGCACGTCCTCAGCCATACTACCTGCAATGCAGATTGGCCAGATAAGATTCCTTAAAGCTTGGGCATCGCAGATAAGTTGCAATTCTTGCAGAGCATTCATTGTGTCGATGACACTATTTCGAACGTCATCGAGCTTCGGGTCGGCTCCTGAGATGATAGTGTTGAGATAGACTTGAGCGGCGTACGCAAATACTAGGGTTATTGCTCGCTTGATCGCTCCTTGTTGGACACCAGGATTGGTAAGAACTAGATAAGCACCCATCCCGAAATGGGAAATGCCTAGCGCGGCAAGTGAATCATCGATCTCTGTGCGTAGGCCAGCGATCCCGTCACCTAATCGTTTCCGAATGGGATCAGCTTTCTCAAACAGCTTCCAAAAGCTCAGACTGCAGGCTGAGACTGCATCTATTTTCCAAGCACTGAGCGCCGCAATATCATTCATGGCCAAGGCGACCCATGGTTGGCAGGGTATGATATTTGCTAGGTCGATTTGTCCTTGCAACAGACCAACAGCTTCTGAGTGAAGACGGGGAGCATCGCTTGTAGAGGCACAAGACAATATGTCGAACCATAGCACAGCTCCCACAAGAAAGTGTTCAGCATTATCTTCCAGACGATGGGGCTCGAGCTCGCTTGGGGTGACTGGTGTGAGATTTCCAGGAGACGGGCCAGTATCTGTGGAATTCATGAACGGCATACCGCGAACCACCGTAGCCAACGCATCAAGATGAACCTGCCATTGACTTGTCCCGCCACGAAAGAGTTCAAAGCTGATGAACTGTACACCACAAGCAAGAATCTGCAGCCTTCTCTTTCGACCTGCAGCAGAGACTTCATAGCTGCTCTGCAAGAATATCTGAAGCTCTTGCAGAGCACGATTGTGATGCTCATTAAGTTCATTCAAAGTATCATGGTAGTGATTTCCTCGGGCCGAACGAGCAAGTAGCGAGTGCTGGTGCAATGCTCCTAGACTGAGGGCCGCGTGATATAGTGGTTTCGTCTCTGTTAGCAGCCACAACAGCCAACCTCTGCCACCACTTTGTATAGATGGAGAATAGAATCGGAACTGAAGTGCAAAGACATGATCCAAGTAGTGCATCAACAACTCTGCTTCTCGATGGAATCCGAAGCGAAAGTAAGTAGTCGCGCTTGGACTCGGCGCTATTGAGGATGGGCGGCTCGAAGCTTGCTCGAGGCTTTGGGGTTGCATATTCTCTTCTGAAAGCTCAAAGGGTGGTTCTGAGATCTCAGGCGGGGCATCAGCCCAGTCGTACTGTGCAATATGATCTTCGGTCGATGCATTGTCCACATCCGACAGTCGTGCTTGCCTTCCGCTGCGTTCTTCTGACCGTGCCCGTGACGTTGCTCTCTTGCGTTTGTTGTTCTGCCTGACAGCATCTTTGATCTTCTTCAATTCAGCTTGCCGAGTGTCTGTATTGTTCATCCATTCGGGTCGGTCACCAAAGCCATGGCAAGTAATACTACGTGAATCGCACGCATCGCACGTTGGCTTTTTTCCATCGCACTTCTTTCGACGGAGTGTACACGTCCAGCAGCATTCAGGGTTTCGACGCGTGCCAGTGCTACGAGTTGGTGACATGAAGAGTCTCCATTCACCTGTCGTGATCTAGTGGCGATAATCGCCCAATCGCTCGGTATTGGATGAAACGTGACTGGAGGTGGAGGTTGCGAGAAAGTGTCTCCAGAGGAATTTGGCAGTTGCTACCGAGCACCCCCCGAGGTTCAGCCGTCGACGGCAACCCTAGACGACAACCTGGATCTCATAGACTTGCAGACCCCTTTTCATCTTCATTATCTGCTTCCTCATACCGATCCGATAGGGGCTTCGCATGCCAGAGCGTGCCGTGTGTATCGTCGTTCCGTTATGTGGCTGCTCCCGTGTCGCCTCTGCCACGCCGCCTATGTCAGAGAGTCCTAGGGCTCTTATTGTCTGCAGCCAGCCTGTTGAACCTCCTGAGTACTGCTTCTCTAGTCAGAACTGATGCTTAGGCAAAGGATTGACGCACTTTCCAACTTCGACGACATCTCTCCCTGACCGGAGATGAGGATACAACGTCTCACTGACCTTGGCATCCTTCGCAAACCGCGAAAAATCAAGGAACTCAAAGATTGCCAAACGAACTCGCAGTTGAACAGACTTGACCGTGGAATCGTCTTATGAACCCATCGCCATTGAGACTGCAAGTCAATGTCGAGAAAGTCACTGGTGAATTGGAAGCTTCAAATGCGAGAGATATCGTCGAGACTTCAGCGTCACATAACGAATCTCCAGTTATGCCGAAGACTTTAGCCATCATTCATGAGCTTCTGCATGCTGGATGAACGTTGCGCGAACCCTTGTCAACGACTAGGTACGCAATGATTCTTTGTGGTCTGCAGCCGAGCTTCACTCCTCCTGGAAAGTGCATCTTGTAATTCTTCATCCTGCCTCTGCGATGAGCTATTTTGGTAGGTAGGAGATACATTATAAGTAGCAAGACATCTCATCATCATTCTGGCATCTTTCTCTCAGCAAGCACAGCTCTCTATCTCAAAAACTCAGACCTGAGACCACATTCTTTACCATGTTTTTCTCAACCCTTCCACTCCTTTTCGCAGCTACTGCACTTGCAAGCCCTGTTCATCAACGTAGTACTCTCTACAAGCGAGCCTGCGCCACCGGTCCCGAAACTCCAGCCGAGTTCCTCGCCTACACAGGCTATTCAAACCCAGCTTTGAACGCAGTCACTCCTCCCGGTTACACAAACACCTTTACCAACCTGCAAGCCAGCAGCAACGCAGATGGCTATGGCGGTTTCACCGTTCTCCCCAGCTACGACGTGGCCTCCTGCGCAGCTCAATGCACATCCCGTGCCAACTGCCAGGCCTTCAACATTTACTTCGAGCGCTCTCCTGCTGCAGCACCTTCAAACTGCACCAGCGCTGCAACCATAAAATGCGTATTCTGGAGTGGTGCTGTAACTTCCTCTAATGCCCTAAACACCGGCTCCACACAAAACAACTTCCAAATTGTTATTGCGGGATCAAACGGCTATGTTGCTTCTGCAATTTCTGTACCTACTGAGTACTCTGCGCCTATTTACCTCGGCAGTAACGCAATTCAAGCACCTCTAGATTGCAATGGCAAAGACACCTATCTCGGTTTCCAAACCTTCAACACCACTTTCGATGCAAGTAGATGTGCGGCAGCATGTTCAGCTCAAGCTGCGTATGCACTTGCTCACCCACCCAGTGATGGAAGCAAGCCCAAGACATGTCAGTTCTTTAATACGTATATGGAGAGCAAGAATGGAGTTGCAAAGGACCAGAAGTGTGTGCTGTATAGCCAGACTTGGGGAAAGAGTGTTGCAACTAACACTGGATATGCTTATGGCGAGGATGTTTATGGGGTGGGTGTGTCGTATGCTTATTCTAATGCTGCGGATGCGGGAGTTTGTGTCAAGGCTTAGGAAGTCTTCAGAAGCTTGAGAGGGAGGTACGAGGCATGATGAATATGTTAGCAATGAGGAGATACACAACCCAGCAGTATATCTAGAATACAGAGACCAGAAGATATATATCGACGCAAAGAATGTATGTCTGATTGTCTTGAGTATCGTATGGGGTTCGAAAGTGAATCTCAAGGCTCAAACGCTTTTGGATATAACCTTCCGTGAAGTGCTTTGACTCCAGGCTCTTGTATATCATACACATCGCTTTTGTGCAGTTCAGCCCAGTCTTTAGGGAGCTGCATACGTGGAGGCAAGCGATACTGATCATTGCAAGCTCCAAGGTTGCATCGAAGGTCGCACTTGCCATAGAGTCGACAATAGCAGTCGGCAGCACTGGGGCATGCTTGCTTGTTCAACTCGTCCAGGTCTACAGGACCATCTTGTTGGGGAATGAACAGGATATGCCAAAGGTACGACAGCACTCGTCCAGCGATGCGGTCATCACGAGGAGCAGCATTGGAATTTCTCGACATGCCGTAGCCGTCGAGGAGCCACTGTCGCACAGCAACATATTCTTCGCGCGAGTGTCGGTGTATTGCTTCTCTTGAGACGACGAATTGGGCACAGCATTGTGCACGCAGCGAATCGCTCCTCCCAAGTTTCAATCCCTTGCTCTTCCCATGCTTTAGATATCCATTTCCGCCAAACAAAACAGCGAAGGCTTGTGGCATGGCGGCGTCCGAGACAGATCTCGCACTCCAGGGCTGCAATACAGAGTTGATGGTGTTTTCGAGACTGCCTTGTGGTGGTCCAAAGTCTTTGGGACATGTTCCTGCGTTCCAATCGCATCTTAGGTTGTGATAGCCAGTGACTGCAATTGCAGAAGGCACGTTCAGAGCAGCCAAGGTGGCAGCATTGTCGTATAAGGGGTCGTCATTGTGCCATTGGAATCTGCTGCCATGAACAAATACTGCGCCAGCTTGCGGGATCGAGTCGTAGTTGTCGATCAGGAAGGTGAGGTAAGTGATGGACTCGTGGCCTCGGTTGGCTGGCACGCGAAGGTTTTTGACGGTCGGATCTGAAGGCGCATCAACTTCATAGATGCAGAGATGGTACTTGGACGAGAGGCGTTCCAGCCACTCAGTGTCGCCATCAGCTTTGACGTGCGAAACCACCAAAGCAGGCTTAGAGCCTTTCTCGAGGCCAGGACATGTTCCTCGAGCCTCAGGCAGGCTTTGTGCCGTTGTTTTGTAGCGAATTGTGTTCCATGAGAATACCTTTGGTGCAGATGGCCGCAGGAGCGAGACGATGAAGTAGATGATTATACAGCAGAAACCCAACTGCAACAGCGACTTGCGCGACCTTCGCAACATGTCGACGCAGCTATCTTTGCTCTCTTCATCCTGCCAGATTCATGGAGCTTGACATTCTCCAACTCCAACCATCTTGACCCGCACGAGCCGTTCCGCATCTTCTCACCTTCCGCTGCACTGCCACACCTCTTCAGCCACAAAGCTTAGTGCTCGCATCTAGACCTTTGAATTTATATTGCGGAACACTTCAACTCCTTGTCATCTCGACGGACTTTGATATTTCCATGAGCAGAAGGATGTCATGCTTGGGCTTTCTAAGCTGCAGCAGGATTTGGCCGGGAATGCTCGGTTAGACGGCCACAGTGCCCAATACAATAGTCGATCCGGTCGTGCCTAGCTTTTTACTTTATCCACACACTTCCTTGATTCGGACGATCCACCGAGTCGCCAGCATCGAAGCGATCCTGCTCTCAACTTACTCTAATGTTTTCCAACGAAAGACAACGACGTCTAAACGCGTGAAAAAACCAACTCTGTCATCTCATGCGATATTGCATAGTTACCCGTGCTTGTCGTCGACAAGCTTGTGCGGCGGTACGCCTGGTGGTTGTCGAGTTAACCAAGCAATGAGAAATTAGAGACAGCAACGGCATCGCTGCCCATACTTGGTCGGTGACTTGAAAAAGTTGTCCTTCAGGTGCAGATTACTTACTCGAACGTCTCAGCATTACACAATGTCGTGCAAAGGTGGGACTCGGTGTGTAATAATGGTGTTCAGCTTCAAGCATGTCTGTGTTGCCAAGTCGGAACCAGGCGGGCCATCATTGTGATATGCCTGCTCTCCGACAACACGACTCGTAGATGTCCAAGTTTCTTCTGAGGGATGAACAAAAAGGAGACGTCAAATCATGCAGGTCGCAGCATATGCTGGTCAGCTGGTACATATACTTGTGCATATGAAAAAGGATACAAGGGAGACGGCTGGGGAAATTATTTCATGTGATAAGCTCCGACAGTCTCTAGGATTGATGTGTGTGGATCTACGAACGAGATGAAGATCAGCCGTAGTGATTTGAGATTTGCGACGCCTTTTGAAAAGCAGACTTTGGGACCAAGTGAAACACGAGCAACCAGAACAAGCAGAACAGCGACAGTCGATACACCAACAATCGCAAGTGGCTTGTTCGTCGGCCTTTGTCCACTGCTGGCCGTTTTGGGTTGGCACGCTCCATCCTGCACTCAAAACAAACCGGCCAAGGGTCCGTCCACGTCATTGATAGAGCGGCCTGGGCGCTGACGTCGCGACAATCTCTCCACACAATTCCATCATTACGCGACCCTTTCCCTCCATACCGTTCCCGCGTTCACTTTTGCATCTTTATCCAATTTTCCTTGTCTTCTGCTTCCTGTAAAATACCCTCGATACCCTCCTGCAATTGAATGGTCGCCATGGCTTCGTACACACAATCACCGCCGCAGAATGGCCTCTACGAGTCGTCTGTGCCGCAGCCACCTGAGGCTCTTCAGAACAGGGGCTACGGCAATGCTTCGCAACACGATTTTGCCATTGGTAAGTCTCTCTGAAATGCTGCATTCATTTCTCGAATATGCTGACTTGTGCAGAGGGCGACAAACCCATCGTAGTGGGAGCCACTGTTGGTAACCCAACTCCCATCGCTCTCGAGGAGCCAGGCGTCAACCGCACTGTCTCCAACGCCTCGACTGCCGCATACCGAGATATGACTCCGTCGCGCGGTGGTACTCTCAAGAAGAAGGCCAGCGTCAGCCGCAGGTCGAGTCTCGGTCGCAGCGGTAGTCGCAGAAGTCGCGCTGGAAGCATCGCTGGGCTTGGTACCCCAGGCGCTCGTGAAGACTACAACAGCGCATTGACTACTCCCATTCCCACCCAAGGAAGCCCTACTGATATTCTTGCAAACCGCTTCCAAGGTATGTTCTAGTCGCTTAGATTTGAATGAGTCCGATTTTGATTTGTTTTGCAGCATGGCGCACCTTGTTGAAGTCGTTGATCACATACTTCCGTGAAGTTCAATCCAGCTACGAGTCGCGCAGCAAGGCCTTGATCAAGGTTTCGAATGTTTTGGCCAATTCCGAGCACCCCACTGTTTTCATTACCGATGGTGGCCTTGCAGATGCCTCGCGCATCCTCGGTGACTACCACAAGCACTCAGTCGCCGAATCAAACAAATCGCGTGATATCGAGCAGGATGTCATTGCAGCTTTGACTGGTCTCAGAAGTGATCTAGGTCAGAAGATCAAGGAGATCAAGAGTCTTAACGGCGATTTTAAGAACTCTGTCGACAAAGAAAAGGAAGCGACACGCAGGGCTGTTGATGATCTTGCCAAAGCCTTACAGCATGCGGACCACGGCGATGCCAGCAAGACTGATCCTTTCATCGTTCGTCTTGGGGTAGACCGCAGTGTTGAGAAGCAGATTGACGAGGAAAATTATCTGCACCGTGCATACCTCAACCTCGAGAGCTCCGGCCGCGAACTTGAGTCGATCGTGGTGGGCGAGATTCAGAAGGCTTACAACGCCATGGCCAGCATCCTCAAGCGCGAAGGTGACGATGCCTACAACACTGTGGAGCAGCTCCGTGGTGGTCCCATTGCCATGCCCAAGGACCTTGAGTGGTCGCGCTTTGTCGAAACTGACCCTCACTTCGTCAACCCCAGACTGCCTCTTCGCCGCATCGAGGATATCGCATACCCTGGAAAGCACGATCCAGCAGCTGCCGAAGTCAGAGCTGGCATGCTCGAGCGCAAGAGCAAGTACCTCAAAAGCTACACTCCTGGCTGGTACGTTCTGTCGCCAACTCACTTGCACGAGTTCAAGTCAGCCGACAAGATCTACTCGCAACCTCCTGTCATGTCGCTTTACCTCCCCGACCAGAAGCTGGGTTCTCATTCTGAGCCTGGCTCGTCATCGCACAAGTTCATGCTCAAGGGTCGCCAGAGCGGTGGGATGCACCGTGGCCATTCGTGGGTCTTCCGTGCCGAGTCTTACGAGACCATGATGGCCTGGTATGAGGCCATCAAGATTTTGACCGAGAAGACTGGCGAAGAGCGTGACGCCTTTGTCCGCCAGCATGTGCGCAGCGTCAGCGCCAACAGCCACCGCAATAGCATTAGCAGTGATGGTCTAGAGGAAGATGAGGCTGACCAGATTCCCTACTCTGCTCAGTCCAGCGTTGTCAATCAGCCCATTGGCGAGACTCGTCTCCAGCGTCCAGTCCCAGGTGAGTATGTGCTGTTCCTTTCATAGCGTTGGTCTACATTATACAGAGCTCAAACTGACGCGATACGAAAGGCGGCCGCTTCCCATCTGATCTCCAGATCCCTCGCACTATCGCCGCATCGCCTGACAGCGAATCCGATGAGGCCGACAACACCATTACTCCTGGTGCGACTGCCCTCCCTGGTGTAGCCGTCGTCGAACCTGCTCGCTACGACGACCCCTACCGCCTCCAAGGTGTTGCTACCCACGAGCAACAGCCGCCTCAATTCACGTCGGCCACTCCTGGCTCTGTCGCTCATGCCAGAGAGACCCTGCCGCTTAGACAGGAAGCCTCTACACCCGAGTCTTACCAACCCAACCCTGTGGACAACTTCAACACCACTTCTACTCCTTCTGCTCCCCAGAACAACATGGTCCAGCCCACCCAGACGTTTGTCTTGCCTGTCCAACACGCAGCTCCTGCTCACCAGCCCCAGCCTGATGTTCCCGTCAGTCCTGTCGAACAGCCACAATCTCTAGCTCCGGCCGCTAAGCCAATGAGACAAAACACCAACTACAGCGACTGGATGGCTCCCGCAGCCGCAGGAGTCGGTGCAGGTGTCTTGGGCACTGAAGCCTACCGCCATCAGCAGAACAGGGACTTGTCTTCAAATCCCATTGCTGAAGAGCAACAAACTCCTTACGGAGATGAGCGTCCTCGCGATCTGACTGGTGGTCACGCCACCATGCCCACCACTGTTGATGCTGCTACCCACAATCCTTCGGCTTTTGCAGCCAACAATGGCATTTCGGGCGCTACATCCAACGGCACTGCCTATGGTGCCGAGACTGCTGGTGCTCAGAGCTCCGACGGTCTCGGTGGCCTCGAAAGCGCGGGTGCACACGAAACCGGCAATATCTTCCCAAGGGTCGTTAGACATGACACCGACATGAGCGTGAGCAAGCTTCACGTTCCTGGAGAGTTCCCTCCTGCCACCCCTGGTTTCGCTCCCACCGCGCAAAAGGTTGACCCGATTGCTGAGCAAAATGCTGAGCAAAGGACCCAAACAACCTGGGCTCCCCGTCCTACCATTGGCACTAACGGCACTTTCATTGCCCCCTCTGCCTGGGACTTGGCGAGAGAGTAAAAGCATACAACGACAGCTCATAAGAACTCCAAAGCACGGGAAGCAAACAGGACTGTGGTGCACGACATGACTTTTCCTCCTGACGACATGATTTCCTATGTTATCTCTCTTGATCTTTTTGATGTTTTTTTTCTTACTTATTGCTTTTGCTTTTTGCGGGTTTGTTGCTTTTGTATTTGGTTCTTGACGAACTTTGCGATTACCCTGTGGTTTTATGCTTTACCTATAAACACACGTCCCTAGTAATGTAATTCATAGTCTTAGTTATTTCTTTGTCATGACATTTTTCTCCCGTCGTGTACTTGTTCCGACCTACTTTCGGTCCATGTGATTTTGGTCTTCTTGCTTGATGCTCCATACTCGAGTAGCTTTGCGGACAGCCAGTGTGTTACGCAAAATTTTGTATTGGAATCAGACACACATCGGGCTTGTTTACAGTTCAGTGATCACTCGACAAACCCAACCGAAGATTCGAAAGATATCTCCTTGTTGGTTTTGTGGTTCATGGGTTCCAATAGTAGGATATTGGATGGTGTGTGTAATCTGTAGTTGGAGATTTCTGCCAGGGTGGTAGATCTGACAATTTTGACTCGGTCGTGGAGGAGTCTGCTGTGTGTTTTTGAAAATGCGGCTGCCTATCTAGTCGACACCTTTCTTGAATATGTGTTACACAGATAGTCAAATTAATACCAAGTAGCGATGAAAGTAATCGTGTTGTGAAGCATTCCCAGGCAGCTATATTGGAAGGTGGGAGGTATAAATGTCAGAAGTCTCCACGTCATCCATCCATCTACTCTACTGTACTGTACCTTCTCTTATAAACAAACGACACAACAACTACACACGACTTTATCAGATTCAAAACTGCTCGACCAAAAATACAGTTCAAGATCTCGCAAAGTCGTAAAAAATCATGTCAGACCTAGCCACCCGCCGCCAAATCTGCGAAGACACGATTAAGAGATCTGAGCATGTGACGGCAACAACACCAGGAGCTTCTCTGTCCAGTGCTTTTATCACAGACACCACATACGCGCCTCTCTCACCCTTGGGTCCCACATTCCCAGCTTTAACACCACAACACATCGAAGTCATTGATTCGGACACCTTTCTGTGCGCAAGAACCTTGCTAGGTCCAAACCCGTCTTTGCAGAATAAACTGGCGGTGCTGAATTTGGCGTCTGATGAAGAGCCTGGTGGTGGATGGAGGTATACGTTAAGCAAGACGCAGGAAGAAGCCTTGTGTTATTCGAGTACGCTATTTCAGACGTTAAAGAGGGAGTGGTATCCTTGGCCTAATACCGGAGATGGGAGTGTTGCAGGTATCTTCTCGCCTAGTGTGGTGGTGTTCAAAGATACTCTGGACAACGAGTGTGCTGAGTTGGATGAAGGAGAAAGAGTACTGGTGTCGGTCGTTACAGTCGCGGCGCCTAGAGGTCCTAAGCTTACGAGTGATGGTCAAGAGTTCAAGGATCAGAATGTGTTGGAGGAGTTTCGGGGCAAGATTAGATTGGTGTTGAGGTGTTGCGCCAGAGAAGGCAAGACGACATTGGTGTTGGGTGCGCTGGGGTGTGGTGCTTATAGGTGCCCGCCGCTGCTGGTTGCGAGAGAGATGAAGCAAGTACTGGAGGAAGAAGAGTTTGGCGGTTGGTTTGAGAGGGTGGTGTTTGCGGTTTATGCTGCTGGACCTGTGGGCAAGAGGAATTTTGAGGTGTTTCGGGAGGTGTTTGGGAGTGGGCCTTGAGGGAACTGTCAGTGAGATACTGTATCTCGAGCTATGGATTTAGCTTGATGGCACAGGAGTGGAAGTCAGAACCCTGACCAAATGCCTGGGACCTTTTGCGACGGAGCATGGTTCTGAACGAACAAACTCCTGCTCCTCAAAGCCTCCTGAAGGTAGACAAGTCCGTATACATTACGAGACCCTTCTGTTTATGCGGCGGCTTGCAAGGATAAGTCGAACATGGATCTGTAAGCCCCTTGTTCTTTGTTATCAGATACATACGTGGCCTAGGCAGGGCAGGGGCATCTCGGATTGTATACCGACCGTTGATGTATGCCTACCTTCCCGCAAATAGTGTCGATTCCAATGTCGATTCCCGTGCCGCATCTCATCTGTCGAGTCGTGAATAATGTTTCGTCAACCATGGGCAGAAGATGAGAGCCCAGGAACTCTGATCAGCCATCCCGTCGTTCTATGACTCGCAACACATGGTACAAGCAGATGCGGTAGAAATCTCAATGTCCGCTCTATTGAACAATGCAAGAAATCAAAGTGGGTCGATGTGGGATGAACTGGGTTCTTGCGCTACTGCAGGTGTTTCGTGTTCAAGGGCGCGGTGCATGAGCGATAAATTGACAGCGATTGTTGATTCGCTGATAAGATGGTGCACAGAATTAATAGACCGAAGGACAGAGTTAGGTAGTCGGCTATGGAGGGCCGTTGCAACGTTTATTTAGTTAAAGTTCCAGCGAAAAATAATAGAGCCATGGCAGGATATCCAAATATCGCTTATGCAAACAGAAGAATTGGTCGAGAAGGAAGAAATGACAAGTTGATTTGCAATAGAAGGGAATAGCCAGGGCTTGGCCAGCAATTGCAGCGTCGAGTCAGTTTTGTGGCGCGAAGATCATCTATCTTGGGCCTGGGGGAAGGGAGCGAGTGGAGTAGGCGCGACGGGTTCGGCAACGCTTTTGGAAAGTTGACTTTTCCATGTGGACTCTGTGGCAGAGGGGTATACCCACTCTGTTATAACCGATTAGTTAGGTACAGATGACAATGGAGACGAGCAGAAGGCTGCGAGGAGGAGGCAGCCCTCAGCCTCACTCGCAACCGCGCCCGCTGCTTCCTCCTTTGTCTTTGTATCCAAGTACCAGCAGCACCACTGCCCAATCGTCCCTGCCTCTGAACAGGGTACACCCATCCGACCATTCGTACTCGCACTCGCGCCAGGCACACGATGCTCCTTCCCCTCCTCTGACGCCTTCACAGCCGTCACAACCTCCGCAATTGCGGCCCGAGTCGTGGCAGTCGGGTACACAAGACTCTGTCCTGGACAATCTGCTGTTGTCCTTTGATCGAATGATGCCCGCTTCTGCTGCAGGCCCGGTCGAGCATCGCCCAAACATGGCTGATATCCACAGCGACGACTTTGACACGAGCAGCACGACCTTCACCCCACCGAGAGCCCTGCAACGCCTGCAACAACGCGTGCGAGGTCACACATACTCGTCCTCCACCTCGCACGACTCCGACACCATCAGCAACACCTCGCAGCTCACCGCCCGTATTCGCACAAACAGTCACCCCGATTCACGTCCTTCTACTGTTCAGAGCGTTGACTACGGCTACGGTCAGGTCCTCGGCACTACACGTATTGGCGGACACGACAAGTCTGACCCACGCACACAAGGCACCCCTGAGGTCGTTTCCAATGGCATTCTCGACCGCGGCCGTCCAATTCCCAGCATGTTTAGCACCTACGAAGCCCATTGTCCCGAACCAAGAGTCCCTGGTGGACCATCAAAATCAAACACAACCAAAGAGCCGGTCTCTACAAACAACTCTGATATCCCCCAGAGCATCCGCGATCAAGCCCTGGAGTTTGTGCGACAGTCCAACATGCGCGCCCAATCCCCTGTCAATATGCTCGAACAACCTCCGACCAATTCTTCGGCATCCATAGCATCCTCGCTCTCCAAACAATCTTCTGCCCATGACGCTCCAAAAGAGCGTCCTGGTTTCTTCAGAAGAGTTTTTGGTTCTTCAACTCGTACCAATTCATTTCCGGAACAACAACGGCCTACAATCAGAGATCAACCAACCCATAGTGTCGAGAACACTGCACCATCAGCTGTGCCTGCAAAGATTCAGGCCAACTTTACTGATCCTCCTCAACCTCAAAATGTTGTCACCAAGAAAGCCTCGTTCTTCAGACGTCGTAAGAAGTCGATGACTGATGTCCCTCCGCCTCTACCCTTGCCAAATCCTGTTGTGTCCGCTTCTCATCTCCAAGACCAAACTCAGCCTGTAAGTCCAGGTGCAAGCAGTCTCCGATTGGTCATGGATCGTTACCTCGGCGATTCTGACTGTCAGTTGAACAAGACTGTGTCTAACCGATCCAAGCCTGTCGATACTCCTGTCAGCCGACCCACTCGCACCAGCATCCTTAGCCATGACACGGACGAGTCCTCGGAACTCGACATGTTTCACTCAGGATACACTCCTCCGCCGGATGCATCTATACGAAGAGTGGGAGTAGAACCGCTGGAACCCCGAGCAGGCGGTATTAGAACTGTAACCTCGAATGCTCAGCAAAAGGCGTTCACTAGTCCCAAATTGGATGATATGGAACGTAATTTCGGTGGAGTGAACGAGCGTCTACAGACTGGAACTTCACGTCCGAACTTGGCCCAGAGTAATTCGTTCTTGTCTGACAAGAGCGATGCTAATGACAGCCAAGCTCCCTCCATCATTTCTGCTGTCAGCGAATCTTATATCGAGCCCTCAGGCGCATTCAGTCCTGTTTCACCAATTGCCACCCCAACAGAGAGATTCATCACATCTCCGACTTCTGACATGGAAAGAGAACCAGTATCGCCTAGATCACACTTCTTTGAGCACAACCGAGACAGTCTCGGTCTACCTCTTGAAGGCGTTAGAGCACCACAAAGCTACGTTGTGTCTAATGACGACACTGACCTGCCTTCATTTCAGGTTGATGGTCACACTGTTCGTCCGTCAGTCGAGGTCGCCCGAGGTATGCTCGGTACTATCGATGAGCCGACAGCCGATGAGAGAGAACGCGCTCGTCAAATTTATCAGGGCGAAGAGCAAGAATTGCTTAAAGACGAGGCTGCTCCATGGCTTGGTGATAAGAATCCCGTCAGCGCTCGCACTCTTACTGCGTACATGGACCTCTTTGACTTTGCCAATCGAAACATTCTCAGTGGCTTGCGCATGCTCTGCGATAGACTCGTGCTGAAGGGAGAGAGTCAACAGGTCGACCGCATTCTGGATGCCTTTTCTAGAAGATGGGACGAATGCAATACCCACAACGGCTTCAAAGGGCCAGGTGTAGTACACGCCATTTGCTATGCACTGTTATTGCTCAACACTGATCAGCACATGGCCGATATTCAACACAAGATGACACGATCCGAATTCATCAAGAATACCATGCCTGCGATTAAATCGGCTGCAGAGAGTGCAACCATCCGACCGTCTCGTTCTCAAAGACCTTCTTTGCCTTGGTCAGACACCACACCCAAGTCCCCTGATGATGATGACCGAAGCTCTATCGATTTCAGAAGGTCGACCAAGCGTCTCTCATTCAGGCCGGGCATGGGCAGATATGAAACTGATCCTGGTCCGGGTGAAAATGCAGAATTCGGCTCAATGAACCATATGGTCAATCGTCCCTTCGATGGTCCTGACCATAAGTGGTTGTCAGAAGTTGAGTCAGTACTCAAAGCATTTTACAACTCGATTGTATCCTTGGCTCTTCCTCTACATGGCTCTCAGAAATCGAAAGAACAGCCTGGTTCATCCCACAGCCCTGCGAACCTCGCTGTTGCAGGCAACCTAAGGCGCACTGGTTCTATCATATCCAAAGCACCTTCTGAGGGCTTCTCCTACCGCAGCAAGAGAAACAACAGCGCTCTATCATCACATTGGAACGCAAGCAATAACAGATCGAGGCAGAAAATCTACCCTGCTTCAACCGTTGGCTCAACCCGAACCTCGATCGATGATGGCCGATCTGTTTGGAGTCCATCTGCACAAAGCAGTATGTGGAGCAAGATATCCATGGGTAGGACCCAGACCACGATGAGTGTTGAGAGCTTCGCCGTTCATCCAGACTTCAAGCAGAGCCTAGGATTTACCAATGCCTTGTCGCAAGCAATCATCCGAGAAGAAAGTGCAGGTGATACTGAATCAGTCATGAAAATTGGCACAGTGCTCGAAGATGAGAGTCTGGAGTTGGCTGGTGCGCCTTGGGCCAAAGAAGGCATGGTTAAGCACAAACACCATCTCGATGGTCCTGAGAAGAAGGCCAAGGAGCGCAGCTGGAGTGAAACTTTTGCTGTGGTTGAGAAAGGATATTTGCATCTGTTCAATTTCAACCGGACTACAACCAAGATCAACGATATGCGTAGCACCAAGCGCCAGCTACCGAAGACAGGCAAGGCTGCTAGTGTAACACCTTCTGTCGTGGGTGGCGGTAATTGGACTGACAACGCGGACGAAACTGACCAATTCCTGCTGAGGCAATCTCTTGCGACTGTTCTACCGCATCCGGGCTATAGTAAGACTCGTCCGCACGTTTGGGCATTGAGCTTACCGACTGGAGCTGTTCATCTGTTCCATGTTGGCACTGCGGAGATTGCAGAAGAGTTCGCCTCCACTGTGAACTACTGGTCTGCGCGCCTGAGCAAAGAACCTTTAGTGGGTGGTGTTGACAACATCGAGTACGGCTGGAGTGATAACATCATCAACCCTGCTCTTGTTGGCAACAGCAATGGAGAACCGCTTGCGAAACCTCCGTCCAGAGCTGGAATCAGTCACGCATACTCTACATCTGTCAATAGTGTTGGCAAACAGAGTATGCAATCGACTGTCCGTGGCTCTTTTGACCAAACATTCGGATCAAGATCCAGACTGCCTGGGGACCGTGCTCATATCGCTGACTGGAAGCCTCCTGCAGCATCGATGCTGCCGTCACAGCTGCTCGAAATTGATCAACTTCGCAGTCTCAAAGCATATGTGGCGTCTGTAGAATCTGAATTAGAGCGTCACAATGAGTTGCGAAACGCCGTGAACCTTGCCTACACGAATCACCACGGTCAAAACTGGAACAAGGTCACCGCCAACTGGGAGAAGAAGAGTGCTTATCTTCTGCGTGAAGTCGTCAAGTTCAGAACCTATATCGAAGCTCTCGAGCGAGCTGGTCGCGAGAAAGAAAAGGTCTACCAGGAGCGCCACGCTCGCGAGCAAGAAAGAGCTGCCCTTGGCTCCAAGGATGGCAAGAAGGAGAATATCAAGGCATGAAGTCAATTTGACTGTCTCCTTCAGCTCACGCTCAAGGCCAAAAGACCTCGTTCTACGCTTCTTTAACAACCCTTTTCTTTTTTTTTTTTCCCTTTGTTTCATTGAGAGATGCTTACGTTTTTGCTTCCCGTTTTTCTGTTCCAATTATGCATGCTTGTCACGTCGAGGATACCCCGCTTACTCATTGTTCTTTTCTTCACTTCGTCTTACTGCATAATGCATAAACAGCCTTTTTCTCTCATTCATAATATACCATCGATTTTTAGGAGCGTGTTATAGAGATCAGAGTACTCTTTCTTCCAAATTCAGAACGAAGTTGACCAATTTTTCGGACTTTGAAAGCTTGTGGGCAAAAGTGAGGAAACCTCGTGTTTCAACCTTTTTGAATCCAAGAAAGTACCTACATACGAGAATATCATGACCCGTGTCGTCAGCGTATCAGCGAACTTGCTTCTAGCTCTGTTGTCCTCGCGGGCACTAGATCGAGCCCCTCTTCGAGCGCTGGCGTCTATAGTAACAGTACTGTTACTTCGTCTGCCTTGAATTCGTCTGCTACCAGCGCTGCACCTTTCGTAGACTGCCTAGATGTTCCTAGCTACCTTAATACGGTAAGTTTGCTTTGACGTTGTCAAGTATCTTAGCCACCACTAACTAAGTGATAGTACCTCTATAATCCCGACTGCGCTAACAACGCTAATGCTGACTGCTATTATAAGGATAAGGCTTTTAATAACAGCGTCTATTGGCATTACGCCCTTCTTAAGCTCGTAGCAACCTGCTAAGAAGTCACTGGCAGATATGCGGAGGCTCGCGATAGATTCCCAGCTTAGGCGACGGTCGTCCAGTTGTGAAGAGCTTACTGTTCTGGTGCCCGAGTATGGGTCGAAAGCTGCGCAGGCTGTGGATATTAGTACATTACCTTGAGGCCATTGTGCTGTCAGGCATTAATCTATGCCCTCGCCAGCAAGTTCCATGAACACATGCGAAGCGCTCTCTTTCCATGTAGACTTGTCACTAATGCTTTTGGTCAAAATCCTAAGCCTTTCAGGTGTTATGCCTAGCAGGGTGGCTGCGCGAGGCGTGACCACATGATAGATGGCCGCGATGTCCTTCATCGCTAGAACAAAGTGCCTATACAGCTTCTTATTCGTTAGAAAACAGGCTTGTTCTCTACGTGGCTCATAGAAGGAGACTCTGTCGAAGTACATCAGCGAGATTGTATGTCTTTCTTCAACAATTCACATCCAGATGATGGCAAGGAAGGGAAGAAGGTGACTCGCCGGAATCTTATGCTTCTACACCCTGGATACTGGATGCTTGTCCGATCTAATGCTGACGAGCATTCGGCGCGAGGCAGCGAAGACGAACCAGACAGCTAGCGTACCATCTGTATGGCTCTCACCTCGTAGCTTGTGGATGACGGCAACTGCGGCTGTCCGGTTTCAAGCCATCAAGCTCTGCTGTCGTTCATCTGTCAACTCGGAGAGAAAATCCAGTAAACAGTGCACCGCCTGATCAAGGTGCTGTGAGGCTTCCTCAATGATACCTTAGTCGATGCGAAACTGGACGATGGTGAAACAAGGTGCGGAGGTGAGGGACAGCGATGGCGAAGTCTGGCTTGTGCCGAGAGGCTTTAGTATGATCGTATCGTTGCATATGGGTGTGGCTTGTCTCTCTTCTTGAGCTAAAGTGCGAATGAGGTCGCTTGCTCGAGACTATATTGAATAGGGCAGGGTTAAGATACTTTGTCTACCGCAGTCATTATTGAGAATGGTCAGGGCTTTACGAGAATAGTTCAAGTGGTAGTCGGTTAAAGCGGAATGGCGGAAGGTATGCATGGATCCACGTAGCTACCTACCGCATGCGGATCATCGCGAACCTGATACGTGGGGTGATGCCGACCCAAAGCAGGAACTTTTGGCGGAAAGACCTAGAATGTGGTGATGTGCGATGCAAAGTGATTCAGACAAACCGAGCGACCAGTAAATTGCTTCGGTTGGGTGATCGAGGATGCAGCGCATGCAGACGAGGATAGATGGCTAGTAAGACAGCAGAGATTGGACGCCAAGTCGTTACGGTCATCCAGAGCGGATGAAGATTGGATCATTCCATTGGTAGGGCTTTGTAATGGCAAGCATTTGGAAGTACCCGTGGACTGAATCTGGCTGGCTGTGTCAACATGTGTCGGTCTGGTGCTCGGTAGTAAGCAAGTGGAGGCTTTGTCAAGATCGCCCTATTGTTTCGAATGGGTCGGAAATAGTACGCGATTCATTCTTGCCCTTCTCTTTCCCTTCCGAACCTTGACTTGAAAAGCGACGAGGGCATCTTCCTTCCTGATTCGAGCACCAGGTCGCTCTCAGATTCGGACTCTGTGTTTCAGAAACGAGTGCTGAGCGGGGACTGAAGAAGCCAACGTTTCAGGCAAGGACGCCTTCAACGTTCTTCTCCCAACGGTCAGCGGAGAACAGACCTCAAACGCAGTGCAAAGGTTACTGCCCAACAGACAGCAGTAGCATCTCACCATGGCTCGTATTATGCCAGACTGTCTGTAATTGGAGTGGCCTCTCGAATATCGCGTAAAGATGAGTGCTTCTCGAAAAAGCAGAAAAAGCCCCTGATCTGCAGCCGACGCTCCGAGGCTCGCTTGATCCCGAAGAGGTCTTCTCGGCCAAGCCCTCATACCAATCGATAAACCTCGTGGTTAACTATCGAACCAAGTTGCCCAGCGCTCTCATGTAAGACCAAAAGAGCACTGCCACAGTACAAGCTTCTCGATGGAGCGAGGTAGCAATCAAGATGAAGTCACCAATGCAATCCAGCAAACGGCAAGCGCTTGAATGTGAGGCAGTCGAGCATGGGCCAACATGAACAGCTGACTTCTGGGCGTCTCGCTTGGTGCAACGGTCGACGAACGAATCAGCTGCATCTTTGCATCTTGCAGGACCGTTGATGGAAATGCATGCCTGTTAGACTCTTATTTCGACTGCATCCATTGCCATGAGGAAGCGCAGGTTTATGGATATGCAGCGAGTATCATCATCTTCACGTTCACCGGCAATTGCTGTACAAAAGTGTACCGGTGACACAAATAGCAGCGGATGATTTGCCCTAGCCCAGGGCGTGGTTTCCCGGAACTTGATGGCAAAGAGGTTCATCATAATTTCCCTTGATTGAAGGACTTCCAGAGAGAGACATACGGACTACGCGACAGACGGATTTGGCTCAGCTTGAAACGAATCGCGACCGTGGCCACGAGGAAGACCTTCTCCGGTGAACGATCTCCCGCTTCTTCGACACCCCCACATGAAACGCCGGCTGCAGTCTGCCCCGTGTTCTATGACTTGGTACCTGCATTAGACTGGACCTTGGTGGCGCTCATGCTCGGATCATGGCTTGCTTGGTGACCTACTCATGGCCATACAGGCGACAGCGGCGCATCGAGCTCGTGCCAGGTCACACTGACTCTACACCCGATCTCCAATGGAACCGGGTAGATTGAGGAGGCGAAGTGTCTATAAGGCATGGGCACATCCCTTCTACAATGACTGTCTCTGCTCATCCGGTCTTTCTTCTTTTCATACCAAATTCTTTCTTTGTTGGAGAGTTAGAGTCATTCGTTTTCTCTACTCCCTTGTCTTTTGCATTATACCCTAGTTGATTGTGATATCTCACAAACCACGGCAGCTTCCTGTCAATTCAATCAGTTTTCTCTCCAACCCTTAAATCAGAGCCATGCAGCTCACATCTGCCACTCTCCTTGTGGCCGGCTTGGCCGCCCAGCAGGCTTCAGCTCATTTCCCATGGGCCATTGATGCCGGCAAGTTCAGCACCTGCAGCAACACCGATACCCAGTGTTCGGAGCAGCAGCACCAGGGCTATGACTGGAGTGGTCTTTCCATTGGTCACCCCGTCACTAGCTATGGTGCCAACACCTTCTCTGGTGGCTGGACTTGCAACAGCATCAAGTCGAAGCGTGATGAACTCACCAAGCGCACTTTCAACAGCAAGTGCGTCTCTGGTAAGCTTCCTGCTTGGGGCTCTTTTGGCTCCTCATCCAACAACGGCGCTGGTAGCCTTTCCATTGGATGCAGCGGCGAAAAGAACAAGTTCTCCATCTCTGAGATGCACATCTCTTCCACCTACGACACTCACGTTGACTGCCACTACAACATGCCTGATGGCTCTGTTTGCAAGCAGAACGTTCCTTGCAGCGCTGGTGGTTCCATTGTTAAGAACACTCAATGCGGTGGTGCCATCTCAGTCTCTTTCTCTCACGGCAAGCCCAGCTCTGGTAGCACTGCCTCTGACAAGGGTGATTGCAACCTGAACATCCACTCCGTTGGCTTTGCTTGCGGCTCTGGCTCGTCTTCCACTAGCGTTTCTCTCCCCTCGTCGGTCTTCACCCCTTCTTCCTCGGCTGTCTACTCCTCTTCCGAGTTCGTTTCGTTCAGCACCGCCTCTCCCGAGACCACATCTTCGGAGGTTGTCCCCGAGACCACTTCAACTGAGCTGCCTGCCACTTCCCCTTCGGTCAGCAGCACCGTTGTCGTCTCCAGCGGCAGTGTCGTCGTGCCTGGAACTTCTTCTGCTCCTTACCCTGTTGGCTACCAGAACCAGACCGCCACTCAGCCCACTGCTGAGAGCAGCGCAGCCTCCACTCCTAGCAGCACCGAAGTCTCTCCCAAGACTTCATCGGTCGTTACTTCTGTTGGCACTGGTCTTTACCCCTCCGGATCGGTCCCCGTCGGCACTGGTTACTACCCTTCCAGCTCTGTTGTCCCCGTCGGCACTGGATCGAGCCCCTCGTCAAGCGCTGGTGTCTACAGCAACAGCACCGTGACCTCCTCTGCCTTGACCTCCTCTGCCACCAGCCCTGCACCTTCTGCAGACTGTCCTAGCGTAGTGCCGAGCTGTCTCAACACATATCTCCACAACACTGACTGCGCCAACAACGCTGACGCTGACTGCTACTGTAAGGATGAGGCTTTCATCAACAGCGTCTACCAGTGCATTGACGCTTACGGTGGTTCGGATGAGAGCGTTTCTCAGGCTATGTCTTACATGGTCGGTATCTGCGCCAAGGCTATCCCCTCCAACCCTGCCATCGTCACTGCCGTCCCCTCGAGCATTGACATTCAGCCTTCGTCGTCGACTGTCAACGCTGCCACTGGCTCATCGAGCTCTGCAGTCCCTGTCGGCACCACCGAGGTCCCTGCCAGCTCCGCCACCGACTCGATCGTTTACGTTACCGATGTCGTCAAGAGCACTCTGACAACATGCCCTGTTGGCCAGGTCATCACCTCTGCCGGATCGACTACAACTCTGACCGCCCCTACCATCATCCCAACAGAGATTACCACCAAGTCGACCATCACTGCTTCGATCATCTCCTCTGTCACTGGTGCTCTTCCTTCTGGCGAGTCGCCTTACGAGACCTCGCCCGTCCAGACTTCGCCTGCCGCTGCTTCACCTTCCGAGGCTTCGCCTGCTGAGACTTCATCTGCATCTGTCCACGTCCAGGTCCCCCACACCGTTACTCTGTTCAGCACCCAGATTGCCACCATTACTTCTTGTGCTCCCGAAGTGACCAACTGCCCTGCTACTTCTCTCGTCTCCACCGGTGTCACCACCAGCAACATCTGGATTCCTGTTACCTCTGCTCAAGAGACTTCTCCCGCCGAGACCAGCCCTGCATCCTCCGCTCAGGAAACCTCGCCCGCTCAGACCACTTCGGCTGGCGTTTCTTCAGGTGTCGCCTCAGGTGTTTCCTCTGGTGTTGTTTCCTCCGCTGGTGATATGCCCTCGGCTTCGAGTCCTGCTTCTTCTGGTGCCTACGAGACCTCGCCTGCAGAGACTACATCTGCTCCTTCGGTCCCCAAGACTGTCACACTCTACAGCACCAAGGTCGACACCATCACCAGCTGCGCTGCTGACGTGACGAACTGCCCTGCCAGAGTTCTTTCTACATCTTTGATCGCAACTGGCGTTACTACCGCTCCTCAGTCTTACGAGACCGGCGCTGTTCCCGCTTCTTCGGCACCCGCTGTTCCTGAGGTCCAGAGCACTGTCATTGTCACTGATGTTGTCAAGACTACCGTCACCACATGCCCTGTCGGCGAAACGTGAGATCATTTCTTCTCCTCGATCTAAAAAGCCTGACTAACATTTTCTTAGTGTCACCGCCTCCGGCAGCACCATCGTTCTGACTTCGCCTTCCGTCATCACCTCTCAGATCACCATCAAGAGCACCATCTCGACCACCGTTCCTGCTCAGACTCAGACCGTTGTCTCCCCCGAGTCTTCCTCGGCTGGTGCTGTTATGCCCTCGTCTGCCGCCATGACTTCGGCACCCGCAGCCCCCAAGACTTTGACCATCTACTCTTCGGTTGTGGCTACCATCACCTCGTGCGCTCCTGACGTTACCAACTGCCCAGCATCGAGCACTGTTCAGACCACTTCGTACTACGCCGTCGGTACCACCGTTTCGCAGGTGTCTGAGGTTCCTGCTGTCACTGGTCCTTCTGAGGTCGCACCTGCCACTACTGCTCCTGCAGCCGTTGACAGCAGCTCGACTCAGCCTATGACTACCATCACCTACTCTTCCGAGCTCGTCGTTCCTGCCACTTACACTGCTGGTGAATCTCAGGGTGCTACCATCCCCAACTCCAAGATCACCTCAACTATCCACAGAACCCTCACCGTTCCTCAAGTTCAGTTCATTACTGAGACTGTTGGCGGCAAGCCTACTGTTGGTCTTACCTACCCCTCGGCCGTTCCTGCCACCACCACTTCTGAGGCCGTCATGCCCACCAGCCCTGTCGCAGGTGCCGCCACTCCCGCAATCTCTGCACCTGCAGGATCTGCTGCCAGCTCAGGCTTTGCTCCCATGTCCTCTACCTTGGCTAGCACTTACAACATGCCTGCTATGCCTACTGGTAGCCCCATCTCCTACACTGGAGCTGGCGCCAAGGTCGGTGGCTCGTTCGCTGGCCTCGGTCTCGCTGCCGTTGCCGCCATCTTTGTTCTGTAAATCCAGAGCATTGAGATACTGTACAAACATTTTTTTTTTCTTGTTTGAGAGAAACAAAAGGGGAGGATTGGATATGGAGGATGTAATAATGGACGGAGTACCGCGAACCCAAAATATGCGCCCAATCGTCTCCGGTCTGGTGTTGAAGAATGAATGTATAGCGTTGTTTTTAGCTGTTACGCAACCCTTTTGTCATACTCTGACTATGTGCAGAAGACAAGCATTTCCTTTCACGACTTTCATTGAACAGTACGCCTAATTAGCGGCATTTTATTTCCTTTTATCAAAATACTTTTTCAACTTCGCACAAAATTACGTTTCCTTAATATGTGGCGTCCAAGAGACAAAATTCATGTCTTCATTCATTGAGAGCCTTGGAGGATGTCAAATCAGAGGCAACTCTAGAACCACTTGGTACAGAAAAGTGGTGGTATCTCTCTCAGAAGATGAAAGTCGGTCGGCGGAGAAGTAAGCCTTGACTTGATCTGTAATGGTAGTGCCTGTCAAGCGAGCCTACATCTAGCCAGTGAACGCCTGTATGAGTGATCAAGCATACTAATTCGATCACTCACTGTCGTTCGACACAAGTTCCCCGATACATCAGGCGCCTTGAAAAGATACTAACACCTTCCGCTTCTGAACTCACTTGCAGTGAGAGACCACGCCGTCAAACTCGATTCACCTGCTATCTCTCAACTACTTCGCAATTTCCCTCCGTTCAACCACCCCTCCCTCTGCATTCATTCATCCATCCCTTATCCAGCTCTTACCTTACGTAGCCTCGCAGCCAGATCCATCATGTCACTAATCAATCTGCCTCTTGAAATCCGCCTGCTTGTCTACGACTTCCTGCTCTACGACGCATTGTCCGACAACATTTGCATCATCTACCGTGGGTGCAAGAGGGAGTCCGACAATCAGATCTTCTTCGAAACCTTCAGAGCCAGGAAAAACATCCCTTTTCACGCAATGATCAAACCACAAATCTGGCACATCGATATCTGTAACCTTCTCAACCTTGCTGCTACCTGTCACCAACTCCGATCAGAGCTCTTATTTCTCGCTTGGTCGAACGCGGATATCTGCATCAACTTGAAGAACAAAGAGCCAGAAACACTCATGGGATATGCGGAATTCATCTTCAACAATCGCCTCTCCAAGATCTGTTGCGACTTCATTCGTACCCTGCAAATCAATGTACTCGAGGTCACCTGGGAGCCACGTCACACAAGAGCAATAGCTGAGATAATCCACCGCTGCCTTCCACGACTTGGGAAGCTGACAGTGCACGTCATCCGTGAATGGAACAGTGTTGATTCAGATCGCCCACAAAAAGCTTTGTGTGCCCTTGGTACCTTGGAGCCTCGTATCGCCGTTGAACTTCGAACTGAATTCATTCGACCATTCCTCTTCATGAGCGTTGGTCAACAACTCAGTGATACTCAGATTCGAGCTAGGCAACAGAAAAGAGCTAGGGCAGATGCTGCACATCTGGAGGCCATCCGTTCAGTGGGTCAGAGGCGTAGGCGTACGAAGATGGCGAGGGAGCAGAAGGACGAGGTTCTCGACATCCTGCAAGATACGGTCGACATCCGTTCACAGAGTATGAGCAGTAAAAGGTCGGAAACCGATTTACAACAGCAACATTGAGTTGATGGCACGCTTAGAAGGATCACATTCTCTCACGATTGAGTGGTTGATCGTGGTCAATGGAAAAGGTACCATACAGACAAAAAAAAAAGAGAAAAAAAAAAGAAGCACATACCAGTACCTACAGAGCTTGAAGTGCTTTTCAAACAGTCTCACCTCATACAAATCTTCACATGAGTTTTGAATCCACTTTCCATTGTCTGTTCGATCTAAGGTAATGATGCCTTGACATTTGTGGACTCCTTCGCTTGAAAGTCTAGATCGCTTATTTTCCTTCCGAGTACCATTCGTAAAATCAATCAAGTCCAATCAAGATTTTAGTTCCATCGCTCAGGATACACCAAGTTGAGGTGGACCAAATCATCCTCAGAACGTTTGAGTGCAGAGGTAGTAGCTATGTGTTCATTTTCACAGGCAGGTCTCCAAGTAAACGTGAGGAAGGAAGAGGGAAAACGAAAGGCACAACGGGGAAGCGTTGTGCACTTAATGTAAGCTGACTATGTGTTCTCAACGTCTGAGAGCAACCGCTCGCAGCCTGCTGAGCCTTGACTCCACAATAAACCCCAACCTCACACCCAGACGTCAATCTGTTTCGACTACCATCGCCAGGCCAGTGACATCGATGGAAGAAGCATCATCTGAAAATGTTCGACAGACAAAAGGAAGAGACACTTTTGTATAGGACTTTTGGTCAACCGAGACAAGCACCTTCGTATAGGGCTTCGAAAAGTGAACACACGCTCGTGTCGCGCTTGTGACGACTCAAGAATCTGACGCGCAGCGACAGACTAGAGCGGAACCATTCATGTAATCATCAGAGAGTGCAGTGTCATGTGGCCTCAAAGACTGGTGTTGGTGGCAGGGGCAGAGGTGACGACTTTGAGAGGGAAAGGCTGCGAGAGTTCGACGTCCATGACCTCGCCATCGTCATCACTGAAGCCCTCCCATTCAGAGAACTCTTCTGCGTCTTCCTCGGACTCACTCTCCGACCTAGACTTGGATTTGGCTTTCGCTCTGGCCCTGGCATCTGCGTTCTCCTTGGCCTGTGCCTCTCGTTTGGCCTTCTTCTGCTGCCTCTTCTTTCTTGCCTTCACACTGCGAGAAAGAGGATTTTGGTGGAATGCGCTATAGAGGACAGGAGCGTCCAGATTCTCGCCGTTGGCTTCTATGTAAGCCATAGACTGAGCCTTCGTGATGCCAGCCTTTTTCTGCAATCTGCGCAGAACTTTGCCAATCTTCGTGCTTAATCTGTTGTCGGTCTGGTTGGTGTTCATGGCTTTCATCCAGTTCATCAATGTCTGAGGCCCGACCTCAATGGCAGGAGGGAAGTGCTTCTGCTTGTCGAACCAGTTGACAATGGTGCTGATGGGAAGCTCCGAAGGGTTCTTCTTGGGGGCAGACATTCTGAAGAAATAAATAGATAAATTTGTAACCGGGCGCTTCGAGATGCGAAAAGGTTGCAATGGTTGAGTGGGTGTGAAGGAGAGTGCGCAAGACGAAGTTGGCTGAGAATGACCAGGTTGCGAGATGCCAAGCGCAGTGAGACTTTCAGTTCGAGTGTACGGCGGTCTTCAGTTAAAGTGAGTGAAAGCAGATGTAAGACACGAGGAAAGAGCGTTCGGCCTAGTGCAGCATAGCGACTGCCTCTCACAGATGCACAACCAACTCGCCTAACCGTCAACTGCTCCTTGCAACAACACCATTTTCTTCTTTCCACTACATTCACGCTTAATCAATGCTGGTACCTCCCTCAGTGGCCAGTATCAATAACCACCACCACCACCAAAACATGCCATCGCTGACCAGTCTGCCTCCTGAGCTACGCGCAGTCATCTATACCTATCTGCTAGAAGATGGTCTCGCGAGCGGCAAGCGCATTGTCTACTGCCACGACGATGACCAATATGACGACCTTGAGTTCTCGCCTGTCAACCAACACTCTGAAGATCAGGACAACGCCCAGCCAGAGAGCAATGTTGTAGGATGGACCCGTTCAAAAATGGATTATGAAAGAAACCACCAGGCTCGCATCACCTCTCTCATTGATGTGCGCTACACATATGGTCCCGATGTGCTCAACGGAGCCATTCACCATGCCAATATTGACGACCTGCTCGCCCTTGCAAGCACTTGCCGTCGCATGCGCACCGAAATCATTCCCATTGCCTGGTCCCACGCCGAAATCACATTCTACACACCTGACAGCCACTTCAAAGACGACATCTTCCACATCTTCGGTCAAATCCTTTCAAGCGACACTTGTGCAATGATCCACAACCTGCACATCGACATTGGCACGCGCTACTGGTCAGCTTCAGACGTGAGCGAGACTGCATATTTCATCATGAAACATCTGCCAAATCTAAAAGACCTTTACGTCTCTGTCGCTTGCGAAGATACTGAGAGCGATGTACCCGAGTTTTACTACGGCCTGGGCGCGCTCACTTCTTTGCCTTGCCAGATCATGGTAGAGGTCAACATCTACATGCATCCATCGGCTGCCAAACTATTTGAGCAAACAGACGTCCAACTCATCGGCACTGATGACACTGTCACGATCTACCAGGTTGAAGACTGGGAGAAAGTCATCAGTCTGAAAACCATGTTCCATCTCGAGTGTGCGCGCCATGAGACACAATTTGCCAGAGCTCTTCGAGCCCAGAACGAAGAGCGCCACCTTGATGGTTCCCTTCTTGAAGATACTTTGAGATTGCGCTCGGGCATGGCTGGCTGGCCTATTGTTGCTGGTCGCACTATCCCGAAAGAGAGATGGGAGGTGCGTCGTGAGGGATCTTGGCGCAATGGCTGGAAGGTTAAGGAAGGCGTCCCGGACACAATCATAGGCGAGAAAGAGCGCTATCTGGGTCCATGGTCCGAAAAGAAATTCAGAAAAATGAGCTAGGGTGCATCGTAGGACAACGCACATTGACGGATGGACAGCAGGAAAGACATTGAATCATCCGATGAATTCACCACCGTAGAAAATACCTCCAAATCTGACACGACAACGGCAGAAGAAGCAGGGGAAGAGAAAGGTGTTCGCTGATGGCACTGGAAGTTCCAAGAGTTTTGGTACACATTCTGTCGTTAGCTCTATCCAAAGCGGCTCTTGATGCTCATCTGATGCGGAACCTCTTTGTCATTGAATCACATCTTCGTATCGCTTGATCTCATGTTTCTCTTAATGATCATTCTTGCGTGCTTACAAAGTCTTCGAAGTGCATGCCCCATTCTTCGATATTTTACAGTCTCTCTAAATGCCTCGTGGCACTTCATCAGCGACGAACACGCGGCAAAGCATATCTCCCCATATCAACAGCAAACCATCTCTTGATCTCCCTCAAGCAAACCCCAGCAGCAACATACTTCCAACTCTGCAACTCTCCGACCTTCTTGTCTCCCATCGGTTGTTCGTCCATACCAACAGCAAGACAAGCGATGGCTCTAGGCAGAGCTTCTTCATTGCGATCGTTGTCATCGTAGTCGCCATCGATGATACGGGAGATGGTGAAGGTAAGCACTTCTTCGAGTTGTTCGCGCATGGCTTGGGTGGTTTCGCGGATGCGTCTGGACTGTTTGCCGCCGTCGCGGCCGAGGATTGTGCCGGAGAAGATTTCGGTCTCGGTTAGGGGGTGGCGTGGTGAGGAGGCGAATTGGTAGAGGGATTGGAGGAGGGTCTGCTCGTATCTGTGTGATGGTCAGCCATTGCGAGTTGATGTTTGAAGTCAAGCTTACCCGTCTCTGATCTGTCTGGCCAGATCAAGATGATGCTCCCATTGGATGACTCCAGTGTACTGCTGAATGTATGCCCAAAGAGTCTCAAGGACCGTATCATCTCGGCCTGGAAGACTCTCAGTAGCATCTTGTAGAGTCCTCAAGAACTCCTTCTCGTCGATGCTACGGTAGAGGTGACCAAGGGCTTTCTCGCTGCGGTAGTAGCGGACCGGGCGATGATCGTCCAGGTCGCCGATAGGATCAGTCTCCTCCTCTTCTTCGTTCTGAACTGCATCTTCGAAACTTGCGTATCCACCGGCCTCGATAATGACTCGTGGACTGGGAGCCATGAAGTCTGGTTTGGCAGGCTGGGCTCGTGGAGCTCTATCCATGCTCACCTACAGCAGTCAGCATGACTGTTCTAAACTCAATATCATATGAATTGGGTACTTGAACTTACTGCAATACCAGTCTTGGAGAAGTCGACAGCTGTTGAAGCCATGCTTGCAAGCTCAATACACGCTGCATCGAACACACCCATCGGCTTTTGGTCTGCAATTTGGAGATGACGTGTGCAGATTTGACCTAGTTGATCAGTTTCCATGAACTCAACGAAGAAAGAGCTCATATCCTGGATGGTGACCTCACGGTCAAGCTCCAGACCAGGCACGCGAGGGTAATCAGCAGGGGCCGCGATATCTCTCTGAGGCATCAAGGTAGGCTCAAAGATGACGTTGTAAAGGTCACCGTCAAGATCACCACCAGACAGCTGGCTCGGAAGATCGCGACTGCCATGCTGGCTGAACACAACGCAGTTGTGAAGATGTTTAAGAGAGGAGTCTTCAGGAACGTCAACAGCGTCGACGATTCTGATGTCGCCAGGGTGCAGTGCTGGAGAGCGTGTAATGATGACTTTGTCTTTGATGATAACCTTTCTGGGTTCATCTAGGGAAGTTTGAGTAACGGCGTAAATCTGGCCTTCCTTGAGATATCCAGTTTCGTCCATGATGCCATAGAGAGTGACTCCGTTCTTGACAGGTATGCGACCTTTGTACTTGATCTCGCGCAACTTTGTGATGACAGCCATCTCAACGACTCCACGAAGGAACGAATCGTCGTGATACTCGAGACCAATATCGGACAGCATTTCGAGGAAGCTTGGCAGTCTTGCAGCCTTGCTGGTTTGTGTGTCGTTGAGAAGCAACGATGCATTGAAGGTGCTAGTGGTCATCATTCTCAACTTGTCCACTGCCTCGTCTTGTAATGTCAGGAAAGACTCAAGAGGGACAAGCAGATCTTCAAGAATCTTGATGAATTGACGGTTCAGCACCATGGGATATGGTCGCCATGCGGCACCGCAAACTTCGAGCGTGACTGATGTGGAGCCCTCGAACTTCACCATTGAAGGTCGGATGCAAAATTGATCTCCAACAAGTCGAGAATCCAGGGACACCACTCCTTTCGTACCAGCTTGTCTGATCTGGAGAATGACAGGCTTGAGAGTGCGTCTCGATCCATACACAGCCCAAACCTTTTGAAGAAGTCCAAGGGAAATTGTACCACAGCCATCGCTAAAACATCGGCCGTTGCGTTCGACGTCGCGAAGTCTTACTTGCATCGAGGCTTCTACCCCTACAGTGCCAGTAGTGTCGGTGAAAGCCTGTCCGATACGGGCGGCACATCGGGCTGGAGTGCGAATGGAACTGAAATGTCCCAAATCCTTGATCAGCTCTGGGGCATGCAAAATCCTTCCCTCAAACTCAAAAGGTGCCATGAACCAGCAGGTCTGGGATCGAAGACTCGAATGGGAGAATCCCAAGAATGAGAAGCCTCTTCCTGCAATCAAGAATACCGAGTCCATGAACTTTCGAAAACGAGCATACACGTCTTTCTGATCGGACTGGCCATCATAGCGGACAGGCTCACCATCCTCGTCAACAAAGGTCACTCGTATGAAGTGATCAGAGTGATCTTGATACTTTCTCAACACGCGATTGCTGACCTCAGGCTCAGGACCTTCCAGGTATACGCCCGCAACGGTGACGGTAAGCTTGTGCACAAGGACAATGTGGGCATGGCGATTGATCAGCTCGTATAGGTTCTGAGACCTGGAGTTGTCAAACTTCTGGGCATAGTCCAGTAGATTGTTGGCGATTGTCTTGATTGAATAGTCCTCTGCTTCTGAATGAGGTCCAATTGGCTGAAGAGCGGAGTACAAACGTCTCAGAGATTCGACAATGGTGGTTGCATCGTGATTGGCCATCAACAAAGTTATCGTAGGAAGAACTGCAATGACTTGATCAGGCGAGAGTGCGCCGTTCCTGGCCAAGCGAAGTAGCTGGAACTTGACATCGAATGGCAAAGTGTTGTATGATTCCAGATTGGCGAGCGCCGCGTCAAGACGTCTGAAAGAGGATGCAAGGCTGACAGAAGGGTACACAGTGGGGGTAGGGTGGTTGATGGCAGCTGATGCAAGGTGACGATTATGCTTCAAGAATCGGTAGACTTCAGACAGCTGTCTGTAGTCGGCAAGCTGTATCTGGTACACAAAGCAAGTACCGACTACATCTGAATGAGCCTGGTTTATGCTTGTGACTCGCTTCTTGTTCTTCAGTGGGGGTAGCTTGAACCCACTGATGCCCAGAATGCTGATATTTGCGAGTGCCGCAGCGAGGTCCACCGAAGGCTTGGAATAGAAGGCGGGTGAGACGTGTAGAGCGAAAGTCACAGTTGGACGTTTGTAGTCTCCTGTGGTTGCTGTGTCAACATCAAAGTATTTGATGTTGACGCGATATGCAGATCCGCTGTTGAGGCTGTTGCTGTCCTCATAAAGGAGAGCCAATTGACGATGGCCAAATAAGATTCTGCCACGTCTTGAGTCGACAAAGCGCGGCACAAAAACAAGCTCGCCATTGACAAAAGACCACACCCCACATCGCAGATGGGAAATTTCGAAACTGGAATTCGCCTCGTGACGAGAGGCAGAACCGATCTGGCTTGATGCGACTGGTTGAGTGGCTCTTGACTTGAGACTGCGCAAGAGGTACTCGTTGGGTTGATTTTTCGACACCGCACAATTGATGTAATGGCCGTTCATGTTGAGCTGAACCAAGGGTCTTCGCTGTCCGTCGGACTTTCCATACCTGGCGATGAAGCGCTTGCCTTTGTCAGAGTCCAAAAAAATCAATTTTGCGCAGGCTTTGTTGCCCAGCTTCTCGCATATGAAGTCGGTGATGCCAAATTCGTGGAGAGGTGAGCGCATAAACTTCTTCAAATCACGCTCTGTGCAGTGAGAAGGTATGCGATTGATGAAGACCTCCATGATGGCGTTGCTGAGGGACTGTCCCGTGAAGGATCTTACACCCAGCGTGCGCTTCGATGGTGGTCGAAAGCTTGGTGTGTATCAGTGTGAATCAGGAAGGAAAGAAGTATTGCTTTGAAGAACTAAACGGAGAGATGAAACGATGGTTGGCTACTTCAGTATAGCGGTCAAAGTGAGAGAAACGCAGGTCAGCAGTAGACGCGAGCAATTTCAAGTCAAACGGACCCATCAATTCACCTCACTTTGGATATGCAGTTGGCCGTCGCGTGCATATCAGCGGCACAGCTTGCCTACAGATGTTGTGTAACATGGTGGTCACGAAATACAGATAACGACAGCTCCGAATTTTCAATCCAATGTCAATTTGCATGATATGCTGCATGCCATGACTGCTACCCATCTGAATGTATGGTACGTGCGATTGTAGCAGAGAAAGTCAAGTGAAGATGCCTCTCAAGCCATGGAAAGAGCCCAACGGAATCTGCCGCTTGGATTCGCGTCACTTTCGCGCTCCTGCGTTCTACTGCATCCTTTCCAAGACACACTACCGGGCCGGGACTCTGAATCATCAGATGCAGAGACCAAGGAAGTGCTCATCCACTGCTTTGACTTCTGTCATCCCCTTTAGAAGAGTTTGCAGCACCTCGCGATTCTCGTGAAACGTAATCCAGTCGAGGGCAACGTCAACGTCAACGTATCGCTGTTGCTGGAGTACTTGTCCGGAAATCCTCTTTATCCCCTTTCGACCAAGCAATGAGGGCACTAGACATGGAAAGTGAGTAAAGAGGGCAGTTTCTGGAGCAGCTGCTGAAACAATGACTTGAATGACTATCGCTGTTGCTTGTTATTTGAGCACTACTGGGTATGCTAATTTTATCTTTATGATCAATGATGGTAAGCTCGAAGAGATGGGAACACATGGAGAGCTGTCAAAACTCAGAGGAAAGAACCATGCTACGTGTTTGGCGCAGAGTTTAGACCAAGCTCGGAAGCGCTGCGATCAAGCACGCCCCTCGCGTGAAACGCGGTCGAAGAGCACTCTCCAATGCTTGCAGTCCTCGATATGCTTCATGACTTGTTCGCGATCGGCCAGTGCGGTTTCCATGTCACTTACTGTAGCGGGCTCTGTAGCTCCGCCAGCGTCGGACCGCATGATAGAGGTGGTTTCAAGGTAGGTGCCTTGTTGACAGAACACTTCATGATGTTCTCGAGCTTGACGACGCCATTTGGTAATGTCAATCAACGTAGGCATGACATGCTGCACCATCAATCCTCTCAAAAGTCTCAGGACCAGAGTGATGTCAGGATCGAACGTGCCTTTCTCAGGCTCAAGGTAGAAGCATACTCGTGGCTTCAGAGTGACTCTCGGACCCGAAGCAAGAAGAGCGACAGGTCTGGCAGCTGCCATGATTTGGAGATGATCTCTAACGAACTCAGGAGGAGTTTCATCAACCCAAGGCTCAGTCATAGGGTCAATGGCTCGAATGTCCAGACTGACTAGATTTGGCAGTCTATCATTGAGCAAGTCGACGATGGTTTTCATGTCTCTGGCAGTCAAAGCTTTACCAGCTGTAGTCCGGTTGTTGATGATAGTGAGATGATGAAGAAAGGCGCAGGATGCAAGTGGAAGCTTCTCGAGAAAGGTGTGAAGGAGAGTGGGACTTTCGTAGGCACCAAGAGAATCACCAAATGTGTACTCCAGACATGCATTGGCATAGATGACTGGCGTGGCTTCTGTGTAGAGCAATTTGCTGGTTGTAGCGAGAGACCAAAGATTGCTGTAGTCGAGATGCTTGATGGAAGATTTGACGGGTGCAGGTTTGACATCGGTAACAAGCTCGTCTTCTGGGGGATGGAGCTCAGTTGTGCGATCCCAGTTGGGCTGGCCGTCTTGGTTCAGGGTGAACATGATTCGATCTCCATCTCTCAAAGGGTCGGCCAGTAGTGCGTGGTAGATGAGCACCTTGATCTCAGGTGGTATATCGGAGAACTTCGCCATCGAATGAATTGGTTTGATAGAAGTTGAGAACGAAGACAGAATTTGGGGACATACTGTCGCCTTTTGTGGTCATTGGAGCGAAAGTCGGATCGCGGGTCATCGATTGCTGCTGCGTTTGCCGCACCACTAACATGAGACCTGCATTCCGGATCGACAACACACTAGACAAAGCTTGGTAGAGACACAGGTAACCAGCAGATGGCATGGCGAGACGCGCTGCATGTCTTCTCCCACGGGCCTCAGCTGTTCAGGGGTGAACGGGTGACTGCATGACAGCCTTTGCTCTTTCCATCTAGTCTGTCATTTCACTGTTGATTGTGGCAGTATTCAGAGACACGAGATGCAAGTTTTAGAGTTGTGCAACATTTATATGTCAGAGAAATGGATTTGGTTCTAACAAAAGCGGCGGTAGTCTAGTGGCAAGACGCTGCATCAATGTGTCTTGCAAACACAAGCTTTCAATAAGCGATCGCTGGTGCTCCCATGGAGCATCGCTTGCCCATTGAAGATGCAGAGATCGTGAGTTCGAATCTCACTCGCCGCAATCTTTTTGGTTTTGCAAAGATTCGCACCAGACACTTCTGCTCACTGGAGTAATGCCGCCTACTGGCTTTCGGCGTTTGTCTCGCATTTCATACAGGTAGGTCTGATGGTTGAGTCTTTATGACCCCATTTATTCTATTTTTTGTCAAGAGAGTCTGTGTCGTCCATTTGGGGTTTTCTACTACATTATTCAAAGTGTTGTTGGCAGCACTCCATGACACCAAACGATTAGATGGAAGCAAGAAAGTAAAAACCGTGTCTGATCGCTCTTGAGTAGTTATTCTAATTCGATAAAACAATCTTTCTCCGTGACTACCCTACCAACAAGGGACCCAATGTGTCTTGCATCAGTGTGTAACTTGAGCACGTTGAAGCCCGACTGAAGCTGACGCTGATTTTCTCCTTCTCCAGATCTACCAAAAGCACGCCAACCTGCGATTTCCAGATCTTGGCTCATCGTTGCCCAATACGCCGTCTATCGTTCCTGCTTCTCACTGGTCCAACTTCTTCGTGCAATCCTCATATGTATCATGTTTCGTTTCACAGCGAAGGCAATAGTAACCATCCCAATAAGTGCAGTTTCTTCTGAACATAGGGACCTGCTGCAGTATCTTGGCAATTGCAGCAGCACATTTTGTGTCATCCTCAGACGAGCCGTAACGAATCTGTCTGATCAGATTGTCGCGTCTGCTTGATAGGTGGCCTGTATTTTGGATCACATTGTAGATTGGCGATTGGATCTTTGCTAGACAGTCGTCGATCCTAGTCCAGGTCTTGAGCAATATAGCTGCGAACCAGAGGTAGTTGAAGCCAAAAGGTGGTGAGCGGCCACAAATCTCGCTCTTCACATCTATCTCTAGAAGGGACCAGACGTGAAAGGTCGAGAATGCATAATCGGTGTCACTGAGTGTCTCGAAACCTTGGGCACAAGAAGAAATGTCCTTGTGACTGTCTTCAGACGCCGGTAAATCGTATTCCTCTTGGAACTTGCGCATTGCTGGCAGAAATCTCTTCTCCAAAGATTCTGCGACTCCTAGGAGGTGATCGTCGTTGTCTGTAGGAAGTGAGAACAGTCTCCTGGCATTTCTGATGAATTCTGTATTCTCGAATCGTACGTTTCCGGTTTCAGAGTCGGTTGTACGTCTTGTTTGAGTCAAATAGAGGCTTCCCAGTGTTGTAGTTGGGTTCACCTGGTCTTCTGGCACGCGCCAAAAATTCCAATCAAACTCCTGTAACAACAATAGTGTGTGTTTTGAGTGGAGTAGAGCATTCTCCTCGAGATTGAGCCAGTCTTTGAGGGTTGTAGACGAAACAGACAGAGCTCGAGCTTGCGGTTGAGTAGGTTTTGTGTAACGTTTATTCTTTCCAAGACGGTCAGTCGTAGGGTCCCAAAAAGCTCTGCTATGGAAAATGACGACTAAGTCATTGAAACGATCAAGGGCCTGTGACAGAAATCCCTTCTCGACAAGGATATAGTGCACCTGCATGAGCTGAGAGAGCTCACGTAACTCATCCCAGATGACAAGGCCAATGCGGTATGCCACGTTGAGTGCTTCAGCCAGACCAACACCGCATAAAAAGGGCGAGTGTTCCCACAGACCATTGCGACTACTCTCTGCGCTGTTGTAACATCGCTCAAAGCGTGACTCCGGACCATCATCGAGATCAAATGTGCGATTTGATGTACCCAGCCAGCTGTTGAATAGCGTTGGAAGGTGCTGCAACTCTTCCAGCAAATTGTCCATATGCGAGACCCCAGATCTTGATGGCATGCTTTTCACAGTCTCCAAGAACGCGTCCACCCCTCTGATGAATCCAACAGTATGGCCATCAGTGTGACGATCGAGAAAACGATCTATCGCCTGTGCTGGTCGAAAATCTTTCGGACACGGTCTAAACTCATCCTTGTCTTCGCGGACCGAGAACCAACCTTGGGTAGCTGCAAATGAATCGACAATGCATTGGAGCTGGAACACGTGATGTAATAGGATCTTGTGTTGGAAGGCTGTACCAGGTTTCTGCATTGACCAGGTCGTGACACAAGCAGCAAAGTCCTCAATGCCGAACAGACGGGCGTTCCGACGATAAGGCCCATCCACAAACCAAGTAAAGTCCTTAGGGAAGGCTTTGTCGATATGTCTCTCCTGTCTGACTATGTGTACGAAGACGTTGACAAGATCGTACAGCCAGTTTATGGTATAGAGACGTAGCCACTCAAGTCGTCCCCGTTCCGAAAGCTGTTGGAGGTTGCATCCCGGAATCCACTTGACCAGCTGGGCCCGCAAACGTTTTGTTGGTCTACCATTGCGATTCTTCTGGTAATCGGTCACAAATTCGACCAAAGCATTGTAGATGTAGATGCCAAACCTTTTGCCGTACTTTGCGAACCAAGTATGCCCAAGATCTGCCGGACCACCGTTTGCGATATCGTTAAGAAGGCTGATGTAAGAATCGCTGTGTTCACCTTTTGCATCAGATTCCACAAATAGGGCTGCCGCTGTCCGTTTGACCAAGGCTATTGCCGTATTAGACATGACACCTGCGACAGAAATGGTGGACTGGTTATGCGCGACCGCTCCCCACCAGCTTTGCAGTTCATTCCTCAATCTCAAGTCCTCCACAAAGGCCGTCAAGATCATGATGGCACGGTCGCGTTTGTCGTCTGGTCCGTCAACAACGCGGTAATCCCTGAGTGGGACTTCGACTGAAATAGTTGTCTCGCCAGGATCGTCATCGCTTGCGTGCACCTGAAGAGCTGAGAACGCGTTTGCGAATACAGCATTCTCGATCTCCTTTTCTGACTCGGGAATTTTATGCCGTTTGTCAGCTCACTCAGTAGCCACTGGTTGCCTCCAAGCGCCTTGAAAGCAAAGGTCAGAGTATTTATGAAGGCTTGGTGTCGATCGTTGCTGCGTTCAAACTCTTCATCTTGTATGCCGGTGTACATGGCTTTGTATTCTTCGCTCATGTTTTGGCGACCTTTGATGACAGAGTCAAATAGATAGAGGATTATCGAAGGAACTTGCTCCCTGCGCTTGAGAAACGCAGCACCGACTCTTTGAGACATGATTTCGATCTCCGCACAAGTCATATGACCCGTGGTGTTGATGACATCAGTTGAGATTCGTTGAGAGTGTGGAATTGTTGTAATGATGCTATTCGAAGCATGTGCAAGCCGCCATAGTATGTAACGTGTGTCTTTCTTGTAGTTGAGGTAAGGCACGCGAAGTGAGCCATTCAGGTTGCGAGCCATATTGATGAAATTGTGCTGAGCTTCAAGGTGAGGGCGAGTCGAATGCGTTGATTGAGACTGTCTACAACCAGGAGGTTGGTTGACAGCGCGTGAAGATATGCGAGTTTAGCTTGAGTGAGGCGATAGCGTACAAAGATGAGTAATTGTACGTATCCTGGTGTTGTGTAGTGAAGTGCGACAAGGAATGAGTTCAGAAGACACTTGAAGTGTGAGACGACAAGTGCAGAAAGACGAGTGGTCTCGCGTACTCCAATGTTTGTGTTTGTGTTTGTTGACGTGTGCCGGAGTTTTGGGACGCAATCAAATCTCGAGAATAGTGGTGGTCCAGGCGACGAAAGAAGTGACGCAGAACAATCGAAGCATCCGATAACGAACGGGTGCAGCGGGTCTGTTACTGTATGCCCGTATCTTGTGATGTTCTCCTGTACAGTTGCAGCGCAGAAAGTGGGTTATAGAAATGCACAATACTTCTCGTATCAGAGCTGTATCCAGAGAAAGCTGTCAAGATAGCTACTCTCAGTGGACATTACTCTGATTCTCGAAAAGATTGTGCATTTTTATAGGTGAGAAAGTGACACAAAAGCACACAGGAAGACCTAGCTTTTGTTTCTGTACCTTGATCCATGTATTTCTGCCTCTTGCTCACACCTCGCGCACATCTTACTCAGTCTGACCATTTCCTTCTTCTCTGCCTTGCTTCAATTGTTCCTCGTATCCTTTGACCTCAGATTCGTGGCACCAGATCCTGTCACTACCAAGCACACTTACAATTCTGCCGTCATTGCGACCCCAATACATGAATTGCTGCACAGTCATGGATTGTTTCTTCAACTCGTGCGCTAAAACTTCTAGGCATTCCTTGTGGCCAGGTATCTCACGTTTGATAAGAATCTGGAGCTGCGCCATTCGACCGTTTTTGTGGTAAGGAATACACTGAAAAAAGAGCGGGTTTCTTAGTTCGAACAGACGCTTTTCTACTGCGTCAAAGATTGTCATGAACTTAATAGTGAGCCATGTGTAGTCGATTGCTGAGAGTGGTACCTGGTGGCTGATGTCGTTGATGAGGTCCAATTCAGCAAGACGAAGCTGTCCAAGACCAGTCGGTCCGTACTCGCTGTGTCCGAGTCTTTGTGTACTCGCTGTAAATTCGTTGGCGTCAGGAGTGTTAGAGGACGACTCGTTGGCAAAGATACCGTTGAATGCAGTAGCGTTCTCTCGGTATAGACTCAGGAAAGGGTCCCTTTCGTCGCTCTTACCCAGCTTGTCCCGATCTCGGACTGTGGCGAAAGATACGAGGAGTGAGTAGTCCGATTCAAGGTTTTCGATTAGTCGTGCTGGGTCCCAATCGGATTCGTGGTAGACCAGAAGTTGAGATTTGCGTCGAAAGATAGCGTTGCCGTCTAAGCTCAGTGCGTCCCGCATATCTTGATGTGCTCCGATAACCTTCTCAGGGTCATGGTGCTTATACCTCTTGGCCCTCTCCATTCTGCGGGCGTCGGACTCAGTCTTTTCACGCTTTGAGAGCTCAGAGAAATGGGGTCCATGAGGCGCACAATATGTTGCCAAGAACGAAATCACTTCATCGGGTTCCGTCATGTAGCCTTTCTGGACCAGTGGCTCTTTGAATCGAAGCATTATAACCGGTTCTAGGATCGTGTCCCAGCAAAGCATGCCTAAGCGATATGATGTTTCGAGTGCTTCAACCAAACCGACACCGCAGAGGAATGGACTGTACTCCCAGAGTCCATTCGGTGTATGGTTAGATAATCGTGACGGGATTTCGCTTGTGAAAGCGCCATCTGATTTGCCCAGCCAACTGCTGAACTGTACCCTGAATCGATCAAGTAGCATCCAGGCAATGCGGTAGCTTGCAAGTTGGTCACTAGAAGTGCGCTGGTACTCTTTGAGACGCCTTGAGAGAGCCTCGGCACCTGACAAGAATCCGCTCTCATGAGTGCCTAGGAAGAGCTTCAGACAATCTGTGGGCGAGACTTTTCCTGGTGGTTCTTTGGTGAAGTTGGCATAGCCTCTTTGGATGCCAGGGCCCCAGCCACGCAATGCTGTGAAAGAATCCACGATACATTGCAGTTGGAAGACATGATGGGGCAAAATTTTAGACTGAACATTTGTCCCTGACTTCTGCATTGCTAACGTGGTGATGAGTTCTGCGAAGGTTTCCAAACCATACAACTTGCGTGGTCTGTGGTACGGGGTCTTCACGTGCCAATCGATCGTCTCGAGCGGCCGCGTCTTAGTCGATATCTTGTTCTCTTGGATCACGATGTACGAAAAGACATTGACTAGATCGTAGAGCCAATTGATGGTGTATGACCGACGCCACTCTATCCTCTCTGCCAGGGTAGCTTGTTGTAGGTCGAAACTTGGATCCCAGGATGAGAGCCTTGACTGCATACGTTTTGTCGGTTTGCCGGTACGATTCTTTTGGAAGTCTCCTAGGAACTCGAGAAGATCTTGGTAGACATGCAAAGAAAGAATCTCTCCGCACACAGGGAAGTCTGAAAGCATATCCTGAAGTTCGTCGTGACTGAAGTCACGAGTCATAGCTTGGTATGTGTCAAAGCCTGCTGGAAACTCGACGAAGACAGCCAATGCTGTTTTCTTGATCATCATAATCGCCATCTCAGACACTGCTCCAGCGACCGCATGATTGACATCATCGTAGGCGACGCTAAACCACATCGTTTGAACATAGTTGCGTAACTTCCACCATTCGACGAATATAGATACCAAGGCCATTCTGTAGTCAGCAAGAATACCTTCAGGGCCATCAATGAGACAGTAATTTTCCAACGGCACCTCTTTATCCTTCTTTTGCTTCGATCTCTGGTTGCGTATAGCCTTGACGGGCTTTTTAGAAGGCTTTGTAGCCGGCAACGTCTCTGAGTCAGCCTCCTCATCACTCGCATCGCCGCAATGATAGATTTCGAGAGCTGAGAAAGCGTTGGAGAAAATGACCTCCTCAATCTCTTTGCTCGTCTGGGCTTTCTCCGTTCCAATGTCTTGCTTAGTAGCCCATTGAGCACCTCCAAGAACCTCGAAAGCCTCAATCAGGCGGTCGATGAAATACTTGTGGGTCTCGTTGCTTTTGCCCATTCCCTCATCTTTTTGGTTTGTTGCCATCTCCACGAACACTGCGTGCGCTGAAGATCGTGCAGATATGATCGAGCGAAATAGTCGAAAAATCGTAGAAGGAATTTGTGCTTGTGAGAGTCGGGATGCTACCCTCTTCGCCATGAGGATAAGCTCCCTGGTTGTGACCTGACCAGTGGTGTTGACACGATTCTCGACGTCATTGTTTTGGTTCTGCTTGGGGATCGATTGCAGGATAGCATTTGACGTGTGACATAGCCACCAGAGGATATACCTAGTGTCCCTCTTGTAGGTGAGGTAGGCGTTATGATCAGACATGACGAGGTACCACTGCCTCTAGCACTTTTGACTCGCCTCGCGATTGCGCGTGTGATCGAAGAGAGTATGTGCGAATTTACGGTGTAGTTTGCGAGTGTGTTCTGGTGCGGAAAGATAGGTGATCAGGCGCGTGCACTGGTGTCGGCGTATGTTTGTGTTGCTGACGCGATCAAGATTTTTGATGACTGCGCTCAAAATTGTGCGAGTGAAAATCAGCATGAAAGACGCGCGACAAGTAGTGCTGTGAGCGGCCAGACGGACAGTCAATAGCCCGGTCTTGGTGTTTGTCAGAACCCGTGTCGCTGCCCTGCGCAACCCACTTCCAGCAAACGACGCCTTCCGATGGCTGCATTCAATGAAACCAGTCATAGTCATGTGAGTTGCAGCAAGCCTCTGGTGCGAGAAAATCAAAGGATGCCACGAAATATCTCAACCCAATCTCTGCAAGCTCTCGAGCCTTTCCAATTTCTCTGGACACATTTCTTCCTAGAACAAACTCTGCCTTGAGATGGCTATGGAAATGATAGGCAAGAGGACCTGGGGTAACAGCGGCTTATCGACATGTTGCTGAGACCTCAAGACTGAATGTCTTTGACATCAGACGACTTTGTCTGTGACAAGGATCCAGGGTCCAATCCAAGATCCAGTTCCTGTTTGCGGATACGCAATTCTCGAAGCGTTGTGACATCCTCACAACCTCTTGGCCAAGCCTGTCGAGGATCGGGGCCGGGGCCAAAGTAACAAGTCGTGCAGTCGAAGAGAGACGGGTCGTACTTGCGTTGCTGTCCACCAAGAAACGAAATCAGCACAGTTCTTGTGTGAAGAATGGTACAGGACTGCGAGTCTATAAGAGATACTCAATAATGGGCACCTGCATCCTCGCATACGTACCCACCACAACTGAAACCCTCCATACTGCTCGATGTTGCAGCTCGCACAGGTCCTGGCCACTTTGACAGGGGACACAACAGGCTTGTGAGCCTTCCAGTCAAGTTCGTCTCTTACCCAAGCATGCTTATGCAACCATTCACGCAGCCTATGTTTGGTATAGAAATGAGGATTTCTATTCTTGTGCCGAATATACGCCTCCCTTTTCCTCGACCTAATGGCTTCTCGATGTTCGGGATTCTGGGTGTATCTGCGTTCTGCCTCCAAACCCCTCGCTCTTTCGTGTCTGCGATACTCTGGATCTATCTGACACCTGAAACTACTAGATTTTGATGCGCGACGGTTTGTTTCTCTCCGCTTCATGAGCTTTGCGTTGAGATCTTTTCGTGAAGGCTCACACGCCGCCTGGCTGACTGAGAAGAAACGTATGGATGAAGAAACTCTGGGCAATGACTTGCATACATCGAACGAGGCTCGCAGCATTTGGAGAATCGTCATCCCGAACTTGATGTGGTGTCGGATGCCCGAAGTAGTACTGAAAACAGTCGAGATAGAAATAGAGGATGCATATCAGAAGGCATTTTGGAGAGAAGGTGGTTGACACTTTTCGTCCGTGCACCAAGTCGCGCCTGCCTTTACACTGCCGCTTTTCAGAACAGAAAATCATTTGATAGTAGAGAAAGAGCTACAAACATCACAAACAGATTGGCAGACAAGAATACCAAAAGATGAATGCTGGTTCGCTGTATGTTTCTCTTGTATACGCTTTCTCCCAATGGTAATTCTCTTGGCTTTTTCTGCATTATCAAGAGCATAAATACCACATCTTTGAACAATGCGAGCCCCCAAAACTAGCAAATCCTCCCAAGAAACAACACATTCACACCAAATACGAAAATGAGTTTTTTTAATCTAGACATGTGTATCGTCTTGGTCAATTATTGCGGGGCAGGGACACCGTGAGTCTGGCCCTGGGGAGCAGTACCAGCGGTCACACCGGCAGGGGCATCGCCAGGAAGACCGTGGCTGACTGAGGCATCGGCGTTCTCAATGACGTTGTCGCCCTTCTTCTCCCAGGCAGCGGGCTTGACCCACTGCGAGTCTTGCCATGGGCCGGCGTCGGACAGCTCACAGCCGCCAGCGCACTGGCAAGATCCACCGAACTGCTTGGGGAGGTTCTCCTTAGGGATCTGAGCGAGCAGTTCCTTCTCGTAGCCGCTGCCAAGAACGTGAATCTTTGCGACGGTAACGGGGTCGAGGAACTTCTTGACCATGCTGAAGACAGATGAGAAGCCCCAGGGAGCGTTGATGAGGTAGAGCTTGCCCATGCGCTCAGGGTAGTAGTTTTGTGAGATGGCCGAGGCCTTTTGCACGTATCCGTAAACGCTGCTAACGTTGGTGAGACCGACGCCCTTAAGGTCCATGATGGTGCAAGAGGTTTCGAGGAGGTGGCCGGACTTGCGCGAGCAGGCGGGAAGACGAGGGTCAGCGACCTTCTCGTACTCGACAACGAGGTTCTGCAACATGCGCTCCTCGGAAGTGATCTTGTACATGGCGTTGAGGTTGATCTTGCCGAGCTGCTCAATGTAGAGGGGGCGACCATCCTGTGTCGGTGTCAGTTGCTGGATGGCTCAATGTTTGGATGCTATGTTGTTACGCACCTTGTCAGTCTTGTGGTAGTATTGAGGGTAGTACTTGAAAACCTCAGTCTTCTCCTTGTACTCAAAGGTCTGCAACAATTGGTCGACACCACCGCCGAACTCCTTTCTCCACTTCTCGCAGTCGATGAACCTGTCACACATGTATCAGCTCTTGTTCTCCCACTCATTGATATCCGATGACGCATACATCTGCTTAGCATGCTCGACGTTGAACTTTCTGGCGCGCAGGAAACGGAGCATGGTCAGGGTGTCGAGGCGCTCGTGGTAGCCAGCCTGCTCGAGGGCAGCGCGGAGCTGGTGAACTTGGGCATCCTGCTCAGGTGTGGTGTGGCCGGGGTGTCCGCTCTGGTTGGTGTTGGAGACGGTGGGGAAGTCGTAGTGGTCGTACTTGGGGTCCTGGGTGATGGAAGCCATTATGAAGTGCTAGTGCAGCTGTCGCTGTCGAAAAGGAGGTGATGGGTATCAAGCTGTAAAAACGACAAAGGAGTGTCTGGATGGTAGCCGAGTCGTTCGGACAAGAATGGAATCGGCAAAGGGCGGGTAGATGGTGAAGAAGGTTGCGTAGAGCAAGTTGGGCAGTAGATATTTTGTGTTTGTAGGGGTCTGGTCTGGCGTGTCCTCTACTCCATTGACGACGCCCCTCATTCTCAAGCCGCCGCGAAATGACGAGTTAGCGTCGATTTTAGCTCACCCTGCCCGCCCTCGAAAAATTACAAAAACAACCACCGTCACTGCTCTATCTGACACATACACAAGTTACGCACATATGCGAAGTTATAGGCACACAAGCACTAGATTCGAAACAGGCACAAGCATTTCTTCCAAGATTTACTATGACCAATGCTACTTGCTACCGATGGGACTGCTAGCCAACCTGCCCTTGCCCTTGTCGTTCTCCAACAACAGCGCTTCGTGTTGTGCACTCTCAGCTCCAGCCATGGTGTCAAAATCATCGTCAGTGAATCCGCTGTAGCCAGAAAGCATCGAGCTGCTGCGTCCTCTGACTTGAGTTGCACCGCCATTGCTCAAACCTCCAAATCCTTGGCCAAACCCACCACCAAACATGCTGAAGTCGAATGCAGCGGGTTGACGATTGGTGGGTCCGTTGGTACCAGGGAGATTGCCTTCAGGAGTAGGAGGTCCAGAGAGAGCCTGTTGCTGATGTGCGACAACGTTGCTGAGGTATTCCATGTGTGCAAATGCCTCGTTGGCACGAACAGTGTTGTCTTCGGCATCCTTGTTGCTTTGCTGCGTCCAGTACAAGAGGTTTGCTTCCTGGCGTTGGTACTCGGAGATTCTGTTGGCTCGCTCCTGCTCGTGCTTTTGTTTGGCGCTCAAGTCTGCCTTCTTTTGATTGGTCAAGCGGTCGAGTTGCTCCGTCAGCTTGCCCTTGCGGGTACTGAGTCGTTCACGCTTCTGAGCAGCTGAACTCAACTCGGACGTGACTTGCGAGATTTCACGCTGGGCCTGGGCTTTGGCAGCTTCGAGATCAGCCACGGCAGCAGACTTCTTGTCACAAGCAGCCTGCCAAGCACGTTTCTTCTCGTTGTACTCGCGAAGCTCAGCCTGAGGAATATCCCCTAGCGCATCGGTCTCGTCCTTGAGAGCAATGGTCGCCTCGTTGGCTTGACGCAAATGTTGCGTCAGTTGAAGGATTCTCTGGCGCTGGCGTTCGTCCTGGCCTCCACTAGAAGCAACCTTGGCATTGAGCTGATCAATCTCTTTGCGAACAGCAGAAGCGGCATTTTTGTGATCACGACGTGCACGCTTCAGCTTGTTTCTGGCATCCTCGCGCTTCATCTCGGCGGCGGCAATAGACTGCTTCAAGGTTGAGATGGGTGAAAGTGGACGAAGAGATTGCGGTTGAGGAGGTGCGGTAACAATCGAAGTCTGCTCGGTGCTGGGAGCAGGTAGAGTGACAAGGCTGGTGCTGCATAGAACGCTCTGGTCGGACATGCTGACCAGCTCACAACTGTAGTTAGTCAAAGGTGTCAAACCAAGTATCTCGCCGTGCCACACTGTTTCCGATCCTTCTCCTTCTTCATTGATCTTGGTTGAACCCCAATCCGCCCCGTTCATACGGACAAAGAAAGGCTTCGACTTGTCGATACCCGCACCGACGGGATGCGAGGAATCTGGCTTCGATTTGGAAGTATTGGAGAATGAGGGAAGGTGGGCACGGAACAAGATATCGGCAGGACGAATGTCTACTATGGATATGCGATCTTCGGTAGAAATGCGTGGGAGTAGCTGATTGTCGTTGGTCGGGTCGTGAGCAGTAGCTTCTGCTTGGTCTTCGGAAGCTTGTTTCTGTTCCATCTCTTTCAAAAATGTTACTTTTGTACTGGCTATAGCCGCCCATAACGGCTGCCGACTGCGCACTGCAGTTGCATGCTTTTTCTTTTTCTTGGTTGTTGAAACACGTTGATTGCCGTCGCGCATCGCTGAAGACGGTGCGAGAGGTCGCCCATCCGAGCCCAGGCCGCCAGCAGGTTCCTGACCCGAATCGCCAGGACTCGTCGACGACTTGGCTCCGTCTCCATACGATGCTGCTTCTGGATCCTGTTTCTTACTCGTACTGCCACGGGATTGATTAGAATACCCCGACAAAGAACGACGACCAAGAGTTAGTATGCCTTGAGCCAGAATGTGGCACCCGAGCAGAGCACGGTACCAACCATATGCAGCGTAGGGTGAAGATGAAAATTCAGACGAAGGAATTGGATTCCAGTGTTGGCCGATACCAAGATTCTGCAACAGCGAGCGCAGCTGTTCCAAGCCCATGAGATGGATTTTGTTATAACGAAGGAAATGAGAAACACAGACGAGGATACTGCAGGCAGCGACACTCTGACCCGAGCGGTGTGGCGCTGCAGTAGCGCCGCTCAAAGAAATAGCTATGACTGCCTGGCCGAGGTCCAGGTAGATGTTTTGTAAAAATAAGCCGCTGCACAGATAGATGACTGTCATGACGGCGTCCGTAAAGAGAATTGTAAAGAGCGAGGGTCCACCGGTAGACGTGGCATGGAACCAGTCGGCAAGAGCAGGCATTCCGTTCCAGGAGCTCAACGAGACACCGGCAGTAGGAGGGACAAAGGTAAGAGAGGCGAAGAGACTGTGGATGAGCATGACGAGTGCCGGAGGAAGCGACATCAACAGGATCAGAATGGCAATTGCATCTGACAGCGGGCACGCGCTGAGGATGGTCATGGCCATAGAGAAACTGCTGGTTGCCGAACGTCCCGCAAGCTTGGAGGTATTGACGGAGGAGCTGTAGGCGGGGGCATCGGACACGCGACGAGAGGACTCGGAATGGGCAGCTGTAACGGGCGGAGTACTGCTTGCAGTATTGACTGCAGCCATGTCGTCGTCGGGCAGCGAAGCGGGCGAGTCGTCGGCGATGTCGGGGTCATTTAGAGCGTCGGTAGCGGTAGCAGGGAGCGAGTGGTTTGCCTGACCATTGGTGGTAGGGAGGTGGTTGTTGGATCGCTGCTTGGTGACTCGCTTGCCAGGGGCGGGTTTGGCCAAACCGCTCTCATGACGGTGCTGATTTGCGGTATTCTTTTGCTTGGCCTTTGGCGGCATCAGCGCGCCGCCAGCGTGTGGATTTCTCGTACAACAGAGCCCGGCGATTGGGTCGCGGGGCTGCAGAGACGAGAACGGGGTGAGGGAGGTGTCGGTATAGAGAGGGAGGGTGGTGGCGTGGAGAAAATGCCCAGTATGCAAATGTCAAAAGATGGGCGGCTTCTTAGGGGAACAAACGGGCACTCGCTCGCATGCGTAAGAGCCACCGAGCCGCTATGAAAAGTCCGTTATGCTACCGACACCATGTAATGCACGTGACGTCGTCTTTTCCTCGAAACAGAGCCTGCTGTCTCACTGATGATCCTCTTGGTTTTTCTGACAATTAGGTTGCCCTTAGATCCAAAGCTAGCAACCTTGTAGGCACTTTGTTGTCCTTGTTGCGCTAAGAGCTTGTTTCTCGACCTGCAACCAACTTCGCTTTCGTGTTTTCTGCTTCCCCTCACTCTCGCATTTTCACCGTATCGCTATCTACATGTCTCGACACATCTTCGAGCAGCTCGTGTGACCGAGAAAAGCACGAGCAAGAAGCACGCAGCAGGGAAATATGCAAAACTACTGCTGCATGCACATCCTAAAGTGTGTCTGCAACACTCGCGACTCGAATCATGGACTGGCGCTGTAGATCCCTCATGCCGTCCACGTTGCTTCCCACCGCCAATCGGCTTAATTTTTTCTTACCAAGGCTCTAACCGCACACCTGAACCTCACATCTTGTCTAGCATTTGATGCTGAGCACTCGTGCGCCCAAACAGTCTGTCTGGACATCCTCATGATCAAGCTAACGGCTATCTCGAGTTCTCCAAACTGCGGGGCATGGGCAATGTAGATGGCGGTCACTTGCACTTGGCCCAGCCCCTGGTCTCCGCAATCTGTGGCTTGCATCCGCCTTGTTGATCGCATCTGAGCTACCTCGAGTATTGTTGCCGGCAGAGGGACGCACCCGTCTTATCTATCACTCACAATAGCGCAAGTTGTTATTGCCCAGCAACACCCATATCCTCCACGGCGTCAGGCCTATCCCAGGTCTCCTTTTCAAGTGCTCTAACCTCTTCAAGCAAGCGTCTCACTTTCTCACTATTCTCCTTCTTTGCTTCCTCTTGCAGTTTCCAAGTTTCGCGGAAGGCATCTACCATGAACGGTAGAAGAGGTGCCTTCTTACCCACTCGATAGTCATACACAACCGTGTCCTCCACGATGCGTGCTGCTGGCCGTTGCTGCAGCTCAGACATGATAATAACATCCAAGTGGAAAGAGTCGGTTTTTGCCGTCGGTTCAGACGCGAGTTTGTGGTACACTGAAATGCGATCGGGCCATTTCATGGGGAACTTGTAGTTAGTGGTGATGGACCTCAAGATCAAACCCAGGCCTTTCGGGGTCATGAGTTCAGTCCACTCTTTTTTGTGCTTGGGATCAATGTCCGCAAAGTTCATTGCCCAGTTGACGCGAGCGGACTCGGCATAGCGGTTGTACATCACGTTGTTGACATGGCTGTTCGTCCCTTTAGTCGTAGGCACCTTTTTTGTTACTCTGACAAACTCACCCCTAAGTTTATCAGCAGCGGGCCTTGTATGGTTGACAGAGCAAACTCACCATACTGTCCATCTCTCCCCAAACAACCTCATGTCGATAGAACCCTCTACGATTCTCTGATGTCAAGAAACCTTCACTACCAGCAACCAATTCTCGCCAATCTCTTGCTACCGTCTCTAACACGGCACCTGCTCTGGCCACTTGCTCAGGCTTCATTCCAAACGTCATACATTTCCCTAATCTCTGCTTAACATCTCCCAGCCATCGCGGGCTCAACTTCTCAGTCGCTGATTCGGTAGTAGTGGATCGTTGGCGCAAAGATACTGAGCGGAGGACATTCTGAACGGCTAGCGGTCTAGCATGTAGAGGAGCGAGGTTTCGAAGAGCGAGACGCATGATCGGAATTGCAAAAGGACAAGATAACGGTAAAACGCAGCAACCTTGGTGGAATTAAAGATACACAAGCAAACCTCCAGGAACCACGCGGGAAGGATTGCCGAGGTGCGTCAAGGGCTTCGGCATCCACGCCATCCCATCCACCCCGCAAAAACATCAACACGGCGTCATGGTTTTGCACTCATCATTGTCACTTGTGTGGCTACTCTAAACTTCTTTCAACTGCATACCACATATCCATACCTCTGCTCTTGCAATTCTTGACTAGAACACGACTCAAAAAGGGCACAGCACAAAATGAGCACACCACTCCGTTATCAGGTCATTCGGGTCTACAAGGAACTCCTCTACTTAGGCCGCGAATATCCACTAGGATACGACTACTTTCGCCCTCGACTGCACAAAGCATTTGCCAGCAAAGCCAATCTCACAAACGAAGCCGATATCAAAAAAGGAATCGAAAGTGCAGAATATGTGAAGAAGGAGATTGAAGCCTTGTAAGTGACACTTCAGATCTTTGATGATTTGGAAAAAGAGGAAAATGTGCTGTTGATTCCATTATTCCTCCTGTTCCTTGCCCGTATAAACAAATGACTACATAAATCATGTACAGTGGTAGACTGACACTGGGCAGATACTACCTCAAACGCTACCGAGCCCTCAAACAACGCTATTCGGCACCGCAGTGAAGGACAGGAAAGCAGAAACTGCCAGATCTGCATCCTCAAGCACTTTCCTCGCACTTGGTAGCCCACCAAGCTCCAATCTCCAACACCTCGCTGCCACCTCCATTGTTCTCTTGATCGAGCAGTGAAGCCATCATACCAGCCCACCATCTCGTCCATTCTTCAGAGTTCTTGCCACTGGCTTCTCTAAGCAATGGTTCTAATGATTCGATCTTTTGGATCACGATGAGCATGGCTGTGGAGCGAGCGGCTGCTTGGTCATTTGTGAGCATTGTCTCACCGCTGGCTTTTGATTTGCTTGCTTTTGGCGAGATGGTGCCAAATAGATTGCCGCTGCTGCCTGAGCGGATCAGCTTTCCCTCCGAGTCTTTTTCCCAGCGCATCTGGCCTAGCGGGATGGCGATACGGCGGGAAGTCACGTCCACGAGCGAGGTTTCTTGGAACATAATTTCGGCCATGCGGGTACAGGGTTGAGATGGCAGGTTGAGCTTGTCCAAAGCGGTATGAATCCAGGTATTCGAGTCTGCTATGTATCTGTTTTGCGCAGGAGCAAAAGGCGTGCCTGTGGAAATGAGATAGGTTTTTGTGTCTCGACACGTCTTTTCTTCTTCTGCTGTCATGCCTTTGGGCGGCGTTGGTTGTGGTAGCAAACATCGCAATACATGGTCTGATTCCCAGATCTCAAGTGTGCCTTTCGGAGCCAGGATACGCAGTACTTCGTCCATGAATCGTTGTGTCTCAAAGCCCATTTGTACCGCCAGAGACAAATCTTTCATCATGACATAGTCGAAGTGACCATTCTCAAATGGCCAAGGGTAGCGCCTGAAATCGTGCTGTATGAATTTCCAATTCACGCCCTGTCGTCGAAGATCCGGTGCCAGCGGCGCAAAGTCCAGTCCTACGAACTCAACGTTGGGATATCCTAGGCTTGTGAACCACTCGTGGCAGCTACCCGTCCAGAAAGCACTTCCGCAACCTAATTCCAAAACTCTTTTCGGTACATCTTTCTCAACGTTCGGTACGCATGATGGTTTGCCGAGGACTGTGACGCCGAGCAGTGTTCGTAGCGACTGGCGTTGTATTTCTGAGAGGTCGCAGGGCAGAGGGTAAGGTACATCGCGTAGGTATCGTCGGCCGTGGCGTAATTCGAACGGATTGGCGAGCAAGTTGTGAGAGGAGCTACTGGCAGCAGAAGAGATGCTGCCACTCGTACCCTGCCGATGTTCGCGAATTGTCGCTGCTTCCATGTCTCCAGGCTTTGTTGTCACGTCCGAAGAGGCAGAGTCTTTTCTGTGGTAGATATCGAAGAGAGGACTTGAGGTGGTAGTTGCAGCAGAAGCCCGTCTGCGACGTGATCTACGAAAAGGTGAAGTCGAGCGAGATAGCGAGAGCGGCGATGTTGGAGGCGAGGATGGGAGGGAAGCGGAAGGAGACGGAGGTGAAGAAAGGTCAGAAGAAGGATTTACATGGCCAGAAGAAGCAGCGCGCTGCGACTGGCGATAGGCAGCACCATTGGGGTGTCTGGGCGTATTGTTCGGATAATAAAAATAGGCGAAGCCATCCATGGCGGGACTTTGATTGAGAGTCCAAGAGACCCACAACGACTCAAGAAGCTCGAACGCGCCAACACTATGCACGGGCTATGTGTGGAGAGGGTGTGTTTCTGACTCTGTCGATAGAGAAGACTACGAGTCTGTAAGATACCGTTTTGATAAGATCGAAAACCGTTAAATGGTGAAGCAATAATGTGTTTGAAGACCTGGGTACTTCGAGATGTATTTGGGGTCAATATTGCTCTGCTGTCTTTGGTCTCTGAATACAACAGGTCAGCAAGGCGGAGGAACTGCCAGAGTGCTTGTGAGACACCGAGTCGACAGAACGCGTCGGGTCAGGCTGGTGTAGGTACGACGGTCAATCCTATCCGAAATTGAACGAGGTAAGACGGCATGGCTATATACTCTCCTCACTTTTGAAGGAAGGAACAAGGTTCGTTGTCGCTTAACGTATACATCTCATGACCCGCGTCCAGCTGGAACGCTTGTTCAGCCCCGCGTTTGAAGCAAATATCATGGTTTAATCAAGGGGTGGCCTGGAGCCATTGCTTCATTCAGCCTCTCTTTTAGCTGTTACTGCGAACAGTTGTTGCATCTGGAGTGTGGCTTTGTGTCGAACGACAGAGTTCTGAGGGGAATGGCCCTTGCAGAAGTCGGGATTGCAGAGCCGCTGTCTCTCGCCCATAGCTGCGGGCCGAGCAGGATGGTGGCTGTAGGATCTGATACCAAAATGCTCTAAAAGAACTGTCGATCACATCATAGCTGTCTTCAGTTGATGGTAGGACAGGTTTGAGATAGGCATTCAAGCTCAATAGTTCGTTTGCAGGTTTCGAGTGGTTTGACATGTGCAACTTGGTGTGATACCAAGCGTTATGTAGATGGAAAAAGAGGACACAAGGCAGCTGAGAGAAAGCAGTCTTGAAGCTTGCCGTGTTGGCAGAAATTGACTGGTTGCTGAGCATCGATAAGCGACAAGTGCGCGCACGACTTCATACCAGCTTTTGAGGTCACCTTGTAGCGAGATTCAGGTCAAACTTGGACATACTGAAATGTATTTGGAAGAGGGTGAGCTGGCAGAAGATTCGACTTGTCTCTCAATTGTCTTGGCACATCAGTAGGACTGTCCAAAGCTGGGCTGGGCAAGACCGCACTTCCCCCGTCATCACGACCTCCATCTAGCGACGACGTGTAGTATTCTTCCCGACGAGCATTGAGTGCTGAGGGTAAGTTTGTTTTCCTGCTCTGTAGCCTGTCCAGCTTGTTTTCGCCGAGACAGGGTGTCGTACGAGCCACGAGGCTGTGACTAAGAGCCTGATCACTGACGCTCATCCTCCAGCAAAGCACATACTTGGCCCCCAATTATCTAGCATTGCCATCGCTCGCTATCTACCCCCGACACCGTCGCTCATAACCTGCTCCGAAACACCACTGCTTATACACAACTGTCCCCGGCGCCGAAACCTGTGTCGACCTTCTCCCGCGTCGCTCGTACTCGCCCCGAACACGTCGCGAAGCTCCACCAGACAGCGCGATCTCTGCTCTCCCCACCGCCGCCGCTCTCGCTCCGCCAATCCAGCAGCGGCTGGCCATTTGACACGCGGGATTGGTTCAATGTTCAAGAAAAGAAGAAGTCGTCGTCCGTCTCTCGTCACCGCCTCCCTCCATTCCTAGATGGCCGATGGTGCCTTTCGGTTCCAAGGAGCCGGCCAATATTTCTACCAACCACAGTCGCAGCGCCAGCTACAGACTCGTCACGGCTCACCCATCACCACCTCGCAGCGCATCCCTTTCCACACTCAAGACACCCCCTCGCCAAACCGCTCTCCCGGCGCCAACTCGCCTGCCTTCAATACTATGTTTAATCAACATGGTATCCTCAACGGCAATAGTCACCAGCGCTTTCAGATGCACATGAATATGAGCAAGCAGTTCGGCCAACAACAGCAATCGCAGCAGAATTTGCAGTCTCACCACCAATCTCAAGCCCACTCTCAACAGCAGCAGCAGCAATCTCACCATGCTCAGCACCAACACCACCATGATGCTTTTGCTTCTCACTCGCACAATCTCTCAAGCTCGACTCCTCACTTTACGCCCAGTCACATGCAGAGCCAAACACCACTTAGCACCCACAGTCAACTCAGCAAGCCTACCAGCGAACACTGGCAAGAGCAACAGCGTCTGGCTCAGGTCTCTCGTGAAGCCACGCAGCCTCATTACTACGCCAGGAATGCCCATGTCGCAAGCCGGCAAGCTATTGCCCAGCTAGGTCCTGGTGCCAAAAAGACTGAGGAGAACAAGGAAGAGCGCGGGAGAAGAATGCCATACCACGATGAGAAGCATCCATTCACTGCCATCGACTTTGGTGGTCAGGGTTTGCGTGCTCTTGCCAACAACCTCTTCAAGTACTACTTCCTCGAAAAGCTCTACGTCAATCAGAACAAGCTCAACTGGTTGGTGCCGGAGATTGGTATGCTACGCCGACTTACCTTCCTCGACCTCTCACAGAACGATCTCTCAAGTATTCCGCCAGAGATTGGTATGCTCACAAATCTTCGGACTCTTCTGCTCATCGACAACAACCTAGTGGATCTGCCTAGCGAGTTGGGCTACCTTTATCAGTTGGAAACTCTCGGTCTTGAGGGTAACCCCCTTAACGAGAACATCAAAGATATCATTGCTGAGTCTGGTACCGGAGAATTGATCCGTACTCTGCGTGAGCACGCTCAAGGTCCCGAGCCGCCAAACGAGCGTGACTGGATTGTCCTTGATGAGGCACCTGCTGGAGAACAAGAAAGATTCATGGTTTACAGTCACAACATCCTTTGCGACAAGTACACGACAGAAGCTCAGTACGGTTACGCCCCTTCGCACGCACTGCTGTGGGAGAATCGCAGAGAGGTGCTTCTGGGTGAAATAAGACAACGCCGAGCCGACATTATCTGTCTGCAAGAAATCGACGCCGAGTCCTTCAACGAATATTTCCGCCCGCAACTCGCACACGACGATTACAGAGGAATGTTCTGGCAAAAGTCGCGTGCTCATACCATGTCGGAGAAGAACGCAAAATTGGTTGATGGATGCGCCACTTTCTACAACAACACCAAGTACATTCTGCTTGACAAGCAAGTTGTCGAGTTCGGCCGCACAGCTATCAACAGACCCGACATGAAGGGCGAGCATGACATTTTCAATAGAGTCATGACCCGTGACGATATAGCAACCGTCGCCTTCCTCGAGAGTCGCCAGACTGGTGCTCGTCAAATGGTAGTCAACCTTCACTTATTCTGGGACCCGCAGTTCAAGGACGTCAAGGTTGTTCAAGTTGCCATTCTGCTGGAGCAGCTTAATCGTCTGAGCAGAGAGTACGCCAAGTGGCCTGCACTCAAGGACAAGGAGCTCTTCCGCTACGCAAATGGTGATGAAGTGGATGAAGAGCCCGTTGAGAAGGCACCGCCTGCACCATCGCAAGAATATGCATCGAACACTGACATTCCGCTCATTATTTGTGGCGACTTCAACAGTACTTCAGAAAGTGGTGTGTACGATTTGTTGGCTCATGGCTCACTCTCATCTTCGCATGACGACTTGGCAGGCCGCAAGTACGGAAACTTCACGAAGGAGGGTATGACCCATCCTTTCAGTCTGAAGTCCTCGTACTCCCACATTGGCGAGCTCGAGTTCACCAACTACACGCCTACCTTTGTTGGCTGCATCGATTACATCTGGTATTCGACCAACTCTCTGAACGTGACCGGCCTACTCGGAGAAATCGACAAGCAATACCTCAGCAGAGTTCCCGGTTTCCCTCACATTTACCATCCCTCTGACCACATTGCTCTTGTGGCCGAGTTCGCGGTAAAGGTCAGGAAGGAATCAAAGAGATCGGAAGCAGACTTCGGGCATGGTTCGAACGATCACAGACACCGATAAGGTCGGTGTCTATGACTCGCCGCGAGTACGCCAACAATGACTATACAACACGCAAAAAACTCATATATTCTACGCATGAGGAATGGAATGGGGACGGAGGAGCTTGTAAGGAGTCTTTAGTCTGTTGTTTTTCTCTATTGGAAACGAGGCGCTTTCGATCAGGACTGGGCTGCTTTTGAGGTACATTTGCAACCGGAATGAAGGTGGTTTTAGCCTTCAAAGATTTCAACCAGTGGGCGGAAGGGGGAAGGTCTACTGATGATCATGGGAGGAGATGGATCAAGGGGCAATCTTTGACACGTTTTTGTGGTTTTACTTCTCTTTCTTTTCTCGGGTTGTTCACTTCGTTTTTCAAGTTACGTTTTTCCTTGTTTGGACCTTCTTTTGCCTTTCTGCCTTCTGCTCAATAATTTCGTGAAGAATCGCCATACAAGACAGGATACGCACGAACCATTCCGACCTTGCATTGGACGATCTGTTTCGAACTACGGTATGTCGTGTATGGATTGTGATATGTGTATGTACGAGCGTAGCCAAGGACGAATCCAACAACGGATGGGATTGATTGGGCTGAGGAGTCTATGGTGATGCAGCAACTACACGCAGTGTGTTCTTAAGCTGCAATGTCTAAAGGCTCTGGACCCTCTAGGCCAGTTGCTTCCTTGAGGTTTGCGCGTTGACTTGTGACGGTAAATCCTAGTCTGTACGGAAATGCGACGGTACAGCTACTGTGGATGGACAAAAGTTTCGCAAAGCCAACCTCTTGGCGGCTTTCCGCGCGCCCACCCCCTTGTGTTTGATTGAATGCGCGCGATCAAATAACAATAGAAATGCCATACAAATTAGACCAGATTGATCGCGAAAACCAGCTGATTTTGTGGCTAGTCGGGTTTCGCGAAAAATCTTCAATATCGCGTGTACTAGCCTCTTGCTCTATAAACGGCTTCTATCCGCTCTAGCATAGAAGCCATGTAGTTATATGCTATATTATCGTCTAATGTCTCCCATACGTGTAGTAAAGCTGCTTTCATGCGCTTAGCTACTACCTCCTCTCTACCTTTCCATAATTTAATGTCCAGATAAAGCTAATATAGTGCTTCTTTAAGTAGTGGCTAGAGATGCTTAATTAGATTTAAATCTAGACTATATAGTAGCCAGAATTTAAGGATATATATACTATACTTATTAAACTAAGCCTTAGTAAGCTTTAAGGTATAAATCCTAGTACTATCTTACTAGAATATATTATTTGTATTAAGAATTAGTAGTAAACTAGCTTTTAGGACCTATAAATATATTATAAAATCCCAAAATTCGCTATAGTACTATATAGTATCTATAGTAAGCTATAGTATAAATAATACTATAAATATAATATTACTATATAGTAGGGTCTATAATGTCGGTACTATAATAGTATAGCTATATTAGTCCTATAATTTATATCCTTTATATTATATATATTAGTAATGTCTATAGTACTCTTTATACTACTACTAATATTAATACTATAGGTATATAGTTTATAAAAGCTACTTATATTATATATAGTATAATAGTTACTAATACTATTAGTAATACTATTAATAGTAAATATATTATTACTATTATACCTAGTAATATTATAAGGTATATTATCTTTATTAATACTATTAATAATACTATTAGTATAAACTCTACTATTAATATTATAACTACTTCTTATAACATAAGTCTCTATAATACTATTAATACTATATGCACCTATATAGTAGATATTATAGCTACTATCTTATTTAACTCTTTTTCTCTAGATAAGCTTAATAATGTCTATAAGTATTTAAGAGTATATAGTGCCTAGATGGTTATTATATTAAATTAATAATATATAGAATCTATATATACCTATTCCTCTACTAGGTTTCCTAACTATACCTTTAGCTATATGTTATTAGTATATCTATATTCCTTAGATACCTTTTTCTATGTCCCTTTGTTTAGTATTCTACTTTTCTATAGTTCTCTATTTTCTATTAGAAGTGTAATAAGGTTCTTAATATTTAATCCCTTATATAGATTAAACTACTATATAAGCTTACTAGCCTTAGCACCGATCTTATTTATTACCTTCTATATAATATAATCCTATAATAATACTAAAGATAACTATTTTACTACTAGTAGCTTAATCTTTATATGCCCTATAACTATAATAGGCTTAAGCGTAAGCTAGGTTTAGTTCAGTTAAGGTATAGCATCTATAGATATTAAGTTAGACTCTACTATACTAGTTAGAGATAAGAGTCTTTATTAGATAGGTATACTAGTAGGAAGATTAGTAGGGGTAGCTAATGCTATATCTAAAATAATAGAAAGGGTAGGATTAATAACTATTAAAGTAGACTTAATAGCTATAGTAGTGCTAGATAGTAAGTTAAAGGTAGCTAAGGCTTCCCTTATATAGGTAAGTTATTAAGTTATTATAGTACGTAGCGCTAGTAGTAGTCTACCGATTAATAGTACTAGAGAGTCTATTACTTTGTTAATTAACTAGTAAGAAGGTAGGTATAGCTATACTTACCCTTATTATCTAATAAAAGATCTATAAGATTATTAGAGTATATAGCTAGTAGCAGTGTAACTATCTACTTAATAGGGTTTTTATATACTTTAAGCTAAGCTTAAATAATATAAGTAATATTATTTAGAATTGCTTTATATCGAGCCTAGCTATTCTCCCTTTAAAATAGATTAATATACTTAGTGTATTTAGTCTACGTATCCTTATTTAGTAGTAGTTCCTACCTTAGAAAGCTACTTATAGTTATCTTTAGTCCTAAGAGCTATAATATTATAATATACTCTATAGTAGTAGCTAAGTATCTAACTATATGCTCTAATACCTTAGTAAATAACTCTCTTATTACTTTGTCGGTAGTAGGGCTATTTAACCTATAGTAGACTCTTCCTATAAGTATTTTAAAAAGCTAGCTTAAGAATTAGCCCTTATAGATAATATTAGTACTATATATTTAAGAACTCGGCATAAACATACCTTTTATCCTACTATATCTTTATAGAGATATAATGTATATTTATAGTTCTCTATCTATTATCTAAGGATAGGTATATCTATACCTACCGATAGTCTTACTCTAAGGTTTTACTAAGTAGATAACTTAAGGATAATCTATGTTATCTCCTTATATATAATAGAGGTATAGGAGTAGTATACTATTCTTAATTCTTTATATAACTAGAGGGTATTAGTAAGAGTAAAGAGGTCGAGGTTTCTACTAACTATAAATTAAATAGTACTATTAGGAACTAGACTAGCTTATAATTTAGGATTATACTAAAAGTCTCGATTCTACTCCTCCTTCTAAACACGCTACATTATCTAGTTAATCTAGGTATTATACGTAGCCTAGTAGAACCTCTAATAGTCTAGTATACTAACGGCTATTATAGCCTTATATACTATCTTTATAGCCTTATATAGTCTAAGTATATCTAGGGAGAGACTTCTAGGTCTACGTCTCTATATAATATGCTAATTAAAAGCTTTATTATCTTAAAATAGATTATATCTTTTATCTAGTTTACATTAGCGTCTCCGATTATATGTTACTTTAACTAGGTCTAATACTAATATAAAGCTTATTTCTACCTTAGGCTTATAGCTAATATCTAAGCCTATCCTTATATAAGTAAATAATAATTAATAGTAATATTAAATACTTACTAAAAACACTTCTAGACTATATTAGCATACTAGATACGTAATTAACTATAGGAAAAAAAAGTAAGAAGGACTTTACATTTTAATACGTTTTAGTTCTTATAGGCGATTAACCGCTATTTATAGCTTTCTTAAGGACTATATAATTTTATCTATTTCGGCATTAATAATTAAGGTAAGTCTAAATGTACACTATTATCGCTACTATTATAGGCTATTTAGCTCTACTATAATAAGGGACGGTTTTTAACCTATTATAATTAGTCTTATATATTAGTTTATATTAATGCTCTTTTCTTACTATAAGGAACTTAAGAGCCTTACCTTAAAGACATCGAATAGTAATTAGTCTCTCTTATGCCTTTTAATTATTAACTATTACTACCTTTTTCTTCTTTTAATCTAGCTTAATATACTTAGTCTAATAATTAAAGTTATAATCTTTAGTTAGTACTTTATAAAACCTTAAGAGCTAAAGATTAGTAGGTAAATACTATATGCCTATAGCTCTATTAGAATCTACTACTATCTTATATATAAATCTAATAAGCCTAAACGCTTTATCTTTACCTATAATCTATATAGGCTCTTCTCTCTTAACTTAATAGAAGTCTCTTCTACTTATACTAGGGCTTATAGTCCTTATACTCTTTTTACTACTATCTCTTCTATTAATACTATTATCGCTTCCTTTAGCGGTTATATCTATATTAGAGTATACTACGATATTTATGCGTTTTTATATATAAGGTGCTCTATACTTACGTCCTTAGTGCTTAAGGTTTACATTAATATAAAAAACTAGCTTTCTAAATGCCTCTTTCCCTACCTTAGAATATATAAGCTTTATAGTATTATTAAACTAGCTAAGAGCTTTATATTCTCTTACTATAACTATAAATAGCTTAACCTTAATATAATTCTATATCTTAATAGTCTTAAAGCTCTTACTAGTATGTTATAAGGCTATAAATATCTACTTAATAAAGGTATAAAAGTTGTAATATCGCTACTTAGTTTCTAGTTAGAGGCTATATTATATATCTTATGTAATAGAGTATTAAGAGGATATAATGTAGTTACTATCTTATAGTACTATATATAGAAGTTCTCTTAATATAGTTTTTTGTTACTAGAGTATAATAAACTGTATAAAGAGAGTAAGGAAGGATTATTAATATGTCTTATAGTTAGCTATTATATATATAGTTTAATAAAAAGAATTAATGTTAATATATAGTAGGTAGAAGTAACTATTTTGTCGCTATCCTTTATACCC